ATACGTAGAGTAATTTTGCATGAATGCAAATGACTTTAGCTCAACTAAAAAGAAGAGCCATCAAAAAGAAGGTAGGCGAATCAAATCAGAAGTATAATTAGTGAAACAAATTCTTCTTTAATATTAATTTTACCTTGGCCAAACTTGCGTGTAGCATTATGGTTTTGAATTTTCATGTCAGTGTTAAAGCTAAAAAGAAAAGACTACTGACATCAAGTCACGGGAAGACCTTGAGAATTGTCGAGACCAAACTTAGCGATCGATTAATTTTTATGGTAATCCTCATAATAACACTAATAATGGACAATTTTGTGAGTCACTGAACACATCATCTAAACGTGTCAGAGTACATGACAGACAGAGGTTACTTTCTTTGAATTATAAAGCCCAGCGAACGCTCGTTTCCGACTATTGATACTCGACGAAATAGAGTTTAATAAGTCGTCGAAAGTAAGCCTAAGCATATGTGACTTTTACACGAAATATAAGATGTACCGTTATGTATGTTTTTTTATATTTAAGTACAGAGAGATTTTAATAGGCACCGAATAAATGTTTGCAACTTGTGCACAGCCTAGTCGAATAGGGGTGGGGTTGATCGGGATTGTACTCCTTTTTGAAGCTATTTTACTGTTTACTCTCATGGATGGATAACAAAAAGTTAGTTGATAGTTAGATTTCAGTATAATGACGGAGTCAGCGCTGCTGAAATTAACTATAAAAAATGTACCAGTAACCAGCAGCGGGGCGGTTTATTGTTCTGAAAACTAGCATCGTCAGTAAATTTCTGGTTGCAAGGTACAAGGTTTAGGTGATGCATTCATTGTGTGTTGTTAGTCATTGGTCGTTTTAAGGTAACTGTTTAGTTAAAGTAACAGAGTTGTTTACTTTTGATACAAAATGAGTTTAAAATAAGGTAATGAGTGTCTGAAACGCTCACATATCTGTTCTGTTGTATGCTTGATGAAATCGACTTATTTTGAATAAGATTTCATTTACAATTATAGGTTATATGTGAGCAAATTAATTTGTTAGAGTTTCAATCTAATAAGTAGAGTAATAAATAAACAATGTAAACATGATAGATATATAGCTCAATTTTCTGGGACTGTAACTGTGACTGACGTTTAAGAGTATAGTTGCTTATTGGTCGTCTATGGGCCGAGCATATCAACACGCTTTTAAGTTATTAAATGATTTTATGGCTTATTCCCGATGAACTATTATTTTCGATTGAAGTTACGTCATATTGAGAAAATTTTCACTTAATATGTATAATATTGAATGCATGTGTAAAAGATTAATATGATATTCATTATTCAATGCTCAATGAAGAAATGAAGTGATGAATAATATTAGAGAGTTAATTCAACATATTCAAGTAAAATGTAGGGAATGCAAGCGTGTATTGTAGATTGAAAAACTTGTTTTCTATATTAATACAAAACATTATATGTACATTATTACATTTATAATTAAAATTAATAATTTGATTTTAGATTTACATTTATATAATATATGAAGTGTCGGGTCAATATTATTGTCCTATACTAGTTACTACAATGCGTAATTGAGTTCGGATTTTTGTGGAAAAAAAAGATTTTTACTAGTTCTACAGCATTGTTGTTAAATAACTCAGTAACGAGCCGCGAAATACCATATTCCATTGTGTAATGCAATCGTTGATGCAGATTTTTAATGGTCAAGTTTCGGCGGGAAATCATAATCAATCCTTCTTATATTGATAATTTAGATTTTGAAATTCGTGATAATTAAATAATATCAAAAATTAAACATCTGTACTATAATGATTAAATCTTGTAGACAATCCCAGACAAGATGAGAAAAATAAATAATTTCACTGGAATATCGAAGTTATTGATTTCCTCCAATTTAACAGAGATTTGGCGAAACGAGTCAAATCACCTGAAAATACTCATTGAAAATTAAATCATCATGACATTGAAATGATTTATCGTAAATATTTTACGTTTACACGAAGACAAGTACAATTGAGGGGCGGACTATGTGTTTCAATGAATCATATACGATCATTATAGGTAACACTTTTTGGAAAACTTAGAGATTTGGTTATAATTTTGAGATATTTTTTCAATGTTTCCAAAAGATTAGTTTTGAAGGAATTACCTAATCAATGTTTGGCATAAACGTTCTAAAGTTCGTTACGATTTGTATATAATTTGGCAACTTATATGGTAATATAGTTTTCGATTCTCTTATACCGTTAAGCCATGTTTTTAGTTTTAATTTATTAATTGTCGACAGAGTTTTTAGAGTAGCGTTCAAACATGGACAGCAGACCATTACACGTACCACTATTGACTAATAGAGCAGCCTTTAGTCATTCGTTTTGCAGTGCACAAAGAATTTTGCGATAGGCTTGCTTTTGCTATTACGGCCGTAGCTTGGGTTACGTCGGAGATTAAATTTGAAAAAATACAAAGCTATCTACAGCACGCATTTAGAGATGTTTATTTAATATGGAATCCAATTTGAATCTGATCTCATAATTTTTGACGCACGTATTTATATGGGACGTTTAGATAAACTGGGTCATGTCATTATTTATCAGGAAGGGCAGCCTCATCGCACAGATGTCTACCGTATTATAGTATTACAAGTAATAAATTGAAAATCGTGCATTGAATCGCCCATCGAGCTCATTCAAAAACTAACAGGTTATGTGTAGTAGACACGATTTTTTGTGGTCACGCGCCCCTCAACCAGTGCATTGCACTCATAAAAGTATGGAATACTAAATTGTTAATCACCTACGCATTATAGTCAGGTTTCAATTAATATTGGGATGAAGTGGCTTACATACAGTCCGCTTTGAATAAACGCAATCTGGCAAATTCAGCATGTTTTTGTGAACCGTTTGGACCGACAATAATAATCCGGTCCCATATTTTAGAATTTGCACGTCAATATGATTTTCGAGACCGTTAGTTTCAAAATGAGGATTGCCTACTATCGAGAATTGGCATACGTTGCAGCATACGAAAATACAAAGAGTGTATATTGTGGTGATAACACGTAGTATGTCCTTTCTCATGATATGCATTAGCTATCATATTACTGCTTAAATATTCATGTTCCCGCATAAAGTATACTGTGAATCGTGATTGATCAAACTTGATCAATTTTAAAACACAGATTGTGTCTTGATATTCAGTCAATGCCCGTTCTAGAATGAGTTCGGATTAAAACTTGTACCTGGGTTATTTTCTTCTTACTATACAGACATTACGTTATCTCTGATCTGATAATCTAGCAATCCTTGAAATCAGATCACTCTAACGAAACAAAAATAGAATGAAAAAGCCACTTGGCTATGGTACAAATGCCGAAGTGTTTCGGTTACAGTATTCCAAAAGATAGTAGAAGCTGGTTTCGAAACTAAAATGTTCCGAATAATGTGTATTAAATATTCCTTATAATTACTCAAATATAAATTGATAATGGTGGGTTTTTTGTGATACTCAATATTGCCAAAACCGAAACGTCTGAATCGTGACCTACTTTTTGAATTGCATCACCAAATGCCGAAATTTGTCGTTTAGAGTGATGTAATTCTGTATTCATTTTTAGATTACAACGTTTAGAATGCTGTGGTACATAATATATATTCATTGTAAGAAATATACAATGGGTTTACCAATATTATGCATAGCAAAAATAAATTTGCAGTTGGAAAAAATGTTCTGGTTGATGGTGCAAAAAGAAATATTTTGGTAGTAATTGTGGGCGGTTCGAAATCTGCTTATAAATATTTTAAACCATCTTGACACCGCAGTGAAATTCTTCCAATTTAGCTCTTGTTTTTCTCTAATTCTGATCTTCACGAAGCTGGCAATATACCATATACAAATTGGCTGCTTGTCAAGAGACTTGTTAAGAGAAAAATGTTGAAGAACTCCATATATGGTTGTTTGTTCTCAAGACAAGTTTTTGCCTGACATCTTAAGAATAAGTTATACATTTTTATCTATAGATCAAAGACAATATTTTCCAATTAAAGCACTTGACGGACTGAATGAGTCAATGTGAAATTTATATTGAAGGTAATAATGGCAGTTGGGTCAGGTTTTGGTCGAAAAATGGCTGTGAGAGGCTTATAATCTTGATTCAAAAATAAATCATTTTTGTGAACAATATTCAATGGCACCTTAATCACTTTATTTCTTTAAGAAAGCGTGGAAATAATATATGCGCCCGAAAATTCCCAGGGCCATTCAAATCTTACATGAAGATCTAATTTTGTCAATTATTATAAATATTGCAACAGCGACTCAAATTTGGTGGTGAATACAGTTACGGAAAGAGAAGATGTATTTGTTGTCTGTGTGCTGTCTTTTTTGTTCTCCACATTTGGAGTATAATATACTATTTCAAGCGAAAAAAAGTTTTCCGGGAACAACATCACGCGCTATAGCTTGACAGGAAGTTCACTGCAATTTAAGCATACAGAAAGTTGCAAGACTTTCATATGTAGTTGTTTTTCTAAGTTTTTGTGCATCAATACTTGCTTCAACTTACTATGTTGCAGTTCACATCAACCTGACAGTGCTAGTGCTTTGGAACGTCGGTAAAGGCTCGAGCGAGTGAGGACTGTGTCATAATGTATAATACTATAAAACTAGACCACATGATAATGAAGCGGAGAAAAGGTTTTAATCATTTTTAAGCACATCAATATTAAAATAAATTATATTTTTTTCGGTAAAAACTTCCAATCTATTGAGCTGTCGACGATACCTAACTTGAGTGGCATGGTTTATCAAATCGCGATGGAATAAACTTATAAAATAGAAGGAGAAATTAGTCGCATGGCCCGATTTTTGAACATTGAAATGTGTGATGTAATAAAGACCAATCTTTACTACTTTATCCTTTTGTATTTTATAAAGAGATAAAGTAATACAGTACTTAAGATAATTAAAATATTAATTTGTATTTTAATATAACGATTTAGATATAGCGATTCAAATCTAAATATAAATAAATAACAATCTTCCAGCATGGATGTTCCTGGATCTGGAAACTACACGTCCACCGTTGCAGCTGAAGTTACGATTGCGTCGGAGGGTCATTGGATAATAAGTTTAATCCTGAGTTTTGTCGTCATACTGGCAAATTTGTGGATTGCGATTGCTTTTATTCATCACGTGATTACAAGTAATGTTTTAAGGAAAAAGAAATCAAGAAGAGATGTGAATGGTGGTCTTGTTATGATCTTGGCTATCGCTTCAGTCACAGTTCCATTCTTTCGTTATGCCGGAACTTTGTTCCTACTTTTCGTGAGTTTGTACCCTGAATATAGGAATGGATGCGAACTTGCAAATGATTTGTGTGTAGCAGGATTCGGACTAGCAGTGCTACCGACTTACGGTTTTTTATGGGCACGTCAGAGAGCTTTCTATGGACACCCATCCCTAGGACACATGTTTGGAACTTGTGTTGGAGTTTTCAGCAAAGTCAGTCTCGTTTTAATAATTCTATCTGCTGTTGTTTCATTAACGATTGGAATTTATCCTGTTGAATACGAGCCTCGTCCTGAAGGGGGGTGTGAACTGATAGGAGGATTAGAAGAAGACGAATACCGAACCTATGTTTACGCAATTGTTATGATCTCATCCCAACTAGTATTGCTTGGATTATTCCTACATCCAATTCGCATACATGCTCAAAGCCAAAAAGGAATCGAATCTTCTGGATATTCAACTAAAAGCGAAATGAGCGAAAGATCTAGTGAAGGATTCTCTGATACATCTGACCCGTCAGCAACAATAACGAACAAAAACGGCTCAATCACTACCACAGAGGAAAAGCTTCCACTCAGTACAATAAGCAATTATGACGATGTCGTACAGAACGGACACCCAAAACAAAATCGTTCGGCGAGTTTGCCGTCGAATAACAACATCAAACTGCCAGCAGAAAATCACACTCAGGGTTCCACAGATTTGCTTGAAATCCCCGAAAATGATATATCTGATGTAAAACGAAGCCGTTCGGCCACTGTTAAAATTGAATTAAAAAACCCAAATCTTGGAACGCCTATTACGACGCGCAGAAAGCAAGCAAAGTCACCGAGTATCGTCCCAAATGCCGTTGCCAGATTGAAAAACCGTGTCCGCCGTTCTACGGTGCGCACAAAGAAAGTTTATCGCTTGATCAGACGAATCTTGTACTTGGCATTGATTTCAATCTCCTCCGATCTTACTGTTATGATCATCAATGCTTTTGTTGTACCTGATGACATTCCTCAGACGTACGCTTTTGTAATGTATGATTGCAACATTCTTATTAATGTCATTACCGTCGTTTTGTCGTTTGAAAACTGGAGAAAAATGATGCTCTCGCCATGTTCGAAAAAGGTAAAGAAATAAATGGACAAAAACTGCAATGTACACTTCAGTTCATAACGGATGTGAGATCATTCGTAAATGCGGTTGCAAAATTGCAATTCATGGGGAACGAATTTGCTGCGAAATTAAAGTTGACCATTGATTTCTTTCTGCCTCAGCAGAAATCATTTTGCATGCTATAAATAATTTATTTTGAATAATTTCATTATTTTTAATTCATGATGCAGAAATTGTAACTAAAATCGGTAATTTTCAGTATAAATTTAAATAAACGCAGTATTATCAAATTTACTTAGTTTGCCCAGGCTCGATGCTTCGACATTTATTGGAAAATAAAAATCAACGATTGTAACATTTTGCTTCCCGCTGGGAATCATCACGCAAATAATTTTCGTGATTATGCGTTGTGGTCTATAGTGTTTCTCAGGTTGTTATATTTTTTGTTTTGAAGCAAAAAACAACGCAACCCACTGCATATTTTAGTCTTACTTTTCTTATCCGCAACACAATTAATTCTTCTGTAGAGCCATAAATAGGCCCAAGGTTTGTTGCATGCGTACTTTTATTACTAATAAAATAAATATGTTCAATTGTGGAGTTTTGTATTTTTGAGTTTACTCACACGATACTTTTTGCAAAGACAGACACTTTTTCCAGTCTACATATGAATTTGCATTGTAAATGCATCCAATTTATATCCAAATGCATTTTATTCAAATCAAATCTCTAGTTTTTAGATTCTAGAACAATCGATGGCATTTTATACATTTGCCTACAAACTCTTTCATAGGTGTATGAGCCTTTTCCATAGATCTCAAAATCAGCCATATTAGTTATCTAACCACAGTATCTACGTGCTCTTATACTACCACTCTAGCTTAGCTATTTTTATTTGATTAACCTTAACGTACGTAACCTGAATGCGAATACTCGTGCAACCCGGCATTCAGAGCTCTTTGTAACGTTGAGCTCCCTTTTGTATATAAATAGCAAATTGAGAACTGACGTTCCTAATGCAGATATATTTCGAAAGCAATCTGCTTGTTTCGTTTCAAGCATTTCGATCGACCCATCTAAGTTGATAATGACCTTTTTTAAATCAATTACAGAATTAAAAATTCTTGTTCGAATCGACAATTTTTCATGAGTACCAAAGTCGACAAAAATGAATTTGCTATTTCTGGGCGTGACGGTCCGTTCGAAGTTAAGTTTTTCAGATGACAAATTTTTTGTCGAAATTTCCAGCAGAATGTCCCTGAGAAAATAAATGACTCACATGAAGATACCAATGCTTAGAGCACAGTTTTATCAAATCAATAATTTTGAAGAGCTTTTCTGCTAAACCCGTCGAAATCGCTTACACTCTTTTAATTAGCTACTTAAAATTGAGCCATTTCCCCTCTAGATTCGTGGGAAAAGTAAAGCAATTTGGTATGCGAGCACCAGATTTCCCAAGTTTTCCCAATTAGGCCTTTATTAGATGATTGACAATTATCCCCTGTATTGCAAGCAATTTTTATGAGATTAGAGCAGGGGTCACCAAACTACGGCCCGCGGGCCGGATCCGGCCCGCGGCGTCATTTTATCCGATTCGCAATAACACGCAAAAATGGCTAAATTTTTTTCCAAGGGAGAATTTCACGAGCATCGTCTTTCTTGTTTATTTCGTAACATTGGCCAATCAGCAAGATGCAAAAGAGTGACGTAATCATAGGCCTTACCGCATCCGCTCAGACACTTTTGTAAGCCTGACAGATTTTCAGTCGTGGTTGTAAACAAAACTTCGTTTTTGCGACTTTGAATGCTATTCGTCAGTTTTTGGTTGTGTTTCGGGAATTTAAGTAGGAATCAAATAAGTCAATCATCATTTGCCTCCTTAGGAATCAGTCTAGAAATAGCTGTGACAAAATAGGCTAAAATTCTATACCAGTACGTAACGTTTTCTGTGTTACACTTGTACACTTGTGGGGCGCGCTTCCGACGAAACTGTTTGTTTTTTGTGCTAAAATATACGTCGATTGTGCATTTTGTGCTAACAGTACTGTAATCCCTCGCGTACGGCTCCAATTTCAAAAGCTACACTAACTTTTGTACTGCCCAAATGCGGATATTCATGTAGGTATGTTACAAAAAAATTGAAGTTCATCCGATTTAAATAAAAACTGCGCCAGTGGAAAGATCTGAGTAAAAATAGAAAACAATACCAAGTTTATAATAAACGGTCAAGAAATAAAGGAGATATCGGAATTTTAGTACCGCCCGACAGGCCAATTTTTTCCATAATGATTGTATTACTTTTTTGATAAGAACTGAACTAAATATGGAAAAATAACACATATCAATCACTAATCTTTCGATGTGCGTCACATCAATGGTATATTGAGACTATTTCAGGATTTTATTCTGGCAACGGTCATTGACACCGCCGAAAGATCGTCCCAAATAAACGCTGGAGTTGTGCATGATAGTTTGACAGTGGTTCATTGTGGGTAATAATTACCGATGTTCTGATTGTACAAACTTCATAAAAATTGTATTATGTTAGGAAAGAAATACACACGTCCACATAAATTTTATTGGTGTCCATAGACAATATCATTAATTTGCACTACGTATAACTGGAGCGTAATTTTTAAAAGCGTCGAATGTTCGGAAATTTATGCGCTAATGAAAAATATCAAATACCAGATAATAGTTGTTTATTTTATCTAAATTATGTCAAAATTTCATAGAATTCCAAGCTACAGCAGGCAGTCGTTTTTATGAGTGGTATTTCAACAGGCGTAACGGCACTTAGCAGACGTAATGCGTACATTTTTTGCCGCGGATTTTGTAACATTTCTAATTCATGACAGCAACGTTTTGATAACAGCTAAACTCAGGATAGTTGTCTAGATATAGAAATCTTGTTCATTTTCTTTCCTAGAATGTTCTCGATCTATATTCTGCGATATTCCCAACATTTGTGAATTTATTGTATTGCATTGACAAAAATGTTCATCCGGCCCGTTTCAACACAATTTGAGTCATACCCGGCCCGCGGTCAAAAAAGTTTGGTGACCCCTGGATTAGAGGTATTTGAGAACGCGACTTCTTCGCAATGCCAAAGTACGTAGCGACAGCGTCACACCCAGTTAAACTACTATTTGAGGTATTTTTGGTGATGATTTTTGTGTTTATAATTCTTGTGTCAACTTATCTATTAATATCCAGCACTTGTCGTTCTTGAATTGGATATACCATTAAATCTCGACATTGGGGTCGCTTTTTTGTTGCACAAATGGAGAAGCACCAGAAATATATTAATATATTCTCCTGCAATAACCATAGTAGCCCCATTTAACTGGCGGTTGGTCGGTAACATTATCATTCGTTTTTTCGTGCGACGTTTACTCACGTATCCGATCCATGTTGATATTGATGCTTTGCATCCTTGGACCCGACCTTGGATGATAACTAGACCAGAGGCCGCGGTTCGCCATATTACCGACTTTTTACTTTCGTGAATTTATTAATATACTATACGAACTCCATGTTGACAAATTTAACTTGTATGGATTATAGAAGCACGCTTGGAGGCGACAATGGAACTACAATTCTTGATTTTTTGGTTCACACTAGGTTTTAGACAGGGTAAATCCCAGATTTAGACGGCGGGCATCCCAGATCTCCTAGCCATCAAAACCAAACCAAAATGACACAAACGCCAAACCAACACACACAGCAAAATGATGTCGAATTCAAAATATTCTATTTCCACTCTTTCTGGTGTTTAGTTGCAACCCTGACGTTACTCTAAAATATTTCATTAAGTCTTAGCTGCAACACGCGTCAAATGAACGATTCAACAATAAACTAAATTACGTCCAAAATTAATACAATTCACAATGGGAGCGCGTCGCAAAAATTGACTCATCTTTTGCTGGATATAATCATGTCCTTGATGAATTCACGAACCGCATTTGCAGGATGGATCAAATGAGTAAAAAAATGCATTTTACGAAAGTGCGCCGTGAGGACCCGACAAAAATAAGAATTTTTTCTTGAATTCACACCAACTGCAGTTTGATGGCACGTATGGGCTTGAAAGGTAACCGCGACCTAACGTCATTATCAATAGGTTCTCGGGAGCTTCCAAATAAACATAATAGCTGCATATACCAGAGCGTCCTTGGCCAGATGCTTTTTTGGGGTGGGAAACATCTCAAAAACTAATTTAACTTTAAATTGTTGATTCTCAAGTCTTTGACATCCTTTAAGTATACTTGAAAAAACAATTTGCAGATCTCGTTGTGACGTCAATATATATTGTTCATTTGTTGGATCCAGAAACGCCAAGACGGTGCCAATATGGGAATGGCGTCCTATTATCGGTACAAGGAGAATGGATTGTCTTGTGCAGACCGGACTAAGCCAATGAAATGCGCAGCGCTTTTTATCTAAACTTCGTACCTAAAGCTCGCGTCAAGTAACTCCTGATTTGGAGAGACGTATTGTGCCTTTACTTTAGTAAAACACACTTCTATTTCCAAGCGTTGGCCATGTGACAGCTGTGACAAACCGCAGAGTTGACTTAGAACCAAGCGATTCATTTTTGTAGCTGGTTCCGGAGTCCCAACTTAGGCGGACTTGGTTGTTCTTTGACGATAGCACCAGGCCTGCTCCCGCTACAAGTAATAAAATTAGTCAAATATTACAATTCATCATACAATGAGTGTAAAAAGGGTCACTGAGGTAAACTGAGGAATTGTTTTTTTTTCCAGATAATATCTACCACAACAGAATATAATTTGAAGCGACATTACAAAACCAAACACGAGAAAAGATACCAAAAATACCACGACTAAACCACAGTGTCAGGTGTGTTTTCAAATAATATCTGTCACGAAAGAATATAATTTGAAGCGACATTACAAAATCATACACAAGCAAAGATATCCACGGTATTTCCCGGGAAGCAATTTCAAAACAACTAAAGGCTTTATATATCTTCCTTAAAACTGATTTGAACGATAAACTCTCATTTCTAAATATATATATGTAAAGCGAGTAAACTCGCCATGTTTTGATCATTTTTGGGTTCTTTCGAAACATCCTCAAAAGTTTTTGCGTCTCGCCAACCTCGCAACCTTGGACCACCCTGAATTCTAATATGTCGATGTCCTTCGTCATCACAGAAGATATTCAGCGGTTACCAGAACCAGGCTTGCATGAAGAAAAATTCACTCTTCAAAACAAGGTAATCACTATCGAATTACCATTCAACATCAGTCTAAATACGAAATTAAATGATCTAATTGTCAATGTACAAAAGTACGTCGATCTCTATCTTGCAAATTTCCCCGTAACCGTTCACGTTCACGACGAATCTTGTACTTGGCATTCATTTCAATCTACTCTGATCTTACTGTTATGATCATCAATGCTTTTGGAGTACCTGATGACACCCCACAAACGTGTGCATTTTACTATTAATAAAATAAATATGTTCAATTGTGGAGTTTGGTACTTTTGAGTTTATACATTATCCATACGATATTTTCTGCAAAGACAAACACTTTTTCAATACAATGCAAATGAATTTGCATTGAAAATGCATCCAAATTTTATTTAAATCAAATCTCTAATTTTCGGAACAACCAGCATTTTAAACATTTGCCGACAAACTATTTTATATGTGTATGGGCTTTTTCCACAGGCTCAAATTCATTATATCAGTAATCTCGCCACAGTATCTTCACGCTCTTATACCACCCCTTTAGCAATTTTTTGAATTAACTTAAACGTACGTATTCTTAACGTGAATACTCGTCACAATAAGCAGTCCAAGTTTATGAGCCTTTCACGAATAGTTAATCAATTATTAGAGGGAATTTTACTTCTCCGTCGACGATTTTAGAACTAGGTCATGTAGGCGAGCAAACAAGTATCACCGAAAAGGGACTAGCATATTCACAATTAATCCTAAAACTGCTAAATTTATAACATCTCCCCCCAACACACACATAGATAATCCTTCGACATAAATGTGAAAATATACCTTTTGATTTTGATGCCGTGGAAAATATGTTGATGACAATGTTACATCAAAATAAAATGACACCTGACGTAATATACGCATTATAAAACGCTTACATGCAATGCTTTATAACTATCGTATCGGACATTAATGTAGAAAAAAACCTTGCATTTATTTACAGTTAAAATTTTGAGCGTAACTCCTTTGCACCTTATCGAGGACATGTTAACTCGAATTCTTGTAAAACGGTGTTTGTTACGTCACAATATAATTTCATGCCAATAAATAAATTAATTTCTCATATTTGTCAAATATTACCAAATTATAGCTGTCGAAGCAATGAATCCCAGTGAAACAAGTTTATATTTCGTGGTTTTGTTCATCTTGAGACTTTGTCAGACTTATTCCGGTGAGTTGTTTAGTAATCTTTTCATATATTGGCTTTACGAATGTATTGGAACAACACGTAAGTTTATTCATTTAATTGATATTCATTTTTATCGCGCAATATTCAATATGCGTCCTAAACCGAGAAAAAAATCATAAATCAAAGCATCAAAAATTACAAAAATGGGCCGACTCGTAGCACTAAGAGTAAACGGAGTACCGATAGGGGAAACACGAACTCATGATAGGCTACTGACGTACTTAAGCTATAACATTTCAACTATATCAATTGAAGTGAATACTGCAGTCAAACAACAATGCCTCCCTTTTGGCAATTGTACTGATAATGAGCGCTAAGAAGCACGAAATATATATGACTGCGATTGTGCCCTACAGAATGTTATTTTACGACCTTGCGTGAGATGTTATTTCGTTACTCCAGAACTATGCGGTCACTAATTAAACCATTATAATAGAACAGAGATAGTTTTTTAGTCATATTGCACTGTATAGAAAAATATGACACTGAACATCATGAGGTATGCTGGTACATCTTACATTGACACCAGCTGCAGGTTATTGGGAGCTTATGTACCCAGACCCAGCCACAAATGCAAAAATATGATATTTCAGAAAAACACCACCGCCACATTTTAAAATAAAAAATTAGTAATATTCTAGTTATGGTTAGAAATGATTTGAAACTTTGAATTTCCATTGTAATCTGCATTCTTAACACTAACCTGATAATCAGTAAAGTCATTATTTCGATCGTTGGCGATGTTTTTTGCGGGGGCTTTGAACAAGAGATATGTTGATGGTTCCATTAGATATAACCGTTTATCTTCACTGGGACCGTTCGCTTCTCTATTCAAATGAAACGGCGAGCGCAATGACGTCAAAAAATCCCATTTGAATATTTTTGGCGCCATTGAACCCTTTGCATTTAGTATCAACTTCGTTGCCACTTGTCTAATTCTAATTAAATTATACGCTCATTGAACGAGTAATTGTGAATTTTATACTTGTTAGATAATAATATAATTTAGTCTACATGTGTCTCCCAATAAATTCTGTTACGTAAAGATTATAATCGTCAAAACATTCTAAAAAAAAAACGTGTTTTAAAACAAGGGCTTGTTTTAAATCAAATTTTTCTGTATTTTTTTATTGAAATACCTCTTGCATCGCCGCGAAACTACGCCAAAACGTTGCATTCTGGCAGCCCCACACGCAGCCGGAATTATAATTTCAAAAATGTAAGTAAAATTTTTTATTTTGACGTTTACACCTATTGCGTACATTTATCGCCACTTTATATCTTCACCAAAGTTATAAGATTTTACCCGGAATGTTTAGCCGAGATATCAGAGAGACGTTTTGAGTAAGAAGAATCATGAAAATTAGCTCACGAGCCTACTACAAAAGCAATTCGATCAAGTGCAGCCCTTCGACAAAACGAGTGGGTTGCGATAATGAAGAATATGCTTATATCGGCGGTAATCTATGGATATGAACGATGGGACACCCCAGCCTAGCCTATGTTAATTGTAAGAGTCCTCTGATGCAAAAACGCCACAACTAATCTGTTATGACGCACGCCATAATATGAATTTCGAGGTCATGTATTGACATTTTTGTCATAAAATGAAGTCATTGTTCCGGTAATACTGTTCGGATAATTCATGCTTAGCTTACTTTGTTTTTTAAGATTGAAGTGAGTTTTTCAAAGCTATACAAACTCTTTAATTCGATCGCATTCCAATTTTCGCAAGGACCCACTGAACTACAGCTTGAGAAGGTGTGCATGAGCCTCTATCGATATTTGTGGCGTTTGAAATTAAGATTTATTGCAAATAAGAAGCGCTTGGCAAGTTTTTACATTCATTTTTCTTCAACCTATTTAATACAAAAAAATCAAATAGTACAGACATTTTGAACAAAACAAGCAAAAAAAACTTGATTTAAAACATTTGTTTTAAAACAATTCTTTTTGAACATATCCCTTGTCAAAACGGCTGTTTTGTTACTATAATTCAGTGAAACGTCTCGGGCCGGATTATATTACTCCGCCGCGGACCGTAGTTTGCCGACCTCTGGACTATCCTTCTCAAATGATTTCTTTCTTTTTCATAGTGATGAAATAATTATTGCAATGAGATGATATTGATCAGTTTCAAAATCTGATGCGTCGACTGCAAACTTCGTATCAGTTTATCACTGTTTATTTTTTGAACGGACTTATTTGAATTTTGTAACGATTTACTGCAACTTGATAGAAACATAGCGCAGAGCAGTGTTATTGGGATTAAGCTGTTTCCAAAATCGGACAAATATTTTAGACTTCGACATTGTTTCTTTTGGTTTTGAATATATCCCATTCATATTCATATACGAGCAACTACCAAACCACCATCCGCCTCTTTGATCTCTAACGCATTTGCTGTCACGCCGAATGTCGTTATTGTGATCATGCGTAGAAAATCGAAAACCAACAACAGATGCCAAAGGCCTGCGCAATTCCGCTGTACCTTGTACTCTTCCGATCCGTGTTACCTTAAAGTCGTCAATTACCGAGTTCATGTAAAAGTATACAGTCTCTGAAAACGCGCTAACTCCATCCCAATCTGTGAAGTCTATTCTTAAACCTAAATTTGTCTCATCTCCTTTTCTGATTCTTTTTTGAATCAGCAACTGTTCCATATTCTGCAAGCCAATCCAATATTCCATGTTGGGGAATCCAAAACCGTTCACATAATCGTCCCATCCTCTATCAAAATTCACTTCTCCATTAAGCCTTTTCTGAATAACCATCCAACCCCGTTTCTGTGAAAACGCACCCACAGTGCGCATATCGCAGAAAACCGACAAGAAGCGATATCCGTGAGTCAGCCATATCCTATACACACCGTCTTCGGTATATCCATCAGAATATATCTGGTCACAACCTAAAAGTGAAAAAAAATTGACTTAGTTTTGTTATCTGTATTGAAGGGACCATTTGCGCATCGGCTTTTGTTAACGTCCGGAACGAGAGTTACGTTTGGAACGATAACTGACGTGGGACCGAATTACTCGAGAATCTGATACCAACGATATAGAATTCGCATTTAGACAGTCGGACCTGAAAAGAGAAAAATATTAAGAGGAATATTTCCACAAATATATTATTTCATACCCCGTCCAGTTGACTTCTGCTCACGCATATGCAGAACAACACGGAAACAACGTTTGATAATGTTTGTTAACGAAGGCACAATTCCAGCTGTTTTAGTTATACCAATGGGAATAAAAGTGATAACATCAACACAATAACTAATGACAGTGCATGTCAAGTGAAATATACAACAAAGATAAAATATTTCTCACCTGTGTACAATTTCATAACCATTGGTGAATATTTTATAGTTGCATTTTTCTTGCATTTTGTAGACTCAGTTGTCAACTTTTCCAGATTAGCCACGCTGATAACGAGTTGACGTAATTGTTTTTGTATCACATGTATCTTTACTGTTTTAGTCCCGTTTGGATTCGCGTTTGTGAAAATGTTCGTTGTAATGAAGAGTATGAAAAACAATCTCATTATAGTATAAACTAAAAATAATACAATACCAGTATAAACTAAAAATAATACAATACCAGAATACAATATGATACTAGTTTACTACATATAATCATCAGCGGTGTTACAAGTTCGGAATAAATTTCTAAAGAAAATTTCGAAATGTGGGCAATTGAAAGCTGAACTTTGATGATGATTTGGTCAGAAAATCAAAAAAATAGTTCGAAACGTCCTTTCGCCAAATTGATACTGTTTTTTCTGTGTTTTAGCAAACATAAGGAAATTTGCATTTCCCCACAAAAGACTACGGCTACAAAAATACGAAAAAACATTAGTGTCACCCGCCCACTTTTTAAAAGGAAATTACGCGTCATCATTATATAGTCTGCCACCAGAGACTTTGAAAACAGCGCACTTCTGGATTTGATATATGACTTTATTCCGTACGTACATAGATAAAAAAAATAATATCTCTGCTTTTATATCTCTCAATTTGTTTGAACCCCACTACTAAAAGAGTTCCGATAGTCAGACAAACCAATAACACAACCACGAAGATACTGCACTGTCAAGAAATTTTGGGGTAGGTCCAAACGATTTAAGAGTTAAGACTATCCCAATCAAATGATAAAACATGTTAATGTCGATGGTGTTTCAAATTTATAATATGATAATAAAATGATTTCAGCATCAACCTTTAGTTACGAGTTATCACGTGGAGAAGGAACTCTGCAACCACCAACATTTCAAAGTTTGTATGAGCGAGTTGAAAATATCACATGGAAATTTGTAAACACATTACAGCCTATCATATTAATTGATTTCACAGACTTCGATAAGGCGCCGTAAGTATAATTATCAAATTTATATTCCTCTCAGAAAATAAGCAAACATAATTTCTCTTCTCTATTATAGGATAACAAGTTTGTATCATCATTTCAGGTGCAAAGTGGCGCGATTACATATTCTAGAAATCCAGAAAACAAGCATATTCTGCGGAGAAAAAGTCCCACCAATGGTATATTCAATCGAAAACATTACGGTTGTTTATGAAGTTGGTGAAGGTGCAAGTTTTGGAAAAGGTTTTGTTTTACACTACGTTTTCCCAAGTACGTAGATGCTTCCATTGATCACATTTAGTTTAAAATTTGTCTGCATATTTGTCGCGATGTAAGTGAATATGTATTCAGGATAGCATGCATTATAATAATATTAGATACTGATGAATTTTCCTTAATAATTGTTATTGCCAATATAAACTGCAGCGACGTTATTTTTTTACTTTCCAATTACATTTAAATTTCAGAAATTGCTTTGAGCAAAGACACGTTTGCAGTTTCGAAAAGCGAAGTGGTCGACATTGCTATTGCCGGCATTTTCCCACAAATAAACTGCCAATGTACATTCGAGTCGGATGGCGAAATTCACGATCTCAGACTGGGTTCCCAAAATACGGAAGTAGTTCAAAACTTTTCAATTTCAGGAGTGCGAAAATATCACGTATATTGTTTCTTGGAAACAATCAAACAAGATTATGTTGGAACGTTGGAAAAACTAGGAAACTTCACAATACATGACGATATAAATTCATCATCAGTTCTTATCAATATACGTTGGAATACCAGCATATCTGTGACCTACTTGGTCGAAGCAACTGTTTCTGTTCAACATGCATTTATTTATGCAATTACTTATAGTTTGGTATTCGGGACCGACACAAAGCATTTGCTAACAAAGCATCCAAATTATACTGATGAAAAAATGTATCAGAGATCTGATATGAATATGACATTTAAAATTACTGAAGAGGTCCAGCAACTTCTAGGGCCAGGTTTACATGAAGCAAAGCTCGTCATTCAGAACGATATCTCCATTGCCGAAATACCCACAGAGATGATTTTGAATCTGGAACTGACTGGACTTGTAATCGAAGTAGATGAATACGTTGATATCTACCCTGCAACATTCCCCATAACTATTTACATCCGCAAAGGTGCGCCTGCGTTTTTGGAAGTACTTCTAAAAAGCGAAGAAACCCGTAAAGTTTTATCAAAAAATGCAATGATCTGTGAAACTATTCATGAATGCAACAAAGGTGTAACCGTGGATCTTAACGTGAAATCACCGAGTAAATTCAAAATTTACGTCACTGCAAACAATAGTTTAGGGCCATTGACAGCTATGTCCGAGACTATTGAAAGTTTTCATCGGGTACACGAAGTATTTGCTACTTTTGAATCGCCTGCTTATGTTGGAAAAAAGGTGAAGATATTTATCTTTTACAAGATTTACGTGGACATTGCAGTTTTTAATTTACTTTTAACAAGGAATGACGATGTTTTATTGGAAGAAGAAATATCAAATCACAAACAGTTTCAAACATTAGATACCACCGCAGAGAACATGAAACTCCCGATCATCCCAAAAGACTTCAAAATTTTTGTAACAGAACAATTATTTGAAACGGAAGCAAATATTGAACTCATTGCCAGAATATCAACAACAAATAAAAAAGTCCAACTTGAAGACAAGTTCCTATTGAATGTGTTGAAAGACCAATCACAAGTGTGCTTGTCGGCAGTAAAGATTCGAGATGGCAACAAAGAAAATTACAATAATAGGACAATTCGTGTATTGAAGTCATTGGTTTTAACCGCAAGTGTCAAACTCCATTGCCAGCTTAACAAGGAGGATGAAGTAGAATACACGTGGACCATTCATAAGGTATGAGACATACTTTAAGTGAGTTTAAAATACCTCGGAGAGAATGCTCAAGGAGGGAAAAATTACGACTTTTGATCAGTTTTGTGCGAAATTTGCCACACTCTATTAATTTCATTCTTAGTATTTTCTTTCATATTTATAAAAATGATTTAGATAAGTTATGATGATAAACATTCATGGTGAGAGTCTTTTTTGTATCTTGTTTATATGTTGAGTTTTGATTTTCAATACAGTAGGAAGGATTAAAGTTTTGTTTAATTAGGTCAAAACAATGAATGAACTACCACAGGACGCCAACAAAGTCTCCATCGAAGAGATTGATTTTACTCATAATGAACTAGCAATAAAACAAGATCAACTTTTACCTGGAATTTATATTATAAAACTGACTGCTGTGCTTCGTAAGAAAGATGGAAAAACTTCTGCCAATAATTATGACTACTCAGCTATTGAAATACCGATGCTAACATTAAACGCAAAAATATGCGGAGCTTTCAAATTAGAAATAGGTAAGTTGTTATACAAAGTATATTTTTTCTAAAAATACTTGTTGTTTAAAATTGATATACTCATTCTAAACAAAGTATCAATTTAGTTTAATTTTTTACCTCCAGGAAACTAGAATAAATCAAAGATAACATTTTTCCTTATAAATATATTTAGTTTCACTTAGGATATTTCGCAATTATGATTTGAATCTATCTATATCTAAATCTTGCCTGCTCAATTTACCTGTATGTTCACGACCTTTAAAAATAAAACTATTTTTTATTACTAGGCCAGGATATCAAAGAATTTGAATACGATGCCTCCTGCACACTAATTCCCAATAATATCAAGATTGAATACAAATGGTGTTGTACGATATCAGATGTTGACATTCCAGTCGATAAGAACGTGGGAACGTACACGAATAAAGGTTCTTGCTTCAAAGGGAGGCCAGCATGTTTTTCAACCTCAAAATCTGGTCAACTTGAAATTTCCAATACTGTGATAAAAGACAAACTTTTTCTTCGACTCTTCGTCATTGCAAACAATTATTATGATGGAGTTGCAGATCAAGAAATTATAATATTGCCTCAACCTGTGCCAATTGTAAACATTGTGTAAGTCTTATTTTATTTATTTTTTATTGCTACCGCAAATGCTGAAAGACGGTGTGTTGTCGGTGATGGATTATACCTCTAAAGCAGGGGTGCACAACCTTTTTGCTATTGGCGGCCACATTGCATTTATTTTTATACAATACGGTCGCTAAGAGGTTAATAGTGCGCCGAAGGCGCGCGAATTTTTTGGCTTTATGACGTCATAACCGCGTATTTGACCCGTGCGAGGTGCAGTCTGCCCAATTATGAAGTATGTAGGACTACTTGGAAGTATAATATTCGCATTTTAAAAGGATTTTTTTTTCGGTGGACCTATTCTAGAGCAGATATATTCAGCAAGTTGCATAATGGTTGCACAATTTAAAAAAAAATCGAAAGTCGGGGAGGGGCGGTCGCCCCCATTTTCTTGTCCCCAAAAGTATAATAAAATGTCAAATATTTTTATGAATTTATTCTATAAAAGTTTGCAAAGAATTGTAGCAATTTAATGACTCCTTTGGTCTTGCATGTGGGCAGATAAACTTGCAAAGTGAGGTAACTGGCAGCAAATACACCATCTAGATAGTGACGTATCGTGTCGTCTGACTTTTTTCCAGTGCTTCTGTTTTGCTTCAATATACGCCAGCATAGCCGCCAAATCCTATATTTTGAACTTTTTTTTCATAGGATTTTGTATGTGGACGGCCGCATTTTTTTTCGCGACGGCCGCATGCGGCCGTACGGCCGCAGGTTGTGCACCGTTGCTCTAAACATTATTTTATTAGAGATATAAATGTTTATTGGAAATTGCTATAACTTCGCACTGAATATATCGCACAAAAATCGCACCACAACACGGTACGCAATTTTTAAATTATGATGACGTCATCACACAACAATTCAAATTGAAAAAACGAATCCCATAGTGACCATGATAGCTTTCATAGCGACAACATCAATCTTTAACCACGGAATATTTCCAAAGCAATTGGTCTAGTAGTTCAAGAAAAACGCGCTACAACAACAAGAAAAAGAATACTAATAACAACAACAATGTAATAACAATACCAAAACGATTTATAGTTCCACTCTGTGTTCAATGAACCTTTCCCTATGTTGATTGCGTGAAATTTCTATTTAGATGCTGGTCAAATTGCGCAACAAATTTAAATCCGCAGGATTCTTTAATATTGCAAATTGAGTGCGAAAAATGCATCAAATTTCAATGGGAAATTATTGATTGGGAAGATTATGTCGTACAAGAATGTAACTCAAGTGATTTCTGTCAAATTAATCAAGATATTCTTACAAACATTGGAGAAGTTGTTGAAGTAAAAGTTGAAGGTGGACTAATGTGTTTTCTGTATTTACTTTATTTGTACCTCGTTCACGAGGCAAAGACGTCGTGTATATGAATTATTACATTATCACGAATGTCTAAAGGAAAACTTTCAAGTGGTTTAACGAATAAAGAAAATACGAGTAACGGAATAATAATATGAGCACGATGTATATTCACTCTTATTTTTACAGGCATTGATGAATTTGGACGGAGTGCCACATCCCTGTTTTATGGTTCTGTAAAGAAGTTCCCATCAAATATGACTTGCGAACATGATCCTAATTCTGGATTTGCTTTCGTAACGCAGTTTCGTGTGTCATGTTCGGCCGAGGATAATAACGATTTTATTTATCAATTCTTCCTCCTAAATGAAGGTAATTATACATTTTCGTTGATGTTACAATTCATCCTGAGAAGATGACAAATTATAATGCATAGCTATATCGATCACTCGTGATGTTGTTTTTAAAGAGATTCACATGAGAATGATTCCTCTTAGAGTATCCACACGTTTGTTTAGATGACACAAATCCTTTGCTACAACATGGTTATGAGAACACTTTAGAGAATCTCATTCTTCCTCCGGGACTCACGAACATTGGGATTCAAGTATGTTCATCAACGAATGCTTGCATCAAAGTAAATATATTCATTGAGGTAAAACCGGCACCTGATGAAATTGCTGAAAAGATCATCAGGGATATTCCAACACAAATATCTAACGCGATCAACTCTGGAAATTTGCAACAAGCCACAAAGTCTGCTGCATTATTATTGAAACATGTGGGGCTGGATAGTGAAACGGTTTGTATATCTTCGGCATAAAAATTTTACTTTTGTAATCATATAAAAAATAAAATAAGAATGTAATATTGCAAAACAATTTTAGTATTGAAAAATCTTTTTTTTAGAAACTGAAGTTGACGAACAAGTTGGCCAGCACACGATTCTCATCTACGAAATCAGCTAAACAGATATCAGATATTTTGCGAGAATCCACTAAAACGACGGGAATGTTACCAACTGATGTTGTTGTAAGTTTTTAGACAAGTTTTTGTTGTTTCTGACCTTCTGTTTGATATTGGTCTCACACATGATTTTATCTTTTTTAAGGAAAACTTAGTAGAAAAACTGACGGAAATACAAGAATGGATTCTTTATGACGAAGAATCCTCGTCTGATACCTTGAAATCGGTTGCGTTATCTTCTATGCATCTGTCGTCAAATATAATGGAATCAATGCCCGATTTGAACGAGGTTTGGGAAATTTTATCATAAAATATTGAATATTAATGCAAATTTGAAAATACAGAAGTACTTGTTTGTTATTTAAAAGTGCAGATATTACGACTACTTTCAGTGTTGTTATTGATTTTTAGACCACAAAAACCCGTCGATCTGATTCGTCATTGCTTGAACGTACAGCATCAGTAATAGATCATCTGGGCTCGGAGATTTTAAAAACTGCCACACCAGGGGATAACCCTATCAATGTCACCACATCTGCATTCAGGGCCAATTTAAGGAAGATGGAGAGAAATTCCAGTATGCTTAACTTTTTTATTTTAATTAATTTTAATTGTAATCTTGGTGGTTCACCAAATAACTAATCTGTCACAATTTTGAAACGCCATATCTCTTGTAGTTTTTTTTTTTTTGATTGCATGTGCTAACGTGGTAAATTAATTTAGTGTCATATTTGTAATGCAGGCGTATCAATCGGCGAAAAAGAAATCAAAGCAAGAATTGATTGTGACTGGTCAAGCATAAGACAAACAGAAACTATCAATCTGCAGGTGAATAACTCTCCATAGCACCACTACTACATAATTCGTACAGTAAAATGAAACAAAAGTGATTTGTTAGTTTTGGGAATCCATTACAAATAGATCTATTATTTAGGTGATCCGTTACCTTTCAAAGAAAACGAGATTCAACACGCAAACTGCTGATGTTGATGAGGTAGCATCAATTTCACTTTCAACAACTCATAAGACTCACAACTTACCGAAACCAATAACAAATTCATTGATTCCATCCGAACCAATTCAATTTTATCTACACACTGACACGGAGATTCCGGATTCTTCTACTGAACTAGAATTTAAAATCGAAGGCTTTAAGGATGATGTTCAAAACTTTACATTAAATATTGAAACATATGAAAACATGCTCATCAATATATGGCTGCTTTCGAAAGATTTTCCACAAAATGCAACTGTAAATTTAACGGTTCAAACTGAAAGTGGAAACGTCGAATCTTTTCTTATTTTGGATAAATCAGGTAAGATAAAAAACACAATAGTTTACAGAGAATTATGATCAGTGGTCGATATGCATGATTTTTAGATTCATAAAATTTCGAAGGTTTTGAAAGGGATAGTCAGCTTTCATGAAATTAGTGTACAGAATGCAATTTGTAATATATATAGGATTTTAGAGAGATATATATAAACATATATGTTTTGTATGTTTGTTTTTCAAATTTTGCAGATTTTTCAAGCGATATTTATTCATGGAAATTCCAACTTGACGGCAGAGGAAAAATAAACTATGAATTTACTATTGTAGCATCAGTGACAGAAGATGTCACTCAATCTCGCATAAATTTAATTTCGAATCGCGATAGCGCTGCTACTGCTGGAACCATTGCAGCTACCTCAAACTCCAATCTTAATTTGACAAATACAATTTCTGAATCAACTGCTGAAGCTGAAACAATATCTGCTACTAACATTCAAGACACTGCTTTAACCCATGAGATTCGGTTTAATTTAACGATGAATATATATGCCATGAAATGTATGCGTTGGGATGATATGATAAATGATTGGAGCACGACATTTTGCAAGGTTGGTGGAGATAAATTTCTTCACTATAAAATCGAATCGTAATCAACTCGAACGTCAGTTTTCAGCAAAGTGTGTGCACAGTTTTATATACAAATTGCTTAGATCTGAATCTATCTAAATCCGAATCTAGATCCGAATCTGATAGCGTGCGATATTGATGCGACATTCCAAAAATTCTTTATTTCAAGAATGTTTCCCACCAATACATTCCATTTTATTTCGATAATGACTAAAATGATTTAAATTTCATAACTTTTCAATCAAGGCAAAATCGGGGAATGAATCAGATAACTTAGATTGGTGCGAATGTGATCTGAGTCAAACACAGTCCGGAAGGATGAGTGGAAAACCTACATCGGTCAACATATTTTCATCAAAGCTCCTCGTCTTCTCACCTCATTTGCCAAATAAAATTGAACTCAATGTTGTCGAATACACAAACAACACAAGAGAAGTGGATGTAAGAATTTGGATTCTTTTATACTATTTCAAGCTTAGTTAGATCAAAGCTGAAATGACAGATTTATTTTCCAACTCGTAGTATTAAAATGGAAGCTGGTCGTGTGCGTAGATGTGTTAGTTGAATGCGCATATAAATCACGTTTTTATAGTCAGTCAAACGGATTTTACTACTTCATTCAACAGTCTTCAAAGCATTAAAATTAAACATCCTATCTCGAATTTATTACTTTTCAGGTGGAAGAAACGATTGAAAACATCAAAGACGAACTAGAACAAAATCCAGTTGTCCTCATTGTCATATCTGTTGTTATGTTTTTCTTCTGTGGAATGATACTTTGGGCCAGATATAAAGACAAAATTACAGAAAACATGGTAGATTGGTTGTTCATTTCGTATCTATAAAACGTTTAGCAAAAAGAAAAAGTTGAATCTGATGTACAAATACAAATTTGCTAAAGTTTGGAAGAGTTAGAAAATTTGAACCTAGAATCTCTGAATTCAAAATAAATGTAACTCCCTTCCGATAATGGAATGTTACAAATTTCAATTCTAGACCGAATACGTGGAAGTGTGCGATAATGTACCTTACGTTTCATATCGATACCTCCTAACTGTATTTACTGGAAACCATAAACATGCGGCACCAACAGCAACTATTGCAGTAAAGATAAATGGCACAAATCAGCAAAGCATTTTACATTTGCTGCAGGTATATATAAATAGCACAAGCATATTTCTATCATAATTGTAGATCATAAAAGTGAACTCACAATAGGAAATGGTGGCCTAAATTTATCATGTTCAACAGATAGGCGTAGTAGGTGACTCTTTGCTTCCATTTAAATATGCTTGTAGTCAAATAAACATCATTCCCAAAATAACTGTAATGAGATTATCTACAATTATGAAACAAGAAATTGATATATGGGATGTTACGATTTCCTCCATTTGATGTCCTTACTACTTACTGTGGTGCAAATATTCAATTTCGTTGCCAAACTTGTTGATGGCTGCCGTTTTATTTGCTACCACATTAATAGCAATAATAACAGAGATGTTCGTAATCCATTTTATATGATGGTAAATTAATAAAATAGGCACTAACTTCTAATTCAATATGTGCTTTTGCAGAAACACAATGACGAAGTTCATTCTCTATCACGCGGAAGCGTTGTCACGTTTTTAATGACATCGCTCCGATGTGTCGGTGATATCACATCTGTGGATGTCTGGCAAGATGGAGAAGGAAACAATCCTAAATGGTACGGATTCAATTTCACTCGGTATAAATAATTTTTATAAAACTCAAGTCGTATTAGATCACATAAGCCATTAACTATCCACGTTTTAGGTATATTGAAAGACTCGTTGTTCGAGATTATGAAACAAATGAATGTTGGTTTTTCTTGGCAAACGATTGGTTGAACGACGAAGAACCGTTTGCTGAACCTATGGAACTTGTATTATACCCAGCAACAATGAAAGAATTGCATTCGTTTCGAAACATATTCATTATAAAAGTCTCATCTTTTTTGAAAGACAGGTGTGTCTCACTGATTTGCCACATTATGACACTGGTGTTGATTGACTAATAATTCTAGTATCCTAGGAGAAGCCCACAAGAGCCCTAGGAAGACCCACAAGAAGTAGACGGATAGACAACATAAATTTCAAATATTTAAAATAAATTAAATTTGAACCAAGACGAAATGGATATTAGCCAAACGCGAATACTCACAGTCAATGCAAAGAATCTGACAATATGATGACATAAAAATTAACTTTTGTGAAACGTAATTATATATATTCCAACTTGGGTTTTACAGTCACATTTGGTACTCTGTCTTTGCACTACGACCATGGTATTGTTACAATATGAATAGAATTGAACGAGTTGGTTGCTGCTTTCTTCTGACAATGATGACCATTGTGACATCACTAATGTTTCATGGACGGATTGGAGATGATTATAATATATTGTATTTATTATCAGCCTCTAATATTATTGCAGGTAACTACTGCCGGTATATTACGCCATAATGCTACTAATCTAGCATTTATAATTTGTAGGGTATAAAGGCAATTATACATAACTAAATAATACTAAAACTTAACAAAAATTAATTCAGTAATTCATTAATTCTTTCAGTCTGAAAAATGTTTCATTGTATTATGCAATCACAATCCAAGCCGTATTATCACGTCATAATGTTAAATTAGTCTACAAAATCATTTTTTTTATATTTTGATATCGCTGAATATCAATCGAAAGCATTGGGTTTCAGGTCTTGAGAGTGGTTTATTGTGCTTTCCAATCACGTATATTGTCTCGGTAATGTTTCAATCGGCAAGATCTCGAAACTCCATAAACAAATCTGACAAAGGGAATATGTCACTCGAGCAGATATCACAAAATTACTTATCATCAAAAATGGAATTGTTCAACGAAAAAAAAAGAAGAAAATCATCAAATTTGCGTTACACGCAAAAAAACTATCGCTCGCGTAGGTCATCTAAAACCCTCAATCGTAAATTCTCACATAGCTCAAACTCTAGCCAGAACAGCAGAGCTGATGCTAAGAAAAAGTTGTCGTCAGAGAAAGTTGATAGCCTCAAAAAGTCATCAGAGAGTTTGAGATCAGAAAAAGATGTAATATTTCCCGACACAACACATCGACAACGTTCAAAATATAAACAAAGTAGTAATTATAGAACGAGAAAACTAAAAGCGCAAAAGTTCAGGGAGAGAAGAAAATCAAGAAATTCACCGCCCACGAAGCTTCCAATACCTTCTTCTCGTTTCGGCAATTCCAGGTACAGAGATTAATTGTGAAATTCGAATGGAAAATATTATGCTAATAACGACTTCTTTTCAATTTGGTATTTAGACAGTTATTCATTACAAGTGGGTTTAGGTAATTGCCCATTTTGTTTGGAGACTTTTAACATTTCGTCGCCTATTTCCATTTAGTTTTACGAAGAAAGAAATTGCAATTATGGATGTTGACCCAGGTTCATCTGATTTCAAACCACTTCCATGGTTCTTCCGGTATATAGGATGGATGATAATTGAAATTGTAAGCACCGGATGTTGCGTACTCAGCATTATATACGGAATTTCATACGGATATAATGACACAATGAAATGGTAGGTGCATATTTACAATTTAACGAGGTACCCTCTATAGATATGAAAAATAAGTAAACAAATAAGAATAAGTTAATAATAAAAAATATATTTCAAATTTTTTACATTGAAACATCTATGTTATGATCATATACGATATACTTGCGTAATATTTCTTAAAATTCAAAGTAGTGTAAAAGAACAACTTATACTAACTGTATTTTATTCAGGCTAATCTCGCTTTTGTTTGCAATATTGGAAAGTATTTTCATTCTTGAACCGATCAAGTGTGTTATTCTTGCTTATATTGCTGTAATAAGTAACTCACGCTTGGATGTATCAGAATGGATTCCACCGCTTAAAGGAGAAGGTAATACTCATCTTTAACGGTGTTATGAAGTAAAGTAAGAAAATAGGGAAAAGCACTAATGTTTAGCTCCGTAATATATAGAATCTCAAATAAGCAGAGACTCATGAGTAAACTCAAACAAATAAACACTCAACAGTGTTTATCGTCGAGATTTTTTACAAATATCGAGATGTTACTTTTAGATAAATTATTATTCGATATACCGTCAACTGAGCAATCTTATCTGTGGTGATGCTCTTTTTGACGAAGAAGCATCCTCATCTGAATGACGTTGTTTTGAACACGTGAAACTAATTATTTTCTATCTTTTTATAGTTGCTTTACAACGACATGAAAATCCACGTAAAATATTGAAAGAATTGATTAGAGAACGTCGAACAAGCCCAATTTATAAAGGACCTGTTTCTAAAAAGGATAAAATGTACAGCATGGAGAGTGAAACAACTGATCAAAGTTTATGAAAATAACTCAAAGGGAAATCTGTCCAATCAGAAAAAAGGTAATACAGCAACCTTACACAATTATGTACTAATTATAAAGAAAATGCGTACGCCATCATAATACACTATTATGACTGCTTTCCTCAACTCGACGCAGATAACGAACCTTCATTCCGTATTGGGTTGTAAGTCAACCCAAAATGCTTAACTTCAGCATATCCACGATTACCGCTATGCCATCACGGCTCATTTATCTTTGTTGCTAGGTACTGTTGTTATCTTTTTGTTCTTTATTGTATTTCTATATTTCTATACAAATTTTTTTGTCGTGAAGTACGATTTACTGCTGTATCATATCGAAATACAAAATCCGATAACTAAAGTTGATTTTGAAATGGCGAATTTCAAGTAAATGTGAGCACGATTTATGCCTTTTAATTTTGATTACGAAGACCACTATGACGCGATCTCAAATTGTGATTCGAAGGAGCAGCGACTCCACATGAGCGACTCCGTCGTACAGTGTATTGATATCGGATCAAAACTCCGATGACCAGTGGTATTGACTTACCTCGTGAATTGATGATTTGTAACCGGCACCGTTATACATGTCTTTATTTTTGCAGAGCCCAAACACTGAAAAGTTGTTAAAAAGCTACAACGAGATGAACTGGTATCTACGATTTTGACGGCACGGCTTTTTTTACGAATAGAATAATCAAAGATGTAAAAATATAATTGAATAAAAATTCTGGACTTATTCGCTTTTCTATTTGATTCATAGGAGTCGTAAAATGTGGAAAACAGCAAATTTGTTGGGAAATGGCGGCAAAATCACTTCATCCTCTTTCTCGGCTAAAATGCGAGTTATTTTACTTACACGAAGAATAAAGAATATGTTCTATGGCCAGATTATCGTACTTTCGTTTATCAGTAATATATTAACAGTTAAACTGAAACTGAGGCAAAAGCGAATAACTTTCAATGGTCTTGCAGTATACCAAATATTAGATTTGAAATAGTTCACTTTATAGACTGTTCATTAGTATGCAAACACCAAGAGTAATTATCGAGGTCATCGCGTGAGTAGACTTGTTTGTACATGTTTGCGAATATATTCTTAATAATAGTTTTTGTCAGGTGACATGGATAGGTTATATATTGTACACTGGTTAACGACGCTTTAACAGTGCGGGAAGATGATAGGGTGAGATCGCAAAGTGTATTGCTCTTGCAAGATGTATACTATTTCCACTTCAGTCCTCGTGCATTTAATATTAAGTTACCAGAGAAAAAAGAAAGTGTTAAGGAGGGAATCGTATCAAAGGAAAGCATCTTTGCAAGGCATTAGTAGAAGTCTATTAAAAAGTTTCACAGTTGCGTGTAATACCCGGAATGTATCAACCAATTAGTCCACAATGATCACATTTTTGCTTGTTAGATGATAAAAAGTATGCACTACTGCACTGTCTTGGTGTTTTTATTATTTGCCGCTGTCAATGGGCTAGAGGTCGAAAAGGAACCTGAACTACTTATCATAGATTTGCTGGAAAAGATATACGGAACGTTGCACGATACGGCTAAAGACAAAGATGAGAAAGCTTCGGGTAAGACCTTTAAACGATCAGGTAAACTGCAAGAAAAAAAACGTAATCGTGGTATAATATTAACGGCTTAGTTTGAATATATATATATATAAATATATATATTTCATTTTAACGGCCGGAAACAAAGAATTACATATGTGCAATACTTACTATGCATTTTCGGCTTTTAGAATAAAAATATTTTCAATAAAATTCAAGGATGCCAGCATAATTTGGAACACTTGAGATAATGTGCTGTGACTAAAACGTTAATTATTTACAAAGTTAATGGTATTTAAAGCCAATATGCTGTTTAAATTTTACTTTATAGTTTACTCGGGTAAATCATAGTTAGAAATTTGCACTAATATGAGTCTAATAATTTCAGACTTCAGCCCGCAGGTGAAAACATCATCAGGAACTGTTATTGGCGTAAATACAAATTATTCAAATTCGTTTTACGCTATTCCTTTTGCAATCCCTCCTGTTGGAGACCTCAGGTTAGTATACAGTCCGAAATTCCGTTGGTAGTCGGCTAGTTGGGAAACGTATTCTCTATGTTTTACAGTGGCCGACTAACCGACCAAAATCACCGTTCTTCAATAAAATCGTATGCAATGGATACATATATACCGAAAAAAACTTTCTAAATAAAAAAAAAAACGATTTTTCAGGCGCAACTGTTCAAATTTCTCAAAGGTGTTAAAATGGACTGATGATGATTTTTCCGACATTGAGATGATCATGTTGTAGCTATTCGACCTTTGTGTCCATATTTTCGTATATGAGCACTGCTGTCTTGTTTAACCATTTATCTAGTCAAACATATTATATACGGTTCATCTTCTTATCTTACGGTGTATATATATATTCTCTAATTGGTCCTGGTGTAGTTGCTAGTACTTATTCATATGTGGTATATTTGTATGTAAACTTAAGGCTTTTATAATATTTTAAACTTATATAAAAGATTTCAGGCACCACAGATGCTGAATACACCAGATTTAACTCGAATTTTGAATGAGACGAGTCGTATTGAATGCTATCAGTTCCAATCTTCCGCAGAAGTGAGTATTTATTCCTAAATATTTTTGCGAAATTGAGATGTTGTTAAATATTTGTCGCTGATATAAAAGAGGTCAGACAGATGTTTTCAAGTTTTTATTTGTTCATTTGTTGTTGCTATGTCCATGTTCTAGGTGCAAAGGTATTACCGCGGGCCATTTAGTACAATTTCCCTGGAACTCCATAAATGCACACGCAACAAACACAATGGTATTTGAAAATATTCAAATAAACCACAAGGAATTTGGAAGGCCATGAAAGGAAGGTCTTAACATTTTTCAGTGCCTGAATGCAAATATTGACCCTTTTGCAGCGTGAGTCGTAAACGTTGTTATTAAATGCGAACTGTTGGGTATTTCAAACACACCGTTAAAATTTAGGTATATATACATTCAAGATCGCTAATGTACTCTTCCGCAATCAACAAGCTTGGGACCCCGGAAGTAGACTGCTGGGAAGTTGGTGTTACCTATAATAAAGATTGAATTTCGAGTGGTTGTGAAAAACGCCATCCTGCTTGTGTTGTTCATATAATTTGTTGAATGTTTTGGATTATTTTATATGAAAATCAGGCGGTTCATATGAAACACCGGCGGAAATCCTGCTTGTGTTGTTCATATAATTTGTTGAATGTTTTGGATTATTTCATATGAAAATGTGGCGGTAACACTGAAAACCAGTTTTATTTGAGATATACGTGATTGAGTTGTTTGGGAAAAAGTTTTCGCAGTTTTGTCTATATTCGGACCAAAACATACTGTAGATATATACAATAAAAGAGAATCAGAAATATTTTCCAAACATGTAACTATGTATATCTGCGATCATATGCGTATATTTCAGCATCGCGTAGATATTTCTTGACAAAAAATGCTTTATCCTACACATTTCTCAAAACTCGCCACGTTGATCATATAAATTGGCTGAAAAAGTTTTTCAAGCAACAAAACAACCAAAAATTTAAAAACCTCCTTTTTCTTCTATCTTCCCTCTGAACTGGTCAATTCAATTTGGTTTTGTAATATTGTAACAGCCGTTCTTTGGAAACTGGACGACGCCGACTGCATACTAGAATTTGAACAGTTCAATACCGCGGTCTCTCAGCACCAAGTTTGTATCCTCAAAATCAAACAACTTGAAGGATACAGTTGACACGGTTATCTCGATACAAACATAAAATAAATCAGCACGAATTACTAACAATAATTCTTAATCTCAATTAATTCGGCCCTTGTGAAGCCTACTCAGATCTGGGAGCACAAAAAATCTACATAATATATGAATCCCATGAATATATATTTTTGCAATCAACAAAAATATGCAATCAACACAATAGTATAACAAAATTATCAATTGTAATTAATCAGCAAGTTGAACCAATTTACCAAAAAACTCGCAGTTTCCAGATCAGAAACAGTTACAAATTATGACCTACCGAATTTATCTGCTATTCCAGGTTTAAATTATCACAAATTGAACATGAACCATTCGTCAATGTAATGAAATCCAATCCAATAATAATTGAACTATATTTCTGAAAATAATAAAAGCAAATGAAGCTAGTGCCGCTCTCTAGTAATTAAGGCACTAGCTGTAAGCAACACACGAGAAATTTCTCTGACAAAGCAAGACATGTCCGGGAAGGCAATCGCATTGGAAGACACCTCAATTATTCCATGATGGAGTGTGTACTGTAATGCGTTATTCGGGGTCACACTGTCAATCATAGAAAATTAAGGCGTCAACAATAACAAATGAATTACTGGACAAGTAAAACTCACACTGTTTACGTCACTATAAGAAATCAAGTGGATGCCATTTTCAATGTAACAGCTATGGCCAAACAAAACATTTAAATTTCGAATTTCCGATGTAGTGTACTACCAGTCTATGTACGAATTTTCCCGTTCGAAATATCTAATAATATGGTCTGATGTCAATCTCTTCTCAATATTCATTTCAATTAATCCTATTTATTAACTAGCCATCTCAATACAACCACATACTCCAATGAAATCAATAGAACAGAACAGGATAAAAATAAAAAAATACCTGGTATCATATTGTAATAAAAACAATATATATATAGATACAACCCTGAAATCTAAAGAAAAACCCTAAAATCAAATACAACTTCCAAAATCGAGGAAAATCCTTATATCCCGGTACATTATAGCTAACAACTGACCATTTCCAAAATAAGCTGAAAACAACTCAATACTGGCAGATTATAAAAAACAATGAACAATTCTGTAGTCTAGAGACCTAACACTTGAACAGCACTGACAATAGCTAATGCATTATAATTCTTTAATCATCCCCGACGCCATTATATGTTTTGTCGTCATTCGTGAACTCGGAGAATAGACCATGATTGTAGATAATCAAAATGTATTACAGAAAACACATAGGCACCGATCGGTCAAGCCGTAACAAGAAGAGAGCGCGAAACAGAAACCAAGGTCACTCAAGCATGAAACAATTGGAGACATGATACGGTATACCCGGTATGTTAGTCGTTGGGTATACCACACTATCATAAATTGATGATCATAAAATCAGAAATAAACACACTTGGTATCCTACTCAATACCTCGCAACCATTTTACTGACATAAAATACCCTAATACACTAGAAATCTAACCAAACAACCACACCTGCATTTCTGCAGACGATAACTGGTGGCCAAATTGGTGATGGACAGTGCTACCGCGCCATCAGTGCCCGAACATTGAAATACAAAATCCAGCAGTAAGATCAAATAGCCTAAGGGTGTTAATATTTAAAAAAAAAACGGGTTGTCACACTTATAGGGATGTACATCTCAAACAGAAATGTTGTGATATTTTAAACATTTCGGTTCATTTTATTATTTTCAGGTAAGCGAGGATTGTTTGGTATTGAACATTCACGTCCCAATACAAGTGGATATTTCTGATCCGGATAATCCACCTAATGATCGACTACCAGTGATGCTCTTTATGCATGGTGGAGCTTACCATTTTGGTGCAGGAACTATTACACTATATGAAGGAAAATATTTGAGCCAAGCAATCAATGCAATTATTGTGACCATCAATTACAGATTGGGTAATGGTTGGATAATTAAATCTGCTCTCTAGTACAACATGATGCATCGCACATTTTTTTTATTACTTTTATTACATTTAACACGGTAAAAACTATAAAGAAAACGATGCAAAACAGATGTGTAATCCGTTTTGAAATTTTAAAAGAATCCGATCTTTTAGTTCTCTTTTCCGCCAAGTTGAATAACTGTGAAATATATTGCTCAAAGGTCCTTTTGGATTCCTTTCTTTTGACGAAAACGGTAAAACAATTGAAGGAAATCAGGGGTTGAAAGATCAACAACTGGCAATGCAATGGGTTCAAAATAACATTGAGAAATTTGGAGGAGATAAGACTAAGGTGAGTGTGCGATGTTGATTATTATAACATGAGAATTCCCGTGATTGAAATTGTGTTGTGCACTGTGAGCTATTTTAAAAGGGTTCTACACTATTCAGGTGACAATATTTGGTGAGAGTGCCGGTGCACAATCAGTTATGTTCCATTTGGTGTCAAACAACAGCGATCCTCTCTTTCATCAAGCTATCATGCAAAGTAATCCAGCAGTGTTCACGTATCCAACATTGAGTGAGGCTTTAGAAACTACTGATAAATTAATCGGTTATCTTCGCTGCAACGGTCCAATTGGAGCATTACCAATTCCGAACCCAAACTGTTGTCCAGACAGAAAAGATAATTACACATGCATAATGTAAGTAGTAATTTATTTTCCATTATGCGCCTTTATTACCTTCATTTTTTCAACCATACTGACCTTTACTTTTTTTAAATCCAGTTTAATTATACCTCAGGGATGCTGACCCAGAAACGCTTATATCGACAATGGCAAAAATGATGGGTTCTGGATGGATTAAGTTAGATCCAATCTTTGCAATGGAGCCTTTTCGTCCTTACATCGATGGCACTGAATATATCGGTCAACCACTGGAACTATTTAGAGAAGGGAAATGGCAAACAAATAAACCTATCATTTTGGGGACAAACGCCGAAGAAGTAGCTGTGATAAAATATATTATTCCAATACCGAATGAATATATTTTCCGGGTAAGCTATTTTGTATCAACATTTTACAGAATAAAACTCAGTTTCAACGCATTCAATTCAGTGCCAATTATTTTTACAAACATTAATCTGAATGAAATATTAGAATGGTTTGAGCGAGTAACTTCACTGGAATTGGACCGTTTAGACTTAGAGATTCAGTAATTTTAAGGTTAACAATACCTCTTTGTAGGGATTAAATGAAGCGCTCTTCGAAAGCGCGGGGAAATACGAAAACACCGGAGAAAGAATTTCTGAGAAATACATAGAAATGTACGGACCCAACATCACAGACTACGGAGAATTATTTGGAATAGAAATGACAGACATTTGGTTTGGATGCCCATCAAGAGCGCTGGCACGGTGAGATGAGGAATAAGCAATAGCGTTAATGTGCTCTAACTCAAGAAGCATTTTTTATAAAGACTCTTTACGACAATAAAACCATATATATATGTATGTATATGTGAGACATTCCCATGTTTGCGTGAACCCAAGAAGCGTTGCTCGTGTATAACCAAATATTTTTTTGCAGCGTTGTCGTTAAACACGAAATGTTTTTTTGGATTTTGCTAAATTTAATTTACTCTTGCTTATTTGAAACAGGCTAATAACCCCTCAGCTCTTGCGATTATTTATTTGGAGCAACCTTTTGTCAACAAGCTTGTTTTCCAAAAAAGCTTACTCCATATTTTAGTTTCAGCAGAACTGAGCATAAACCCTTTTTTCTAACGTGCTTGAGCAGCAGTTGTTGCAAGATTTTGATGACGAATTCCTTATAATTTTTGCAAGGAAGCAAGTTAACCCAATGGAACACCGTATAAATAAATGACCAATTTATTTACCCCAAATGAAAAAAAAAGATTATGATAATACATTCACTATACATTATACATAGTAACCTATTCTGTTTATTACGTATCTTCTCTTTGTAGTTACGCATCGAGAACGACAGAAGAATCAGTCTATTTCTACATCTTCAGCCACGCGCTAGATGTTAATAATTGTGAAGAACTTCTTGGAAACTTCTGCGGATATTCGTACCACGGGCACGAACTATTCTTTGTGTTTAGGACTATAGAACATAGAGGGTAAGATTTATTTTCATTCATTTATTTTAAAAACATATGCTATTGCTCGCTAAAATAAATATACGACTCAATAACATGTTTAGTTGTACATTGTACTTAGAATAAGATAAAATTAGAACATACAAACATGTTTTAGTTTATGTAAATGAACCAAATCTACAAATTATATCAGTTCAAGAGCCTATATATATACTGAAAATTTGTGCCTTATATCCAGCTGTTTGTGTAAAATCCTGAATGTAGGTCAAAACTAAGACTGATTACACACGTGATCACTTAAATATTTTTCACCAAGCATTACAGATCATATGTATTGTAATTTACTTTCCAGGTTCATTCCAGATGATCATGACATCGCTGTGTCAGATCAATTCAGCACGTACTGGGGTAGTTTTGCCCGAACCGGCAGCCCATCAGGCGGTCTAGAAGTTCCATTGCCAGGAAATTTTCAGGAATGGTATCCGTATTCAGAAACCTCTACACAAAACGGCAAGCCTTGGGTGAATATGAGAATCGACGATCCTGAGAGTTACCAGGAAACTGATTACTTGAAAGAAACCTGTGATTTTTGGGATAGCTTGGGTATTTATGCAGATATTACAAATGATGTAGATGTCTCTACAATGGCTTCGTTTACAACTGATGTTCAACCGCCGGCCACAACGCAAGGTGTTGGTGAAATAGAGACAACAAGTGAATCTAACCAACCATCGCCGTTCAACACCTTCATATTGTTCACAACATTTTTATGTAGCATTTTACTTACCTAGTTTTTGTCGTATCTAAATATTTGAACAGTTTACAGTGGTACAGAAGTATGAATTATTGGACACGAAATGTACATATGAATCGTTTTGTTAATATTATTATGTTGGTGTGATCTTGTTGGCATTTTTCTTCTTGTTGTTATCTTTCTCATTAACTAATTGATGAATTAATCTGAAATTTTCAGTGGTTAAAGAAGATTATATTTGTCGCTAGAAGGCTATTACTTTTATTTATTTCAAAACGTTTTGTAGGCTTTACGTGATTCGTTTTTCACTTCGAAAATTTGTGTGATGACGACCTTGATATCAATAAAAAACTATTAGTAGCGGTTCTTCGATGATACACCTCAATGAATAAATCACGTCGTTACATGAAAATTTTGCATGACTGATTTCGATAATCACGCGATCAACGAACCCGTTCGTTTACGTGACGGTACTCTGCCGGCACCCTTGAACAGACTTTTCTATGTGCATTATATTTGTGCTTGGTTCTTCTGTTAAACTTAATGATTGATGGACCGTACTTTTCCGAATACAGTTGAGTTGATTGCTTAGTTTGATGGTGTTTTCCACCAGCTTATTGTCATGTTTTTCACGCACTGTCGTATTGTAGGTTATAGTCTACATGGGTCAAAAATAGGTCTACATACGACAGTTTGAAGTTGTTGAATAAATATAAAGAAGATAAATGCATCGATATGATGGGAGATACGATGAGACAAAGTTTTTGTGAGTTCCTAAGTTCAGTGAGTATAGAAAATTATGTTTGTCTCAATAAACTGCGTTTGCAAACAAACGCCAATGAATTTCTTGGCGAACAGTTCTTCCCAAATATTTCCTCAAAGATTCAGTTCAGGAAAATTAAAAATTACTGATCAATTTGTATTAATTTTTATCGGCAATTTCAAATTATAATTAGTATCCTGTGACACGAAAAGAAGTGTACAATCATGATTTGCTATTAGATCTTGTGGTAAACTTCCAGATGATCATTTCCTGATTGCTGAAAAAGAAAAGCAGAAGAATATCGGATTAAACAAATGTCGCATTATACATATATACATAATAAAATACATTAAATGCGAATTCATAAAACGTGTAAACACTCAATGGTCACAGCAACCCAAAATATTCTAGTATATTATCGTTTTTACTCAAAGCTTTCCGCAGGTGCAATAGCAATGTTGCTTTGTTTAGTATACGATATGCTGAAACGACTTACTACATTACCTGATCTGGACTCCCAAACTTCATTGCGAACCGCATGAGCTAGTATTTGTGACTTGTGAATTTCGGTCGATTTCCATGCTGCGCATTTTCTCATTTTTTGAAACAGGTCCTTTATAAATTGGGCTCGTTTTACGTTCTTTTATCAATTCTTTCAATACTTCGCGTGGATTTTCATGACGCTTTATTACAACTGAAAGAGCATAATAACAAATTTATCAGTGGTAAATCTTAATATCGAGAACATGCAATGCATTTATGCAATAGATCACAAAGTGATAGAATAAAAAATGTAATTATAAAAAGATGGACACATTGGTGTTGTAGGTACAGTTAATATTTGTACAAATATGATCTATATTTATATTTATATATTGGGAAATTAGAAATAAACACTTTATTTTCAACTGAATACATTTTACACAACTGCGTTGTTGTCATGTTACTAACTTACTATACATGTATGTATGAAGTAATTCAGTGATACGGACTGCAATGTGATTTCACAACATTTAATTGCGCGATAGGATTATGCCTATACTGTACTTGCATACTTATTTAATTGACATAACCTTTTCTTTTTAGTGGTGGAATCCAGTCTGATACATCCAATCTTGGATTACTTATTACAGCAATATAAGCAAGAATAATACACTTGATCGGTTCAAGAATGAAAATACTTTCCAATATTGCAAATAGAAGGGAAATTAACCTGAAACACAAGTGAGTCAAACAAGTTAAATGAATGAAATTATTTGGAGTATAATACTGATCGAGTACAGTGTATTGTATACATATGAGCATAAATTTATGATTTAGTCGTTGGATATCATTTCCATCAAAAACTCATCTTATTTTGTGCAACTATATTTATCTATAAAATAGGGTTTTCAAGTACCAACTATTGAATATGCACCTACCATTTCATTGTGTCATTATATCCGTATGAAATTCCGTAAATAATGCTGAGTACGCAACACCCAGTGCTGACAACGCCAATTATCATCCATCCTATATATCGGAAAAACCATGGAAGAGGTTTGAAATCAGATGAACTTGGGTCAACATCCATAATTGCAATTTCCGTTTGCGTAAAACTAAATGAAAATAATCGTTTAGTAAGAAAACAGAAATTCTGCTCACTGTTCGTACAACTTTGCATATATGAGTTTATTAACGATACACGATTAATCTCTGTACCTGAAATTGCTTATATGTGAAGAAGGTTTTGGAATCCTCATATTCTGTGAGTTCCTCGATTTCCTTCTTTCCGTGAGCGTTTGTGCTTCTTGTTTTTCCGGTCTGTGGTTACTACTTTGCTTCATATTCGAGCGCTGATCACGCGAAGCTTTTCTCTTTTTGTTCGAAAAAACTAATATTTTCTCTGAGTTCAAACCCTCCATTGAGGGGTGAGGTGATATTTTCTCTGTCGACAACTTTTTCCTGAGTTCCGCACCTCTGTGGTTCCTAGACTTTGGGATATTCGAGAATTTACGGCCCGTTATGCGAGAGCGATTTGATGTTGTTTGCAAATGTGAATTTGATGACTTTTTCCTTTGCTCGTCGTTGAACAACTTCATTTTCGATGCTAAGTAATTTTGCGAAATCGTTTCAAGCGACATGTTCTCTTTGCCGAGGGAGTTTACAGAGTCACGAGCTCTTGAAGATTGAAACATTACGGAGACAATATATGTGATGGGAAAACACAATAAACCACTTTCCAAACCTGAAAAAAAAACGATATTTTATTCAATATTTTGTTTTCAGTCACGACCTGCTGTTCCAAATCTTGTTATTAGTATTATGACGTATTATTATAGACGGCGATTACCTGCAATGATATTAGATGCTGATAATAAATTCAATATATCATAATCATCTCCAATCCGTCCATGAAACATTAGTGACGTGACGATGACCATCATTATAAGAAGAAAGCAGCAGCCAACTCGTTCAATTCTATTCATATTGTGACAAGACCATGCTCGTAGTGCAAACATAGAGTACCAAATGTGACTGCAAAAAATAACAATTAACAGTAATTTTCTAAAACACAGAAAAAGGCACTGCAGTAGCCTACATTTTTATTGTATTCCCATTGCCAATATTAATTTAAAATGAAATATTGACTTATTCAACTGACCTATCTTTTAAATAATATGATACTTTTATAAGAAATATGTTTCGGAACGAATGAAGTTCCTTCATTGTTGCAGGATATAAAACAAGTTCCATCGGTTCAGCAAACGGTTCTTCGTCGTTCAACCATTCGTTTGCCAGGAAAAACCAACATTCATTAGTTTCATAGTCACGAACAACAAGCCGTTCGATATACCTGTAATGTCATACAAACATACCAATTATTAGGTAGATGAAGCACTGTATAAACATATAAATAACATGTACTGTATATATATGGTCACTTTCAATTTAGGTTATGCTCCATATTGTATAATCAAATCCAATTTTACCATTTTGGGTTGCTTCCCTTTCCATCTTGCCAAATATTCATAGATGTGATATCACCTACACATCGCAGTGATGTCATCAGAAATGTGACGACATTTCCACGTGATAGAAAATGAATTGTATCATCGTGCTTCTGCAAAAGTATTCACTATCTTAGTTTAAAATGATCTACATTTCATAAACCTACGACAATCTCTTTTAGCTGCACAGAACAATAATGTAATCGAATAGAATCGAAACCAAATAGTAATCATTATAATGCCACCCTTCCTTCGTAGTGTGTTTGCGACAGTTATACGATTATTTTGTTATGAGCAAAATTTCAAATAATTTGGTAATACATAAAATATACGTTTTTACTATAATAAGTTTATGATGTTTGCCTGCAACAAATGCAAAATGCTTTGCTGGTTTGTTCCATTTATCTTTACGGCAATTGTTGATGTTGGTGCGGCATGTTTTTGACTCCCAGTAAATACAGTCATTAGATATCGATATGAAACGAAAGGAACATTATCGCACACTTCCACGTATTGGTCCTGAAATCGAAATTCGTAACAATTCTTTATCGATCAGGGAGTATATTATGAATTCTTACCTTGAGAAAATCCATGTTAATTAAAACAATATGGAAATTGTGTAAAAACATATAAAACGAATAAATCAAATTTATATTTACTAAATCATTATGCAAAAAGTTTAAATAATCTTACAATCATCTCATAAAATAAATAAAAAGAATGTGAATGTGAAAAATGTATAGTTAGAAAGAATTGTCGCTGGTTTAAATTGTTCATATTTATTTAAAAAATTTGCTTAATTAAGGCTAAAGATTCATTTGCAGTATATCAAAAGCTAAAACGAAATATCTTCAGATTTTGGAAATTCCAATAACATGCATTTTATGCGCATGTAAAACCTTTATATATTTTAGAATTCTTCTTCTGCGTCACGAAACGTTTTAAGAAACTAAAATAAGCAAACAAGTTACCACGTTTTTCGTAATTTTATCTTGATATCTGGCCCATACTATCATTCCGCTGAAGACAATCACAATAATAGAAATAACGATCAGCACTATCGGGTTTTGTTCTAGTTCATCTTTAATGTTTTCAATCGTCTCTTCTACCTATCAAGTACGGAAGGCAGAAATAAGAACATGTTAAAGTTATGTACGAATGATTTACAAAAGTATGCTTTGATAAATTGTTGCATTTTACCCCAAAAAAGGAGCTTTAACAGTGTCTAATTAATAGTGAATACAGTTGGGTTACACCCAAGTCTATATAACTTTAATACATATTGTCGTATAAAACTATTTTGTATACGAAAGCCTAAATTTCAATTCACCATTATCAGTATCCTTCTGAGAAATATGTATTTGTTACAAGGAAAAAGTCAGTAGCAATAATACAAACTAGTCATATTCTTACATCCACTCCTCCTGTGTTGTTGATGTACTCAACAACGTTTAGTTCAATTTTGTTTGGTAATGGCGGTGAGAAGACAAGAAGCTTGGATGAAAAAATATTGAAGGATGTTGATGTTCCACTCAATCTCCTAGACTGTGTTTGACCCAGATCACATTCACACCAATCTAGATTGTCTGATTCATTTCCAGATGTTGCCTTATTGCAAAGATTATGAAGTTAATACTTACAGCGATTAGCAAACCCAATATTCTCGGTTGATTATTAATATGAATGAACCGACTTCTACCAACCTTGCAAAATGATGTGGTCCAATCTTTTATCATATCGTCCCAACGCATACACTTCATTGCGTATATTTTCATCGTTAAGTTAAACCTGATCTCAGGTGTTGAAGATGTGTCTTTAAGGATTGTTTCGGATTCGACCGTTGTATTTATCAAATTAAGATTAGAGTTTGAAGCAGTTGCAATATCATCAGTAGTAGCGCTATCGCGATTTGAAATAAAATTTATACGAGATTGATTGGAATCTTCTGTCGTAGATGCAAGAATAATAAACTCCTGGTTTATTTTTCCTCTGTCATGAAAATGCAGTTTCCATGCATAACTATGATTTGAGAAGTCTGTGGTAGATACGGAAAAACGACATTTATAATGATAGCAAAGGTACCGTCTATGCTAGAATAAAGGCAAAATAATGGCAACTTTGGTAAACATAGGCGACCTCATCTTGATTAAAACAGATAAAGAACATTGAAAAAATTCGTTATCACCAAATAGGAAATATAAACAAAACTTTTTCGGTGGAACAAGAAAGATAGAAGTAAGAGATCATCACATAGATTTTACCTGCTTTGGTCAATATATGTGATTCGATATTTCCAATTTCATTCCTAATTGTAACATTCAACGTTACATTCTCCGGAAGATTTTTAGAATGCAGACGAGCATTGACGAACATGTTTTCAAAAGTTTGAATGCCTAACGTAAAATTTTGAACGTCATTCTTGTAGTCTTTGATTTTAAATTCCATTTCTATAGAAGAATCAGGAATATGCTTGTCGGCATGCAGATAAATTTGAACAGGTTTTGAAGGAATCAGTGGATTTGTTATTGGTTTCAATAAGTTGTGAGTTTTATGAGTTGTTGAAAGTGAAATTGATGCAACTTCGTCAACTTCACACGTTTTTGTGTTAAATCTTGCTTTAGTTGGAAAGTATCGAATAACCTGAAAATGATATCTATGAGTTATATGCATTACTAAATTTTTTTTTTCAAAAGGCAATAATAATAAAAGGATTTGTAGCAAAAGCTATAAAATGAAAAAAAAAACTTAATTTGATTGTAGGTAGTTTATTAAACGATTGAAACGAATGAAAGGTTGGAAAAAGGAACAAATTTTGGAGCTCGATTGATTTTAGTTAAATAGAAACAAATGATAACGAAGGTAACTTTCACAACTATTTGGTTCAGTGATGCAAAAGTTTTCTTAACGTCACAGATATTAGATTTTTCGTTGATGCTAATATCCGATAACAGCGAATGAGTTACCTGCAGATTGATAGTTTCTGTTTGTCTTATGCTTGACCAGTCACAATCAATTTTTGTTTTGACGTATTCGCCATTCATAGATAAACCTGTTTTGAATAAACAGCTGTGTCAAATTTTTTTTATGAATATTAGAATATTTTTCAGTTTATATATAGAGATTGAAATGTTGCAAGCAAAATTCTGTATTAAACTAATACATGACTATAACAACTATTTTTGGAACATTATGACATTTTTATAGTTTAGACTCAGAGTTTAGACGAACATACTAGTGTTTCTTTCCATTTTCCTTAAATTCGCTTTGAACGCTGACGTTGTTACATTGATCGGTTCCTCTCCAGGTGTAACAGTTTTTAGAATTTCGTAGCCTAGCTGATCTATGACTGATGCTGTACGTTGAAACAATGGTGATGAGTCTGAACTACGGGTGCTTGAGGTCTAAAAAGAGAAAAAAGAAAACATGGTATCGAGAGTTTGCGGTGAAATTTAAATGAAATTAATACCATAGGCTGTTGGTACCGAGAAATGACACATAAATTAATCATATGTATTTCTAATTATATCGTTTATTCAAATATAAGAAATGCTTTTATTCGAAATATAAGACTCAATTTCCTGACATTTTACGTGTTCACTGTGTTGCATTGTAGAATCTTAGAGGATGATGACAATTTTAAATATTGGAATAAGTGTTCATCTGTTTTGTTTTACTTAAAAACTTTTGATTGTTACGCCATAGCTATTCAAAAGAGTTTTAAATTCAATTTTGATATAATGCTGAACAGTGAGAAAATAGTCCTAAGTGAATGTTTGAAATCTGATAACAGACATAAACATTTTTTTAAAGCCTTCGTCTAATCCTTTTTTTTTTTATTCGAAATAAATGATAAAATTGGAATGCTTGTTTCAAGGGTTAACCAATCCTGTGTGTTGTAGCCTATATTGATCTAGTAACGAGACTACATCAAGTCCCCACATCTTATGATATCTAGTAATCAAAATTATTAACCTCATTAAAATTCGGCATTGATTCCATTATATTTGACGACAGATGCAGAGAAGATAACGCAACTGATTTCAAGTTATTGGGCAATGATTCTTCGTCATCACGAATCCATTCTTGTATTTCCGTCAGTTTTTCTACTAAATTTTTCTTAAATACAATAGACACATTTATTTATCTTGAAAATGGACATTTATACTTGGATAGAATGTTTACTACAGTTGTCAACACTTACAATGACATCCGTTGGTAACTTCCCTGCATCTTTAATTGATTCTTGTAAAACGTCTGACATTTGTTTAGCCGACTCCGTCGATGAGAAATGTGAATTGGCGAACTTCGTAGTAATTTGTACTTTCTAAATACAGATTTTCAAATATATATATTAATCATTTTGTTAATTTTTATGGGTAGCTAATAATTTTCGTTATTTTATTTTAGATAAAATTTAATGAAATGAGGAAATGAAGATTAAATATGTCTTTTTTAACATAAAATTTTACTTTCGCGTGATGTAATTTTGTTATGTGAATAACGTCATAAAAAGATTTTTTTTTTTTAGAAGCACTGCTTCATAGTTTATGAACTGCAATTACGTTTCCCACCATAAATATAGTCGAATTAACACAAAACGCAAATTGTAACGACATGTTGTAACGTAGCACAAGTGTAAAGTGTGAACAATCAGTATATAAAAGAAGACTACAGTTACTAACCGTTTCAATATCCAGCTCAACATGTTTCAATAATAATGCAGCAGACTTTGTTGCTTGTTGCAAATTTCCAGAGTCGATTGCGTTAGATATTTGTGTTGGAATATCCTTGATGATCTTTTCTGCAATTTCATCAGGTGCCGACTTTACTTCAATGGAAACTTTTGTTTTAGTACAAGCATTCGTCGACGAACACACTTGAATTCCAATGTGCGTGAATCCGGGAGGAAGAATAAGGTTTTCTAATGAGTCGTCATATCCATGTTGTAGCAAAGGATTTGTGCCATCTAAATGTAATATTATATTATGATGAAGTAAATCAAATTGACCGTCAGCTGAAAGAGCCATAGCCTATTTTAAATTACAGAGTCAAATACCATCGAATTGGTCAGAGGTTAGCAATTTAGCGTATTTTCTATTTTAGCTCATGGTGAACAGTATGTGAGATCTGTTTACCAAGAGTAGAAGGCAATATATAATTTCACTGTCAGCCTTGAGAGCAAAAATTAAAATTTACCTTCATTCAATAAGAAGAATTGATAAATAAAATTATCAGTTTCTTCAATTGAACATGATACACGAAATTGTGTAACAAAGGCAAATCCAGATTGAGGTTCATATTCGCAGGTCACGTTTGATGAAAATGTCTTTATAAAGCTTTGAAATGTGGATGCAGCACTCCGTCCAAATTCATCAATACCTTGAATGCAAAAATGTGATGTTGATTTACATTTATTTCAATTATATAAGAAAATATTGCTTCTAGAACAGTGATGATTTATATCATTATTCCGAAAATGACAACACAATTTTAATCGATTTTCTTATGATAGTTTGCGTGACATTTCAGATGTATAATAGAATTTATATTTGTTATCAGCTGATAAAATTTCAGTTCGAACATCATAATTATACTTAATATTTATTTATTTTTTAAATAATAATTAATTTACCTAAGGTCACAAAAACATTACGTTTAATGAATATCTTAATTATTCAGGCTGAATTTTTATTTAAGATTATGAACACGCGGGTACGACTTGTTTACAAGTGACCACTTTATCATATGAAAAAAAAGAAATTATTACACCACTTAAGAATAGCGAACCTTCAACTTTCACTTCAATAACTTCTCCGATGTGTTTGAGAATGTCCGTCATAATTTGACAGAAGTCACTCGAGTTACATTTTCGTACGACATCATCTTCCCAATCAATGATTGTCCATTGAAATTTAATACATCTTTCGCATTCTATTTGTAATATCAAAGAATCTTGTGAATTAATCTCGTTTGCGCAATTTGACCAACATCTGAAATAGGAAGTAAGTGAAATTAACATAGGAATAGTTCTATTTGTATCAAGTAAAGAATTTCAGCAAGGTAATTGACTTAATTTTTATATAAACTACACACTGTCATGACGATTTGGATTAAGTCAGTTCATTGTATTATAATATCATAAAACTTACACAATGTTTACTATTGGCACTGGTTGAGGCAATACGGTGATTTCTTGATCTGCAATTCCATCATCAAAATTATTTGCATTAACGAAAAGTCGAAGGAAAAATTTGTCTTTTATCACAGTATTTGAAATTTCAATTTGTCCTGATTTTGTGGTGGAAAAACATGCTGGCCTCCCTTTGAAGCAAGAACCTTTATTCGTGTACGTTCCCACGTTCTTATCGGTAGGAATGTCAATATTTGATATTGTACAACACCATTTGTATGCAAGTACAAGAGTATTAGAGCTTGGTGTGCAGGAGGCATCGTATTTGAATTCTTCTATATCTTGGCCTATTTGAATAAGGTTATTTAGTTTTATGTTAAAGTTAACAAAAAATAGCTATGTTGAGCAGACAGATGAAAGCAATTAAAGTCCGATTGCTTTTTAAAAATTTTATTTTTAATTTTTCAAACAAAAATTGACCAAAGATTTAATTAACAGGAAATACCGTATTTCCCGGCGAATAAGTCGCTTTTCTAGACCCAAATTTTTGGCCTTATTTTTGGGGTGGGGGGGGTGGGGGGGATGGGGGGTCGTCTTGTTAGGCGAGTATGATAATTTTCATTTTTTTGGTGTTGCCTTATTATGTATTACGTAATGTTCTTTTATGGTTGACGCAATCATAAGTTGAACACAATTAGATTAAAATTTAAAGACAGTTTGAATTCCCGCTACAAGAAAACGTCATTATAGGCTATTTTAACTCATGCGCACGGCCGCTTAAAAGCCATTGCATGGTGATTTGAGATTCCGATGTTGATGCCATTTTACTACCCGGACTTATTGGCAGGTTATAAGCAAAAACCCATTTTTTCAGGCTTAAAAACGGGCCTCGTCTTATTTGCCGGTAGACTTATTCGCCCAGAAATACGGTAAGCACTTCGCGAACGAAGTAGAATATTTTTGATACTTCAATTTTTGTAGAAAAAAAGATTGTCATTTTCAATAAAAAGTTTTTCCCAGCAAAAAGATGGAGTTTAGTGGAAAATATTAGACGACATTGAGTTACAAAAGTTACCTAAAACTGCTTCGAAAGTAAACGATATAACTCACCAATTTCCAATTTGAAAGCGCCACAGATCTTAGCTTTCAATGGAAGTGTAGGTACTTCAATAGCTGTGTAATCAAAAACCTTGCCAGAAGTTTGTCCATTTTTATCGCGAGTTGAGACAGTTATTTTCATGATATAAATTCCGGGTAGTAATTTTCCTTGCTTTATTACTAGTTCATTCTGAGTAAAATCGAGGTCATTGATGCCAACTTTGTTCGCGTCTTTTGGTAGTTCGCTCATTGATTTAACCTGATTGTAACAAAGTATAGTGATTTTTACTGATCGTGAATGTGGTAAAATTTAACAATAGTTGAAACTAATTATCTCAATGTTTACTAACGTGGATTTGCTGATTTTCTATTTTTAATATACTACAATTTTTTTTAAAAATTAGCAAATTAGCAAAATATGGTTTGGATCAAAAAATTCAAAATCTAACACAACTGGGCGTCTGGGCCTGTTACATTTGGTGGTGTTCGACGTTTTATTCAAACTTGTCAGTGAATAAGTCTCAAATACTTTACTTACTTCGTGAATGGACCACAAATATTCTACTACGTTAGTATTGTCAAGCTGGCAATGAAGTTCGACATTTGCAGTCAAAACCAGTGACTTCAATACAAGAATTGTCCTATCATTGTAATTTTCTTTGTTGCCATCTCGAATCTTTATCGCTGACAAACACATTTGTGATTGATCTTTCAACACATTCAATAGGAACCTGTCTTCAAGTTGGACTTTTTTATTTGTTGTCGACATTCTAGCAACTATTTCAATATATCCTATTGTTTGAAATATCTGTTCTGCTTCAAAGACTTTGAATCCTTTTAGATTGATTGGAACTTGCACGTTTTCTTCCGCAAATCCTGATGCATTACTTCGCACGTGATTCGATAGCCTTTTATCCAATAAGACCTCACTATTTCCAGTTATAAATAAATCGAAAACTCCATTGTCGGCGAAAATCTTGTAAAAAACGAATATCTTCAGTCTTTTTCCGACATAACCAGGTGATCCAGAAACAACAAATACCTCATGTACTAAATTAAAACATTCCACTGTTTTTGGCACTGACTTTAATTCCCCCAAACTGTTATTTGCAGACACGAAGATTTCAAACGTCCCTGGTGAGTTGACAAAAAGTTCCATGGTGACGCCTTCCTTACATTCTTTCATACTTTTACAAGTAATAAGACTAATGAAAATGATACCGCTTTCTTCTACGTTTTTCATGCTTATCTCAATGTAAGCCGGGGATCCCTCCGCAATGCGGACGATAACAGGAAATTTGGCGGGGTGAATATCGACGTACTTTTGTATCTCGACAGTGACGTCATTCAATGCCTTATTTAAAGTAATATTAAACGGCAATTCAACTACAGAAACATCATTTTGAAGAATGATTTTTACCTCATGCAAGCCTGGACTTAGAAATTGCTGAATATCTTCTGTAATGGCAAAGGAGATCGACATATTAGACCGTTGATACACGGTTTCATCAGTATATTTTGCTTCTTTAGTTAGAATCTTACTTGCTTCATTTCCAAATACCAAATTGTATGTAATCGGATATGCAAATTGATGATAAACTCTTATTGTTGTTTCACTCAAGTATGTGCTGGATATATCGTTGTAGAAGAAAATTCCCGAAACGAAAGTTGAAATATTCAAACTGTCTTGAACTTGAAATGAACCATGCCTTTCGAGCATGGCAAAAAAATTACTTGCATTTGACAGACTTAAATAACACGCTGTATCATAGTTATGACTTCCAGAAGATGTAAAAACATGGTAGACTTTTTGAACACTGGTAGAAAGTCTTAATTCGTGTGATTCATCACCAATATCAATTTCACAATTAGCTGATACTTCTTTTGGTAATCCGGGTATTGTTACGTAAAATGACACGTTTCGATTAGACATCAACGGGTTTTGCTCAATATAAATACCTAAATAAGAACAAATTTTGAAACAATTTACGTCCTATCAATATATAAGAAGAAAGACAAATTTTTATAGCGGTCATTTAGCGTATATGATCCGTACTAAAATGACTCACGGGGAAAGACGTATTGCAGTTCAAAACCTTTTCCACAGTTTCCACTTTTGGATTCTAGAGATATTGTGATACTTTCTGCTGTGTGCACCAATTTAGGAATTTTTTCGCCGCAAAAAAAATCTTTTTTTCGAGGATATTTGATGTATACTTTGGCAGCTGTGCATCTGTCAAGTTTTAAGGGTTCCGTTATCGAGATAGATTTAACCAGAAACATGGATCCATCATCAGAAAAAAAAGATAATACTCACGGAAATACTTCGAAGTTCCTAAATTTCAATACAACGAGAGGATGATGCTTCAGGGAGAATGTCCATAAGAATTCGCTCGTAGTCCCTTCACACGTTGGATAAAAAGGTGTAAACAGGGTCCCCTCACCATGTTCGAAAACGTCTGTAAAAATGAAATGATCAATGATGCAGTTTTGGAAATTCAGTTGAATTGAAATGGGTGGAACATAAAATAATAACATATATTTGCGTAATAAAATGCAGTGCTGGGCACCCATTATGCATAAAAAAGGCACACATCTCACATAAAAAACATGCACATGCCTAATCATGTAGAAACACAATTAACTCCAGTGAGAATTTTGCTACTGTTTCGTTTTCAATACAGGATTGCAAACGAGGCACCAAAACAGGTTTTGCAACACGTAGCTATGCAGCGGCTAACAGTCAATTTATTTGCTTCGTTTTAATTAAAGCTAGAAGTAACTGGTTGACAATTCGGCCAACAGTTTGATTGCTCGATTACTTAGCGATGGGTATTCGTTATCAAGAGAGCTCAAGAATGAATTGTGAATGATTCTTTTATAAATCTGGACTGTAAGGTAGAGATTTTATTGTGTTTATCATAGGCTTGCACGTAATTTACGGATTTACGGAATTACGGAATTATTTCGAGTTACGGAAGCGAAGTTACGAATTACGTAAATTCGTAATTATTGGTGGAGCGCTTTCGCGATTGAAACGAGCTCTCTTCAGAGCAGTCAATTCCGTCGATTGTAAAAAATTAAAGTTTAATAAGTAGAAGAAGTTAGAGTTTGGGTATTCGCAGCCGTTTTTCTCTCTCTTGTTACGCAGATGGAGAAGGCATAACGCGTTGCCATTTACTAACCTATTATCAACTTATCTAGCATGGCAAATGTACATATTAAGCGTAGATATGGGATAGAATTGTGTTGAGACCGATGGACGCCAACACACCTGGTTTCAACTTCTTCGGGTGAAATGACTAAAGAATGTAAGAGATCAACTTACCAAACATGGTCTATTTGTAAATGCCGTGATAATAAATGTCGCGCTTATCAAACAGCAATATGACGACGGAAGAGAAATTGCGTAATGAACCAACGCAACTTAGTCTTTTCGGCATCGGTAAAGCGATTCAGACGGCAGAGAAACAACAAAAAGACGGGATTTCCCATGTTTATTCTGCGCGAGATCCATTTTCTATTACAAAATCTTGATGTTTTGTTACCGGTTTTATCGTTATATATCTGTCCGGACTTGGCCTTGTTTTCACAATGCCTCGCACTATTTCGGCCAAATATGTCTTTACAAAATCTTTAAGTCTTTACCAAATGCGGCAACTTATTTTGATTTATCGTCGACTCAAATACCACCGGCACTCGACCAAACTTGTGTCAATTTTAACCGATAGGATTGTCGACTTGAGTTAGAAAAGTAAATTAATATTTTCGTGAGTGCAAAATAAATGTCACAAAATGCATTGTTTTGCGATATAACTTTGTATTTTCGCAGAAGGCATGTCATATAAGTACGGTATTTAAATTATGCGCAAATAATTAATACTTGATCTAAATTTATCGCAAATAATGCTATAACATCTAGGCCGCGAAATGATTTAATGTAAAATGAAGCATGGTAATCGGAATATCGTCAATAAGTCGGCATGAATAATTATTATAAAATGCTAACTAGGTAGTAAAGTCGGATAATGTAAAAAAACGGTACAATAACAAGTCTTCGTCGCGAGGCAAGCGCAAGTATAATCAAACGAGAGAATACGCTCGTCGTTGATTTATAAATTAGAAACTCGGAATTTTTATTTAATACGAAACTCGTATTAATACGTTAATACGATTTTAAAAAAGTCAACTATCGTTTCATAAATATATTACCACTTACCAGTGTTGGTAATGATAAAATTGATCGCATAAAATTGGGTGATAAAGTTGATAAAAGAAAATCAAAGCTAACACAAAAGATAAAAATCAGAATAAAATTAATTTGAATTCACTCCTTGATATTTGTCTTTAGCATCTGTCGCCGGCGTGTAGTACTGGCGGAAATATGAAAACCAAACTGTCCCAACTGCCGATGTCCCATTCGGAATAGAAGTGGATTGAATTGGTTGTTATGATAGGTTTAAAAGTGTGAAAAAAATATCGCAATTACGGGGTCATTACGTAATCGATTTGGCCGTAATTACGGAATTGATTTTTGTCAATTACGTGCAAGCCTAGTTTATCATATTAATCTCTCTGCAGTTAATTTGACGGAGCCCTTTCGCGATGAATCTGGAACCGAAAAGCCTCGGCGCCGGCGCCAAGACATCGCCGGGCCAAAATACCGCACTTATCAAACACCAATATGACGGCGCAAGAGAAATTGCGTAATAGACTAACGTAACTTCAACTTAATAATCAAGAAAAGCATGCAGAACGGAAAAAGCACGCATGCTGATTTTCAGGTTTCTAAATCTGGTGAGATTTTACGGTGCGCCTCGCGATGAATCGGAACCGAAAAAACGTAAAGTGTGATTACTCGGCACCAAGACGTCGCCGGGCTATACCGCACGTATCAAACAGCAATATGACGGCGGAAGAGAAATTGCGTAATAAACCAACGTAACTTCGTCTTTTCGACTTCGGTAAAGCGATTGAGACGGTAGGAAAACAACGAAATGAAATATCCCGCGGACCGGCGAAAAAGTTTCGCGGACCGGCGGTTGGGTACCACTGAGTTAGACCATCGTTGAACGTAGGTGTGGCGTCAAAACTCTGATTATCCCTTGTGATTTTTGTCTCTTCGACTTTCGTCTTTCTAGAAATTAATAGGAAATCCCATTCCCTCTAATTTGAAGCCGATTGTAAAGAAATTAGCTCAGTTCTCTGAATTACGTGGCTGGAACTTTTTCTTGTTTAAAGATGGGTAATAATAAGCAGCGCTCAAATAATCTCTTCGGCGAAAATTATTTTAATATATTTAATGAGAAATGATGATTTAATCATGAATAAGAATGTATTGACAGCACTGTAAACGTCAACAATATTTAAGATAGAGAAATGACATGTGTTTTTCCTAATACTCGATAAAAAAACACATTGTTTCATTTCAGATACACATAAAATTATGAATAGGTTGCTTTTATCTTTTCTATATATCTTGATGGCCGATACATGCATGACTTCACCCAATGACGGCATGATTATAAGTGCCAATGCTATTCAAAAGCAATTAAAGGCATTGGTAGTACGAGTGGCTGAATTGAATGACTCGGTGCATTTGGATAGGACTTGTGATGCCTTTGGTCACAAAAATACTACGGATGAATTGAACCCGAGAATTGAAAAACTTTATACAGGTTCAATTATTTTTATATAAATGTCCTGTTGTTACAAATATTTTAGACATCATGTAATATATAAAGCACAGTCTAGTGCTATTAATTTTATGCTTTAATATAGTTGAAGTCAATTGATGAACTGAGCTCAGTGGTTCTCTTATGGGTTGATTTTGAAAGTTCACCTGTCCGCAAAATTAGTTTTTTTTTTTAAATCGTCCACAAATTAAAAAAGGTTGAGAACCACTGAACTAAGCAACTGTTTTTCAGCAGAGATTCGAAACGGATTGTACATCTATCAAACAATTTTAACAATATTGGTAAGCTTGAAATGTAGTAGTCCTAGCTCTCAAAATGCGCCACGGCCATGCATCGCAATTATTACTACGATTCGACCCAAGACTGAATGAATAGCTTTTGTTCATGTTGTCAAGCGAAAATTTGAACAGAATTACAATCAAATGGAATGCTTTGGTAAACGTTAATATTTGGAAGTTATTTATTTTCTTTCAACTTTCTACAGGTTGCCACCAGTTGTTTTCCGATGGCTATGCCCATAGCGATGTATACCGAATATGGATTTTTCTTGGTTATCGTTTTATATCAATATTTTGTGACATGGAGACTGTCGGCAAATACAGCAAACAGCGCGGGTGGATGGTTATACAGCGTAGAAAAAATGGAGAAGTAAACTTTGATCGGGGCTGGAATGATTACCTTCACGGGTTTGGATTTCCAAGCAAGGAATATTGGGTTGGCCTGTATAATTTAGACGCTTTACTGCATCAGAAAAGAATCGGAACGGTGGAAAATAACTTGGCATTACGAATCGACTTAACAGATTGGGATGGTGCTCATGCATACACAGAATGCAATTCTTTTTATATAAATCCAGAAAACGATGATTTTCGAATAACTAGCATTGGAACGTGCACAGGTACCCCTCAAATTAGATCACCAATGGCATATATTGTTGGAAAAACTTTCAGCACATTTGACTACCACAGTAATACTATACGCTCTCCCGAATGCTTGCGACTGCAAAGGGGTGGCTGGTGGTTTGGAAGTTGTAGACATTCTAATCTTAATGGTGTTTATGCGGCTAAAGAAGAACGAATGACAGTGGACAAAATTTATGTTAAACACTGGAAAAAAGTAAATTCAAACAATACATCTTTGCGTTACGTGACGATGAAATTACAATAAAAAAATTGCGGGTTACTGAAAAAAACGATTCAGTACTTTTGCAAACAGTGCTTTGTCATGGACAAAATTATTGAAAAGTACTCCAAAATTTGTTGTATTGAATTCTGACCAAATTAATAATAAGCACAGGTTTAAAATCTTTAAAAATTCAAATTGTAACTTTGATTACAAGATTTCTCGAAACAGCTATTATTAAAAATTGTTTGTTGATTCTCAACTTTCCCTTGTCCTTGCTCATCTAATGTTCACAAATATTTTAATTTTGATAATTCGACAAATTCTAGTGTGATAATTTTTTTTAATTCATAGTATGTCAGTCTTAGTCATTCACTCAAAAATGTATTGTCTAATAGAACATAGGTGTTCGTGATTAGTATGACCCCTGTACATATTTTCCTTGTTCTAATCAAGTAAGGTATTAAAATAACGATTTCTTCACTCCGTCTTACTGACTCTATTTATTTTAAGCGCTTCATATTTGTTGCTGTTGCTTTTGGTAGTTTTTAGAGTAAAGATCGTATTGAAATCGTTTATAATTACAGATTATTATTTAAAATACGACGCCATCATAGTGCTTTCATAATTGCCCAAGATGCTAATCAAAACACAAAATAATTAAAGCAAACTCACTGGCCTCACTTCGATAGATCTTTAGAAAAATTACCAACATGAAGTGCTTGTACACAAAAGGAAGATCCATTCTTGTGATATCGATTCTTTCAATGCAAATTTTCCAGAATTAGTCATTGAACAAATTGAACAATTGAACAAACTTTGTGACGTCACAGTCGTTTTAAATTGTTTGTTCAAATGTGTCTTGCCAGTGTTTTTACCTATGTGAAATTTAGTGGATAGTTTTTAAACTGATTTACACTTATTTTTTTGTGTGTCACCATAAGCCTGGTTAGAACTTTTTAGACTTTTGTAGCTTTTTGATGAGTGTTTGGAATTTGAAAAAAAAATGCTATATATAAAACTATTTATAAAAACAACATTTTTTGGCGTTGTTTTTTCATTGTCATAAATATATACATTATAAAATATTTTTCGAAATATTTAGGTGACAACGTTTGACAGCGTGACCAACCTAATTTATAGGAATTTTCGTAAGATGCATTTGATTCTAAAATTAAGAATATATACTTTTTTTTTATGGTTCATAAAACATCTCATAAAACCTCTCTATAGGTTTCGGATAAATTACGTTTTTGTTGAACCCGGGAAAACATAAAATATTAATAATAGAAACTAGAAAAATAAAATGACACATAGCGATGTCGTAAGCAATGGGCCGACTCGGAAAGGCAGGGGAGTGTTAGATCCACTAGTGGTTTCTAGTTCACCAACACTCTGTGTTGTAATCGGTGGTTGTTCGTCGGTTGTTAACGAAGCCATTGTAGAGGTATCTACTTCATTTGTAATATCTGCATAAACACACAAGCTATCCCGAAAATCACAGATTTCTTTTAAGTAATCAATTTCCTGGTACCTCTAAGGATCGTTGATTCTCATATTCACCCAGGGATTGCCGTTTTGTGTAGAGGTTTTTGAATACTGATACCATTCCTGAACATTTCCTGGCAATGGAACTTCTAGACCGCCTGAAGGACTACCGGTTCGAGCAAAACTACCCCAGTACGCACTTAATTGATCTCACACAACGATGTCATGGTCAGCTGGAATGAACCTAGAAAATAAATCAAGATGAACATAGGTTGTAAATATCGACGAAAAGCATTTAAAATTGAAGTGTACCTTTTCATGGTGATAATCAATGTCATAATTTTCTACAGAAACTGAAAATAGATTGAATTGAATATGCATTCCTAACAGTCTATTGAATAAGACTTTTTCCCAGACTCTACATTACTGGAAATGATCAGGTATTGTTTCAATAAGATGTAAATAGTTTTCAAACCTTAATTAAGCTTGTTTAAACTCCAGTGTAAATTCTGTTCTGCAAAGCGGAAACGAAATACAATCGAGTTATTTCTTGGTAGGTATCACGCAAATATTTCATTGTTATTAATATACTGCGTAAACATAGTATACTTTGTAAATTTAGTTTGTTCACTTAAACTAAAACATTATACGTATTATTTTAAGTACAATGTACAAGTTAGAAAGAAAACGCCATTGAGGCGATTGTCTGTTCTAATAGCATGCGTCTTAAATTGAATAAATTAGACCAAATCTAACCCGCTATGTTTCATGGTTCTAAACACAAAGAATAGTTTGTGCCCGGGGTACGAATGTCTGCAGAAGTTTCCAAGAAGTTCTTTACAATTATTGCCGTCAAGCGCGTGACTGAAGATGTAGAAATAGACAGATTCTTCCGTCGTCCTCGAAACGTAACTATCAGGAGAAAGTAGCCAAAGAATAGAAAATAGCAGTTTGTTTATTGAGTATATTCTCATAATCTTTTTTCCATCGTTTCGAATATCAACGAGTGAATAAAATTTGCAGTTTGTAGAAATGGTAGACAAGGGGAAGGGTTACATACAAATAATTTGAAAACTGCTTTACGACAACGCTGCCGTGAAAATAGTTGATTATACATTGGATTCACGCAGATAGGAAATTGTCTCCTGTATATAATTCTAGTTTTCTTGTCAAAAAAAAACTTTATTGAAAACTGCTTTGGTGTAAGCTACATTTATGCTCTTGTTTATTTCTCATGTCACCGTACCAGCGCTCTTGATGGACATCCAAACCAAATGTCGGTAATTAATATTTCAAATATTTTTCCGTATAGTCTGTGATGTTGGGTCCGTACATTTCTATGTATTTCTCAAAAATTCTTTCTCCGGTGTTTTCATATTTTCCTGCGACTTCAGAGAGTGCCTCATTAACTCCTATAAAGAGGTCATGTCAATGTTAAGAACGATGAGTCTTTGTATCAACCAGTTTCAGTAAAGCTGAATGGTTATATAACCAAATTTATCTCATATTTACTTCAATTCGACGAAATCTACAATGATTTTTACGGAAAATAGGTCATCAAATTATGTTCACAATATTTGCGTGTAAAATCTGACCCAAAAACATCATCACCTTTACAATATTTTTTATAAACCGGAAGTACACAACATCCTCACTCGATCTAAATTGCTCTTATTAAAAACGGAATAAACAAGTCCTCAATTGATCGAGACCTACACTTCTTCTAATAAGAGTAAGAAATAATGAGAAAGAACTTATCCGTGTTGGAATATTCTAAACGCCTTCAAATAGATTTATCTAGGCCAAAATTAGCAATAAGAATAAGAGTTGAGATTCGATTGACCAAATTAAATATTCTAGCAACGTATGCTGTTTGTTTATTAGGAAAATTTTGACCTGAGCTGAAATGTATAATTTTGTGATTATATGTTTTTATCGTATAGTTAAAATTAATCATATATAATATATGTTGTATTAAACGGGGCAATAAAATATCAAGAGTTTTTCAGCTTTGGCTGTAATATAAAATTACCATGCCATCCTAGATAAGCAATGCTAAACTACTTATTAACATATTGTTTTACGTTCAGATTTAAGAGTCTAATAAATAGATAATCTAGTTTAATTAGTCAGCAGCAACAAAAGTCGTTTTAGCTGTAAAACGAATTAGCACTGAATGAGTAGAAACAGAATTTTTATTCTGTAAAATATTGACACAAAATGCATTGTCCAAGCTTACCCGGAACTTATGTTCAAACGAGTGTGAAAAGTTTAACGAAATCAACATTTTTATTCTATTATAAAAATCAATACCGGATGATTGGGAAAATTTATCGACTCCATCCCAATTACATGAGCATTAATAACTTTGGCAAAATCCCAAGCATGGTTCGGAATCTTATCTCTGTCCGAAAATAAATTCTAGAAAATTTCCCCAACCAGTAGCCTACGTCCCCATCAAGTTTCGATGAAGTTGTTCACACAATATCAATCTACCAGGCAAAACGCTTTACGGGGATTTATTTTACCTGTCCATCCTACTCGGGGATCCATGTTACGACAACTCACCTATGAGATGCAGAAAATCATCAAAGATCTTTATATTAAAGTCGAATATTAGTCAATCTTGCTTTATGATTGATATAACAAGTAGATTGCCGACTTGGTGAAAATAACAGATATATATACGTGTTGTAAAAGCATCAAACTTTGCAATCTCACCATATCGCTCCGGATATAGACTTGCATTCATTGCTGCAAGAACTATTATCAAGTATATTTGTATTTGCAAACACTTACAAACAAGTGTACTCAACCGATGACCTCAAAAATTAACATTTGTGTTTGCATACTAATGACTTGGTTGCTTTATAACGTAAAAACACACTACTTGAATTTTTTCTCGGTACGGAGAGACTTTTGCAAACTAAACTGCATTTGCCTCATTTTGCTGTTAAGATAGTTCCACTGAACGTAGTAGGCCTAGCTTATCCAAGCGAGCTATTATGATCATGTAAACTTATTTTCCGTGTCAAATATAATAATTGTTGGCTTTAGGTAATTGAAGAGCTATATGTCTAAACAGAAAAGACAAATGTCGCATAAGTCAGAAACTATCTCCAAATCTTCGGTGCCTTGTTCTAATGATTTATCCTGAATTGTGGACCCTTTCAAGTAAAATCAAGTATATATACAAGTTATAACTACAAATGCTTCTCACCCAGACTGCAGACACAAACTTTTTTGTTTATATGAGGATTATTTATGATCTACCCCGTCAGAAACTTATGATTGTATAGATAAGCTATTCGACGAGTCTCCAGAATCTCATTGATCTGATGACATCTCAAAAAGCTTTCCGAAGTGAAAAAAATATTCATTCGTTCATAGGTCAAATTTATACAGTTGTGCATGATTCGTCGCCCTTCTATTTTTAATAATTCGCAAGGTCGTAGAAAAAGTAAGTCACACGGAAAATGACCATAACTGCAATCGAATAACATCTCCGATATCTACTCCTAAGACGATCTTTTCAATGATTACAAAAAGATATCATAAAAGGAATCACCTTGCCAGTGAATTTTGTACTACAAATAAAGATCTGATAGAGTTACTGTGTTGATTTAGGTGCACTTTCATGAACTGTATTTTGATTTTAAAACCATGACTTGAGAACGATGTTCGAATAACGGGATTTACATACAGTATTTGTCCCGGGGGAGAGGTAAGCCGATAAGACTTAATCATATAGCGAACCACAGCCTCTCGCCCGATTACTAGTCCATGTCGGGTATAGGATTAGTTTTCCTGTTACTTGTTTCAGGTGCATGGAATTGATGAAGAAAGGCCTAACCGAACATTGGGTACGTGGACCACTCCACGGCGGCGATGAGCCCAGCAATCCTCTCGCAGACAATTATCCCAACGTGATTCAAACCTGCAAACACACTGCCTGAGACTGAGTGTTTAATGTTTAGCAGTATAACAGCAAGTAACTTCAATAGCGTTTGAAAACGTCATAATCTCTTCACAAAAACTCATCTTAGTCGATATATAGTATATACAATCAATAATTCAGCACAAGAAATATTTCAATTTTTAAGGAGCTGTTGTTTTGTCAACTTTCATCTCTTCGGTTGAGAAGTTTTATCCTCCAACCGACCTAGACCTATGATAGCACTACAAGATGCAATTCAATTTCAAGGCCAACAAATAACAAAATAAAAATATATATTTGATAATTATAACCCATACATAACATAAAACATAGAATAAGTATTAGACATGCTATGTGAAAAACCAACACCCACTTGAGTATTAAAATAGGCCTGACATCCACCCAGGCATAAACAAGTGTTTACAGTTACCTAGATCAGCTTCATGTCACAGCTATTATCGCACAGTGATTTAGCTGTCTGCTGTGAAATTACGAACAATAAACAGTAAATCCATCAAACAGGTATCCTATATATCAGGGTCTATCAGGCCCATAATATTTGTATCCTATATATCAGGGCTGGCCAACCAGTTTTTGACCGCGATCGACTAAAATCTTCAAAATAGCTCGCGATCGACTGATTAGTAATAAGGTTATACACGAAAAAGAATGAGTACTGAATAAATATGCAAATAACTGCATACACGCATACGAAACATTCTACCGCTGCCAATAAGCTCCGGCACCGTTGTCGCATTTTTAATGAAATCGCCACAAAATCTTGTATTTTTTATGTTCCATTCAATTTGTTAATTTGATATTGTAATTGTATCCGGAGTAAATTTTCATCATTTATTTGAGATTTGTTCGAAATATACAATTCAGATCTACAGCCTACCTAATTTTTAGCCGTAATGGTTGAAAAAATCTCTAAAAACCGTGCCTAGTATCCATATTATTCAAACAGCAAAAAATAAATATTCTCAAACCATAAATGTTACATGACTGCTCAAATTTCAGTATCTAATTTACAATTTCCTCCAAGTTCGATTCTTCGCTCGCTTGGACGTGAAAAAAATTGGGCATTCTGATGTCACTGCTACCGCTGCGAAATCAATTTATCACACTATTATTGGAGTGAGACAATAACTTTCGCGTACTGCAGAAGTTATTGGAGGTTCGTTTTTCAGTCAAGACACACAATATTCGACACGTTTCTAAACCCTGGCAGCGGCGAAATTTTCATTTGTTACCTAAAACTATACTCTATCGGTCTCGTCCAGACTCAAATACTGTATGTACAGTAGCCTATTGTATTCGTCCTGTTATAAAACACAACAGGCGCTGCATGAAACTGGTTCCTGCTATGTATCTATAATATAGTTTAATCCCGCTGTTCCGTCCTAATTTTACTTGTGTGCTGCGTATAGATCTTGCCTTTATAAAATATGTTTCTTTGACATGAATATCTGATTAAAGACTGATAAATCTGCAGTTAGGCAACAACCTGATATTCATGACATGTCATCTCTCGAAACTGGACCTTTGTAGATTTGAAGCTGTTTTCGCTCTGCCACAATTTCTCTCAACCGTTCTTGTGGAAACTCATGTTCTTTGAGAGAAACTGTAAAATTAATGTATTAAATCAAGGTTGAATACTCCATCGAAAAAAACTGCAAATCAATATTAGAAACCCAATAAAATGCATCATATTTCAGTAAACAATAGTGGATCGTGACAAGGAAACAGGTAACCTCCTGACATACACAGTTCATCCTTCATTTTAGTCAAATTACCAACAAACGATGATTTATAACAACAAACTTGAAAAAATACATATTCACAAAAAGATTTTAAAACATGTTTTGTTAAGAAATGGTAGAGACAGTAAGTTCATCTTTTTTTGCTATTCTTGTTTTGAGACTCTCCAGATCTTTTTTTGCTCAAAGATATATAAAATTTTACCTTCCGCTCTTAGTGGGGGTATCCAATCTGATAAATCCATCTGTGCGTTAAGAACTACATCAAGATAAGCCAGTAAAACGGTTTTTATTGTCTCGATAATAAATATGCTTTCAAGCAATCCACATGAAAATGATATTAACCTAAATACAAAACATAAAAATCATTTTAACTTCACATTGACAACTCCCTGAAACCTTGGCAAGATAACAATGATGGCAAAGCCGCTCTGACACTTTTTCACTTAGACATACTTTCGGCATGGTTATGACCACTCTTGTTTTTCTGGCTTAAGATAACTTTGTAGTTGTGCTCCCGAATTTCAAGTACTCGAACATCAAATACCTCAAGGTCATTCTGTTTGTCGGAAGAGTTTTAGGTCAGTTCCAATAGCTAAAATTAGTCCCAAAGAACATTCGATATACTACACTACAATTAGCTATCAACTACGCTTTTAAATGACAGATGGTTAAATATGTAGAATCAAAATAATGGCGAAGAACATGTACACCAACTTATGATCAGCAGGTCACGAAAACACTGTCAAAAACGACATAAAAAATTGTGCAATAGCAGAGCATGGGAGGAATTGTTTTCGGTGTCAAAGATGGGAAAAACATCCATCCTCATTTGGTCTTTCGACACACATTGTATATTACATGCTTTCCAAGTTTTAAAATAAAAAATACATCAACTGCAACTTTTCAAACATTGATACCATTTTTAACTTAGACATGAAATGAATTTAAAAAAGATGGAAAAAGGGATTCATTTATTATGACGACACCATCTGGGGAATTATGTAGAAACAAGTTGTATAAATGTAATTTGTCAATAACCAATATAGGTAAAAAAAAATAGATTACTGACCACCCTAGTAAGCTTTTATTATCTAAATCCATCCCATAAAATACGGCTCCTGCACAGCTTCCTCCACCAACAAGTCCAATTAAAATCCATGCTATATACTGGCATACCCATGGTAGAGGTTTGCTATCAATTGAACCTGGATCAACAGCCATTATAGCCAACAATTTGTCTGCAGCTAAACTGCAGAGAAAACAATTTATAATATGGAAGAAATTATCTCTGCAATGACTAATTAAAAATGAACATATGATTTCCAAAATTCCTAAATAAATAAAATTCAACTTTAACTATCACTGCTCAACTGACATGTTTATCTTTTTCAGCAAGAAATTTCTTAACTATTCACAAAAAAGCGCAAGACTATCTACTCTACATTATATTACCGCTGGTCGCTATCGACTTCCTCCATCATCAAGTCCATGCATCTGAAACAAATAACTGACTAACTAATCCCATACCTGGTATAGACTCGTAACTGGACAAGAGGCTGTGGTACGCAGCATGAATAAGCTGTCCGATAATCTTCCCACTACCCCAAGATAAAAATTATATCTTATCTATTTAGTTGTTTAAAGGTCTGATGATTGGTCTTAAATTAGGCGTATGAACAGAAGAACTTTCGAATATACATAAATCTGTCTGTACAATACCTGAGAACACTTGGATTTCCTGAAGGCTCAGGTTTATCTTTTTTTGACTTATTTTTTTTCCTCTTCACTTTAGAGTCAGGTTCCTCCTTATCTTTCTTATCAGTTTTATCTTTCGACTCAATATCAGATTCTGATGCTTTTTCTTTTTTTTTCGACTTTTTAGATTTCTTTTCTATTTTTTTTTCAGGTAAATTTTGTTGTTCTACGCCATCCTCTTTTTCATTCAACTTTGAGTCTCTATTACCATCTGACATCCCTCCAACTGAATAACGCTCTTTATCTTTTTTACGAGGCTTTTTAGCAGTCTTATGTTTTTTAGATGTCTTTTTGTCATCACTTGCCTGTAAGGAAGTCAAACTTGTTACTATAGCAGTGAAAAAGTTATCTTTGTCCTTTTTAGACTTTTTACTTTTTTTCTGGCCAGTTTTTGATTTTTTTGTTTTTGGTACCACTTGCTCATTTTCGTAACTTTTTTTCAGACTCAAATACTTTTGTGTAAGCTCATCTAAAGATGTTGCAGTAATATCATCATCTTTACCATATATACGACGTGTTTTTGATGATCGGAACATGGTGGATATAAGATATGTGGATGGAAAGCATGCCGCACCACTAGCAAGTCCTAAAATATAAAAAACAACTTAAGTATTCGCCATCTGAAAATATAGTCAAGAGTAAATGCATGTAATTGCAAAACTTACTTACCCACAAGAATATTTGGCAATGAAAGAAAATCATTAGTACCATAACTGTTGTATAATATGAGTGATGTTACTGCAGTCATCGCAGTATAAAGAAAGCAGCAACCGACACGCTGCATTTGAGTGACATCATTGCGATACCAAAGACGGTTGGCTAGGAGAGAATACCAGAGGTGTCTGTTTAAAGAAAATTCAGTTAAATAAAGAAAGGGTATCACTATCAAATCTCATTACTGCATGTTGATCTTTATCTGAAATTACTCCATATTTCTCATCTTTCATAGCTGTACAAATCTTAATCAGACATTTAAAATAGGCAGATAGCTCCCCACGTTTCATAATTTAAAATTCTGTTGAAATTTAAATTTTGCAAGCATCAAATAAAGAAGCAGAATCTGCGAATAATTTATAAAATATTGAAGCCAGATAGTGATACTGTATCACTGTCAGGTTAATCGTTTATTAATTTGTTCAACGAAATTATTTATAAAGTGGTGCAACACATAAAGACAAGGCCGGCTTCATATTAAAAAGTTAATGGACTAAACCCCTGATTAACGTGTTTGAAAGGCATGACTTCCATTGCTATCTCATTGTACTATACTATAAATGTATTTTTCATGTAGCTCCCTTTTATGAATATTTGACCAAACCAATTAACAAATACTGATAAATTTCCTACTTATTCATAGTACCTAACATTTCTTAAACTAAATTATGCAGCCATTAACATATTGAAGATATCTCTGTAATCAAGTACCTATAACCAGAGCTAGTGCTGCCAATTGGAAATATTTGAACATCTCTTATGACTTTAACATACAACTAACCTTTCTTTAATATATGATGAAAACTTGATACTGAATAAGTGCTTTTGTAAGAAAAGATCTCGCATGGAGGAAGGATAAAGTTCAAGTTCCTCTGGTCCCTCAAATGGGTCTTCATCATTCAGCCAATCGTTTGCCAAGAAAAACCAACATTCACTTGTTTCAAAATCGCGAACTACAAGTCTATTAATGTACCTAGAAATATACCCTGTATATAAGACACTAAATTCCAGCACCGAATTGGGAGGACACAACATCAGAAAACATGGTATCTAATCATGAATTCTGAAGAGCATAACTTTCCACTAATTAATTAACTAAGCTCCAATTACGGTACTTCTTTCACTAATAAAAAAATTTTCGCTGTACTTTTTTTCTCGTGTAACACTACTGACTTTTAGTCAAGTGATTCCCAACCTTTTTCAATAACCCAAATTAAAAAATCTTGCAACACAAAAATATGCTCAATACTAAACGACATGTAGTGCTATTATAACAGCAAGTTAAATACTAATACAAAACAAGTATTTTAACATAACATTTAACAACCAATTTCGTAAAACCAAGTTTTAGAAAAGATTCGCAGTCCTTTTTTCTGTTTTGGAATAAAGCATGACTAGGTAAATATCTTTTATGTTTTTGTTAAAAAAAAGTCCTGACAGGATTTTAAGGCGATCCAACTTTGGGTCGCGACCTACACATTGGGAAACACTGCAATAGACCACCTACCATTGTGGATTGTTACCCTGTCCATCTTGCCAAATTTTGACAGAAGTTATTTCTCCAATATTTTTCAGTCCAGTCATTAGAAACGTTACAGCACTTCCTCGGCACAGATGTTTTTCTTTATCATCATGTTTCTTATGAGAACAAGAGAAGGTTCAAAAAGAATAATAAATTTTAAGTTTGTTTGGTTTGAATTTCATATTTATCCAAGAAAAAAACGTGTCCCAGCAGGGTACTTGTTAAACTTGTTTTGGATAACACTTTGGGTTGGTATCACCAGTAAGAACAGTAGGGTAGTAAGTACATCAGGTGATTTGAATACACCTTTATTCCTTACTACAGTATTTTTAACTGTATTTACAATGTCAAGTCTTTTGGAACTTTTGAATTTCAAGCTAGGCTTAAAAATAACCCGGCATATTGCTCGACAAAATTATTCTTGGGTCAACAAACTTTAACATGATATACATCCAACAAAAATGTATAAAAAAATTTGGTACAGAATAAGATTATGAAGCTCCTCTTCTCTTCTTATTATGTTTAATAGTTAATTATACTTAATAGTTTATGGCCGGGTGTGCAACCTGCAGCACACGAAAAAATAGCTAAATATAGCTAAAAAATAGCAGCACAAAATAACTTGATTAAATATATACTTTGCAATCAGGAATGGCAATCATGTGATAGACGAACAGATTTTAATAAAGTTCAATATAAGTCAAAAATTTTCAATGAAACAAATATGAAGATAAAACACGAAGGAACATAAATATTATAAGCAACTCACCTGCAGAATGTGTACAATGCTTTGGTGATCTGTTCCACAAATTTTAACAACAATTGTAGATGAAGGTGCCGCGTTCATGCGATTACCAGTATATATTGTTAGTAAGTAACGATATGTCACATAGGGTACATTATCACAAACTTCTATATAAAAAGGCTTCAAGAAAGAAATAACATATTAATGCTTGAGTGTAATGTATTATTATTATATATATATATACTATTAGCACCAGTTTTATACCACATAAATATAAAGTGTCAATGGCTCTTTGAACAATCATATAACAATAATTCAGTAATAATAAGCTATTTCCGTGCTCATTCAGATAGATAAGTCAGAGTCTGGAGATAGGTTTAATTCTATTGATATTGGCGTTGGAACTAGTGGTGCCATTACAAACTTCCGGGTCGAAATTTTGAATTCTTCAGAGTCGAGAAGTCAAATTAAGCAACAAAACTCAAAGAGCATTAAGTTGGCCAAGCATTCTCAATAGATAATTAAAAAAAGCCAGCATACACAAAAGATTTTATTACCAAGCGTTGATTTAATAAAGATTCAGAGTAAAAATTTCTGCAACTTGGAGTCATTTTCATAGTGATTGTTAGCCCAGATTAGGAGGCTTTTTTTATAAGGCACAGGATTTGGGACGAGTATCAATTTTGCTAATTCCACAAACTTGTAACAAAATATCAAATTCATTGGTGAATTAATGCTATTTTCTGACCAAAGATATCATAAGAATTCAGTGTTAAACAGTTTACAGCAACAACACTTTTACCAAAGTTCTATTGGCTATCTTTTATGATGAATTTTTAGATAGATATCTACTTGATCAAAATGAGGACTCATGAAAAAAAAATGCTACAAATGAATAAACTTTTCATTCACCGTTTTGGCTCTTTTTAAGTCTTTCTGCCTCGCGGAAAACAGTATCCCAACAAATACGAAAATCATTGCTATCATGCCACCAATGGCAAGAGGATTTTGTCGAGAACTTTTAATTGTTGGTTTACTTGGTGCTGGGGTTGGTATCATTGGAAACTGTAATATTTTATAGTTTCCTCAAATTCAATTCAATTAATTTTAAGAAAGCATGAAAATAATAAAAAAAGCACTCACATCTTCTGCATAAGTAACTACAGGATCATCATATTCAACAGGCACATCCCATTCTTCTGTAACAGCTATTGTTGGTTCAGTTATTGTTGCATTTGTTGGAAATGTTTCATTTGTCACAGATGTAATATTTGTATCATTTGCTATGGTATCATAGATGACTTCTTCAATTTCAGGGATGTATGTAGAAGTGAATGCAAACAACCTTGAAGCCAGCAAATGTCTTGGATTTTTATAACCCCAGTGATACTTTTTGCTTAGGTCACATTCACACCAGTCTAGTTCATCAGGATTACTTGATGGCATTGACTGGAAAAATTTATCAGAGATTGAAGTTACAAAGAACCCTTATATTCTCTCCCTTAAAATAACTAAGACAATCTCGACTGTTTGAAATACAAATTTCTAGTTTTCAATTTGTATTCTCAAAAATAAGATACATGAAAAGATAATCTATCATTAAATCACTATTGAACCATGCAACTCTCAAAGAAACTAATTGTATTATGGTGTTGTATGTGGTGGGCTTCCTAAAGTCTAAATTTCGGATAGCTTATTTCCAAACATTATGGAGTTGAGTCATAATTTTAGACATTTCTGAAACTACATAGGCAAAAGCAAAATGCTCAGCTCAAACATAAAAAAATTGTCAATGCAAAAGATTTTGTTTCAAAAATATGTTATGTTGGATTGAAGTTGAAAATTCAAGCGCAAAATCAAACTTGGAGTTCTTGTTAATCCAGTTTTTGTATGGCTTGGAGTTAAAAGCAAATTTTTTCAAATACCGTACATAGCCTCGAATTAACCTATGTACTTTTTGTGTCTTACCTCACATATGTCGAAATTCCAATCCTCCAACTTATCATCCCATACTGAACATTCACTAGCCAGCATAGTGAGAGTCAAATTAAATTGATAACTTATATTAGGAGCCACAGTTGGTCCATGCGTAGTCGTCTCCTCAGTTGTAGTTGCAATAGTAGTAGTAGGCATAGTTGTTGACAAGTTAGTTAACATAGTAGGTGACATGGTAGTAGTTATATTTGTAGAATTAGAATCTGAGATATTGAAACCATCGCTACCATTTGAACCATGTCTAAGGGATTCAACCGACTCCACAAAATCCGGCACAAAATCCTCCTGATATTCAGGGAGAAATACAGATGCAGTGATTATTAGTTCATAAGTATTATTTCCAGTGACGTTAAGTTGACATCTCCAGGTATAAGAATCATCAGAAAAATCTGGGAGCAAAAAAATGAGGAACTATAAGGAAATGCATAACAACCTTATTAATTTATTCTAAATTTGTTATTAAAGGATTCAATCGATTGAGTTCAAGGTTGATTTAGTTACATGAAATTTTTTTAAAAATAAAATGTTTGGTGCGAATATCAAAAGTCAAAATTTTGAAAATGTAGGCCCAAACAAAAAAGAAACAAATAGTTAAATACAGACACTTTTATAGTTATATTGTAAAATGAATTGTGGCATTTAATTTCGTCTGTAAATAAACGAGCAAAATTGTAAGTAATTTTAATCTTTTGATGAAGAAAAGAAATAAAGCTATTTCAACTTATCAAAGAAATAAAGCTATTTCTTTATTTTGCACAAATTACAACAAATCAGGAATGCTCAAACGAATCGAATATTCAAATACATTAGGCAATGAATATGGGAGTAATTTAGAACATTTTTATTTAAAAATTAGGGATTTTGAGCTGTCAGATAAGTAGATCAAATCCTTATATCTCAACTGGTGAGAAACAACACTGAAAAAAGAATGACTATCTATCTATCTTTGTGTCGATTAAGATGTGAGCTAAATGAATAAATAAAGATTTATGTAACTTTTTCACATTAGCGTGCCCCAATTCAGAACATATTCGACACCTCAGATTCGATAATATTTTATCAGAATGTATAAAAATAGTGAAATATTTTATTCATGGTGCAAATATATAAATGGGCATATATAGAATGATATATTTGAATTTGAACTGGATTAAAAATTTGTAAAAACAAAGGAAATTTACTTTTCTTAGTGATGATAAGGTTGGGAAATTCAAGTGCGTCATCTTCCTCAAATGTCTCGTTATGTTTTATCACTATCATACTCAGCATAACATCATCCGGAAGTCCCACATGGTCAATTAATACAACTAATTCTATGTTTTTTTGCAGAGTTATATTTGCAGCAACACTATGAACATCATTAGTCGCATTCACAATATTAAAATTGATAGTTGTAGAAAGATGTGACATCTTTTTGCCTCCATGCATGTAGAATTTAACCATAGGAAGAATAGGTTCAGGAGCAGGCTGCCAAACGGTATAACCCCGTTCCACTTTTGAAAGAGAAAATGAAGTCACATCATTTTTAATTTGCCAGTTATCTCCTTTACCAATGAATTTTGCTTTTGAGGAATGATATCGATAAACCTGAATACAAATACTAGGGAAAATAATAAATCATCAAGCACAAGGTGATATGGGAAATTGTAATTTGTTGTTTGGGTATTTGCATTGCAAATTAAAAGAAATGTTTAAGATTTTGTTTACACATAATTTCATCGACCATTTTCATTTTACCAAATAATTATTAGGTGAATTTGATAATTATATCAAAATGATTGATCAATTCATTTGCACACCTATTATTATAGTAAACACCAATATGATGTGCAACCGATTATATCGGACCATCCATCTTTGCAACCTATTAGATCGGACCATTCACAAAATCAGTCATCTCTGCATAAATATTGGTATTTTACAAATTGTCAAGTATATAATAAAGTCAAGTTCACTTGATACTAGGTTTATTATAAGATATATGTAGCAACAAACCTGCAAATTTACAGTATCAGTATGACTGAACTCCGACCAATCGACATCATACACAATTTTAACATCCTTGCGGTCAAAAATTGTATCTGAAAATGAAGTTGTGCTAACATTTGGCATTGGAGATAAAAAATTACATTTCAAAACTAAAAAACTTGCTTAAAATGGGATCAGTTAATTGTTCATGTCCTAAATATTCAAAAAATTTCAATTTCACTCTTTTGATACACTCTTCATCGTAATAAACAAATTTTTACAAAACTGCAATTAATTGAAACATTTGTGCATAGAGCATTGGGCTAGAAACAATCTACTTAACTTTTCTAAATTGTATTTCAATAGGCATTTTGAGAAATAAACCTAAATCATTTCTTTTGTGAACATTCAAAACTGTAAAAATTTCCATAAAACCTACAGATGCAGAACTATAATCAACAAATATCCAATTAAATATATTAATGATTAGACTGAAGAGTTCCTTATTATTAAGAGAGAAGTTTCAGGCACATATTTTATACATTGTCTTCGTGACATTATTACAATAACACCAAGGTTCAGAATATTCTTACCATCATTTCTTTTCAAATTTGATAAGTGTGCTTCAAAAATTCGGTTTTTAAATACGATTCCATCATATTCTGGGAAAAGGTCAGCAAGGTCCAATAAATCAAAACCAGTGTCATCAAGCATAGTGCTCATTTTTCCAAACAAACGACCGGTTTCATTCTTAAAAATGCAAACTGGATGCCAGAGCGAAAATAATTTACAATTTATAAAATCTGAAATCACAAATTAACTACTGTATATACTCCATGGGTTTGCGGGTTCGAAACCTACAGGAATGAATGTGTGTTTAAAAAAGTCAAAACCTCCTGAATCAGACACAAGAAGTTGCATCATAGATTTACATGCATGGGTTTGTAGGTTCGAATCCTGTGGAAATGAATATGTGTGAATATGTTTCTGACCACCTAAGAAAGAGCGATTCATGTAGCTGCTGATAAGGGGAAAGTGGCTTCTTGCAAAATTCAAAGCTGTCTCTGATGATGGTTGTATTGCTCCCCTCAGTCTATACCAAATTACTTTGCATTTGTGGTATATTTTTATTGTTCCAATAACTGATGTGGCAATGGGCAGTGGATTGATACCGACAAAAATAAAAATAATTGTATCCTTCCTTTGTGCTCGTAAGTCCATATGCATATAACACAAGAATGCTTTAGCATGAATAAAAATAACTAGATTATTCGATTCAAAAGTCTTATCTTAAGCATAACCAAGTTTTCATTTTTCACCTTGTCCACAAATTCCATAGCTTCCATAAGGTTTACTGAAGTACGAATTAAAGACTGTGAAAAAGAACTCAGGAAACGTAATGGTGTATAGTAAGATGCATAAATGTCTTTCAGCAGTTTTCTTATGTTGGTCAGCACATCAATAATGCCATCCTGTGTTAATAATTATAAGACATAGTATGCTAATTTATTCAAATTATTAACAATAAAATAAAAAATATAGCAGTAAAACTTGCAAGCAGAGGAGCCAAACTCCTTCCAGGTTTCTTGGTTGACACCAATAAAATATCTGAAAACTGTTTAGCTGACTCTTTTATTGTAAAGTAGGATGCCTTCAATACATCACTCGTTATGTTTGCTTTCTGAAAAAATTAATTTTTGTCAGTGTTGAGCATACTAGAAGAATATTCATAAGGGGATGACATAATTTCTCAGAGGATTGAGATCATGGTGGGTCAGATATCTAGCCAGGATAGTAAATGTTTTAATATTTATTCCGGAGCAAAGAGAGTTTCTAGGACAGCTTAATCAGGGGATGAGTGAGCGCATCTCCTTCGGTTACCAGCTCACCTAGGGAACAGTTAACAGACTTGACTGGGATAAAAATGCTCATATATGTTCCATTCTAGAAGGTATCCAACAGTTCAATCATGTGGTAAACCATGGCCTTCATCTGGTTATCAGTCCAAGTTGAATATGGACATTTGCTAACCTGTTAATTTTTACATATGCACGGATGTGGATAGTAGAAGCAGTATCCATTCAGCAATTACATAAACCATCCTGCGACACAGAGGCCTTTAACCATTGTCCTATTCCATTCATAAAGGTAATCAATCAATCAGCAAATCAATAAAAAGCATATTTATATTGGTTGATATGATGTGCCAAGTATCCAGCTATTACTACAACCCTCAATTATACGTGGCTCAGTGCTTGCCTCAATTGTTTTTCAAATTAGACATAATAAAACCTTTTAAAGATTTTGTATTTGTCAATAACTTTAGTTTCAATGAGATTATTATGAAGAAAATATAGGAGAGTATATACCGTTTCTTCATCCAAATCAATTTTATCTAAAATGGAGGACAGGCAGTTTTTGTTGCAGACTGTAAATCACCAGCACGAAATGAACTTCTTATTCCTTGGATCAAAGCGGGAGTTACTGCGTTCTTATCTTGTCTACTTGGTTGCCATTGCTGCAATCGATAATCTGGTCTCAAAGCAACTTACAGAAAAAGTGCAGACTTCGATAACAAAGTCTGTTACACGGGTGGTAAAATTATATCTTGCATTGCCATACTCTTAACAGCATATCTATACTCAAGTAAAGGATTTGTGCCATCTGAAAAATTAATTGAATAACATTTATTTCAATGATCAACAATTCAGATGCCGAAAAAAAAATACTGATATGACACAATAGATGTCAGACAAACTTCTATGCCTGACATATTAAATTTAATTCCAAATGTATTCCACATGTTTATCACAAGTGCCATCCATCAAATCAGTTCGAAGTAGAAGTAGAGACCACATCATATACAAAAGTATAGTATGTGGTTTCTCTGTCAGCATTAACTGAGAGTTTATTGTGTATCCAATTAAAAATATTCCACTCGTTTCTCATTCTCACCTTTTTTCGACTGACTGAACAGAAATATGACATCATTATTTCTTGGTATTGAGCAAGAAATTTCAAATCTTGTAATAAGGCATATCCAATTGGAGGTCTATATTCACATACTACTGGGTGGTGGAAGATTCCTTCATAACTCCAATGAATGTGGCAGATGAGTTTATTTTTGAACAATCGTACCCTGATATATGAACGAAGTGTTTCATGATTATATATTTATCACAAGCAGTGAACAGAAAACAGAACATTTTATTGCTGAGGCTTTCAAAATTCAACCTTGCAAATCAACAAGGATTTTAGCATATCCATAAAAAACATTTGTTCTAAAATAATGTTAGCACCGTTCATTCACAGAAATGTGAGGATTAAAATGGGTTGTGATTGTAAAATGAATTTTTCAGTGGTGTTGTGAGAATTATTACACATTTACTAAATATTTCAATACTATTTCATTAAGAGAATGAGAAATACCATGACAAAATTTTCTCTTATAGAATACATAAAACTGGACACAAAAAATATACCAAATTGATACCTGTCAGGGTGACAGCATAGTTTTTTGGCAGAGTACGGAGTGTTTCGGGTAAAATTCGACAATATCGATCAGAATCACAATCTTTCAGGATACTGTTCACATTAGAAATCTTCCATTTAAATTCATAACATGTTTCACAGTCTGATTGAAATATCAGTGGAAGATGGGCCTTTTGCTCCTTTTCGCAGTTTGCCCGACAGCTGACAATACAATATATACATATAATAGAATCGGGACAGCAATGCGTGAAAAGAGCATACCATATGAAACGAAAATTAATAAAAAAGATATTCTTTTTATTATACTGTGCATAAATTCATGTTAGAGAAATCCTCATATTAATTAACACAATCTGTGTTGATACACAAATAACTATCTACCTGGTAAACAAATGATGATATTTATGTGTGGATAGAGGTTTAAATTTATCCTAGAGATAAATATGATAAAGCATCCAATTGTTATATTAGAGGAAGGAAAACAAATTGGATGAAAATTTGAAAGCAATTGGTCCAGTAGTTAATGAGAAATTCATACCAAGAAAAATACTAACAAGGTAATGAATATGATAAACAATAACATAATAACAAAATATCCAATATTATATTTTGTTTATAGATAAGGTTTAAAAAGCGAATAGAATAGAAAAAGAGGGTGTAGATTTCAATCCTGGAACTAAATATCTTATACTGGAAATATATCTTATGTTACTTCGTTATGAAACTGTATTCCAGGTGAACTGATATTGATATGATTGTGCTGAGAAAGAACACCTCTATTTTAGAGTATATTCCAGAACTGGCAAACAATTTTATACATCTTAATCCATGCATCCAGTAAGAAAGTGTATAAAATTTACAATTGCCCCAGTTACTTTCAGAATTGTTCAGGTCCACTAGATAATAATCTTCCTTTCATAAATGCTTCTAACAACTTGCTAATGCTATTTTAGAATTCCAGAGACCAATACTAGAATTCCAGAGACCAGTGAAAAGCTGAGATATGCAACTAGTACCAGGTCGACCTAGTAGATATCAGTTGACACAGGACTTGGAGCACTCTAGGTTGTCACAGTCATGAAAATAGCTTTGTGAAATGGCATTCTATATTTTATTAGCAATAAAACTCAATACTTACACAATATTCAATTTGGGCACAACAGATTTTGAAATTTCTACTTCCATGAAAGTACTTCCATGAAGTTTATGATAGTATGCACCATCATGATGCCGAGAATAAGCAACAGCTTGTACAAAAAATCGATCCATTTCAAAGGCCAATAAATAAAACGTAAGCGGTTTTTTAGAAACTGTTCCAGTTTGTGCTACTGAGAATCTTGAGCATGATGTATTAGTGAACTCTTGATATTCTGGGTCATTATCAAAATTTTCTTTGTTCAAGTAGCAAAGTGTTTTCATTCCAATCATCCAAATTGATGGATCCATGCAATTGAACATGTGATGTTCTTTCGCTTGTATAGAATAAAAACTTACATAAAGGCCAGCATAATACAAACTATTCGAAAAATTCCACATTTAATTAACTAAGCAACAAAACTATGATTTACGACATAATAAAACCAAAAATTAGGTTACAAATGTTCATACAGAATTATTTAGGTAGTTAATTTTGAAATTGACCATACATATCAAACGATAAAACAGGTTCATTAAATGATCCCAGGTCAAACACGGGTCAGATATGAGAATGGGAAAATAACTGTTAGATTAAAGTTGACTGATTTTTGGTAGGATGATGTAGACATCTCAGTGTCCATTTGATCCTATTAATGAACCGTTTCATTTTATGAGTTTTTATTCAATTTATTTTACTGTACAGTACACTATAATATGAACAAATTAACATTTAAGACTTTGTTTAATCGAAAAAAATTAAAGTTTCCAGAGGGACTCTTCAAATGCGGCAAATTTCAAAGCCAGTGATTCAGTAGGCTAGTTAAAAAGAACTCATTTTCGATTAGCTATCCAATTGATTTGGCATTATAAATACATAGAACACAAATCTATCGCCCAAAAATAGTGCTATATTCTCCTATTTTGTGAGTCGAACTCGCTTACGTAGACTAGTGAAATCTAAAATCATGTATACCTACTACTACTTTATGTGCTCCGCAAAGCCTTGCTTCTAAATAAAATCCTTTTGTAAGATTCAATGCTGTGTAGTCAAAAACATGATATAATATTTCTCCATCAGAATCTACTAATAAAACATTCAGTTTCACAATGTAAAGTCCAGGTTCAGTGAATGTTAGTTGGTCAACAAATAAATTATTTTTGTTGACTTCAATCCGAATATTTTCAAATTTGTTGCTATCCTTGGGCAGTTCATTTAGTGATTTTACCTGTGGAATACAATTAGGTATTATTACTTTTTGATAGCATTTTCACCTATATTTTACTATACACTAGCAAACATTAACAGACATTTAGCAAAGTGTAGGATTACTTGAACAATATGTCACGTTTAATCACTTATACTTGCCTTATAAATCGTCCATTTATAAGTAATGGCTTTATCTTTTGTCAATAAACAATGAAGTTTCACATCTGCAGAAAGTGGAAAAGATTTGTTCACTTGAATAAATGTATGAAGGTGATTTTTAAAGTTATAATCATAAATCTTGACTCCGGTTAAACATAAGTCCCGAGCGTCTTTCATCACATCCAAGGTAAACTCTTGTTCAAGTTTTACTTTATGATTTGTTGTTGAAACTCTTGCAACAATTGCATATCTTCCTTTTTCCTCAAACATCTTTTGTGCAACAAATATTTTATATCCCTCTGGGTTTAATGGCAACTTTATATCTTGGAAAGTATGTTTTCCCGGGTCCCAATTTTGATGCATGGTTATGTTATTATTTACCAATACCAGTCCATCAACAGACAAAAACAGCTCCAAATTGATGAAATCCACATCTGGCTTATATATTATGTAAAAATTTACAATTTTTCCTACATAAGCTGATCTATCTGCAGTAGCGAACATTGCATGCACTAAATTGAAGCTTTCTATGAATTTTGGAGAAGCGGTTCGCATACCATGGGCGTTTTTTGCTGTCACTTTAATTGTATATTTCCCCGGAGGCACAGAAAATAAGGAAGTAATACCCCTTCGGCATGTTCTTTGTGAATTGCATTCAATGAAATTATGTACAACATATTGAAGAGAGTTAGAGTCCACTATGCTAACATTTATGCCTACAGGAGCGGTTGAGCCAGGATTTACAGATACTGGAAATGTTGAAGGAAGTGGATTAACATAATCTTCAACTTCAAACTCGAGATTGGTAATTGGACGGGACAAATCAAAAATAACTGGAGGCAACTGCACAATTGAAACATCATTCAATATATACATGAATAAGCTAAATCTTCCTGCTTCAAAACCAGTATTCTGTTTCGTATCAAACATCTTTATTTGTACAGATTGCCTGTCTCCAGGATCCTTCAAACCATGTCTTTCATAATCAATTGTTTTAAAATAATGCTTCCCATCTAAATGAATGATCAGACAAGGGTGTGTTGGATATTTGTATGGATATTTCAAGATGAAATGAAAGCTTTCTTTAAAAGTATAATAGTCAACAGTTAGTGCTATACTTTGAATCCTAGGCAATTTTATTTGAGATATAAATGTAGAATTATTCAGATTATCTTCAATCTCAAACTGTATGAACTTTTTTAAAACAGCAAAATTCATCCCAGTATCCTTTTCATACAATACACAACTGAAATTATATTTCAACGGCCCAGAAACCAGTTTTCCATGTTCATATGGATATGTGACAGCCTTTTCTTCCGAAATTTCAGACAGTATTTCTCCAGTATTATTTAATTTACAGGTAGATCCAATTTGACTCGGCAATCCATGAATACCAATATGTATTTTAGATTCTTCTCCAACTATAAAATATTTCTTGTCAGTAGTGATTTCTAGAAAAAAAAAAGGAATCATAAAGATAAATAAAATAAATGTGATTTATATATATATATACCAGTATGTCAAGTTTATACCACAATGAAACTTAATTGGGCTAAATTAATCAAGCCAAATTAATCAAGGTCTTAGAAATATGAATGAGTGAACTATCGAAAGACTAAAGTGGTAAGTTATACCTGAACTCCATATTAGTAGTATATGTAAAAACATTGCTTGCCATATATTAGACGGACCTTTTTTTAGTGTAAAATTTTTACACTTATTTCAAATTCAGATAGTGTTATGTCATAAATAAAGGTTGTAAGCTAAATGAAAACAACTGTAGACCCATACTCCTCATGAACTTGGAGTCAATGTACTATAATGCCCCATTCACTGGAAATTCTATCATTTGGGTTTAAGAATGATACCAATGGGGTGTGTTATTTCAAGCTACAAAACCTGTATAAAAGTGTTGTAATTTTGCGACGTCTTGGAAATGTTGTGACCCACTTGTGGAACAAGTGGGGACATGGGACACAACATTTTTGAAACACCCATAATTTAGCATGCATGCACATTTGATTCTGTTGAAAAAGATATATAAATGTCATTCTGTTAATTTCAAAGTACATCGTTCTCAAATTGTGAATTTGATACCAAATTTTTCAACCAGATTTGATCCAAGTAAATAAAGTTATGAAATGTCCTACCTGGAAAAACATAGTACAGTTTAAATCCTGTTCCGCATTTACCATCTTTTATTTCAAATTTGACACTTATAGGAATATCAGCTGTAGAAAAGAGTACTCTTGTAGGAACTGTATCTTCACAATAATCAATATCTTGAATTTTTACCTTCGCATTAGCACATCTGAAATAAAGAAAAACAGATTTAATTGAAACTATGTAAATGTTCATTGGGGTTGTTCAACAGTGCTGGACAAAAAATAATAAAATAAATTTGAGCAAATGGAGAAGTTGGATCTGAATTTACGATCAAGGTTTGACTAAAACCAGGCAAAGCTTAACATAAAAAAACAATGCCAAGTTTATACATGTGATAAATAATAAAGATTTATAGTTATACAAACTTGAATGACAATTTTGAATCTCTAACACTAGAAAACCACTCAATTTAAGTTGAATCAATAATTCGGTTGTGTTCACTGTACTATGATTTAACCATATCCCTCAAATATAAAACAACAGTATTGGTTGAAAAAAACACTTTGATTTCTGTGTTTGCCGAGTCTGAATGAGGACAATATAAATCATAGACCATACTAAAATAATCTCTAATCAACATAAAAATGCAAAAAAAGATTCTTACGGTTTAACATCGAATTCAATGAATTGCAAAAGAACTACAGGATACTCGTCTGATATTGGAAAGTTCAATACAAATGTACCATTATTCTTTTCACCATCACAATCTGGGTAGAATGGACTATAAAGGTTCTCAAAGCCAAAACTGAATTCTTGAACAACTGCAAAAAAGTTAATATGTTAATAAGCCCTACAGCTGATATAACTAGGTTGTATGTAGATAGGATAGGATTTACATATTTATCCCAAAAGGCGAAAGTCAACGAGACGGTTTAATCATACAGCAAACCACGGCCTCTTGTCCTTGATACATAGACAAATTTTTTTCTAAAATGATATTTATAATTTTCTTTGATAAAATATTTTAACTACTAGCTGCTGGTTTCAATATTTACTAAGAACCTTGTGTTACAAGCTATTCCAGTAAATTATTATTACTATTATGCTAGGGTCTAACTATAGCCAGTATTCTTTATTGCAAATTAAACTATACAATTATGCATAACTATGCAGTCTAAATTTCAGCATTTTTCACAATTATACAAAATATTGGAACTGACTGTGACATACAGACATGGCCATCCAAGCCAATATAAGGTATTGATGTGTGCCTTTCAAAGATTTTATTTGAAGGCATATATACATTCTCCAAATATGTTTATGAGACTAGTTGTTGTTGGAAAGAATGAAAAGGATCAAATAATTAGATTGCTGAAATGGAACCAAAAAATTACCGTGAACAAACTAATTTCTGGAAACAACCATCTGTATCTGTGTGTACGAATATGTTTCATGGCTATAAAGATCTTGGAGAGCAAAAAATTTGTATGGATTTTTGACTTAACTCTCTATACCAGGGATGGCGAACTTTTTTCAATGGATGAGTCAAAATTTATTTTTTTGTTGCGAACAAGAAGGATGTGGGTCATAGATAATTGATAAAAGTTTGCATCAACGAGAAACCTGCTGTTGCATTTTTGCTACAAGATTTGTCATCAATCCCTCGTTGATATGATGTAGTTTTGAGCTTTATGCATTATTCCACCATGAAATAATTATACATATTTTTGATTGGCTTTGTTTTCCAAACGGCCTTTAGGCTGGAATGCACAAACGACAAAATGACATCTAGTTTCAATTCACATTCCTATGAATAAGAACTTCTTTTACAAGATTATTTATGTGAAATGAGCCAAACAATTGTATTGTTATGTCATAAGCGTTCTAACAGCTCTGTTGACAGTACAGCAATAACTGTAACTGCCCACCTGAATGCTATAGTAATATCCACTTGATATTAGATTGAATGAAAGTCGGTTTTATTATAAATTTTATCATTGAAATTTTATTATGTTTTTGCATTCATTGGTGACCTGGTGGTTCACCGAAAAAGCTAGATGGGTCACGCCATTGGTTCGCCATCCCTGCTCTATATCATACGGCAGTAAGGAGTAGGGATGGATGGGTCCATTGACCATTTGCGCGTTTCCTGAGAATGCCCATATAGCTCCACCATAAAACAGCGGATTTGGTATTTTAGGCAGCTAACAAAAACATGTTTCAATTACGTTATACAGTTTATCATAAAATTACCGTCTCCCTGGACTTGACATCCCATGTAAATACAAATTGCAAATGCACAAAACAACGATGTAGTCGTGGACATAACCCCACTTTCCATTAGACTACTTCTGTGCTACAAATTGCAGGATTCGAAAATACGTCCACGTCTGAAAGTAATCTTCAACTCGGCAATTCGGTGTTCCATTGAAATAAGTTCACTCGAAATCAAGTCATGAAAAAGTCACTTTTTACACAAAAAATAAACTTTTGCATCATAGGTCAGTAGGTAGAATGGACGAGCACAGTTGGCATAGCAAACCCGATAATCCAATTTTGGTGTATTCAGCCTTGTTCGTTCGGAACGTCAAATAAATCAGCCAATTTAGCCACTATTTGAGAAAACACGCAAGGTTAACGATCCGATCTGTCGACACAAATTTTGATTGTGACACCATAGAGAAATATTTTGTAACCATTGTCTGGTTAGGTATGTTAGTCGTTGGGTTTTCCCGTATGTTAGTCGTTGGGTTTTCCCTTATGTGTTAGAACAGAGACAGTGCATATCAACAATGTTATGTAAAATCTATGGTCAGAAAGGACCCTACGAAGTCGGCCAGAGACTTTTTTGTATTGACCGATTTGTGACGTGTTTCCGGCTCTCATTTGGGAGTTGAGAATACCCTGTTTTCATGTTTTGTGTTCTTACTTATTTGGATTTCAATCGCGGTGTCTCCAAAATGTCGTGGCCAACTTGTCCCAGGTGTCCTACTCGTTCCAATTGTCCCACTCGTGTACCACGTTTCCCACTTGTACCACGTTTGCCACTTGACACGCGGTACAAGTGGGACACGTGGTACAAGTGGGACACGTGGGATAAGAGGGACACGACATTTTGAAGACACCCTTTCAATCGTATAACTAGTATCACGCTAAAGTGTATAGTTCAATAAATCTGTTCGAATTCAATTCGATCGTCCAACTCTACAATATACGATCATTTTTCTTCACAATACATTGTGTGCTCAATTACCTCTGTAGGAGTCAGCTGGGGCATTTGGTCGAAATTGTATAAATGTAAAGTATCCAAAGAAAATACGTACCGACGAGAACATTTTTTCGTCTATTTGTGACCAAAAAATGGGCTTTCGTCCGTTAACTTTTTTCGGAATAACGACCTAACGGGCTGCAGGATTACAAGTTCCAGTCTAACTTAATTAACCCATATTAGACATATTGCATTATCCTGAAGCGATTTCCATGGAATCGATTCGCTAATATGATAAGATTGAAGTAAAGGTTTTTATTGGATTCTATTTTTAGCAAGGAAATAATAAGGTCAGCCATACCACTAACCAGCGCGGTATTTCGAACAGGATGTTTTCTAAATTACATACACTTGTTCGGTGGATCACCTATTTCGAGTCGCAAGACCATTTAGTAGTATATATTTACGGTCTGACTCATGTCAGTTGCAATAAAATTTAAAATCTATTCAAGAATTCGACCAATTTAGAACAACAATCTTTTCCCATCTCTTTAATTGAGCGAGATGTAACCTTTGCGATCTAAAAATAAATATAGGCGGCGTTGCCTGGGGCTGAAATTTCCTATATAAATAAACGTCTCAAAATCCTTGATGAATTACAAATGGAATGTTTTCTCCTATAGTTTCAACGTATCGAAAGTGTAAATATAATTGCAAAATATTATAAAACACTATTGTCACGTTGTGGTATTGAACAGTAACGGTTGTTCGTATTCGGAGATCGGAAGATTGATTTAATTTTGTTTTGTTTGTACTAATATTATTTTCAATATTAATGGTCTTATATTCCTTATCATATAGCTGTACATCTGTGTGGTCAGTTGAAAATGAATATTACGCCGCTAATTATAGTGTTGCTTGATGTTGCCTATTCGGATGCACTTAGTTGTGTTGGATGTTCGAGAACAGCATGTCCCATCGTTTCTTGTCCTGGATCTAAAGTACTTGATCTATGCGGGTGAGCTATTTTGTCAATACTTTTGCCAGTTTACCTATTATACAATATAGGCCAGTGGTCGGCAACCACCGGGCCGCGGCCCATCGCCGGTCCGCGGAAAGATTACTACCGGTCCGCAGAAAGATTACAAAGTTGAAAAGCGTATTTGCAATATATATCTTGGTAGTCTTTTGGTTGTTACTCTTAGATAAATACTCATACATTGCAAGAGAAGCTTCACAGACAGTGTCACCTTTTTATGTGGGTCGGGTTTTTGATATTTACAATTACAACTACAAAAACGAAATACCGAAATCGGGTGGGCGTAGAAACCCGTTTCGTGTATCACTGTTGACCATATCTCCAAATTGGGAACAGTTAATGGACGAACAAATACAGATCTCGCATTAATAACCTCACCGGTACACCTGTTTTTGGAGATAATTTCAACATAAATTTTCTATTGCGCATAATTTACTACATAAGCTTAGCTCGTTTGTATAAAGGTGGTCCGCCAAAATTTTGGTTAGGTTTACCGGTCCGTCACCTAAAAAAGGTTGCCGACCGCTGATATAGGCTACCCTTTTACTGAGGTGTTTTCACACCTTAACTCGCAACAATGCTCAGTAGTGCACAAGTAGCCAATTATGATTGAGTAGCTGCTATTTTTGGAAGAATCAGAATATTTCTTCTAGGCCATATATATATTATAATTATCTCCATATTAATGGCGACGATAATAATAAGTAACTACAGTTGAAGTTGGCGACTTTGCGCTGGTGCAGTTTGTAGATATCCAGGCTAAATGTGAAAAGAGTAACATATAATATATACACGTTTTTGCAGATGTTGTGATGTTTGTGCGAAACAAGAACACGAATCATGTGGAGGTCCTTGGGACAGTGAAGGATTTTGTGACACTGGCCTTGCTTGTTTAACAACAGATCCCGAATCATATGCAAATAACGAGAAGAATCTTCTACCATACCCTGCATTGCCATTTGATCAATCGGCTGGAACGTGCACAGGTTAAATTGTCAAATAAAATATTAGTAATGTTAAACACGCGTAATTTTGTTCTTAATTAGACAATCATTTCACTAATTTACAGTTTCATACAAAAACTGCAATGAAGTTTGTGATCATACAAATATATTCAATAATCGACCCATCGGTTTCACGTATTATGGACGAAACGCGATATTTATTGATGAAACAAATGGGCGAGGAATTCAAGCTTATTGTGATTGCAGCTCTGAAGAACATAGAGCATGGACTGTGAGTATCTTATTGTGTTATTATGTACGTTAACGCAAGGTGAAATAATAATTAATTTGAGAACTTCCGTTTCTTCAAGGTGATTCAACGACGAACTAGCAACAAAGTTAATTTTGATAGGACATGGGAAGAATACGAAAGTGGCTTTGGATTACCACTGGAAGATTATTGGATTGGTGGGCTTATTCTTATTTAATGACAAGCACTGATTTCATTTAACGAATTTTCCTGCTTAAAATATTTCCAGGAAAACTGAAGCGTTTATTATAATTATAGGCTTTAAATTTGATAGTAAGATGTACGATCCTAAATTGCCATTTGTAGTTATGTTTATGCTGAACCAATGAGGTATCTTACAAACTTGAACTTACCCATTATTCAATTATCGCTATCTTGTGCGAGGTTGCAAAGAGTTGGTTTCTTGTGACTTAGGAATGATCACAAATTAGAGTGGTGTGACGTCAGATAGCAGCCTAATAATCTTTCTCGCACGAAATATTGGACGCGAAAATGGTATCGCAGTCATTTTTTGCGCCGCCACTAATGCAAAAATGTAAGATTTAGGAAAAACAAAAGAGGTAACTATACTCAAACGTATATTCGTTTTTAGGTTTACAAATGCTCCATACTATGACAGAGGAAAGGCCATGTGAAATGGAAATAAATGTTCAATTTAAAAATTCTTACAAAACTACAGCAAAATTTGGGTAAGAAGTGATTTCATTCTAATGAGTTTTACGTTATCTCTTCGATTCTACGAAGTATGCTTCCTAAATATACGCATAGAATTCTATATTGTTTCATGATATCTACACTGTAGAATTTGAATTTGTTTCTTTTGTGTATGATAGTGTGTAGTTGACAGTATCGAAAAAAAATTAAATTTGAATGAAAATTTGATAGAAAAGCTTTTATAAAATGCTTGATTCGGGACCAATTTCGCCCATACTTTAATTATGGCATATTGCCCAAGATACACAAAAATAAGCTATAAATTTGAAATTACAGGTGTGATTTTTATAAACCTCGTATTTGCCATTATGTGCCTGTTATCATACTGTTCAAATGTATTGAGGAATACAATGTAACCAAGATTTTCAGACTAACTGTGATCATATTTCAATAATTTCAGTTCTGTAACTATTGGGAGTCAGAAAACTTCATATCAGATGACTTTTGATGCGGAAAAAAATAAAATGAAAAACGAATTTACGAGCATCCACGACGGAATGAAATTTACAGCTAAAGACAAAGATAATGATAATTGGTCTGGTGGAAATTGCGCAAAATGGCTCAGGGGAGGTTGGTGGTTCAACAGCTGTACGCCTTACAACTTAAATGGTTTGTACCGCGATCATTCTTCTACTGCTGACAGAATAACATGGGGAGGACGATTGTCTCCAGATGTGGAAATGGTGGAAATCAAAATCCGACCTAAGATGAATTAGATTATGTAGTTATTGAGTATTTATATATTTATTGCACAATTTATTTATATAGAGTACTACGTACGTACGGCAGATTTGACAAAGGAAATAAAATTGTATCTGGGTGTTTGTTAACGACTACAAGTTTTTTTTTGAGTCGAGGAGGAAACAATTATCTACTCAGACGATGGATAGGTGTTTTTGTTCAATGACGTAATATATCTGTGCCTTTTGTTCCGAACAAGGTTAGATGAAGGCAGCCACTGGTATCTTAAAGAATCTCCTTAAAGACTTACTTCGCTATCGAAGTTAGCCAAGGTATATAGGCTCGCATTTTCATCTATCTTTGTTCGTTCATTTGGTAAAGGGTTATTGATAGCAAGCTAGAAAAAGTCAGTTTTCAGTAAATCGTTCAAAAATAGAGTAGAATGGTGTTGCCTCGCTGACCTCCCCTGGTTACGTCTACGGATGGGTTCTCAATTTGATGGGAGTGGGACTCTTACTTTCACGGAAACAGCAACACAGAGCGGGGATACGCGACTCCGTTATATGAAAGAGAGTGACACCATCTCCGAAAATCGCGACCTTTAATTTTTTCAATGCAATGCAACTCTTTATTCCTCCGCCACTATGCATAAATAAGTACTTTATTTATTCTATCTTTATGGGATCTTTAGATAGTTTTATGCGCGAGTCCACTCCCTCTATTGTAGCCTACAGTTTAAGTTGTACAGCATAAATCAGTTTCATAGTGATAACCAGGAACTGAAGAATATTAATGACACTAAGCAAATACGAAGTAAAATGCCTTTCTAAGAACGAAAAAATAAAAACCTTCTTTGATTTTATTTGTTAGCCTTACAATTTTTGTATTATACTTTATTGCATCATCATAATTACACTATAATATATATACTCAAGTGTAGTGTTAATAAACCAACGGCCTGATTTTCATTTCAATCATCTCGATATCTGGCGATGTATCTCCACCCCATGTTATTCTATCGGGACCTGGAGAATTAGGATAGTATACTCCATTAAGATTCTGTTCGGTGCAGCTGTTGAACCACCAACCTCCTCCAAACCATTTGGCGCAATTTCCTCCCGACCAATTATCGTTGTCGTTGTCTTTTGTTGAAAATTTCATCCCGTTGTGAACTCTCATGAATGCATTACTCAGTTTTCCGGTGTTCAGTCCAAGAATCATCTGGTATGAGGTTTCACGACTTCCAATAATCACAATTCTAGAATGGTAGAGTATAGCTGTTAAGCTAAACAAAATAAGACTGAAGGCTCATTTATGTTGCACCGATCTATATTTATAACAAGAGTGTGATACTCAAATCTATGGACACGAAAGCCAAAACAAAGTAGCACGGGTATGCAATCACTACCAGCAGTGTTCCTTCCAGCGAAAAATGCAATCTTCAGCCACTGAAAATTTCGAAGCAATAGGTTCAGTAGTTGCCGAGAAAGACGGTTCATTCATAACGATAAGGAGAAAAATAACAACAACAACAACAACAGCATAATAACAAAACTATCCATGTGTACATTTCGTGTCCAAAAATAGCATTGCCTTATACTATATAGAATTTTAGGTACTCCCGTATAGTGTGTGTACCAGGCTACCATAATTTTATTCCGATTTTCCTTATCGTCACACTAATAAAAAAAAAGTGTTAGGTACTCCCGTATAGTGTGTGTACCAGGCTAGGGTTAAGCCATAATTTTATTCCAATTTTCCTTATCGTCACACTAATAAAAAAAATTGCCCAAGTCTCTTATTGTCGATTTTGAGATTTTGGTATCGCCGGATTCGTTGGGGAAAGATCTATCTTTCTATGTTACTTAAAAACATTCATATCTGTTATATATTAGCCGCTATGGGGCAAAAACAAATCTGCCTATCTCAAGAAGTGGACTTAGGCAGATTTTGGTTTTGCCTAAACTGACTATTATTGAGATAGGCACATTCAAACACGCCTGTCCGCATCTAGTTTTGGTACGTCCTGGTGTCGTTACGCCACTCATCGACGAGCAGCGCTTTCTGGTTCAAGTCGGGTGTACTGAAATATATATTTCAACATCTGGACGCTACCGGCAAGAAATTGTAGTGATAGAATAATAACAGTATAAAGTCCAGGAAGCTGAGAAACTATGCTCTACTTAGAAATTTTTCTGCGAATAAAGTGTCACACGTGATAAGTTATTGAACGTCTAAAAATGCGAATTTATGCGGTGATAGTAGCGAGCATTCTTCACATGTTTTTGTATTTAATTTTCACAGATGAGGTGAATGAAGTTTGAAGTTTTATAGAGCCTCAGCTCGATGGCTGGGGGAGGGGGGGGGGATTCCAATGCATATTCATATAGTGAAAGTTGCTATTTACCGTTTCACGAAATACTGGATATTGATGTAAGTCTCGATAATCTGGACGCGGTGAGTGGAGTATCTCGGACAGTACAAATAAAGACTACAAGATCAGATGGCGCTATTGAAACCTATGACGAGCCCTAACCTAACCGAGAAAAGAGACCAGTGCACTATAAATGGAAACAAAATAAAGAAAAATCAGGCGCCTCCTTAGAATATCATATAGAAACTGGAAAGGAAAGAATGTGCCCAATTGTCAACCAGGGCCAACATGTAGATCAGCATTCTGTCGCAGTGTAACGTTGTGGATGAAGATCAAAGACTTGCTATTTTCAATAACTTTTTGTCTATGACAACTTGGAATGAACGCAAAGTACTCATAAATACTCTGGTTGGGACACATGAGGTTAATAAACAGCAAAGATCATCTGGCGTATCTAGGAAAAAATCTTCATATGTTTACAAACTAAAGCTTGCGAATGGTTCTGAGCTGCCAGTCTGCAAAGAAATGTTCGCTTCCACGTTTGGGATGCCTTGCTGAACGTTGGTGTCTTGAATTAAACATAAAACCTCTTCTAACATAACAGCTGAACTGTTCAGGAAGATCCCAAAAGTGAAAAGTGTGCTAAAGTAAGTGAAAGGGATAGAGTGTTTATAAAAGAGTGGCTCAGCACACTACCAACTGTAGACTTGCATTATTGCAGAAAATTGCCAAGTTACAGAAACATGAAAATTTTGTATCCAGGCACCACAATATCTGCTCTCCACAGGTATCACCAAAATGTTGCAGAGGAAGAAAACAAGAGGGTCGTTAGTGAAGCTCATTTCTACGAGATTTTCCACAGACGTAAATACTCAGTTTCCATCCCCCGAAAGGATAAGTATGTAGGTTACAAACATGGTAACATGAGAACAGTTGAGTATAGCTTGCATATCAAACTGAAGGATCATGCTAGAAAAGAAAAGATAACCGACAAAGATTCTGCAAGTGCAAATAAATTCGTTTGGACAATTGATCTACAGGCCGTGGTTTTATGTCCTAGAACAAGAGCTAGTACCTCATATTACAGAACTAAGCTACATGTACACAATCTCACACTACATGATACAAAATCAAAAGCAGGTCTCTGTTACGTCTGGAATAAAAACTGAAGGCAAACTTTCTAGTGAAGTATTTGCTTACTTGCAGTTTGAGCATTTAAGCGAATCATTTGTAATGATCCCGAGCTGAAGCATATCATAGTTTGGAGCGATGGATGTGGTTACCGCAATAGGAATAGCACGGTAGCCAATGCATATTCTAGTCTGGCAAAAACTTACAACATAGATATAGACCAAAACTTTTTGGTGGCTGGACATACACAAATGGAATATGACTCGATGTACAGCGTCATTGAACGAAAGATCGTAGGCGACATTTTTTTTAAAGAGATTTGATCGTACTTATGGAATCCGCAAGAATCAATTCATCACCCGAATGTACAGAGAAAATATAGGATGAAGATGTGAATAATATTGCCTAACTCGGGGTGCAGGAATGAAAAAATGCCTAAGTCAATTTTAGCGCATATGAAATAAAATTTGAAAATTATAGATATCGTAAAATAATTAAAAATTTGATAAGATAAATCTAGTTAGAAAAAATTTTGAAATAGATTGAAAAATGGGAAAGTTATGAAGTTTTTGTTGATTTACTTAAAATGTGAAAATTTGACTTAAGCAATTTTTTTATTAGTCTGACGTTATTTTAGTTCTATTACGAGTTCGGGGACTGTCTGTGTTAGCCAAATGAATATAGTCCCTACCCATAGGCTTCAGTCCCTTTACACAACTTGATGTAAAGTAGGCCAACACAATTAGCTACCATCATATTGATACACATACGTCTGGAGCGCCGAATGTTGAAGCTATGCCTAACCATCAAGATAAAGTTTTTGGGTTCAACCCACCACATCACCAATGCACCAGAGTGTGGTAAATTAGGTAGGCAATGTCTAATCGGGACGAATACGAACTTTCACAAATAGTAACGCATCACGTCAGAATTAACCTGTCGCAACAAAATTGTCATATGCATTCTGTTGCTAATTTGACACGAGTGAAACATGTGAACTTCTCTTACCCAAAATTTGCTGTAGTTTTGTAAGACTTTTTGAATCGGATATTAATTTTCATTTCATATGGCTGTTTATCGGTCATAGTATGAAGTCTATGCAAACCTGAAAAATATATTTATTTATTTCATTGGTTAAAACATCAGTAATTGATTGCATACTTTGACGGTTAAGCCGAAAGTAAGCTGGTTCTGTATCACTCTCGGATTTCGTTCGGAACGCTGAGACAAACGTAAGGAGCACTGATAACCAAATGGGAGTATATCACTAAAATTAGTTTACATGATTTTCCTGGGTTATTATATATTAATTACTTAGAATAGAAGCTTATTTACTTAATAAAATATACCGGCATCGTGGCCGAAAAGATAGAAAGACTCCATAGCACGTCAACGCACGAGCACATTTGTCTCTAGATAAGAACTCAAAAAAAAAGTTCAGACATTAACAGGCAACAAACAGACGATAAAATGGGAGTCAAGAAACTAATTGCACAAACATGATTATTGTTTTCGCAGAGACATACCTAACCAATAGTCTTCCAGTGGGGTTCCAAAGCCCTTTTCGTATTCTTCCCACGTTTTATCGAAGCTGACTTTGTTGCTACTTCGCCGTTGAATTACCTTGAATTAGCAAGTTTTGATTTTAACAAAATGCAAACTGGCATAAATAGGATAAGATATTTTTGTATTAATTTTATATAGACATTATTCATTTACCAAAAGCAATTTATGTCATTTGATGGCAATAGACTCTGATGACCCCAAAAAGTCGTATAGTTGCGTCCCGGTAATATACTGAACGCATTTGTTTGATTATTATTATTTATTTATTTTCATGGTATGACAAATGAAATAAACTCTCTCAAAATATTAGCCAGTCCAGCTTACAGTCCACGCCCTATTTTTCCCTGAGCTACAATCACAATAAGCTCGAAATCCGCGTCCAGTATTTTCATCAATAAACATTGCTTCTCTTCCGTAAAAAGTGAATCCCGTTGGTTGGTTTGTTATTGTAGTTGTATTATCACAGACCTCATTGCAGTCTCTGTATGAAGCTGTAAATGCAAAATAATATTCCTACTCAAAATGATCGATCACATTCAAAATAAACAAGGTGCAAGAACTTGACATCACAAAAAAGGTAACACTGTGTCAAAATATAAATTGCCATTTATGAATTAAAAAGTCCAACTTTCAAATAATTGCCTCACTAACGATAGGGACCTGATAGTATACAAATGCTGAAACGCAGGACACTATATCGTATTAGAAAGGCAAAGCGGCGGCTATAGGGATTAAACTAGCCAACTTTCACCTGAGGTGTTAACATAGTATCGCCCAACGTGCCAACAACCCATTTTACATGCGTTATACCCGATCCACTATTTGACTGTTTTGTGCATTGGCAGGGCTGAGCAATTATAAAAATGTCCTTACTTTTGCATTTTCCAGTTGACTGGTCAAAAGGCATTGCAAGGACTAGTAATCGAGTCGGTTTATTTGATGAGGACACTTCGGTTTCTGTGGTCACACAAGCAAGTCCTGTATCACAGATACCAGCACTGTCCCAGGGGCCACCGCAAGACTCATTTTCTTGTTTTGCACAAACGTCACAACATCTAAAAACCGAATATACATGATGATTCTTACAGTAATCTTTTGAGTTATAAGATTCCTATACGTTTTCTCATAGTATCTCAATTCCCGAACAATTTTTAGACGTAAATATGATCTTCGCTGAATTTGCATCTACCGGTACTTATCAATTGCGAAATCATTCCTAATTGTCCAATTTATAGCTGATAGCATTACCAATACCTAACTAAGTAAGTAAAATATTAACTTAAACAAAAACTCACCCGCATTCGTCAGGTATTTTGGATCCAGAGCAAGTGATATCCGGACATGTTGCTTTTTGACACCGAATGCAATTCAGCGCATCCGAGCATGCACAGACTCCGAGCACCGCCATAATCAGTGACGCAATATTCATTTTCAATCTATAGCACTGATTAATGGATATTCTCACTACAGCAACACTTTGCTACAATAAGAGAACAATGATTGAATTGAGTGTACAAAATTATTGTCTGCTTGCAATGTCATTAAAAACAGCACATAAAGCCAGTGCAAACGCCTTCTCCCTCGCGCATGGGACAGGAACAGAAAAACAGAATCAAGCATATGACTATAGCGCAAAGAACCTGGATTCGCGTTTCAATATTTTATCGCCGAGTCAAAATATTTGAGTAAAATATGTGGATTGCCGTTCGAACACACCTCACAATTACTACAGGAATTCGTTCTTAGCAGTTGCCGATGGAACAACGAAAACAAAATTCTAAAACTTGCGTTTGAATAATTTCAAAGCGCTTCAAATTTTAAAAAGCAATTCACTATTAAAATTTGGGAATTTATGAGGTATTTCCTCGGCCTCGGGCAAGGTCGCCATATTCAATGGATTTGACTCTGAGTTCAAATCCACCCTTCATAATAAGATTAAAATGATTTGGAAAGATTATCGAGTCTTAATGGCGGAGTCATTACGTGCAGATTATAGACTTTATCGCGTCTGGTACAAATCTAGATAACTAAAAACAATTCAAAACTTTTTTCCAGATTAGGCTGGTTTCAATATTGTCCTGCGGAATTACGGACAACCGTTTCCAATTTATATAATGTAACACATATTTATTTTAACGGCAGTTCACAATAAATCGGTACATTCCGTGCACTAAATTTCATAATTTGCATTAATTACAAAATGTATGGTCCCAACTTCGTGAATTGGTCTTATGCTATTGTGCTACTATAAAGAAAGTAGATGACGTCATTACCCTATAAGATTAGCTATATATATAGAGTCTGTTTGTTGTAAAAAGCACCGTTTATGCGTTATAACTCTAGGAAACCTTATTTTAATGCTACCCGAGGCAAGTGAAATTATGTAAAATGAAGATATATATATAACATTTCTAAAATGTTAAAATTAAAAAAAAAAATCATATTGTGAATACAATTCTGGTATGATTAAACGTACGTATGTTCTTTACTACTACATTATTTTGAAACTTGACGGGGAATAAAAATACTCAATTCAAAAGTCACCAAAATAGCCCCGAGTCTAACACTGAAGGAAATAATCTTTCTCGCGTCGGAGTGAATGGTGTCGTATTTCATATTATGACGAAAACGATTTACATTATGACGTCAGTATCGTTCTGCTAAAGTTCTGCTTTAGAATACCCATTTAGCGAAAACACATAAATTTTGCACAAAAAATTGAATTCATTTGCATATAAAACAAAATATTTTAATCTACGTAACGATGTCTAATTTTAAAATACCAAAGGTGCGCCACATCTATTTTAGAACATAATTTATGGTGTTGCCGATACGTGTGCATCAATTTTTAATTCGTTTATCTTTCCATATTAAATGATCACTTTAATAATGTAGATGCACTTTATTATGTACCTCATGTACATCCTTTTGAGAAGTATTTCCTGAATGCATGGAATGCATTAGGGGTCTTTGTGAGAAGGTAAGCACACCTGCTTTGTCAAAATCCGTATTGAAAGTCGCTTATACAGTTGAATGTGATACATTTCTGATCGGCGCTATCATGTATTGTAGAGTTAATTTAGGTTTCAACAATATGTCTAGATAACAGTGTTTGTTTTTGAAGATAGGCAAAAATAATTATCATCTTTCAATAAATAAATCGAAAAATTTAGTTTACTATCTAAAAACTATTAAAAGTGTTAAAATAAGTGCACTGTTTTTGGTATTAGCGATAATCTGTATAAATGTATTATTTGTTTAATTTAACCCAAAGAATGGAGAAGCTGTTTTGATTAAAATTAAACGTGTAATAGCAATGATATTTAACTTCAGAGTTTTTTAGATAAAAGTTCAGAAGACTAAAAAAGAAGGTAGTAAGAATATATAGAATGAATTTAGCATACGAAAATTTTTCTTTAAAATACTGATTTTTTAATTTTGAGAGTTTTAAAACAATAAATTAATATAACTATTAGTTGGGGTTACGCGAGGCTAACTTCCTATCCGTCGTATGTGCCTTTGCGCCGAGTATGAAAATGCTCATAATGCAAGGATGTTGTAGCAGGAATAAACATTACTATTCTATGTAATTCAATAGTCCTGCTGTACCCTACACTGACACAAATGTATTTTTGTAAGGTTTCTTCCAACCGAGAAAGTCTGACTTTGGCCAGAAGAAACGTTACAGAAATACATCTGTGTTAGTGTGCAACAGAATTAATAAATAATATATTAAATCCAAAATTTTAAACTCATATTACTTAGGTAATGTTCGTCAAAAACGCCTGAGTATGTTGCTTCACTTCTATTCTATCAACAGTTTTAAAATAATTCTATTTGTTCTTTGAGTACTCGACAATAAATTACCGGGATATGGTTGGTGTCTCGACCAGCCGGGCGGGATTTGTCTGGATTCTGGTCTGTTCAATTTGCATCAGAGATTTTTGCTGTGCAGAATCGAGAACAAATGCAAAGCAAACTTTTAATGATAAAACATTTCGCAACAATGCCGAGAACTTGGTGCCTGGAAGAGTCAAAAGAGAAGAATTCTGCGAGGAAGGTAAAATGAAATAAAACTTTAAGTGTTTTTTACCACAATATTAATATCTTTTTGTCAACGAAAAGGAAATCTTATGCACAATTTTCAATATTCTCTACCACTGTTATTTAGTTTAATCATCTCAAAAGAGTTGCAGGCATCAGTTTGAGATATTCGTATGATGAATATTTATATTAATACCATAACTTTAGTCAAACATATCAGTAAGTATGAATGTTATCCAAGCCGCATCATAAGAAGTGGACCTAATTTTAGGGATAATTGGTTATAACGAAATATAGCTCCGTGCGATAATTTCAGATCTGGATTCTCCGGACAACTTACAAGTTCGAGAAGTCGGCGATACCAGAGTTGTTATTGACTGGAAAAAAGTAAAGGGAGCACAATGGTTTGTTAATATCATTATCATTTTGAACTTCCATAATGTTAGAAGGAGCGTCATTTAAATTATATAAAAGAATTACAATACCTAACACCGTATACATTCATAATTTTGCGTCAAATACTATTGAATTTATCCTATTGGTAAGCCAATCCAGTGCATTGAGATTTGTCGAAAGGTCCCACACTGATCACGAGAGATGGGACGGTTGAAATGACGTCCAAAGCGATTCACGACCTCTCGTTTATTGCTGCCAGTCCAAACTGATTATAAGTGCTCGGACTATCTATTTATCTTGTGAATGAAGCATAACGTTCGCATGTGATTATTAACAACATCTCCCGAATCACCTTCGGCAATTATTATTAGTATACTGGTGAATAATTAGGTACAGACGAATAATACCCCCTATTTTACGGAAAAATACCAGCTTAAATATAGCTGAAACATTCCGAAAATATCGCCTGAACATTCAAGACTATCATATAGAAAACAGGTGTGATTTTAACGTATCTATCACGCGACGTGCTATTGTAAATAATGTGTAATATATTATGTGATGACTTACATTCAATCGCCGATTGCGCCAAACAATAATCAAATCATATTGTCTGCAATCGTCGGTAGCATTACATTTTGATGCAGGTATGTTCTCGAACTGCAACCGTATTCTGAATGTGTGGCAAATCTGGAGAAACCAAAGACGAATCAAGCTACGATAGATAAACTTGATTCAAGTACGGAATATGTGTTGACTGTTGCAGCTTATGGAAAGAGCGGAGATGCCTGTAGCACAAAAGCTGAATTAAAGTTTAAAACAGGTGATATATGACGTGACTACAAAAATTGCTAACCAATATTGGATAAAAAAAAACGCCTGCACTAGACACGAGGTGTTCAGTGAACAGATGGCCTCGTGGGTAGACTCCCTCGTACAGGGTGTGATTAAATGGGTAGGCAATACCGAACCGATATGTTTTGATCCTTCCCATATTTAATGCAAATGTACCTAGCTAGAAGTGATTGCTGTTACATAGCCTTGTTATGGGAGAAAGGCGACCACAACGTGGTATAAAGACACAACGTGGTATAAAGATAATACAGACCTAGAAGAAAAATTGAAGTAGATCTGCTGGCATGTGCTTCCTTGTATACTTACAAATCCACTAATTATCGGCCCCCTCGACTTTTTGTAGCAGAGAAAAGTAAAAAAGACGTTGTGTGGGTGTCTATGCCCTAATAATTACGTACTAATTATGTCTACATAATTATGGGGCTTTCATTGAAATTTTTTGATCCATGTGACCCCGCTTCTGAAGTTATTTTCTTTTTTTCTATTTTTTTGCAGCTGACGGCGACGTGAAATGTGAAGATTACGTTGGTAAGTGAAATATTGGTGGCGCAAATGCTTCATGGTTAGCGTTTTCCTAACTTTATATATGAAGATAGGCCAGGTTAGAGAACTCCGTAATTTTGAATCTGTAAGACAACATTGGAAATTGTATTTATATATGCATAAACATAAAATGGTTTCTTAATCGCGATTTACAACTATTATAAAAATAATATATTTTTGATTACATCAATATACCAAGTATTTGCAAGGCCTATAAGTTTTGTGAACGTTTATGCTGTTTACAAATTCATCGGAATGAAATTATAAATATTTTTTGTTTGGCAATAAATAACCGTGTTCATAAGTTTGAATTATTAATACAAGAAAAAGCGTTAATTTGTAAGGTAAGAGTTTATGCTCTTCCAAAACAAATTACATCGTATCAAGATTAATTCCGAATTAACATGTCTGACGTATGAACTTTTAATATAATGTTATTTCCTTGAATTTGTTGATCAAAATGCAAATATGCATTATTTAGTAATTAAATTTATTTATTCATGAAGTATTGAACGTCAGACAATATTTTAATCGTGAATTTAGGATGAAGATTAAATATGCATCCACTTTTGTTAGACTATAAAAATATGCAAAATTTTTACTCTTCTGAGAAAGTGCCACGATGCGTCGATAGCCGATCTATATACGCATTTTGAAGTCCATTTTGTCATACATCGAAGAATTATTAATATTCGTCTTGTTTGTTTATTAAATTTGTTTGCCACTTTTTAAAATATTAGTAATTTTGCATTTGTTTTGCCTGGGAGTTTAAAAAACGAAAAATAATTAAAAGAATTTCTACTTTACATCGAAGTGAAGCAACTAGGATTTCTGCATTTAAACTGTTATTTCCAATTAATTTTGTGCAATCACTAAGAGTTCTGATAGAAGCTTTCAGTCTTTCCAATATGCAGAGGCTCTTGCCTTGAAATCTCAAAACACAAAACCGAGCTAAGAATAAGCGACCTTTATCAAAATAATATTATTCTATACACTTTGGGGTATACTCAAAAAGATTTAAATGCTCTTAAAACATTTTAACGGCGTGTATTTCTTTTTACAATGATAATAACTTTAATCGTTTCCAACTAAAATGTTAGAATGAACTCTGAAGCAAGTCTGAAACAAGTATACCGTGCAGATTAGTGTTAGTGTTTAACTTTTCTCTTCGTTTTAATATACAAAAAACAGCCTTTATGCGTTGCGTTAGAACAAGTAGAAATATATCTAGTTGTCTGTATCACCATTCAGAACTTGGAGCGATTAAAAATTTGAAAGCACCAGAGGAAAACATGACAACGACGAGTGTATTGTTGCAATGGAAACCTTCAGAAAATGCTTTATCGTATATCGTAAGTTCACATGAGTGTCGTTTTACAAATGATAGAACATCCACACTATCTATTACCACAAATAAAGATCTAAATGAAATGGCCTTTTCGATTTTTATCGCAATATATATGCAACAAAACTTTTTACAATTTGTTCAACACTGTTCTTCTTATTATTGTTTAGGTTGATCTCAAACCACCAAATCTTGGACGAGGTGGATTAGGTGAAATGAATGCAACGTCAGTCACTTTACGTGGTCTTGCGAGTGGTCAAAACTACACAGCTTCTGTCACACCAAAGAGGAAGAAAAATTTGGGGGAAACGAAAACACTAATATTCGTTCCAAGTAAGCAGCAATTTTGAGATAGAATTTTCCTATTTATTTGAGATAGAATGAAGGCCATTAAGGCTTAATTCTAATCCCAACCATGAAACTTCTCTTCCGGTTTTTCGCCTGTGCCATGCATGGAAAAAGTTTACTTGTTCTAATCTGCTGAAGAAAATTATTTAATTAGATATGTTATCAAATCAGTAAATATGCCCATTTGGTTCTGATTACTGCTGATCAATCATTCTTTTTAGAAATCAAATCACCTAATCAGTTCAGAATATCGAATCTCAGCAGCCAATACTTCCGAGCAGAATGGGAACAAAATGAATCGGTGTTGAAATATACTTTGTCACTCTTCAAGTTGGATAAAGATGAAAAGGAAGAAGTATGTAGAAATGATATTTCATCCTCATATATCAAAGTCAAATACTCAATTTATTTTACCATACTAAATAGCATATAAATCACATTTTCATATTTTGTAAATTGATTTTAAATACAAAATAATAATGTTTTGAAGTCACCTCCCACTTGATTTACTTTTTTTATTAAATATATATACTCATGTTTTTTAGTTTGTTGAAAAAAAAGAGACCGCGGAAAACTATGTTTACTTTCGCAATCTGATACCTGTAACACAGTATCGTGTTGATATTCAAGGTTCTAATGGACATGCGTTATCGATGACAAAATCAGTAGTAATTTATACAAGTGGGTTTGAATATATATATTAATATCACAATATTTGACCATGCCATGGATTGCTGCAATCTGAACAAAACATGATATTATTAGGGAAAATGTTTTGATGTATTTTAGCTTAGATTTCTGAAAGTTTGTCAAAGTCGACAGCTTTGAAAATGCACGGTTGCTCAAAACCGGTGTCAAAATTTACCGCCATATTCAATTTTGAAAGTTCTGGTTTCTGTTAAGTTATAGTCTAACTTTGTCGCACATAACAAGACACGAAACATTTATTATTCTCTGTTTTCGTAAATCATATTTCTCTAAAAATCTATTTCCTAATAAAAGTTTACAAAATGCCGTTTTCGGGCATGATAATACGGTCGTTTTGTTCACAGAACTTCCAACACCACGAAATGTGACAAAATGGAACGTGACATACAGCAGTGTACATGCTGCCTGGGAACCAGTGGATGGAGCTACAATTTATCGGGTTGTCATACGTCAACGGAGCGGAGATGGGGAGAGGAAGGTACATCGTTACAGACAAGATTGCATAAAATAGTATTTAAGTCAGAAAAATTGATTGCTGACTTTGTCACTAATGCTGGTATGTCTTTATTTAGTTTCATAATATAAACTGTTCACTGCTAAAATCTGACAACAAAACAGTACAAAATATCATTTATTTGATACCGATAAATTTATTGGTAAAGCTCATTAACGTAGAATTATTGTCCGGTCAGATTTTATTTTTACTATCGATAACACAGATCTAATAACCGCAAATGCTAGCTATGTATAAACCAAGGCCAATTTTCAAATATTAATTTTTCATGTTCCAGGTGACGCAAGTTAACGAGACAAAAGTATTCATAAAAGATCTGGTGGATGCTACAGAATATGTACTTGAAATTTTTGCCAAGAATCAGTATGCTTTCAGTTTACCTGGATCCACTGACGTTTATACAAGTAAATAGAGTTTGAAAATTATTGATCTTTTTAATTGGTTTTTTAGTATAGCGAGTTTCAAGTAATTTGACTTTCTGATTTATAGACCGAGACATGAAAGTTATTTGAATTGCAGTTGCAACTTTTTTTTGAACTGCAGTTGCAACTTTTTAAATAAACTGGCCCGATCCGATCCAAAACAGCTTCATTTGCCTCAAATCCATTACTTTTTACAGGGGAAACCGTTTGAAATCATATTATACAAAAATTATTCATATTTGTAGATATATGGTTTTCCTATGAGATCAATGCTAACACTTTCTATATTCAGAATTGACGGCAGTCCAACTACTGAACGTCGACCCTGACTATATTGAAGATACATCGCTAGTTATTAGATGGGACAAAGTTGGGCCTGCAAACTGGTACGCTGTAAGCATCCAACCCAATACACCAGGAGCGAAAGGAATTGGTGATGTCAAACCAGAATTTACCCGGATTACAAACTTAAAACCCGGCATCATGTACACTATTACAGTAGTTGCAATGAATACAAGAGAATTTCCTACAGCCAGTGAACCAAATTCAATTCAGCAAGCCACGCGTGAGTTACTAATTATGATTTTTACATTGGATGTAATGGCCTAACAATTACCATACTCAGTTTCAGGTTGAATATCGCGAGTTCAGCCACTTTGCACCACAACCTCTCATGCCTATACGATAGATTCCATTTATTATATATATAACCATAGTAAAAATGCATAAATGTAGGTATACAGAAAATTTTTTTTACCATCTCAGTTTTTCAATCTTTTGAAAATAGTATGAATTTTTATTTGGTTACGAAGTGTTTATGATTAACAGTTATCAGAAATTATTCATCCACGAAATGGAATGAATAATTGTGTCAATAATATCGAATACATGTCAATTTTTGTGTTATTGATATAGTACATCGCTGTACAAAAAGTTGATTGATTTGAACGCAAATTCTTAACCTGCGATTAATCAACTTAAGGTATGAATAAGACCTCGAATTTGTTTTCCTATGTCAAGCATATATTTTGTATGTGTACAGAATATAAATATAATTATGACGATAAAAATAATCATATGTTTAAATGAGCTTACAATTCATCTCTATTGTCTCACAGAACTACCGCGACCGGATAATCTCACTGCGTCGTACGAAGACGTCAAGCACAACCAAATCCGATTAACATGGAATCCGATTCCTATGACGAACATTTACTTCTTATTCGCTTATGATTGCAGCAAAAGAGGAAGCAAGATTGACCCCAGTAAGAAATAACGTCAATATTCTGTAATGTATACTTTCCAGATTGTTATCTTAAAAACCATGACAACTTTCAGTGACAACATATATCGGTATCAGTCTTTTTTTTTAGACAAAGTTGTTCAATACCTATGTAATAACGTAAAACCTCATGAAGCTGCAAAGTCACATCAAATAATGAATTTATCAATTAGTTAAACAAAGACATTATTACATTTGTGGTAAAATGGAGGTCACATGCTCACAACAGAAGACATCGATCAAACCTAACACAAGAATCACCGCTACGCAGCAATGGGAATTTTATTCATTCCACAGTCGTTATTTCAATCGTTTCCGATGAATCAGGAAATAAATCGAATCATGGATCATAAAAAGTTCATAAGCCAAGTTCAAAGGTCACAAATATTATAAGCTATTTCAAGTTAATTTGATAACATACAAAACAGGCGTGGCGATGAACCACACAGGTCCAGAGCTGCTAAGCCGAGTAATCTCATCACCTATAAATTTACATTTAATTCTTGAATGAAATAAAGTCCCTTTGTTTTTAATATACGATTTCTAAATATTACGTAATCGAAGTATAACGATGACATTGCTTTAATTGTTCTTTTGTTCAATATTTAGAGGCTCCACGATCTACAATGGGACCTACCACTCAACCACAAGAATATATGTCAAAAATGAAATATTGGAATTATCAGAAGTTATTTAAAAAGAGAGCGAAGACAAAACTCACTTGCGAATCTATATTTGCGGATGTTCAGCAAGCTATAAGAGAAGGTTAGAGCTATAGTTAAAAGCCAGCACAAACCTTATAGACTGAATTAGACCACAAGTGAAAAATGAAAGCCTTTAACTTCGAATTATTTGAAGCCCTGAAGTGGGTCCAAAGGCTGGTAACACAATCAACTGAAAAACGTATAGTAGCGTAAATAATCGACATCTATTAATCATGTTTTTAATTGATTTCCAACCATAACACATTTTTCCAGACTTACTTCGAAATTCAAGCGTGTTGCTTGGTAAATATACCCCAAAAGATGATAATACTCAAATCAGGAGACATATTCAATTTAAAGCAATCGTATCTGAAATAAAATGATTGCAACATGATAGCTACTAATAAAAGTTAAATTATTGCTGTCTTATATTTTAGCAAAAATGTCTGTCCCGAGCAACGTTGAAGGACAGGGACAAATCAATGGGACTGAAGCAGTTTTAAGCAACCTTTATCCCAACACGAAATACGAATTCGTACTTGTAGCTGGGGACCCTGTAAAACAAAGTGAAGCCAAATTATATAGACGTTACACAAGTGAGTAAAACGAAAACATGAGCATCACTTTACTCGATTGAGACGATTTACCGATTAAAGACCTTTACTTTTACATACCCCTTCCCGTCGACAGTGGCTAAGGATCTCGGGGCAATACAATCGAATACGTTTGAACGCTCTTGCCTTTATTATTATTATTTTTTTATTGTTATGTATCATAAGCACTTCGCAATAAATGCATTTCGTGCAGCACAAGTAATATTCACACTTTACATAAATATAAGTTCATTTATCGTCAAATGTACAGCACAAATATGATTGCAAAATTATGCACCGCATGAGGGATCCTTGTGTACAGTTACGAGTGGTTACCATGGAGGCGACCTACGTTTTTTAATGTTTTTCTAGCTTTGACATTTCTCTAAATTTCGATCGGGTGATTGAGTATTGTATTCTTTATTCAAGAGGTGAACAAAAATCTCGAGTTATTTTGTGTGGCTAGCTTTAAATTATTACTAAATGCGAATTAAGTGAAAGACTATTTGATGAAATGTGTTTTCTATATACAAATCCCATTTGAAACTTAATCTAAACTAATTTTATTATTTTCGTTCAGAATTACCTGATCCAGAAAATTTTATATACGATAAATCCATGGTCATGTCATCATCAGTCGAAGTTCGTTGGAATAAAGTAGAAGAAGCGACATATTATACTTTAAAAACAACAAAGACAGATGCAGTAAGACCGGAAAATAAATTCAAGCCAAGAGGTCGAGTAATGATTACTTACCAAATACGAATTCTGTTACAATCAAAATTTTGCTACCTTAAGGTTGCTCTGAGGAATAATTCCCCAATTTATAGCAATTTGGAAACATTTATGTGATTTGCAAACTTTATGTATTACTAGGCCGAAGTTTGCCCACCCCATGTGTCCGATATTATCAAGGATAGGCAATTTTTGAATGCAACGATATTTCAATACTTCTATTTACTATTTTAGCAAGAAGGATAACAGTTCATGTGGAAACAACAAAATTAAAGGCAAAACAAACAGATTCATTCGTTCGTAATCTGCTTCCGTCAACGAATTACACTTTTGCGCTGACGGGTTAGTTTGAAAGTATTTTGTATTACGATTATATTTTTGTTTTGCATTTAATTGAAGTAACCTGTTTATGAGAGCCTGTAAATCTATAGCGATGGTGTAACCCATATACTGTTATTTTTTCTGGATGTGTTTGATATATCAAAGTACATCAACAAAAATTTCATAAAGGCGGGTCATGTGTACCAACAGAGGTAAGAGTATAATTTAGGACTTAAAACATCAAATCCTTTTATTTTCTGGAACAAAAATATAAAAATTGAATAAATTATAATATTTAATCCTGTACATCATCTACCTACAGCAAAAAACGAGCACACTGAAAGTTTTCCTGTTCTTGTGAATACATTCACTCGTCTTCCGGCTCCATCAACCTTGAATGTTGTACCAGAAGAAAGAAAAACCAATCAAATGATGATACAATGGGCAGCTGTTGATGACACACAAATTTACAATGTAACATATGCTGCCAGCACGGGTAGTATGCAAGGTACGCAGGCAATCAGTGAATTAGCTAGAATTATTATTTATCAATAGGAGTTATTCGAAAAATATAAGAGAAAGGCAAAATAAAGTAAGAAAATTTGGATCGTCACCGCGATCAACATCAAGTTTCTGAATTGAACTTCGATCAGTGATGATATGCTTATTTAGTTTTCATAGGTTTATAAAATTATTCATGCAGTTCTATTAATTCGGTCCACGAAATATTTTGATCCTGTTTATTTTTTAGAAGCTTACGGTAATTCATGCGATTGAGAAAATGACATTAGTGAGTTACCGTGACCCACAGCCGTATATTGTGCTACATAAATAAGTATTAGGGCAAATCAGACTTGGCACAGTATACAAACTGTTCCATATTACTATACCATCCATTGTAACGAGATCCATTCATTCAATAGAGGAAGATAAAGTCTGGGTTCAGCTTGAAGTTGATCAACCTGAAATATTTCTTCGAAATCTTACTCCAAACACGTTTTATGAAATCCACATCAGAGCAACCAACGTTTATACTGAGAGTTTACCAGCTTCAGTAAAGAAATTTACAAGTATGAGTATTATAGAATTTCGATGTGGATTAGTCAATGTATTAGATGTACATATATATATATATATATATTATACTTTTTTCGTCGCTCACTTAGCGTCTGTAGTTCATGTAGTAAATCATTGATAAGTTATTTTTCCGCCCTAGATATTAAACAGCCTTTTTACCATTTTTTAGCAACGACATTAGTCTAATTGAGTGCTGTATATTCAGCTTTATCGGTCATCAACTTACTGAGATAACTCCAACTTTAAAATGTTTGAGTATTGAAATAAAAAAATACGGGACTTGCGGACCGCATATTTGTGCAGTTAACCATTCTATGTGTATCTTCTAATATTTGATAGTTCACGAGATTGACTTTGCTATAATGTTTTCACGGATTTTATTTAGAACTTGCTGTCCCAGAGAACGTCACCATTGCTAATCTTACAGACACAATCATTAAACTATCTTGGTCGCCAGTTGAAGGATGCAAAGATTACAAGTTTGTCATTTAGTTTAATTTTTAAAATTCCATTTGTGTCTTTTTCATTTTGTATAGTATAAACTGGGGATCAGAACGATTTTGCACTAGATTCGATTTGTAGTCAGCCGTGCAAACGACTCTATGCCAGGATTGCAAATTCGACTCTATGCCAGGATTGCAAATTATCCTATCTGAATTAGCTATAGGACAAAACAACGTTATAGCACAACCGAACACCTGAATGATCAGTAACAAATCGTCATGTTCAAAACTGTTAGCGCCGACATAGTTCACCCGTGTGGTTTGCATACAGCTGGCATTAGAGGTAAGATCGGGCTAAAAATTCCAGCACGACTCGACCTGAGCCCGACCAATTAACTGGATTTGCAGGCCCGACCTGAGCCCGCATATTTAACTGGATGTGCAGGCCCAACCCGACCCGGGTATGGTAAAGTATAGGAATAATATTTTCGGGATTCAAAGGTCGGGGAAGGGTCCATTACAGCTTATTCTCGGTCCTATTCAAAATATTTCTTTCATAACAAGTATTCCTTTGTTTAGTATCCACACATAGATTTTTTTATAAACATGTATTTATTTCAAAAAATGTCAGCGATAGAGAAGCCCGACCCGACCCCAAAGTAATGATTGGCAATTCAGGCCCGACCCGATCCGGCCCGAACGCAATGATTAATATTTCAGGCCCGACCCTACCCGAAATGTCGGGTCGGGCTTTAGGTCTTAGCTCTAGCTGGCATATGATTGATTGACTATTCAATTAATGTGACTGCCGTCTCTGTAAAAAGTAAAACCATAATATTTATATGTGTTCAATTATGCATTTCAATAACAAATCCTAATTTATAGATTTGGAATATCGAAGCATCCTCTTTTGCCTGAAAGTTTTCGAAAGTCCACGCGAACGACGGAATTTTCATTCGACATGTTGAGCCCAAATCAAGCATACAATATATGGATGAAAGCTACCAATGTTAATACTGAGAGCGACATATTCCGAATAAAACAATTCACAAGTGAGTACGTTTTAGTCTAATAATACCTAACCGTAATTATCTTATTGGAATGTCTGAGGCGAATGACAAATACATTCCTTACAATGAATAAATTTCTGTTCAGAGCTTCCGCAGCCGGAAAAAGTTATGTTTACGCCAGACGATATTCATGATAGAACGTTACGATTACGGTGGAGAGTCGTCAAAGAATCGGAATACTATTCGTGAGTGATTACATCTTACTTATTTTAGCAGAGACAGATCAAAGTGATATTATATTGACTATAGAAGGTTTACGATGTCAAATTAAATAATTCTATGCTCTGCTTTACAGAATCATAGTTATGGCTTTGCACAATGAATCAAGTCCATCTTCGGCACCTCCATTTGACCAAGATTCGTTGGTAACTGAGATAGATATGAAAGACGGGATTCCATTAGTTGAAAAAAGACTTAGAGGAAGACGAGCAATAGAAGACAGGTAATTGCAAGAATGAAAATTATGACGCAATGGCATCTTCATTTAAATTCGCCAGTTCAACAGTCAAAACCACAACATCCGCATACAAAAGTGATGAAGTTTCGGCAGGACTTCAACCCTGGTTTTGAAGTGTATCAGTGAAGTACTTCAATACCATTCTAATTACTCCACCACATAAGATAATTACAAAAATTTCACCCTGACGGGTAAGAGCCGTCGCCATCATTTTTCGATTCATTTTTATTTTCAATAATATTTTTATCTCTAGATATATCAAATTTTGAACGTATTGTCTCTTCTTTTCATAGCAGATATGCAGGTAGAGCGATACGATCAACTGGAGCAGACGCAACCGCAAAACCCATTAGTTTCAAGACAAAGAGAGGAATGAAAAAACCTCAACAAGTTTTTATAAACGAAGATGGGCTTTACGAAATCACAGTTACGGAGACTGACGTCACATTCAGTCAACTTGACCCCGGTGTAAAATACAACATGATTTTACGAGCGGTGAACAGAGATACCGAAAGTATTCCCGTAAAAATTGGAACATTCACAAGTAAGTAACTATTCTATCCTCTTCAGTATTCGCAAATTCATCCAAATGTTTATTAAAAACAAAAAGGTCTGAAACCAGTATCAGTTTATCCATGAAGTGCATATATTACAGAACTCCAGAAGCCTGGATCCAACGACGTGGAGACTAGGAAAATCGATAACGATACAGCTACGATAGTCTGGCTGCCAGTGAACAAAGCTAGTTATTACAGAGTGATTGTGACGTCAGAAAGAAAACCATTCATGAAAGAATCTGACGTAATAGTCGCCGAAGGAATAACGACCGATACAGAGGTCAGTTACTGCGTTTTGATGGTCTCCGGGAACGGGTTTAAAAGTCCTAAAACTCACTGCTATGGATCTTTCCCCGAGCATCGACATCCTTGTTTACTTCGTGACATTGGCTAATCAGCAAATTGCAAAAAGTGACGTAACAATGCTCCCTATTCGCATCCGCTCCTACACTTTTCTCACTCAAACAGATTTTCAAACGTGGTCGTAAACATTACCTCGTTTTCGCATTTTTGAACAATATTCGTTAGTTTTCAGTTTTGTTTGGGAAGCTTAAATGTAAATCAGATAATTCAATGGTCACCCTGTCTTCCTAGGAGTATTAATTTAATTGCAGTAATAAAAATTAGTGTAGAAATAGCTGTGATAGACTAGGCCAAAATTCTTTACCGGTACTTTTAAAAATTAGATTGTTGTATGCGATGAATCATGATGGTGGTTTGAAATACATACCTCATTTCACAGGCGCCAACTAGCAAAAGCACTCTTAAAATAGCCCCGAAAATTTTGCAATGGTAAAGAATAGGAAGAATTTTCCGGGGGTCAAAGGTCAGGGAAAGGTCCATAGTACTCCTAGTAGCGATTCAAATTTATGGTATTTGTACTGCGGATACTTCTTGAAATCAAAAAATATTTAATCACATAATTACAACGCCCAATTTAGTGGTCGAGTGAAATTGATTGAAGACTTCGTGCATATATCAACAGTAAGAACCCTATCATTAAAACAAAATAATTAACAGATGTCAATCGTGGGTCTGGAACCGAACACGAAATACACATTTGCTGTTCGTGCTGGAAACAATCACATTGAAAGTTATGCAGCTACGATATGGAACATAACAAGTAAGCAAATTATATGAAAGCTTCTTTCGTGTAAATTTATATTGATATACTGGAAATTGGCACTCTTAAACTGCTCACTAAATCTAGTTTATTCCTACATTTTACCATCGCAGAGTTATCTGCTGTTGAAGATCTTCTAGTGGACATTGCCAGTATTACGTCATCATCTTTCATGGTTCGTTGGGCTCCAGTCGAACACGCAGGTCGTTACGTCATCTTAATCAGGTGAACACATAATTTGAAATAATAAAGGTTATTCTTTGTGTTAATGATAATTTTGAGCAAATACTTGGGATGGAAGGAGATTCGGATTCGGGCCGAATACACACATTTCCAAGACTAGGGTTCTAGAGTGAATTCCCCCGCTCACTACTGATAAAAGCATTACAGTTCGGATTGTTTTAACGAAACAAAAAGAAGCTGTAAAATCTTCAAGTTAAAAAGATAGATAAACTTTAATTAAGCGGTGAATTTTTCCCTTTTTGAAAATAAAATCTTGAATGTATTACTGATTCAATCATCCATGTATCACTTCAGTCCACCTATGATGAATCGACGAAATAAAATAATGGTTGCCGCTTCGGAGACGAAGGTAACTCTAGAACCTCTGAGAGATACCACTAACTACAAAGTGACCATCAGTGCTGAAAATGACAGAACCAATGGTGTTACGAGACAGCTTACCCAATATACAAGTAAGAATGCAAACTTAGTGGAGATATTTTTTAAAAATATCTGTATATATATATATATGGCACTCCTGAAGTATGTGCACCAAGATGGCGCACTACCTAAACTCTAACCTGGTACACATACCGTATTCAGGTTGTGCGCCACCTCGGTGCACATACTTCTGGAGTTTATATATCTTTTTCATTTTTTTTTAACATTTTTTTATTTATACTTTTACAGAACTTCTTACTCCTGCGAATGTACAAATTGTGTTAGAGTCCGTAAACTCATCTTATTTTCGAGTTGTTTGGGATTCGGTAAGAGCAGCGGAGGAATATCACGTACGACTATGGAATGATACGAACAAACCCCTCAAGCAATTGAAACCAAAAAAGTGAGTTGGAATCTCGACATAAATTTTTCCGGTTATAGTTTGTTGTATTCATGCTAATATGAAGATTTTGATTCAGAGAAATTCCTATTTGATTAAATTGATAATAATAGAAATTATTTATAATATTTGTAATTTAGCGCTGTCGTATACGTAGATTATTAGAGTATTAATATATACTGTATTATGAATAATTGTAGCTATACTTGGCTAGCTAGCTTTTGCCATGCAGACCAAAGCACAAACGATGCATAAGTATACCTTCCGTCTGCTTATTCCGGTTATCTTGGGATTTCTTGGTTTGAATTTAAACAATAGAATATTCAATGCTCCATTAGTCAGTGTCGAAATTTTGAGATTTTAAACTTGAATTCAATACTCATCCTTACAGAACTCAAGCTCAACTTAAAAATCTCCTCTCTGGACACAAATACTGGGTGACAATAAAAGCTCACAATAAGAAGCATAAAACTTACAGCGACGAGGTTAAACTGACTACATTCACAAGTAAGAATTAAAGTATAAAATCAGTAGTATCAAAATAGCAACAATTGACTAATATTCATTTAATCAAGAAACACATTAAAGTGATTCTTTAGTATTTAACTTAGAATATAAAAGCAAAAAATTTTGCTGGTAGAAATGTAAATGCAATTTCTCTGTTAAATAGCTTCATTGCTTTTTATACAGAACTTGTTACGCCAGAAAATTTTGAAGTTATTGACGCAGAAGTGACAGATACTTCTTTAGTATTTTCATGGGATCCTGTACCACTGGCTGATCGATACAAAATAACTTCGGTAATCAAACCTAGAGATAACGATCACGTCAGGTATGTACGGAATATGTATTATTCTCTAATCAAAATTGAGGCTATTCTAAATTTTCCAAGGATTTTTTAAATGTTTCGAATTTAAACGAAATGAAAATATTGAGAAGTAAAGGAAAATACAATGAATTTTTTATACATTTCCATGTGATTTATAGTTAGACACAGTAAAACAAATCAATTTTCCTATTTCGGAACTGTCTTTTCAATAAAACTACTTATATATTACAATTTAACACATAGTAAAATATCAGCAATCTTTTTTGCAGCTATGTAAAAACGCAGTCAATAAATTTTCTCTATAATCTTTTAAGCGTAGTTGCGTGGTACATAAGTAACATATTGTGCATGAATAAAACGAATGAAAATGAAATCATTTGCAGCATCCATTTACATGTTAATGAGCGGACAATGCTTATTGAAGAAACATTCATTGAAATAAATAACTTGAGACCAGCTTCTTACTATTCGGTGGTGATGAAAGCAATTAATTTGAACACGGATAGTGAGAATGTATCCTTGAGCGTTTTCACAAGTAAGAGATGTATTATTTTAGTATGTTATATCTACGTCCAAATAATCCAAGCATAACCGACAAAATATGGCACAATGGCCCAAACTTCAGAAACCGGCCACCGGCCACCAAACGCGTCATGTAAAGCACTATAGTGTATAAATATCTGGTGAAATTTCACTAAAAAAGATTAGAAATTAATCCATTATTCACGTATGCAGAGCTTTCTGAACCAACGAACCTTACCCTTCACGAACATTTGTACATGGATACAGAAGCGAAACTGGAGTGGTTTCAAGTACAGAGAGCAGGATCATATGTTATCGAGGTACAATTATTTAGTTTCCGTTTATTACTATAACGCTTGCATTGAATTGGCGTCAAAAATTTTCAATATTATATTTTTCGCACATCAGGTCTTCACCAAACCCGAGAAACCCGACAACATTACTGACGAAGAATTTTATGAATCTGATATATTAGATATTTTATTCATGGATGGCAGTGATAACTCCTATAACGAGTCTATTGTTGTGAGTACAAATATTAAATATATATTGTATAAAATTCATGTTGGGCACAAAATGCATTCAATATTATCTGGTATTTGGAATGCACATATATCAATCTTCAAAATTATTAACTGATTACCGGAAAATTCATAAGTATTCCGAAGTATGATATCACGATGTTCATTACAGCGGACTCGGATGTACGCCCATACATGCATAAAGGATTTTTTGCTTGCGATAATCTTTAGTGGAGCAATAATTACTTGATATGTGCATTTATTGTTTAGTACGAAAATCGAACCGAACGTCATCCATATCATACGGTGATTGGACTAGAGCCATTAACGACCTATGTCGCTGCAGTATCTGCTAAGAACAAAGACACAAACAGTGATAGAACTACAATGGAATTCAAAACAAAATGTAAGAATATTTATGCTTTTATAATGATAAAAATTGCCAATGTTTCTGGTGTGCTCTGTTTGTTATCAACTGAGGTATCTATTTGTATTATTCACACTTTAGTATAAGCATATGCAATGATTTCAAATTACATATCATCGTTTTATATTCATTGTCATCAATTTCAAACATGGTTCATGACTGCGCTCGGCATACCCGTCACATTTTCCTATAGATTTAAACGTCATGTCAAGTTTTTACAAGTGAAAACTGACTCGATCTTGACACTTCTGACCGAATGGTCCAACTTCTGGCTTGAATTGAAAATATGTCGTTCACTTTGCATGTAAACCCCAAACTGGACTCGAGTGTCCAATGATATGACAGGCCTTGTGAAATCCCTAAATACGAGTTATGCCACTGATATTGTGGCTTGCAATCGTAGTTTTGTAATTGTTTGTAGTGAATGTAAACATTACATTCTTGTCAAATGATTTTCTTCCAGCTGCATGTGAAGAAGATTTTCATGCTTTTCCTCATACCCATCTCTACCAAGCATTGCATAGAAGAGAAGTTAAGAATGTTTCCTTGGATGAATGCTTGACTGAATGTTGTGAAGAACGTAAATTTCCTTGTAGATCGGTATCACTACATAAAGAAACTTCAGATTGCTATCTATTTGCCGAAGATCGTAACATCGCGCCACCGTTGGGACTAAGCAAGGTTTCAAGTTATCTATATTATTTCAATGCCTTATTGCTCTTTGTGTGTTTCAAACAATGTGTTTTATCGTGAGAATAATTTATCAGCTCAATTATTTTAATAATGTATTTAGTTATGATGTATTCTGATTTTTTGCTACTTTTTTTTTATCAACAGTACTACGACCACTTTGAAAGGAAGTTCTGGCAAGAAGTATCAGGATTTCAAATCAGATCATTGTCACACAATAATGTTGCTGTCATCAATGAAACTGTTGATATTATATTAACGGTATGTTTACTTCGAACTTCAACCAGCAGTTTTATATATTGCTCTTAAGTCATTGCATTCATGTTATTTATTGAATACATATTTTTTTAAATTGATTAAATTTGATATAAGCAAATTTCATAACATTTCAGTTTGTGTATGTTGGTAAAACTGGATGCGTTGAATGGGATCTTGGAGAAGGTACTAGAAGATATCATGCAATATCAAGTGTCGCTGATTGTGCTTACATGTGTGATAATGCACCACCTGGAACAAACTGCACCATTCTTCCCGCAAATCCACTGGAAAATGCTAATCAAATCAATACAAGGTTAGATATTTGATGTAATGTCATTATAAGATCACATCATTTACAATGATATCACTCTAGGCAAGGGACTTGGTCGCCATTAACTCTTTGAACTCTGACGGCTCTGAGCGAAGTTACTCGCTCACCCTGAAGGTTCGCGGCGCCGTATTGGTAGAACAATAAAATAAGTCTAAATACTGGCTATTTGGCACGCTTGTAACTTTTTACCAATTATAGGTAGCACGTTGTGAGACATTTCAATCGAAAGGAAATTTTATCGTGCATTCAGAATGTATTTTCCATTTTAAAATACATTTTGTCAAAATTAATAAAATTGACCTCAATCTAACAGTCATTTTTCCGCATGTATGTGAGTTTTGGCTTGAAATTTTGTTAGTTTGGTACAAAATATACTGCCAATATTTGATGTTCATAAAGAGTTTTTTATAAGCTTTTTGTTGATATTCGAATTACTATTGTGGCTGCCATATAACCAAATTTATATTTAAATATTTAATTGTGTAACATTGTATCGGGTGAACAACATCGATAAGCGGCCATGACGCACTGATTACGCAGCTACGCAAAAGCCGATCACGTGACTACCGTCATGAAGATGTTGATAAGTACGTTCGAAACGTATTGCGTGGCAAAATGCGCAAGATAACTTTCACGACGACGTTCTCAGCGGGACATCGGTCGCCGAGTTTCGATATGATATTAACCCTGTATGGATTGAAGTACCGACGTCGAGTAATGCGTGCAGTATTAGCGAAGTGAAGTTAATATCGTCATATAAAATTTCACGTGGAAAATCATTTATTCGCCCATGAGTATTTGTTCAAATATCAACCAAAATAAGTACTTGCCTGCTCTGCAGATCAAAATATCTGATTTTAAGAATGTTAGGCGGAGCAAGTGGATGGAATAATATCTGAGAGCACTAATAATGCAGAAAGAGCAACTCTTATTTCAACAAGATCATATGCGTCGCCAGAACTAGATACCCCACCGCAAAACGCCAGTTCTAATAATAGATGCATCGTATGCAGCAAAATTTACATTATTGCCAAAAAAACAATCCAGCTGCTAAAGACAAAGCGTTGCTGAAACGATGCGAGACAGTATATAAGTACAAATACTGTAATGAGTACCTATGTATAGGTAACGGAACCAACAACCATTGGTATAACTGGCACAACAAAGTGCAATATTGGATTTAGTCTGCCTAATATTTTCATGTTCTTCATTGTTCCGGGCACAACAAAGTGCAATATTCAATTTAAAATTTTTAGCAAGCAGTCTTTTATGTACATACATTTTTCATGGTCTTTATTGTTCCGTTATCCGCTAATAAAATCACAATCTTGTTCATATTGCGTATACGTAACCACAACTTAATGGGGCTTGAGCGGGCAGTCAAAGTCAAAGCGTAGTGCGAATTTTGAATGCGTAGCATCGGGTTAATTAATTACTTCCTGCGGACATTTAAATAATAACATCTCGACGTAACGTTATTGCGGATATCGTCACGTTTAGTTGCATTTGCGTAATATGCGTAAAGTTGTGCGTGACGAGACGTTGCCTCTCTTCAATGAGAACATCAATTTGACGCAGCGTCGCTGTTAAATCTACAGATAATCGAATATATTTGGTCATAAAATTTGAATGGCTCATCGTAAAATCGTTTTGGATACTTATATAAAAAGCTATTCAAATTCTCCACCTATATTGCCGATTGAATATGTGGCTATTTAGGCAAGAAGTCGAAATTCTTTATATTAAATATTTGTTATCATACAATAATTTCATACGCACTTTCAAATTGCCAATTTTACTGAAACATCGTATATTAGAGCACCGATCATCACAATATAATTAGTCCCAATAACAAGCTTTCATGCAATATAAAATTTATTTAAATACTCATTGGGGTTCTTGAGATACGAGATCATAAAGTTGATTCCCTCCGACACGAAAAACAAGCCGGTAAACCGGCTTGCCGGGGCACAGAGCGTACTCAAACAAGCCGGTAAACCGGCTTGCCGGGTTCAAGCGGTTAAGGGTTGCTTATATAAGATATGTACAGTTAATTGTAGAGAAGGTGGTGTGGCTTCAATCTCCATTTGAATAATGCATGCATACAATGATGTATGGAGATAGTAAACGTATTTTATTTATCTTCTGTCGGTTCCATTTTAAACAACTTATTTCTTTCCCTTCAACTCACGTATTTCACATTGAAAGATACTGGAAATATCCTGTATAATCTATTATTGATTCATAAAAACTTCCATAATTACACTTTTTTCGCAGCCATGTGTATGATATGAACAGCGTTTATGAAGTTCGTGTAAATGTTTCTGATCAAGGAATTTATGCAACTTCGTCATTCAAGATAGCAATTAATGAAAGAGGTTGTATCTATCCTGAAATTACTATTGAAGAAGATGCAAAGGTATACCAAGTGCATTCTGGGTTGAATTACTTTTCTTACTATATTTTGTTCAGTATACAAATGAGTTATGACTGTAATTAAGGTGATACAAACTGTTTGATTTCTTAAAGATGTAGACAACAACCTAAGAAATTTTGAACAGTTATCTAATGCGAATTATATTTTAGAATTATCAATGCTACTTTTTCAGGAGTTGTCTTCAGTTGTGAGTTTCAGATTTTACAGATATAACTTTGCCTATCTTTACTAACCATTTTTTTTTTATTCGTAGAACATTTTGGATCCAAAGCAACTTTATCGATCAAACAAGCTAGTTTTGTCAACGACTCCTACGATTGTTTGTAAAAGTTTTCCAGGAGTAAAATTTGATTGGAGAGCAGTTGTTTATTCAGGTAAGAATAATTTGAATAAGTTCCAGTTCAATTCAATCATGTTCGCAATTGAACTTATAAATTATATAATTCTTACAAAAATTCATAATCAAGCTCAACCAACTTTCTCCTGCAAAGAAGCAAATTTCTTCTGATTATTTACTATTGTTCTTTTACCTGTATTTGATTTCGATTCATTTTTGTTCAGCGTCTTCAAACACCGTGACCAATAGTTTTCAGCTTGATTCATTTGGTTCCGAGATTTTGATTCCCGCTTTATCCCTCGAACTTGGAATGTATATGATAACTGCAACTATAAATCTTTTGGATGACGAACACGATCTACAAGACTCGGATTCAGTTTATATTGAAGTCGTTCCGTCTCCTCTCGTATCAAAAATAAAGTGAGACGGCATGTCGTTTTTGAAAATTTATAGTTTTATAGTAAAATTTCTGGTGTTAATAATGATTTACTATTTATTTCTATGATACAATAAACTTTGCAGGGGTGGAAGCATGCGTACCATTGGATATAACAGAATAGTGAAATGGGATGCAAGTACGAAATCATATGATCCTGATACACTTGGTCCTGAAAGACATGATCTGAGTTACAGATGGTTTTGCAAGAATTATACCGATACTAAGTAAGTCAATATCAATGTTTTTTGGAACATAACAACTCTTTTCATATTTTCAAGAATCTATTGACCACCAAAAAAGCCGGTAAATATCCATACAATATATATAATAATTCTGCCAGTGCATCTCAACTGTTTCTTTTGTTCATATTTAACATAGCACTCTATGTAAATTCTCACATGATTTTTCTCTACAGATTTCAACCACTCGAAGATGGAAGTTGCTTCCCAGATCTCGATCTGTTGACTTTTGATGGTCCCGGCATTTTTATTTTAAACACCACAATAATGCACCTGTATGTCAATTATGAATTTCAAGTTGCGGTCATGAAAGATGAAAGAACAACAATGTTCACTCAACAAGTTGTTGTGAAAGAGGGAGATCCGCCTGAGTTTTATATAGAGTGAGTTCTTGACAAGTTTAATTAGTATTCTGAGACAAAGTAGATTGGTGCCTATGCATTACTCGCTTGAGCGTATGCACGACAAGAATTCAACCGATTGCATTAATTAATATTTAGAAGAAGCAACTAATCATATTATATCTACATGCCATGCAGCATGATGTTCACCATTTTTGAAAATTATAGTATCTTAAATGTGTTGTAGATGGGACGGTTTGTGTTTAAAAGTTAAATAAAGGAATATGAAAACGTTGGATTTCATTTTTATTATCCAAGTGCAAAATGTCGATTTGTGACTATTTTCTCGACTCATATGAAACTAGTGTAATCTACACGACTACAAATTTAAAATATGTATTCAATGAATCGAATGACATATATAGTGTTCATATCGTTTCATGACAGATGCCGAGAAAACTGTAAAGCAAAATTAAATCCAACACAAGCACTCGCTTTGAATGCAATATGTTTAAATTGTAAACATGAACGTAATCCTGAATATGAATGGATCCTATTTGAGGTTATAACTATCAGTGATGAACAAGAGAGCGAATCGGATACCGAATCTTCTGACAAGTTGAATCCAATTTTGGATGCAGAATATGATGAAGAAGGTCAGTAGTTATATTTTCGTTTTCGTAAATAGTTTTTTAGAAAATTTACAAAAAAATGCGTATGATCATAGCAATATCTGGCAAACTTGCGATTTGTAGCTCGCAATAATTTAGAATTTCGCAAAATACAATGTAAAACGATGTTTCCTCTTTTGCTGCAATCGACGCTAGATTAGACAATGGTTCACAATGCTATTTTTTAACTTTCCAGAATTGGATTATGATGAAGTAAAATCGGTACTATCAGGAGAGGGAAAAGTTGAGAAGAAAATATACGAGCAAGTGGTAAGTTTATTTTTATATAATCGAACAATAGTTATTCTTATAAGTATGGCTAATATGGTTAGCTGTTAAAAATTATTTAAAATGTTTGTTGTTTATGTCTTCCTTTTTGCATGTCACACAAAATATAAAGACTACTAGTTCTTTCAAGTTTCCTCATTGTATTGCAAAATAATGTTATAACAAAGCAAATTTTGAAAACGCAAACCGAATAGAACTTGAAAAATGGATAGCTGTTAAATTTTTTTTAAAGAGTTCGTTCATGTTTTCCTTTTTGCATGTCACTCTAAATATAAAGACTACTGGTTCTTTCAAGTTTTCTCATTGTATTGCAAAATAAAAATCTTATTCGAGCGTTTACTGAAATATGCAATTTACTCTTAATATTACTATATTAATTTTTATTTTAAAACAAATTTTGGGGCCTTTTTACAAAATCTTTTGAAATCTATCCACCCTTTGTTAAATGAAGCAATGCAATATTCTAGATGGGCTGGGAGGGTAACACAACAACCGGTTCCATGTCTGATATTTTGGTCCTAACAAAAAACTCGCTGAAGAGTGGTCGAGAATATGTTCTACGCTTGAACGTCAGCATGGATGGCTTGGACGACAGAGTACACAGCTTTTCAGACTTCACTTTCCTATCTAATCTTCCTCCATACAACGGCATCTGTTCTACTGCGTCGTCCATTGGTGAGTTTCAATATTTTGATATAATTCCCATTTCGAAATGGCAGAACTATAGGTTAAGTCGGCACAGGGATGATTTTCTCGGACGCGTGAGCAGATGAAATGAGATAATATTATTAGACTATTCTCATTAACTTTTATTACAGGGAACTGCGCAAGATTCAAAACGTTTCCAAACACGCAAATTGATGAAATCGATCCACGGGGAGTATTTGTGAACTTGACAGAGAAAGAATGTTCTCAAAAGTGCTGCCTGATGAGGTATGGTTTCGTAAAATAAACAAAATCGTAATATATTTTTAAGGCATACAACCGAACTTTTTCTTATTATTTTGGACACATGGGTTTAATTTAAAATGAGTTTCATATTTAACAGAGAATTTCTATGCTTGTCGTTCACTTATCAAGTCAAGGAAAGAGTTTGCAAACTGTACACAGAAGCAAGAGATACAATACTTACCCAAATGTCGTTCAGTAACGTAGAAGATTATCACCAACGTGTGTTTTATGTGGGAAGAGCCGTCATTGATGAGGTGAATTTTATCTATTCCTATAATGGTTGCTTTTATATTTACACAATAATAAACAATAATAATTTGTTTTAAGTCTACTCTTGTCGCTAAAAGTGCAAAATCACGGAAAAAAGATTGTCTTCAAATAAACTTCCATACTTTCTTCAGGTGTTACTAGAATGTAGAAACTGGCAAGATGAAGGCGAACTACAAACTTATCCAAAAGAAGGGGAACGTCCTCCAAAAACTACATTAACATATAAATATGTTGCACTGCCCTATGGAAACTTGACTTCTCCATTACTGCTATATTTTGGAACAGTGGTAAAAACGCCAGGTATTCAAATAAATGCAGTCGACTAGAATAGAAGTGTTTTTTCATATTGAAATCTGCTACCATGTTTTCCTGTGATTTTAATTAATTTTATTCACACATTTCCGAGTTGTGGTTTCTTCTATCACGTAGGACGTAGGTAAATGTTAGACAAACATTTGATTGAGAATTATGTAAGCTATATTGTACATACAATGCGTTTGTATCCATTTGAATCATTGACATGTGGAATTACTGACAGATCCACTATTGTTGTAAACTAGTGTAAAGTAAACGCACAAGTCGCACAGCATAATTAATATTACAATAATCAACTTAACACTTAATTTCAACTCAGTTTTATTGTACGAAATTGATTTAATACAAAGTTGTGACTAGGACATGTTCTTTACAGGAATATCAATGGCCCTCGGTGATCCAGAAGATGATTACATCGTATCAATAAGAGCACAAGTTTGTGATATGTACGGAGAATGTGCGATGTCAAACACAGTTACAATACAGGTTGGCGAATGTTGTTGATTATATTACTCAGGAATAAATATCAACTATAAGAATATAATTTCATTCGAATCGCGACTGTTGTGTCCTATTTACTGACTAACGGACTATACAAGAATCAAACTTGATAGAAACGACAGATGAAAACAAAAACAGATCACGCAGCGAAAATAGTAGAGTGCAGAACAGTCTAGCATTGCAACACGAAGTTCTAGAGCAGGCATGTCCAACCTTTTTAGTGTCGCGGGCCACTTTCACATGAGGAAATTCATTGCGGGCCGCAAACGTTTTGGCGCTCCGGAAGTATAATTGTACCGAGATGACGCACAACCTATACTATAACCTGGTACACATACTATGTTCCGGTTGTGCGCCATTTTGGTACGGATACTTCGGGAGCACAAACGTTTTTACCCAACTAGAATACCAGCCCAGTGCCGATGTGCGTTATAATTCGAGCGTCGCTAAATCAAACGCCTGGATTGCAAAACACTTTTGCGAATTTCTGAACGAAGCTCAACTTAACTTATATGCAAAATGCACTACCCTCAAGCAATGTACATTGGCCTTAAAAATCAGCAGAAAAAAATAAAGTCAGCAGATCTTTTTTTTCAACTAGTGCGAAACTCGCTTTTGAATATTATTGCTCAACTGTTTAATAATAACGGCTAGCTTTGGGCTTTGGTACCTCACAACGTAACTAACCGGCTTGTCAAATTGTCGTTCGACAGCTTACTCCTATGCTCTTGAAACAACTGTTTGCGTTCATTTTGGGGCCTCTTCTACCCGAATGTCAACAGGACGCATACAAAATTTTAAAGAGACCGTTGAATTTTGCAATTAAGCGAATCTCTCTTTAAATGCTTTCAACAACTTTGCGACTTCGTCTCAAATATTTATAGAAATTTGTTGCTGTCGAAGCTATTTAGTAATGGAAAATGAACTGCTTTCTTTAATTCAAATTGAGTTTTATACAGTTTAAGATTTGGGATAAATGCCTGTAAATCTTCATAACAGTCTGTAATCAATTTCACAATGGCCTCCGCAAAATCATAATCTGTGGCGTTAACAACGCTTTTCTTATGGAGGAGCCGCGTGAGATTGAAGCCTCAAATTTAGTAAGATTTGATATCATGCCAGGAAATTTTTATGTTGAACATGATTATACGTCCGTAGTTATATAAAAACTAAGTGGGTAGCACGAATCCTTCCCGTGGGCCGCGTTTCGTTTTATAAATAAGGTAATACCTTCTCAGCTTTAATTTTCTGGCCGAAGTTGCCCGATGGTAGCTTGCAATCGAGGTACTTATGTATAGATATGCAGTTTTAATAACCATACCTTGTTATACCAGGTTGTTCCTCCTGATTCTGGCAATGTAGGAGATACTCTCAGTGGTTTTGCGAATGGAAATACAAGCAAATTAGGAATATTTTCATCGACAGGAAACAGTAAAGCAGCAGCTCAACTAGTGCAGTCCATAGGTAAGATGAGTAATGAGAAAATGAAATGCCCTGGGCTGGGATGGCTTTAGTTTTCACGTTGGGCGCAATTATTTAACATTTCTAATCTACATTGTAGCGTCAATAATTAATATGAACGAAGAGGAAGAAGATCGATCTTTGGGAAGTAACGGTACCGGTAATGCAACCGACTATGAAGCGACGACTTCTTCTTGGCTAGAAACAACTGCGTCGCCCACTACTGCTTATTACGTCACAATGGGACCAGAAACAAACGTAACGGGCAACGCTTCACGTGGCGTTATCGACAAAAACTTGAAGCAAAATGTACGTTTAAGTCAACAACTAACATACCGTTCAAGTATAGCAATAATGAATTGATAACAAAATTATTATAGCTTGACAGAAATGATTGAATCTCGTATAACTATGCCACAAATGATTTTGACATATAAAGTCTCGTTAAAAGTGTTTCGGTATTTCATTATAATAGTCTAGAAATACTTTCTCTCCAGCTTCGTAAAGACGTTGTGAAAGCCTTATCTTCGGCATCTGGAGGAATGACATCAATAGACAATCTAAAACAGATGACTAGCGCGATGAATTCAATCACAAAGAAACCAGATGAAATAACACCAGATTCGCAGGTAAATCGATGATGAATATATGCATGTAAGAACGATAATATAGATTATAGGCTACTATGTATATATATGATTTATATCCAGAAATACCTTCCAGTAATTTTGGTTGTGGGTTGGTTTTGATCACGTTAGCTAACATGGCTCAAATTGCTTTCATTGCGAATATTACAAGTTTTCGATATAGCGAATTGCATTCACCTAAAACTCTATTCATTAGCATTACTATTATACTTTCTAGCTTGAAGCTTCGAATACGGTACTGAAAATGGCCGCATCATTGACGACATTTTCTGACGAGTCGAACAAGGAAGATATTGCCGACGCTGCAAAAAATATCATCGGATCACTCGGGAGTGTTGCCAAGGTTTGTTACGATGCGATGTTGCTTATACTTTAATTGCGGATGAATGATATTAGTAAATTACACTAAATGTTGCGAAATAGGGACGAAAAGTCTGCTTATACTGAAAAAGGTATCAGATATTTTTCAATATTTGGTCAGTAAAAGTTCCAAATATATATATAAGTAATTTGGTATCGAATACTTCCACTTTCCTATGCATTTTAACAAAATGTTATCAATTTTGTAGTCATCGGAAACAAACATGGGCGACTTGAAAGATCAACTCTTGCAACCTTCTGAACTCAACTTTAATACATTAGACAACGTTGATTTATCACCCGATGAATTTGAATATTACAACAGACTTAAATTAAAACAAGAAAAGAAAAGAGTTCGAAGAAGTGCTCTTGCGGTAAGTATTTTGAAGCTCAAAAATATCGTGTCCCGCTTGTCCAAATTGTCCCACGTGTCCCACTTTGCCTGGGACAAGTGGGACAATTGACACACGTGGGACCAGTGGGACCCAATATTTTTAGAACACCCTTTCGTATGGATATTGGAATAAAAAATATAGTGGAACACGGTGATGCTCTCAAAAGCTTTAAATATAACGTTTCTTTTTATATTAACTTGTTTATATTTCGATACATGTTCAATTTATTTTCTCAAATATATATTATCACAGTTAATTCTAAGAGATAGTATATTTAGAATTTGGCATAATTTCTTCTAACTAATTTACTTGTATTTATTTCTTATCATACCTTCTTATTTTTCAGTCCCAAGAAGTTATGGCTTCAGCCATAACTGCGATTGACGGGACGGCGGACTCATTACTTGACAAACAAATGTCAGGGGAACCTGCTGAAAATCTAAACAGTGAACGTATGGAAATGCAGGTAGGTTGTTTTCATAGTCTATTTTAATATTTACCCATTGTAGAGTGTGACATTCTGCTTCGAAAGGATCTGGTTGAAACTGACGTGTCAAAATGCAATCTTCCCTCAATTATGTGACAGCTAAAATGACAAATTATTGTCGGTGGTTTAGATACTCTCGCAATGTTATGTAGTTTTGCCATTTAGCGCATCTCGTAGAACCAACTTTTATATTTATATGCCGAATGTTATAAATTGCTTTCTCCTACATCCCTCTTGGTGAATGTTCACGAGAATGTGGAAAACGTAATTCAGTTTTCATTGACGTTATATTCAGGTTGAAAAATCAGCGCCAGAAGATATTGGAAATCGTGAGTTGTCGACAGCTAGAGGATCTTCTATTAAACTACCTGGAGCTGATGTTTTGTTTGGCAAAAATGCAACAAATATGACGGAACCTGTAAATATACAAGTAAGTACACACTATGAGGCCTGTAATTGATAAAACGGAAAACAATATGTGTAGAATCGGTATACCAATGTTTGATGTGCCCTGTGTATTCGAACTCACGTTAAATAACTTCAGTATATATATATATGGATTTTTTTGGTTGCGAAACAAAATCTATTTAGAGCTTCTTAATAACAAATTTGTTTATAGTTTAGACACATTGGCTATACAATGGAGTATCTCGAAAATATTTTGTTCCACTTGTCCGACTTTTCCCATTTGTTCAAACTTGCTCCAAAATATATATCTACCCTAACTCAGAACAGAGAGAGAAGTGGGACGAGATGTACAAGTATGGTACTGATAGGTAGGCTTACCATACGTCCCGCTTTAGGCGGGACAGTCCCGCTTTTCAGCGTTTTGTCCCGCCGTCCCGATAAGTCAGCCAAAAGTCCCGCTTTTCCAGCATAATACACATGTTCTCGTTTGAAGGTGAATGTGTTCGTTTCCCGCTGATTCCCATTGATGGCAGACGTATCGCATGTAAAACCAATACTAATTCGTCTAAATACGAATTATTTGTACCGGTATCGTAAACGTCAATTCCTTCCTATTTTTCGAACTGAACCCGATAATTGGAAAGAGAATATGCGCATGAAATTTCGATAACAATATGGTCAATAAAGACAGCCGAGACAGCTTTAAATGTAGGAATGTAGGCCTATGTAGTAAAATCGGAAAATGTGAAGTTACAAAATCACAGCTAAGGGGTCGTTGTCTTCCGAGGTGTCCCGATTTGAAGTCACAAAAATATGGTAACCCTACCGATAGGACAAGTGTGGAATAAGTGGGGACAGTGTTGAACAAGGGGCACAATTGTCCGATGGGCAGGCTATGCCGAATCAGAAAGTTCATAGCTCTCCATTTTTTAATGTCGTTTCTATCTCTATAGGTGATGGCGTTTGATGACAATCCGCTTGGATTTGGCGATGATGCTGCATTGATTAACTCGCCCATTACTATGCTTAAAATTGGCGGTGCAAATAATAATGGTTCGATCGGAAACGATACCGAAAACGAGGGCGGTAAGAGACACGCTACAACTATACATATTGAATCAGCTTTTTTCGAATCTAACCCTTCTATATTTAATTAACTTTTCAGACGACAGGCCTGGGGTTGGAATTTCTATTCCGAGTAAATTCGATCCATTAGAAGATATGATGACGATTGAGCGAGATATTAATGATACTGGTCTTTCTATAAGTAAATTTGAAATGGTCTCACAGGAAAACGCGATTCTTATTTTAGTGGAGCCCGAGGACGAACGGTACGTTTGGGCTCTGCCGAATGATTAGAACTAAACTTCCGAGTTTTACAGTATTTAACTCATTCGAGCTGAGTCAAAATTTAGTCGACCATTTTCAGCTGCTGCTGACATTAAGTCCGGTCATTTTAAGACTTTATACCAGAGGAACTTTAAAGTAATTGCTAGACCGAAAAATCTAAACCAAATTTTAAGTTATTTTGCTAGTCATGAGTACGATCAAATCGTCATTTTAATTGGCCGAAACAAGTGAAGATGTGTCATTTTCAAAACTTAAAAAAAAAGATTATTTGATTTGAATATATTCCCGTCACGGCACGAGCTTGTCCTTAACATGGGTAAACTCATACACGCATTAACACACGCTTATCTAAAGATTTTTGATTTCCGAAATGTCACAATTTTTCACGCCGACACCGAATTTCGTACAATTTTACGACCTCTGATCTGCACATTAACACTGAATAAATCACTGCTTTTTCAATGTCTCCAGTCTGCATGTACCAAATTTTTCAAGATTCAAAACGTATAGTGAGTAGGAAAAAATAAATAAACAACAAACGAACAAAAAAATAAGTAATACTAAACGTGCAACATTACAACACCACATACAGGCGCGTTTTCTCAATTGGTGGTGGTGATGTCAATTATAAAATCCCTCTGTTTTACACAATTTTGCTTTTCAGATCAAAATTTGAAGTTTTACTTCGATTTAACTCGAAACCTACTGAAGAAGAATATGATTTCAAGTTTAAACTTCCACATGATGCATGGGATGTTACGATGGCAGAAGATCGATATAAAATATTCATTCCAGAAAAAGAAGTCAAAATGAAAGGAATGATTTTTATCGGAATTCAAGATAATTGTGAGTCAATATCATAAATCCAATGTAAAGTATGATTGTACTTTTCTTGATGGTTAGCCTGTGATTTTAGAAAAGTAATACTAATTTATAATTTCGCACTTGAAATTTGAAATATTGAGTACAATTATGTAGCAATGTATAATGCACATTTTCGCATTTAAAAATAACTGCTGATTTATACCAAATTTTTATAATATTTTTAATAGCACCGCGTGTCCAGTGCCTTGTTTGGGATAATCAAGCGAAACACACGTTAAAACTGTTCCAATTTTCTTTTTATATATATATATATATTAATCTCAGAAAATTATGTTTTTTTTTATACAGTGAATGTGTCAACTCCGATTGCAAAACACCGAGGTCGTGTTCGCAGACGACGTTCAATCGGTATCGAGAATTCAACTACTTATCATCTGCTCATTTCTACCCCGGGATGTAGACGATTTGATTCTGAAATGAATAAATGGACTGGTGATGGTTGTAAAGTAAGAATTATGTCTTCCTGTTATTATATTAAGTATTATCAATAATGGAATTTCCTTAATTTTGACGTTTTCTGACATGTGTTTTCGTGTTTTATATCCATTATTTTTCATATCCATTATTTTTCGTCGATTGATACGTAAATTTCAATAAATTTATCGCAAAATTACACCAACAATACGCTCTGAAGACATAGCCTTCTTGCGTACAAGTGTTTGCTTTCCTGCGACCATTTTTGGAGCTGTAGTGTGGGACATTTCATAAAACTTCAATGGCTGATAACTGGATACAAAAATCACAATGCAGAGTAAAAATTTTCGCGTTAAATATTAGGTAATGTCTCATTCAACGTTGCAGGCAAAAATATAAGAAAATGTTTGCAGTATCGTATAATTTGAACTCATTTTGCAGGATGTTTTCACGCCTTCAAATATTCACATAATCACGTAAATGTTGGTTTCTATGTTTTCGGAAGAACCTAATCCTTTTAGTTTGTTATCGCCTGCTCATTTTTTTACTGCACCCTGAGAGTAATGAGCATCGGGTTTCAACCCAAATAGGTAACTATATTTTAAATAAAACAATTTTATTTTTTTGCCACCAGGTAAGTGAGCACAGCACACCAGAATTCACGGAATGCGTTTGCAATAAATTATCACCAACGTCAATCTTCAGTGCTGAGTTCTTCGTACCACCAAACACAATCAATTTTGCGACAGTTTTTGCAAAGATTGACATCGCAGATAATCCTGCTGTGTTTTCAACTGTAATATCATTGATCATTTTATACATTCTGCTACTCATATGGGCACGTAGAACCGACAAAAAGGATCAAATTAAGGTTTGTGGTGTACTATACATATAATTACTACAATAAACCAAAAAGAGGAAACATGCTATTTATTACTTGAAGCATATTATTAGAGAATTGTATGCGGACTGACGCTTTAAAGATTTATTTTACCCCGGGCGGGAATAATATTTTCTCAAACCCCTGAAGTTAGCCAAATATTGAATATTCAATATATACCATTATTATCGAATATTGTCCTTGTCATAGTGTGATTTACTGTACAAAACGAATAATTGCATATATATCAAACTTCTTTAAAAAATACTTGCTCATGTCAGGTCTAAAACCAATTTGCATTAAAACTCTGTAACCAGAAATGATAAATCTTGTAGTCATCTTGTAAAGAAGGCATCAATGAATTCCTTTAAAATTCTAATTGAACAAAAATGATAATGAAACTAATAACATTTTGAAATAGATACAATAATTTTTTTTGCCTAACAGTGGAGCTTAAAATCAGTTGTGGACAACAGAAAAGAAGACAAATATCTATACCAAGTAACTGTATTTACTGGTTATGGTCGAGATGCTACAACACATTCAAATGTTTTCTGTATCATATTCGGTGAACATGGTCGAACAAACGTTAGACAACTCCGTGTAAAGGAAGAAAAAGTAAGCTTTGTCGTTTTTCTAGGTTACTTTAAACTTTTACTTCAAATCAGTGACCGTAAATGCAACCACCTAGAGATGTTAAAATTATAGTATAAGACAGTGTTACTATTAGGACATTGCTATGCCTATTATGCATATACTAAATCCCCACTTTCCCATCAAAAATAACGTAAAGTAGGATAAAACAATCCTCTTCGATTGGTTCGTTGTTGAATGAATGACGGCATTGGTATTAGTGACGACATTACATATTCATTTTGCATTCTTTCGTTCAGATGCCGTTCACTCGCAGCAGCGTGAATCACTTTTTACTCCGTGTTGATAAATCATTGGGTAATTTGACCCATGTTCATATATGGCATGATAATACTGGCAAAGGAAATTTCAGAGGATGGTATCTGGATCAGGTTGCAGTACAAGATGTTGTTACTGGAGAAAGGTAAGAAAATTTATATCATGCTATCATTGAGTATCTAACGCGTATTTGTATTTAAAAAAAGTAAATCTTTGATTATAACTTCACTTTTAGTCTGGAGACTCCATTTAGCATATTCATATATATCAAATTTTGAGAGGGATTGTTGACATTAGTCGTGTCTATTGGTCCTTAAATCGATATGATGACATCACATGACCCACTGCTTGAATATCATAACGCGTAGTTTGCAAGAGAACACCAGATGAGTGACGCAAGCGAATCAGCGAATGGTATTCCAACCCCGAATGTCTTTTATAATTGCTATTATCGCAACATTGAAAAGTGTGATAGCATAGGTAAGGCATAAAGTGTTATTCATGAAAAAAGTTGTAGATTCAGAATCGCTGATTTACCTCTTTAATCCTAATTATTCTTTCATCAGATTCTACTTTGTATGTGATCAATGGCTGGCTGTAGATCAAGATGATGGATTAGTTGATCGGATTCTTCCAGTCGCAACTCCTGAAAATATGTCAAGTTTTCATAGATTGTTTCTCTCGACCACAAGTCAGAAATTTACCGAAGATCACTTATGGATATCTGTGAGATTTTTATTTTTTGCAATTTTTGCGAAACGGCGATGTATTTATATAAAAATAAATAAACTCGTTTTAAACTTTTTTTTATAATATTTCATTTATTTAATTTAAAAATTTACAATATTTTAATGAATCTTGCTTTCATTTGTATATTGTGATATTACCAGGCTTGTCCACGGGTCATATTTTTATGTCCCATTCCCATCCCATAGTAATTATGCCTGTCCCATCCCATATCATGGGATTGCCACGGGAATAAAATTCAATAAAAATTGTTAAATTTAGCGTCTACTAAATAGAACTATATGTACGAAGAGACATGCAAAACAACAAAATTTACTGACTTTGTTTACTTTGAATTTATAACTGTTATATATTTATGTCCATCAGCATCTTCACAAAGTATATTGATAATTCTGAATAAAATTACTTTTTATAACTAACAATAGAGCCATGCTCAAATATATGGACACGAAATCCATAACAAAATGTTTTACCATCACTTTCCCGAGAATCATACGGTTTTCGTGTCCCACGTGTTCCATGGGAAATTCAAATGTCTGCTGCCCCATCCCATTCCATGGAACGTTTTCCATGGGATTCCCACATTCCCATGGACAAGCGTGAATTTATATTATATATTAGTATATTTCACCCCCAAAATATTAATGTTAGTAACAAATGGCTTACAGCCCTACATCTGTGGGTATAATTGAAACAACCTGATGGTTGGTTCATTGATACCACGTGTTAATGACTCAGCGCCCGAATTCTGGATAGTGCATCAGTCAGCCCGTGCCCATAAATAATATGTTATGAATTGAAAACACAATACCAAGCTGTTACGGCTTCGTGTTTTACCAAAACCCAGCTGAGTGGTTACTTTTCTTGGGGCTTGCTTGGAACGCAGGTTATCCATTTCACAAAAAAGGATTCTGAATTGCAATTTATTTTATTGTTTCAAACAGTAAGGCTGATTAATCAATAATTTAATTCCATACTTAATATAAATTTCTTGCTGCAACGTAACAAAATACTTCTACTCCAGATATTTTATCGACCAACGAAAAGTACATTCACTCGAGTTCAAAGATTGTCTTGCTGTATTTGTCTTCTGTTCTTGACAATGATTGCAAACGCAATGTGGTTCGAGAGTGGATCACGATCGGGAAGTAGTGGAACTTCGACTCTGAAAGTCGGACCCTTCGTGTACGTTCTAGTTCGAATTCATAATAATGATACCTATATGTGATGTGAATTTTAGTTCGATTTTTTTTAAATTTCTGTTTTACATGGAGAGGCACTGGTTCGCAGTATTATTAGGTCTTCTTATTTACTTTCTTCTCCTGGATAACATCTGCAAATTGAACATATAATTTATCCAAATAAATCTGATTTGCTATTTCCTATGTAAAATCACCGAGTTAATTAAAAATTCATAGCATTACATAAATTCCCCAACGCAAACGATTTGTGTAAAAAGAGTTGAAATGTTCTCTATGGTCTGCCTGTGGACTTATTTCACTACTTTTTAACTGTTGCTGATTGTGTTGCTTCGTAGTAAAATTTATTCTCTGATTAAATACCATTAAAATATCTACATTAGCCATAACCGAAAAAAAAAGAAACATTGTTTACCTATTTACTGACTAAATGCCAATGAAATGATATACAATGTATTTATTAGTGAAAATTCGACTAAAAGAATTCCATATGCAATCTCGTATTACGGCAAATGTTCCTCGATATTGATTTCAATTGTTCGGTTTCAATACAGAGTATCGCCGATACAAGTTTGGACAAGCTTTTGCAGTACATTGATGGTTGTTCCAGTAGTGACACTGGTTATGATGCTGTTCAAAAAAGCAAAAACTAAAGATCAAGAAGAATATGAGGAAAAAGAAAAGAAAAGAAGAGAACAAGCTTTAAATAAAATCAGGAGTAAGCAGTTTTTTATCAAATTAAACTTGATTCAGCTCACTCTACGTTTCCAACATTCGATTTTGATGAAGTGCAATTTAACCAGCATTTTCCAAATCTATTTTCAGTTCAAAGTCATTTTTTAAATGAGGCAAAAAATGTTTCCACTAAAACGTTTAGTCAAATGACTGAATTGAGTGGTTCTTCGTATATAATAAACGAATAATCTGACGTAAATTGATTTGGTGTCATCATTTTCATATTATTTTCAAGTACTAGCTTGATAATAAAACACGTTACTGACATAAAATAAGTAAACTGTTAAATAAGACATGTTTTTATTTGTGTGATTTTTAGAACGACAACATGCTAAAGCTTCAACATTACCAAACCCATCTGAACTGGTCGGTAAAGATGCGGTTTACACTATTGATGATCAAGGTAGAATACAGGCCAAAGAGAAAACAAAAAGAGCAGCACTTCAGACTGTGAACACTTGGCCTCACTGGTGTGTCTACATAGCATGGGTGCTGGTTGTTCTTGCTGTTTTATGCTCTGGATTCTTTGCCATATTATACAGCTTTGAATGGGGAAGAGTGAAAGCAAATAGATGGCTATGTAATATGATGTTATCCTTCTGGCAATCAGTGTTGATTGTTCAACCAATAAAGGTAAAATTGTCATAACCCTATTTCAGCGAAGATATGAAATACTCATTTAAAACGTGTACCTATTTATGGTCATTTCAATTGAGTTTTTTTGGTTTTTTCTTCCGAATCATATCCTTGTAACGTGGTTATATTATTGTGACATGATCATTTCATTTGTCGTGATTATATCATTGTGACATATTATTGTGACGTGATCATATCTTATGTCGTGATTATACCATTGTGACGTGATCATATCCTTGTTACGTGATCATATAATTGCGAAGTGATCATGCCATTGTGACGTGATCATATCACTTGTGAAGTAATCACACGATTATGAAGTCATCACATCATTGTGCCATGGTCAAATTATTGTGAAGTGATCATATCGCTGTGAAGTGATCATGTCATTGTGAAGTGATCATATATTATTGTGGAGTGATGATATCATTGTGAAACGATCATATATATCATTGTCAAGTGATCATATCATGGCATGGATCATGGCATGGCATGGCATATCATGGATGGATCATGGCATTGTCAAGTGATCATATCATTGTGAAGGGATGGATCATGACATTGTGAAGGAATGGATCATGGCATTGTCAAGTGATCATATCATTGTGAAGGGATCATGGCATTGTGGCCGGATCATATCATATTGACGTGATCCTATCATTGTGACGTGATGCTATCATTGTCAACTAATCATATTCTTGTGAAGTGATCATACCATTGTGAAGTGATCATGGCATTGTGGCCGGATCATATCATATTGAGGTGATCCTATTATTGTGACGTGATCAAATCATTGTGACGTGATCATATCGTTGTGAAGAGATCATGTCATTGTAAAGGGATCATATATCATTGATGGGTGATCATATCATCGTGACGTTTTATATCATTGTGACATGATCATATCATTGTGAAATGATCATATCATTGTCAAGTGATCGTTTCATTATCAAATAATCTTTATATATAAATAAATAGATGTATAGACTCTTGTTTCGGGACAGTAAATATATATGTAACTGCGCCGGCCTCCTTTGAGTCTAACTCGGCTAATACAGGTTTCAAATTAAAGCTGAAATTATGAACCACTCACTGATTATTTTATTTCAGGTAATCTTCTTGTCCATGTTTGTTGCTGCAATTGTTCGAAAACCAGATGAACAAGTAATGGATTCAGTTCAAGACAAAGATGTTGATGAAGCAGAGCAAAAATTCATGAATCTATGCGCTGATAACATTGGTATTTATTACTCGTTACTTTTAGTAGTATCTCACCTAAAACTGGTTGCTTGCACAGTCTTGTTCGCCTCAAGCGTCTCATGAAAAACTTGAACTCAATCTCCAACCCGCCTCGATATGCCCGTAGACTTTTATTATTTACAATTCGTTTTTATCTTTCATTGAAATTTTATTTTAAGAATCCGAAATGCAGCAAAACGAGCTATCTCCTCCAAAACCACCAAGTAAAAAGCGACTCAAACGCGCAAGAAAACTAAGAGCGAAAGAGCGAGCCATGTCCGATATTATTTGGGAAGTCGTAGTCTACTTCTTTTACATTATGGTTCTTTTGTTCCTTTGCCATGGCAATCGTGATTCAAAAGCATTTCACATTACAAATTCGATCAAGAAGACTTTTGTGAATCCTAAATATGGTCTGCAATCGGTAAGTCAAAAATTTCTATCTTTCTTAAATATTCTATTCGTCTAACAGACATGCCGATTGAATTATCTTAAATTCAAAAATGCTCTTTCCAGCTGTTATATAAGTATTCATTTTGTGTTGTGGGCGTGGTCGTTTGCGACCTATCTAAACGTGATATAACCTCTCAGGGTTGAGGAATCTCGACAGAGGGAACTTGTATGAAATGTTTTAGGCTTTTCATAAATGTAAGTGGAAAATAACAGCTAACAATATGCTGGCAGAGGCATATATATATACTTATGACGAAGGTATGTGTTCAAAAATGAGTGTAGATGTGCTCGGCACAGATTGGGGCATATCGAATCGAATAGTAAGTTATTCGAATCCTTTCAAAATTTCGAATCGTCACTATCTTTTTGTTCGCCAAAGGTCGAGGCGAATTCCTCATTTTTTTTGTATTTGAAGCCATATTTTTAAAAGGCCATTCTGACATAGGAAAGTTTTCTTCCTGTTGAGTTAATGATGAAACATGTTTCTCACTGTGTGCGACAATCAACGAACTGAGTTATAGATTCTCTGTTTTCACTAATTTATCTGTCTGGAAGAGTCATTACAATAAAATAATTACCTAGAATTGCATACCTATAAAGTATTCGACATTCGATTCGAAAGAATATTCAATTCGATTCTGAAATCGGTAAGTATTCCAAAATGCCCACCCCTACTCAGCACACATACATGTAAAAGGTATGTGAGTTAGCACAAACGTGTGATATGATTTGTGATGAATCTGATTCTATCTAATTGATATGATAGAATTTATAAGATTTATTTTCTCATTATTCTTGGAAAGAGGTAAACCGATGAGACAACATAACTGTATAGTCAGGTGCGTTATGGGAATAATTAACCATATTTCCTTCTGTAGGTGAACAGCGTTGAATATTTCTGGAGATTTATGAACGTCACTTTACTTCCCAATTTGTACCCGGTGGCTTGGTATAATGGTGATCCAAAAACATGGAGAGAGCGAAGTTTTCTGGTTGACGAACAATCTTATAGAGTTGGTCCCGCTAGAATGAGACAAGTCAGAGTGAAAGCATGTAAGTTTAAATTTTTTCAGGGATTTTGATGACTTTCGCTCTAAATGAAGTTGTGGACAAGCAGTACTGTATTCTTGAAAGGGCCTGAAGATATACTTCAAACTGATCGTGGTAGTTGATGGTAGTGGGATAAATCTGCCATTAACTAACCATTGTGCATATCGTTCTCATTGTACTGTGTTCTCTCATGGGCTTTTTCATTTATGTGTAATTTTTTATTAGAACATAACAGTCTTATAGAGCTATTCTACTTGTGTGGAGTCGCAAAATTGTGTCGTAATCCAAAAAATCGTCAATGAGGCACGAAAACACACTCCCATTGTGCCCAAAATAAAAACAATTCAGAGTTTCTATGTCATTATAGTTTTCTTCATGCATTAAACACCACGCACGTAATCGACATTTAACATGAAAATCAATCAAATCGACTCCAAAATCTAATAATTCATATCCTATAAAACTTACCTTTCTCTTCTATTTCCTTACAAGCTGCCTGTCCGCACTCATCGCCATCTCAAAAGGAGTGCCGGGCACAATACTCCTTATTCAACAACGACGAAGTTGACTACGTTGCAGGATGGGTTCCATTAGATGATGTTCCTCTTGATCAACGACCCCAGCCTGACCCAGACGACGAAGAGGATGCCCAGGAAGACCCGCTAACCCTAGCATGGAAATACAGAGATTGGGAGGAATTAAATGGAATGCCGTGCTTTGGTGAACTGACTGCATACCCAGGAGGAGGTTATTCTGCTGAATTGGGCGTTAATTATATGGTGAGATTTAGTCTTATATACAAAACCTAGAAAAAACTAGGATTGCAAAGCTAAATTTTGATCGGAGGTTCAAAGGTTTGAAAATCTGCTCCACAAACTGCTTGTGTTGTTCAGCAATACTTATGAGTATTTAGGTTTTGACTTACCCCTTGTTGTGTACATACCTCTAATTTGACTATATATAGACAGGGATTGGTAAAATAAATGAATATTTCTACCGATGAGGTGAGCATGCCATCGCATGAAACATCTCTCACTATACAATGGGATAAAGTTTTTTATATTTATCACGGGGGAAGATGAAAGGCAATATGATTGCGTCTGATCTGATCCATGATCCGACGAACATGTGTCCTCATCCGGTTACCAGTCCATGGATGAGTATCGTAATAGTTGACCAGTAATTCGAGATGCATGGGCTTGGCGCTTGAGGAAGCCCTAAACCGATCAGCAGCAGTTACGTTAATTAACCACCTTGCGACGGGGACGAATCTAGCGATGCCCTCAAACAATATTATATTCCATGGAATTGAATCTGCGATCCCGCTTAAAATAATCAGAAGGGCTTTGGATATTGTGATGTGTTATTTGTCGATCTGATATTAGTTTGAAACATCGGATATCTGGAAATTCTGACTATTTTTTAAACACCTATTTTAATCTCCAGACTGGAAGACTAATTATGGATCAGTTGTATCAAGATGTATGGATTGATCATCGCACTCGAGCCGTTTTCACGGAATTCACTGTCTACAATCCCAACGTCAATCTATTTACGACAGTCAATCTCATTTCCGAGTTTCCGCCAATGGGCGCCGCTGTGCATTTTACGAACGTTGTCAGCTTCCGATTGTATCACTATGTTGGATCGTTTGGAACTCTTGTCGTATTTGCTCAGGTTACTTTAATTAAAAACTGAGGCAACTCAAATGTATTGAACTTTATCTGATAAATGATTTATCACCGATAGTAAACTCAACTTTCAAAATTTTCCTGGTTTAATGATTAATTTCGCTTTTACACCAAAATCATGCTAATCCATTCAAGGATGTGACGAAGTATTAACTATTGGATTTTTTTGTCTCTCTGTACGTTCATGGTAGAACTACCTTGAGTACTGAAGAAATCAAATCTCGACCAAGTTTCTAAAATTAGTCAGAAATTTGTCAAATAGTTAAGTTCAAAACCGTTTGGTATATCTCCTTCCAGGATAGAGGTATATAAAAACACAATTCCTCCATCACAATTATTTAAAAACGCCATTGCTCTATTTAAGTATAGTGATGTCCATTAGATCCCAACCGCAATTTGAATGATCCCCTCGCAGAGAGCATGATGCCATACAGACAGTAGCTTTGATTCTTCTCAGGTACAAAAGAAAAAACTCGCCAATCAAGTGTGTAAAGACTTGTTTTCTTTTCGATGTTTTCAAATATTTCTAGTTTTAACATTATTTTTCAACATTTTTAGGCGATTTTTGTCCTCCATCTATTATACTCAACATACAAGAGTATTAAATTGTTGGTTCAACTGAAAAAGAAATTTTTCTTCGACCCTTGGAATATATTTGAATCTATTATTGTTTTCTTTGATTGGACGATCGTTGGATTGTCAATATTACGTCATGTGATGACAGATAAAACCATAGCTGCTTTCCATGAAAATAAGAGTAAGACATTTTTTGTAACATAATTGATTGTTGACAAAATGAGCGAAAATAAAACTCAGCTTTGTATTCTGGCTCATGGTTCAAAATCAATGATTTCTTTTTTTCATTCCTATTGGCCCTCTAAATCTGACATATAATATATATCATCACCGTGTGTTAAAGATCACTAGTTTAAGTTACTATTTTCTACTAGAACCAGGGCGCGAAAAATAAAAATGTTTTCATTGATTAAGTACAGAGCCTCATTTAGGGCGGTAGTATGTTGTCCTAACTTACCATGAGAATCGTACTCAAATTTTGTTGTATTATTGGATTACCATCTAGTTGTCATCGTTGCATGCATTATCGTTTTTGTAGGAAAGTACGTGAATTTCCAGCAAGTAACCACAGTGGATTCATTAGTCGGATATGTTCTCTCTATATCTGCGTTCATGGGAATCCTTAGATTTATGAAGCTCCTGCGTTTTAACAAGAGAATCGGAATGTTATCCTCCGTATTAAAATATAGCGCAAGACAATGGCCTGGATTCTTTGTACTTGCTGCGGTGTTCTTCATATCGTTCGTTCATGTTGGGTCAGTATTTTAGTATTTGTTTGTTTAAAAGTATATTGATAGCTTTAACCGTACATAGCGTACATTGGGCTCGCTGTGACTTTTAATCCGGGCAGGCTGATGTTACCATATGTTTGGGTGGTCAATAAATAACCTCAGTTTGTGAACAACATTTAGAAAATAGCTGTATAATCTTACATCACAATACGAAAGATGTCGCCATAATGCCTATTTAGCATATAAGAAGAATGCCAAAATGGCCCCTAAATAAAACAATATACACTAAACTTTAGTATCCTAAATATCAAGTTCAAAATATCAAATGGCTTAATTTTGATTTGGTTTATAAAGTGTCAATTTAGAAACTTAGGATTGTTAGGAATTATAATATATATTATTAATTTTCGTTTATTTTCTTCACAGCTATGTTGTGTTCTGTCCGTTCTTAGATGACTTTAAGAACCTTTTGTCGACTGCTGAAACCATGGTGGACACAATGATGGGTATGAATGGATTTATAATAATATAAAAATCGTTTTGTAATTGTAAACACTTATACATAATCAGATATGGCGAGTTTTGGATCGAAATTTTCTCTGTGTTTCAACTGAAAGTTTATTTTGTCTTCTTGTTGGGAAATACTATGACCTTCCCAAAATATCATAGTTTTTATTTCTCAGTAGTCGCTTCGCTTGTTTAGAGTCTGTTTGAAATAAATGTAAAAAAATAGGTAGAATTTGTGGTACCGTTAAGATTCCGCTCTTATCGAAATCTGGTATATTTATATGATAATGTGGCTGACACGCAGACATACAAGTGAGAGTGAGTCTTATGGTACTATCAAAAATAGTGAGAATCATATCTAAAATTTTCAGGTCGTCACACCTATCCTCTGCTTCGTGAGACATATCGTTTCTTCGGACCGATTTACTACTTTGTGTTCTGTTTTCTGGCAACCTTCATTATCATGAATGTCTTGATCGCCATCATTGGTGAATCTCATAAACATACAAATGCTGATTTAGAAAAAGCTAAAAATCAGTATGACGTCATTGATTTTATGTTGAAAAGATTCATGAAATGGTCTGGAATAGGAAGATATATGGGTGGAAGAGGAAGCGGAAGCGGAAGTAAGATAACTACATTCAATAAATATATAACGAGTTATGCTTTTGTGACCACTAAAGTTCTAAGGTTTTTGAAAGTTTAGTATTATTGTGGTGCATTACATGACAGTAAATGCCGATTGCTGCAAATGTTGAGATCGTAAAAACGGCAATGATTTGATGAATATACCCTAGTTTTGGCAAATGAAAACGCTGATAGTAAAGTTATAAAAGCTCACAGCCAAACGCGTACAAAGGCTGTGAGTTTTTTTGAAGGACGTTTAGCTGAGCACTGAGCAGTTGCCTATATATTTAGATTAATTAAACAGCACAAAATATCCTCCGAATTATCGAATTAGACATACTATATTTTTTATAATTTATTCACCAAGAAAAAAAATATTTTCAATCTTTTTCGAATTAGATCTTTATCAAAACTATATAATTTTTAGCAATATTTTGACATCACATTTTTTTGATCATTTTTATAAAACTTCTTCCGTTTTACAGAAAAACCAAGCAAGGAAGAACAAATGAATGAAACATTGAAAGCAAGTCCAAGCGGTGATGTTGTTGCAGGTTATTGTTAATGTTTTTCATCATATATATTTGCATGTCTGATGGTCGTTTCTTCGGCATTGACGATTTTGTGTTAACGATGACGTAACAATTAAAATTTAACCAGTCGCTCGGACTCTTTTCACGCAGACCAAAAGTTTCAAAGATATGATCGTTTTTGAAGTTTATTATATAACACCTAGTTTTTAGGTATGTTTCCAAAATTTAATTTCAGCTCAATCGTAGCGTAGCAATCACGAAACCTCTGCAATAGTTTAGTTTAAGCTAAGATTAGTTGTTACTACTTTGTAATATGAGCTTCTTGGATATTTAGATGCAAAATGGTAAATTTGAGAATGTAAACACATTGCACCGAAGCGAATATATATATATATATATATATGAATATGATGAACAAACAAACTAGTGCAAGACTAACGAAATAGACATTAAAATTTTCGTGTTGGTAAAATAATTTGGGGGAGGGGGCAAGGGGCAGGATGAATCTATTGTATTTCGAGCCTGTAGTTGCTTATACAAAGCCTTCTTTGTGGTGAAAGTTTGAAAACGCTCCATAACAAACGCACTGAGTTGGGGATCAGAATAATGTAAATTCTTTTCGTTTTTATGACACCACCGAATCTATCCAATATTTGGCGTACAACTGAATTTGCAAAAAAAAAAAACATCAATTTCACTTGAATTTTCGTTTCAAGATGACAATTCGTCAGAATTCGAAAGACCTAATCAAATGATAGAGTTTCAAAAGAAATTGGATGAATATGCTTATGATCTTGAGAACAAATACAAGAAATTGCTTTCCTTCGATGAACTGAGAAACGAAGTTGTCTCCGAGGTTGGTTACCATGTGTATAAGCTCCTTGCAACATTTCTTGCCAGTTAGGGCTTGCTCCCTATTTGGTGTGATTGTATTGATAAAAAATATACATAAGGTTAAAAATCAGTTTCAACTTATTATTACTACAAATCGAGTTACTTTTAAGGGATGAGCAAGCACATGTTTCTCAAAATAGTAAATTCCCTGTTTTAATTTTATATGTAACATCTGAACCTTAGATTGAGTTTTTTTTAGCTTTCTTTTAATTTTTAGTCGAAGAGTTTTTCACAGCATTTTCATTCAAAAAAATTCTATGTGTTTTTTTAGATGAAACTCGCGCGTGATGAGCAGAAGCAGAAACTTGATACAGGTAACGCGATTTTCCTGTTTTTTTTGCACTAAATTTAAATAAGTCTTCTGATATTTATATCAAATTACGTCACATACAAGAAAGCACTAAATTTATGTTGCCAATTCTGAAATGACTTAGTAAATACCAGATCGTTGACAGGTTTATTCCGGAACTCTGTGTATTTATGAATGCTTATTTTATTACAAATAAATTTAAAAAATAATCGCTAGCTTCGCTTGAAAATATTTATGAATAATGCATTGTAGATATTAAACAAAACGTTCAGAGCAAGAAATACACATTTACTTAGCACGTGCTTAGCAAATTAGGCTTTATGGTGTAAAACGTCTTCGGCAAGATCGAAAACATTTTTGATAGTTTGGCTATTTTGATATTCGATGTTGTTGGGCACATGCCGTAATTTTCCAAAAGGTCACATGACAAATTTGAAATTTACTATAATATTGAATACATGCTTTTAGAAATGGCACATGCTTACCGCCGACGAACAACGACCACTCAGCGCGATCCATCAGCTTATTCCAGACCAGGACCATCTAACGTCCGCACAATATCTGGCAGACATAGTGACACATCATCAATGTTTGCTGCTAAGCGTTACTGATTAACAGTAATCTGTATCACTATTAAAAAGTAATCGTAAATTCAGTATTTTGGTGGGGTTTAAATATCGTACAGCCTATTTTGAATGTATGTTTTAACGAGTTTTGGACAGGTTAGGTTCATACTGTTGGGTAAAGCCACATATGTGATTTAACGTGACTCGAATGGATACAAATTCTACTAACAGTTACCAGTTATCGAAAAACTGGTAAAATACATGGCTATGTTATATTCGACCCATACACAAAAGCTTTGAAAAATTTGAATCAGAGTAGCCTATATATATATTGCAAGTTTGGCCTTGAGCGCGTTTTGAATGACTTTTTCTATCACTATTCAAATTTCAAACTTTTTTACGAGTATGAAACTCATGTGAATTAACCAATATTTGTTTATAATAGGAATATTTTGCTAATTGAGCTGTAGATCTGATAATTTGCGCGATGTATCTAAAAACGTATCAAATTAGCGACTTTTTCATAGTACAAGCATGATTGTTTTTGATGTTGCATGAACATATTAACGTGATCAAATAATTGTTTTGTATGGAAAGCCGAGTAGGGGAAGTCGGTTTTCATGATAACGACAAGATTTGAAGTTAAGTTGGAGTCAGAGTGAGGCCCAGGCCACGCTTGTTTTCAGTAATTAGCAAGACCCATTAATCATCGATCCCTAGATCGGATCTTGTGTCTAACAAGTGCTCCTACTTGCCACTCTAACTAGACGACAAAAGTTGAATATGTTCACTACTTTACGTACACTATTTTATGTGGTGTTGATGAAAGAAAGCAATAAATGGTTGTTCTGTATCGTACTCTTTTTAATAACGATTTGCTTGGGAGGGATACAATGATAACCCTTTTTTTCAGTACACATACGGACGCGACCATACATAAGTTACAAGTGGAACCATATTTTCCTTCATACCAGAGGAGGTTTCTTCGTAGACAGTACATCTTTACATCGATCAATAGTGATAGCTATGATCCTCTTTAACATACACAGATTAGAAAGACCATTTGAAGTTTTAAAAATTACTATGGAGGAGAGGGTTGGTAGCTCTTGAGAGGTGAACGAACAGGTCGTCAGTTTTCTCCAAGGCTAGAGTATCGACTCAAACTGCGGAATTCCAATAAAATCTGATAATAAAAACTTATTCAAGCCTCTTGATGTGAATGTTAATCGTCTTAATTTATTTTAGTTCCTGTAGAGTGTAGACTGTAGAGAATGGGTTTTCCATGGCCTTCTCTAACGATCATGTTAAATAATCAACGCCTAACCATTACGAAGACGCATCTGAAAGCAATAATTGGTCAACTATACCCAACATGAACTGGTACCCAGGTTGGAGGCTGTGGCGTTTCTCCATAGTAATACCCGCCTTATCGAATTTCCACTTATTCGGGATAAATATGAAAATCCATATCGGAATCACGCACTGGCAACTGCAGGATAAATCTTAGATCGCCTATCTTTTTAAAGTAATCAGTCTTGCTATGTTATCTCTTCTTTTCCACAAGGTACACGACGAGTATAGAATGTTATTATAAGGACATGTGAACGAAGAATACCGCGAATCGACTCGATAAATCCAGTTTATTGAAACATAACTCTGCTTCAAAGAAGCAAAGACAAAATAACTGTAATAATATCAATAATAGTAAGTATATAGAAATACTTGCAAACACCCAACATAGGCTAGATTTAACAACAAACAACAAAAAATAATGACATAAAATTAAGAGATGCATTATGAAACATCCTCGATCACACATGGGCACAAGCAAAATCACCCATAGCCTCTTAAACTGGCCGTGTATATATAACTTGCAACAAGTACATTAATATATGATAAGGCCTAACAGAAATAATAGGTTAAGGCCACCAAAATAAATTTATACAAAATAACATTCGTCTTAAATGGAAAACAAAATACATCAATACAAAGGTTGACCAAAATGGGAAGTTACAATGGAATACCTATGAAGACAATTCATTCAAATCTTACATGCAGATAAGACAATGATTACTAGATTGATGATAACACTTAGTTTATAAGAATAGTTCTGATTGGCTCCAATTAAGAATTCAGTATTCAACAGGGTTGTAGATTCAGTCATGATTATCATATATCACATTTATGATACAAGAACAGCACTCTAACCATCAAAACCGCCCAAAGGAATTTTATTACAGACGCAATACAAGAGAGACAATATGCAAGTAGCGTGATATCAAGTATACTCACGTATGACATAATAAAATTGAGTACACTACCTCTGAAATTTATGACAGACTTGGGAAGTAAAATATACTCAATACAGAAAAGATAGAATAAATTCACCAAGCGATAGTCTGTAATAGTACAAAACCTTAAAAAATGAGGTTATAACCAAACTAATACCTCAAAAAATGAGGTTATAACTAAACTAATGCCAGAATACAAGAACTGTAGTTCCACAATATAGCATGGATTGTTTTTACAATGTTCTAAATAAAAAGCTAATTGTCTTTAAAATTTACTAGAGTAAGTTGCTGCGAAGGAAACAATGGTGATCAAAAATGAGACATATGGCTTGTTGATGAGTTTCGTGAGTGCTTAAAACAACCAGATGTTGAAGTGAGAACCCAACGTGCTATTACAAAGAAAGAGTAATTTAAGGTGAATATTAAGAAGGCAAGACAAATTAGAATGAACAAAACAACATTGCTGTTGTAAACAATAATATATTACTTCAAAACTAACTATAATATAACTGACATATTTCATTAACTATACAACAATATTTTCGAATACTTTTGATCTGTGTAGAGTAGGTAGTTTTTCTACGAACAATTTTCTAACGATGGAGTGAAATTGAACGATCATTATTATATTAGGCAGGAAAAACCTATCTTAAAAAAGAAGAAATATCAACCCTCATCTCAGATGAAGTGGAAAATTCTTCAAACATTCGAGATGTCTTCAAGGGGTTAATAATTATTCTATGATAACTTATAACGATTATATAATAGAGCTACCATTTCATAATATTTTCTCTTTCAAATTTCATAAAATTTGTTGAGTGAGAAATGCAGAAGCTCCTTAATGGAACAACATCCACTAGCAGATTTATAAGCATTCATGGCAGATTTAGAATAATATTAAGCATTTGTAAGAATATCACAGCATTGCTGCATGCATCATGATCTGGTAACTCTTCCATATGAATGATCTATGAACACTATCTTCATTTCTGATTGATAATTTAGAGATCGATGAAAAACTCAAAACGATTATAAAATAAACTATCGTCACTAGTTTAACATAACAAAAACAAAACTTCAACCATAATAATAATCTGAACAACAAAAATTAATAAAAATTCTTTAATCTTATCTCTTTTGATAACACATTAAGATGATAAAAATGGAACTGTCTAAACTAAAGCAAGATGTGTAAGATAAGCGAGTACTTGATGACAAATGAATTAACACATTATGTAATAGAAAAACGCAAAACACATATTGGGCCCAAGAAGAGTGCAACAATTTTCCCTCTGGATTTGTCAAAACATATTTTGCAACACTTATGAATAAGTCTATAAGGAATGAAGTACAATTATTAAGTTCAAATGGGACTAAATGATAAGCCACCAATTTCTACTAAATCAAAATTCAAACATGAAAACATATTCATCTCGTAGTTTTTTGACATCGAAATTCACTTCTTCATTTTATGATTACTGAAAAAACATATCATCTATGAACTAATCTTGATAAGTGCCATCAGTTTAAGTAAGTAAGGTTAGTTCACCTAGAAATAAGAATATGAAATAAAAAAAACATCCATTTATAATAAAATAGGTTCATGTAAATTTGAAAATTTTCAAGCAGTGGCACTTCCTAACCAAACCCACTCTGGTCTTCGGAAGCTTTTATCCAAGCGTGAAGTTTTTTTTTCATTATGAGCCTAGTGATAGCCTTATACAGTTCACTCTATTTCATCTTGGTCAACTTAAAAAAAATCGATCAAAATTTAACTGAATTTTTTCGTTGTCCTTGTTTCATCACCCCGACTTTCATTGCAGACCGTGCGTTTACTGATTGGCTAGGTAGAGATTGCGCAACTGCGAAAGGAGAATAGCGTCCCTCGTTTTCAATACTGTTGTTATTATTATTGTTCGCCCCACTGGTAATTTTCTTCAATTCTGCGGCAGTGTTGATTCCAATTAAACGTTCGCCACGTACTGATCCTCCTTTACGAGTCGGCACTCGTCCTGCTAACAAGACATTACAAATTATTTAGTTGATTTAAAATTCAGAGTTTGATTATATTCGATAATCAGTGTCGCTGTTCGATTACCAGTATTGGTTTTTCGTGTCTCCCCTCCCCCTGGTATGCCCATTCTTAGGTTTATCCTATTTGAAATATCAAGTGTATTTTCAGTTCGAAGAAAAAATGAATTACTGAATACTAATGAAAAAGGTATTTTCTTGAAGTATACCAATGAGCAAAATCAGAGAATTTATTCGTGCAAAATTTACATTTTTGAGTATGTCATATCACATTTTTGAAAAATGACTGCGGAGCAAGTTTTAAAAAATGGTATAATGTGAAACTCAGATTGATTAATTCCTACCTCCTCTCGCTTCAAGAGTATCTCGAACAACATCAGGAGTATCTTTATGATGAGATGGATTTTTGAGTTCTATTGCTTGTAAGTCATCTAAGGCAGATTTCATTGTTGATTCGATGTCCTGTAAAATTGCAAATGACGATAATTTGTAACCAATTGTAGTAAAAATAGCATAAAATTTTCGACCTCCTGAAGTATGTGCACCAAGATGGCGCACAACCTGAACACACGTTGTGTACCAGGTTAGGGTTCAGGTTATGCGACATCTTGGTGCGCATACTTCAGAGTCGCCATATTTTCAATATACGGACGGTCAGGAGGTCTATATTCATTTTAGGTACTGAAGATAGAACTCTACCTAATTCCTCAAATTCATTGTAATATAATTTACCTATTAAAACAGATCACAGGTGATGTCCAAAAAGAATCTAATATTTGAATTAATTTGAAAATAATTATATTCGAATCTCAATTTTAGAAATAATTAGAATGGTTCCTATTGAGAAATTATAATTTTAGCAAAGTTGTACAGTAGTCGGTTGGGAAAATAAATATCTAAAAACTGTAAAAACTAGAGTGCCATTCAAATCACGTTTATCTGCAGCAACATGACAAATTGTATATTCAAAAATTTTGTTTCAGATTTTATTCAGAACAGTAGATTATATGCTTTGACCATCTCTGCTCCGTTAACTCAACTCCATTAGCAATGCAAAAATATACCAAATTTTTTCTATATATGCCTCCTACAAGCAAATGTGCTAGTTACTCAAAAGGGAACGCTCCCAGCATGGAGATGCTGAAAATATTAATGAACCCAAGCTAATAATCAGAAATAATTATTAAACATAATAAATCTGTAATGAAAAAATATATGCATGCATGAAGCAGTCCAAAATACTAAATCAATGGCAATACATGTTGAAAAAAAAATGCAAAAACAGAAAATATCCAATGAACAATAAATAATATATAGCGTGCTATAACTTGCATGAATTACAGTTACGCGACAATAATATATATTTGTAATCAGGTGGACATGCAGATTATCCACTACTGATTAATACATGGCTGATGCATGTGCAACAACAAGGAATATGCGTTCATTTAGTTTGCTTTGAATTGCAACTCATATTCTGCAAATGATTTTGTTTAGCAAATGATTTTAAAAGCATAATTGATTATCAAGGAGTGCGGTTTTTGATGGGAAAGATTGCAGTATCCTAGTTTTTGTATCTACCAACTACTTCGACCAAAAAAAAAAAACAGCGATAATTATTTTCATAAGTATTTGGTATATATGGGGAAATTGTATTGAAACCTCAATTTCAACTGATAACAGTACATCAAATGGATACATAAGTGCTTGGAAAATTGTCTAAATACTATATAGTACAATCTGACAGCGTTGTCTACCAAAAACTACCATTTACAATTGGGAAACTTGTGATTTCTAATGGCTAAACAAAACTAAATAGTAACAGGTTCATTACAAATAAATATGAAAATATTATATTTTTGACGAGGATATTACTTTTACAGTGCGAACCACTGAATTGAATTCTTGTGAATAGATTTTACAAACTGGACCCTGGCATTTTCTATGAAATACCGGTATATATTGCAATTTCTGCTGTCAGAGGAGATTTTAAAAACCGAACATAAGACAGTTGGTACATAGTACATTGCATAAAATCACACATTCAGAATATTTCGCCAGCAACGCAAGCTTGAAAATATCAAAATAATTTGAAATTAATAAACAAAAAGAACTTAAATTTGTAACACAAAACAGGCATGAATTAAATGCAATGACAAAGCAGACAACGATAATCAAGCGAGCAGATAATTCTTACAGATTTTTTTCCAGATTCAAGCCGGATACGTGGTAACGTTCCGTAACCTCTTGGCTAAAATTGAAAACAATGGATTCTATGAAACTAACATACATGATATCACTACAAAAAATTCTTTTTTTTCTATGATAAAAAAAAATAATGGAAAATGTTTGCCTTTTATAACAGCATGTGAAACATATATATATATATATATATACTTTCAATTTTGCTGAAAATATAGCAGCATCTTCATGATGGATGCAAAACTATAATGCTGTCTGAAAAATTCATATTACCATTGTGGCAACATTTTATTCGAACACCAATAGCAAAATAATCTGGTTCCATTATAGATCAACGAACAAAATACTGATCAATACCATCGTAATGAGAATAAATTGTAAGTAGGCAGATGTGAGTGCACAACTGCACTTACGAAAATAAATATTCATTTCTGTGTATATCATAATGTGTATTTTCCATATATATATTTTAGTTGTATTTCAATTACTATTTTTCAATTTGGTTATGAAAAATTTAGATGCAATAAAAATCTAAATAATTTTTTTTGTATATTCAGCTTATTAATCTTAATTTGTTAAGAGAACTATTCAGACATAAGCTTCCCTACTGCTACTGAAAACGCAAAAATATTCACACCAATTAATTAATCAAATCTTCAAAAATGTTTTCAGTAATATTATCAACCCTAATCTTTTGATTAGCAAATTATATTTTGACGTCCTTTGGAGAATTCCTGACCAAAAAGGTAAAGAAGCAAAAGCTTCAGACTTCGAGCTAAAACTTTTGCATAGGAAGAAGACAGTATGTAATAGAATGAAGATGACTAGCATTCACTACTTAACCTTTGCACCAGCAGCCCGAGCAGCTTCAAGAAAAGTGTCTTTCATTGCAGCCTGTTTTTATTATAGAGTGGAATGAATTCGGTAATTTCAACTTATTAAAACTTATTTTTAAATTTCTAATATTTTGATGATGAACAATTTTGTGATGATGATAAATTTATTCTACGAATAATATAAAATGCTACAAATCTTGAAAAAAGCGAATAATGATTTTTTCAATATCAATATAATGTATAATTTACAAGAATAAATCTACGAATTTAGCACTACTTTCATTATGAAACATGCATTTTAATAATATGCTTTTGAGTAAAGTCTTAATTTATCAAAGACCGAAGTGACTCAAGTCATCTTAATACAATGAGATATGGCTCAGTGATTGGACTCAGTAAAGACAAATAAGAATTTAAAAAAAAATCCTGGAATCAATATCCTTTTCTTCTTTTTGTGTTTAAATTTTTCATTTTCCATAGCAAAAATAATGACACACTTTTTTCAAGAATATATCAGCTTCAATTTATCGCTTGGAATAAACAGTTGTAACAACAAGATCTATATACATTTCTTGCGCTTGCTCAAAGTTCACAAGAATTCAATTTGAAATGAAGCTACAAGGGATAATTTGATTTTAAAAAGCTATTTCCACAAAGACACACATAACTGATGAATTTGATAAAATTGTCTCACAAACAACCTACAAAAAAAAAAATCGCAAAAATAGTCTGACATACTTGAATAGTCCCTGGATCAATTCCAGCTGAATTGCTAGTACTTCTTTTAAACATTGCGACACGTTCCGCAACGGACATTCTCGATGCCTCACTACCAGCAGTTGGAGATTCATCAATGCTACTCACTCCACTCTCCTTGAAGGAACTTGACGTACTGAGACCTGTAGTTTCGGATGCTCCTCGAGCTGAGTGAGAGAGAGAATTTGATCAACTCATCAAAAAAATATTACTGTACTATTATCGGGGATCACGGGATACTATTAACAGGGATCACAATCATGACATTGCTGTGATCAGTGTCTCTTAAAAATGGCTCAGTCAAGAAATCACTGGAAAAGTATTAAAGTTAAAAGTACATGGTTGAGCAATAAATTATCATTTTGAGCTTTCTATCTATACCAGAAAATAAAAAAAAATCAGATTAGCATTTGTTCGAAATTTAATGAAAACTGAATGATAGCACATTCTATTCAAAAAATGCAATGCACTTGGAATACTGTATTCAATTTTTGTAGGCATTTGTTGGTCACCTTGAAAAACTTTCACACAAAGTAAATGATAGCATATTTCCTTCAAAAAATGAGATGGGAGCATTGGGAATATTCAATTTTTGATGTGATCGTTTTTTTTTTTCAAATATTTATCGTGTAAATGGTCAAGTTAAATAATTGTATAACAAAATGGTTCCATTACATTTGAACCCACGTACATTTGAACCTGTATGCTATTGCACCATGCTATTTTTTTTTTTCGGATAGTTGAACCCACACTAACCCTAACCCATGGGTTTTAGCACCCGCATATAGATTGAACCCGTGGATATACACATGGGTTCAAATGTACGGTCACCTAACAAAATATCTATCGTAATTGAGAAGTTTAAAAGATACTCGAGTTATCCCAATGATAATTTATAGAGGCCATTGTTAGCTATAGGGATGGGAATATTGTCCAGACCAATTTTTAAACGTCTTCCTCCCCGCCTCTACCATGAATCTATGAATGTTGAAAATCTTGGCAGGATAGACATGGTAGTCCAGAATACTAGCATCCATTATTTTCTAGATAAATTTTTCCAAATCTTAAAAACTTACATTTCTTTGAAGGTTTTTGTTTATGTTTTTGTAAATATTCTTGCACGTTACTATGGCGATCGAGAGATTTGGTTTTCATTGCCATCCTGCTTGCATCAGAGTGTGAATTTAGATTCTCGGAACTTGCACGTCTGGTAAATGAAGAGGCTTATTAACATATGCATAAAAATATGTAATACAAAAACCCAGCCAAAGAAGTCTCGATCAGAAATGAAGTAATTACAAATTAATTTTATACATATATATATATATATATTTTAACTACCTCAATTTTTAATTAAACAACAATTTTTCAAATTAGCTTAAAATTTTGATCGTAAACTTCTTTAGAAATAAAACACTTGGAAATCCCAGAATGAGAGTTTCTGGACCTAATAAACTAAAATATGATCAAATTAATATTATTATTTAATTATATCACAAACAGAAGAATTGATGGGAGTAATACGAATCGGAATAATGAAGTTTTCAAAATACCAAGATGTCTAAATTGGCCTCTCAAATCTAGCATAATTCAAAAAATTACAATCAACAATTATATATTTCCTACCACCATGTAAAATGGTGTTATTTAGCTTTTAATCATCAAAAAATTAAAAATAAAATGATTGGTGGTTAGGTTAGAATGACACCTGAATACCGTTTATTTTACAGTTATTGTATAAATGGCATGAAATCTAGGCTACAAGCTACCTTGTTTGCTAAAATCGAACGACATGCATTAAATTCGAACATATTGATAACAAAATGATTCATTTATGTTTTAATTTAATATAGAACGCTATTTTGGGTTAGGTGAATAATGCTGCTTTGATGATTCTCACAAATAAATTATTCTCTACCATAACTCATTACAATAAACTAAATTTTTTTTGACATATTTGGCAAAACCTATTCAAATATCCAATTTACCATGACCAAATTGCATTCGAACATACTAATTGGATAAAGTCTTTTCAACAATCAAATAACATAAAAACAGATTCTGAAATATTCTGGAAAATTGAATTAGATTAAAATTGTATGAGTGAGTAACATGGAATTATTTTATCAAAATCTTATATAGAATACTATAAATTGCTCTGAAATGTGGCTGTAGTATCAATTATTTTAAATTCCGAATTGTTTAATTTTTTTACAGTCAGTTCCAATTTTTTGGATGAAATACAGATTTTTAAATATTGTTATTTTTATTTCAAATATCGTTAGGTCTTTTTGATTTGTTCAGGAGAAATAAAACTTTTTACTTCGAAGGGGATGCAACCTTTTGTCCATGCACAAGTCTTTTTTAAATCAATGAGCTACTATTCTAACTAACACAACACCGATGGCAAGCAGGCAGGCGTGCTACGTTTTTACCGCATTCTTTTTCTTTTATCTAACCTTTTCGCTTGAATAAAGAAAGGATCAGACCTGTGTGGAGACTGAGGTGTCCCACTGCTGTCCAGACTGAGTTCGGATTCCGCACGACTGGACAGTATATCAGAAAAATCATCTCTGCAGAAATTACGGAATTAGAAAGAATGTTAATTGCAAAATAGTGTCAATTAAAAAAAATAATTATTGAAAAATTAGTTTTTATATTTTGAAAGCAAAATTATAATGAAAAATTAAAAGCAATTTTATGCACTCTGATGTATAAGGTACTGTATCGTTAAATTTACTGCAAATCATGAAACAATTGATAAAAAAGCCAACGTTTTACTAAACTATGATTTTTGACAGAAAGGCAGCTTTTTTTTCCTGAGTCATTTCTCACAATATAGAAAAACAAAGAATTAAAGCTCGGCGCATTATTAAAAAGCATTAAAATGAGTGAAAAATATAGCTTAGCAATAAAAAATCTCAAAATTATGCCAATTGCGATGTTTGCAAAATAAACTACATTTAAGCCAAGGGCGCTTTTTATACCAAGGAATATTTTTGACCAGCAATTATCAAAAAATCATATATTCTCTGTCCATTGGCTTCATTTTTCATGCTTGTGTTACTCACATTTCTTGCACTGTAATATAAGTATGAGGAATCAACCCATCTTTTCCATTAAAATTTCCCTCCCACCAATCTTCAGAAGCTCGTCTGTATAAGGTTAGTATATCTCCTTTACGGAATGATAATTCTCTAGTTGATCGTCCTTTGTATTCATATCTTGCTATTGCTTCATACAATGGCTCAGATTCTAAAAAGTGAAAAGGATTATTATTACAGTCAGATTAAGTATAAATAACATCTGATATTTTTTATTAACTATTCACGGGTAATACTTCATTCGTTGTGTTCATTTTGAACTGCCTGCTCTATAACATAATAATGCCAAAATAAGACCGGATTCCAAATTAAAGAGGGCCTTTTTTTTTAGGAGAAAAGCGGAAATATTATTTTGCATTCAAAAGAGGCAAAGGGAGAAATATAGGAAAAAGGTACTCAAATACTTTCTTTCAAACTATTGTTTGTTCGATTAAGAGAAATTTGAATGAACATACATTTAAAATCAAGCAATTAAAGGACCAGACGGTAAATTGACATTTCTACATTTCAATTCATCAATTTCATTGAATATAACTAGACTCGTATATTAAACTGCCCAAACTGATATATAGAATATATTTAATTTTTTCGAAAAGTATTTTACTACGTATTTGTAATAGAGGATAAGTCTTTTTAGGGTACAATCCATCGAATACACGCCATCAACCAAAATTGGGTAACACTGCGAAAGCTTACCGTCATCGCTAACACTTGAAACCACCGAAGCACTATGTTGTTCTTCTTTATCGTCCTCATCATGTGCGGCCGATTGATCAACAGTTACTGATGAAGCAGAATCGTCAGCAACAAATTCTTCTGACGCCATCAATTTTTCATATTTGGGTCCGTCCAAGGAATCTGGGAAGATGTCCTCATGGTATAGAATGATGGTCTGATAAAAGAGATTTAATATTTGAAAATGTTTTTATATGATGCATATTCAGGCCGTTGAAAAAAAAATTAAACATGGCTATTCTAAGATTCGATATCTTTTTTAGGTGACAAAGAATATGGCTCTGAAAATGTGAATACAATACATATACATCAATCATGGTTTTTAAAAAGAAGAATCTTTCCGTTTTAACATATACACTGTCATACCCATTTGGTTAAACAAATGGAGTAGAGTTTAACAGACATGGCTAAAACGAATATTCCACTATTTCAAATTTTTTTTAATATAAAATATCAGATTTGGTATTGGACCAAGATAAAAATTGTATTATAGGATTTCATATTTCTAATGTATCAGAAGTTCAATGGAATCCATCATCAGTCTGATGGTCAATTTTTAATTTTTTCAAAAAATTGTTTTTATATCACAATTTCAAATGTATATTAATATTTACTTTATTTCATTCATTTTTGTCATCCTTTTAACCTGCAATGCCAACAAAGTTTTTGAGATAGCAGTGTTTATGTCTCACTAAAATATATTCAATATAAAACACTCTGCACTACTTTGTTATAATTACAAACCTTAATGATTTCATTAACATTAGCTTGACATGATACTTGATCATAAGATTCTGGAACTTGTAGTAACGTAGGTCCAAAACATACAGCAAGATTATAGGCATCCATCATATTTTCATCGTTATGTTGAGATAAACTAAAATAAACAAAGAAGGAACGTAATGACAATTTAGTTTCAATTTGATTTCTCAAATGAGTTGCTCAAATCAAGGTAGCAAGCCCTAAACTTAAATTGTAAAAATACTGATACAAGAGTTGCAGTCCTCAATTTGAAGGCAAAATATTATACATGGAATTTAAATGCAGAATATATGCCATTTGATTGGTGTTGACATTCAAGTCAAGTCTTCACTGTCAAGAAAAAGATGGTGCTTTTTGTGAGACAACAAAAAGAAATTATGCTCCATACATTACAAACTATTCAAAAATGAAAGGCATTTCATGACCCACTGATATTCTTTGTTTGATAATAATATCAGTTGTTTTTTAAAGAGTTTATACAAGATTCTTTGCCTAACGCTACCAACATGGTTGCAAAAAAAATTCATTTTTGAATAACAAAACTATTTAAAAATTCAATTTTAATTTCTGTTTGCATATACCGGGTACTTATATATGATAATCCGCTGCAATTTGAAAAGTCGGTAGTACGTTGCGGTAATTCACAATACTATCCAAAGTACTTAACACGTCATCGAGTTGGCGGAAATCAATAGGAAAGCATACTTCGATATTGAACGGAAGTAAACAATCTACACAACGAGAGAGAGAAAGCTATTATAATAGGATGCAATTAACAAGTTTGGTGTCTGATTAGACGTCATTGCGGCACGTGACACCAAAACTTTTATACCGGTAGGTTGTAGTCAATGAGGATTGTTAGTAATCGAGTATTTATTCTATATCAATTTCTGTTAGGTAATAATTTCAACTTTTGAATTTGTGGAATGTAAAACTTAATGAAAATACCTATGTTGTCTAATTTTATTGCAAAAATCTGACTATGTATAAAATTCCAATTCACGACCGATTTATAATTTAAATTTTACAAATTTACAAATATCACTACACATAGATAGGACAGTAATTTTAAATAAACAATGATTCAAATCAACTGAGTTTTTAGTTAAGAGGATGTCTAAAGTAAATTTATTGGCCAGTATTCGGTGCAGATATATACACAAATATATCTATAAATGCATATAATAAGCATCTTCAAAAATTTATAAACGCCATCAAAAAAATATAAACAAGTAAAATATACAAAAATTGCCATAACATTAGAATATTACAAAATGGTCAGTTGTAATAAACAAAATGAAATGTTATAGAAGCAAAGGCAGTTAGCCGTGTTGATAAAATATTAAATCGGAAGAGTTTTATAGATACTTTTGAATTGTTTTGCATTTTCATAACAATTCTTACAGTCAAAGATAAATCCTATTCAATCATTTGTTTATATGAGCATATTTTTGTAAATTCTTTACAAACTTTACAAAATATTGATTGTCAAACGTTTGTGTTAAGCAGTTATATTTCCCAGCAAAGCCAGTAGCTTAAAAGTAGATTAATTAAACTTACTGATTGAGAAAAGCGAATAAATATCTCATGACCACCAACACTGATTCAGGAACATTTAACAAAGTACGTCGAATGCTTTCAACACGTTTTTCGGAATCTTGAATGTCTGAAAAAGAAAGATTTTTATGTATACCTGGTCACATCAAAGTCATAATATAAATAGCCAAATAGGCATCTACTCTCAGCCTAAAATGAGCTTGCTTATTCTCAGCACAGTCGAAAAATAAACGACTCATTACTTATCAAAAGGCTTGAAGTACAACAGAATAACAAAATAAATTTGCTATGGGGATGTACAAAAAAAATTGGTAGAATCAAGGCAGCATGTCCAAATATTCAGGAAATAAATTCAAAAACTTAATCAAAAATATATCTTAACCAAAGTTTCTGTTATCTGTTCGTAAAATATGCCTGCAATAGATGAGGAAAAAAAACAATTGGGCTATGATCAAAAAAAATTTTGAAAGCGGATACATAAAAGTAGAGATGCAAAAAAATGTTATGAAACTAAGCTATTAGTTTAATGCAATGGTTCCCAGCCTTTCGTTTGGAATTACTCACTTCCGATTTAGAGAGAGTTTTCATCCCTACCCATACACTAAAGCCTTCAATAAAATTCGGTAAGACGTTGTCTAATTGGGTAAAGAATCAAGACCCCCAGTATATTCGAAGCTTTTGCTTTTGAAGCCACAAATCTTGAAAAGTCTTGTTTTTATGGAGAAAAAGGGCCCAAAGCATTGCGTCTCCATAATTATATACATCCACGCAACAACACGTTTACTGTACATGAAGTTTCTTCAGAAAGTACGCTGCGCATCTTTCTTTGCTTAGTGTTATTTCGATTTTCATTGTGTAATAGACTAATCGTATTCATTCATTGTGTTTTTTCATAGGTTTGTTTACAAGTGGAAAATAACCCAACAGTGTAACAGTGTGTAAGTATTGTGTAAAATATGCCAGTTTTGTAGCAGTATCTTGTTTTTTATTTTACTATTTTTTCATTTATTTATTTACGATATTCCAGTAAATGAGATCTCCTCAACATATTCAAATTCAAGAAGACCAAATTAGCTGGATATTTAAAACCTACCAAAATAGTTCATCATTCATTGCCATAAAAATTCCAGCATACGAAACAAGATAGTAGGAACTATATACTGTATTACGTAACGTCTCCAGAGTGCTACAGACATATGGCAACAGTAAGAAGAATAAAACATAATACAATGCATCAATAGAAAGAACTATTCTATACTCCCAAATGACTAAATGGAATTGGAAGACATATTATTGGATAATTGGCACTCAAATGTACTGGAATGCACGCCAGATAGACACAATAGTATTGTTTGATGACTGATTGCTCTGTTTCGAATAATAACACCAATGCACAAATAAGAAAATAAATTTTAGATATGATGGATTAATTAATGAATTGTGGTTGAACACCAAAATTGAGAATATTCAGTCTAAATGATAACATATTGATTAATAAATAATATTTTAATTTGATATTCAAAATTTTTGTCATTTATTTGAAATGGCTGGTATTTTACACTTTATGCTTCAGCTAAAAAAAAATACCAATAACAAAAAAATCTCCTTGAATAATACCTGAGCATTAAATTGGCAAAAATGGGATTTTCTTCATTAGTTTATATTGGCATATGTTTGATTATACGGCCTAACAGATGCATGTAGATTATTTACAATGAAAAAATATAGAAAATAAAGCTAGACTAAATAGACTTTTCTTGGTGTGGAATCTAGCGCATCAAGTCACAGTGCCATGGGAATTTAATAATAGTAATATAATGCATAAAGTTTCCATACTCTGGAGATTTGACACTATTCAATTGAAAATAAATATCTTTTCATACTATTTAAATAGTAGACAATAGCGTCTGCCTCTGGTTCATATTGTTTGCTAAACAGAAAACTTATTCTGGTCTGGCAATATAAAGTCGTTGTATAGACTTTTGGCTAATAGCACTGACAGGAGATATTTGAAGTAAAATAAATAGTCGAAATTAGTAATAAGGGCGATTCCAAGCAAATGTTTTCCAAGCAAATGAATTTCATCAATTTTCAAAAAGTGCAGTAAAAGTAATTGTTTTGTATTTTTTTTATCAAAAGACAAATGAATTTTATTGGACTGCATTCATTTCATGAAAAAAGTTAAAATATTTCCCAGGTTTTTATGGTTTACACAAAATGGCATGAAATGTAGAAATTGTGATATAATTGACATTTTTTGTGATGACTCGCAACAAAAAGTGTTTGATTGTTTGGTACAGTTATTTCATTTCCAAAAAGATGCACTGGACTTAAGTTAATGAAGATTAAGTGTTTGCAATGCTGTAGGACATGTCTTTAACTATTCAACGATTTATTGTTAGAATTTTAAGAGATAATAGAGGCTGCTAGGTGCTCCTGAAGTATGCATAACAAGATGTTGCATAACCTGAACCCTAACCTGGTACACAACCTGAGTTCAGGTTGTGCGTCATCTTGGTGCGCATACTTCAGGAGGTCAGGATGCTGTTCCAAAGAGGAAAATTGTCCAGTAGTGTGACGTCCTATAGAGTCACGTAAAATGTGCACATTATCGTTATGAAACTACAGTGTTACATAGAGTAACTTGAGTGGCACATAGAGGGGTCCTTCAGTTACTGCACCAGAAAATATTGAGGGCCCCGCTGTACCAGCGAGTCAGCGAACTCAATGAAATGTTAATGCATGGTGGATTTGCTGTCCTATATTTTAGTATATACTTTATACCCACTAAGAAAGTTGTGTATGTAACTTTCATGCAGTTCTGTTCAAACCCCATAAAGCAACTGATTGGACAATAATACAAAACATGTAGCTGGCAATGTAAAAATATATTGCATCTAACAACATGCAAACCCTTACTCTTGCTTTAATGTATATAACTTTTTCTGTTGAACTAAACTAATTTATAATAAATTCAGAACATCAGAATTTATTCGAAATAGTAAGCTTTCCAATTATAACCATACCTGCATATCAAAGCATTGAAAAATTATGAGTTAGTGATAAATGGCCATGTAGGTATCTTAGTGCAAGTCAGTAGCCTACCTATTGGCAATGGATTGTCAGAAGCCTACTTCCGATTGTCAGAAGCCTACTGGCTGTTTTTTAACATTTATGATAGAATTTATTCGGCATACATCGCCTATGTTCGTCCGAAGCCTAATTCAGAGCAACTGGGTCATCAAATATGTATTTAGATTGACCAGATCAAATTTACTCATCATACATCGCCTATGATTGAACCGACTAATTTTCAGAGCCTATCCAAGCACTGAAACTCTATTCTGGTAACTATGCACAGACTCGTCTATTTATATCCCACAATGAGATTAATCAAACACAAATTGTAAATAGCACAACATAAATTATACCACATCCTCCCAGTCATATTTTAGGCGTATATTTTCTTGAATTTTTCAACCAAAAGCTCTGTCTTCACTTATAGGCCAAGTGAGTCATCATTATATACCATAGACTAGATTCTAATAAAGCAGGTGAAAATGACTGTCTTTATAACTGACACACACAAAGTGACATTCTAATTAATTTGGTCATACCATTTTGAGCACACTTAAAAGTAATGGTGAGTTTGGTGATATATACATGAAAAAAACTTTCGAATATCTAAATTGTGAAGCAATAAACAACAAATAATATATATATTCATGATCAACGAATGATTTGAACAAGTTCCAAGATGAACAAAAACGCTAGATTTAAATACAAAAGATTTGTAAGTCCAGAGTGAAATCAGCTAGTCACACAACCTAATGGTAAAAACAGTGTGTGCAATAGCAGGTGAGGATTTTCGAGTTCGTACCCCATTCCACCACCTAACCCAAGTTCCAATACATTAGGTAAAATATGTAGCACACAGTTTTTAATAACTCCGAAAATAGTAACCTCTGTTTATACCTTGTACTGAGCCACAGTACAAGCAAAGGAAGGGAATTCTTTCGAATGATATAATTTTACTATAAAAAAATAGTAATACTTACTGACACTTTGCAGTAAGTCATCAACAACGTAACTAGGAAATAACTTTCCATCAAGTTGTCGAAAATAAAGTTTCAATAATCCTGCGACCGAATTAATGTCAATTTCATCTTCCATTTCAGATACTGGGTCTTCTCCTTTGTCAAATTGTGTTTTCATTTCTGAGATGTCCTGAAAATTAAAAAATAAAATAAAATTAATAAGAATTCTATGATCATTGGTTCTCAAACTTCCATGATCTGTGTCCCTTAACAATTGTGCCCATTGCTCTTCTAAAAAATACTTACTGTTACCTAATATCCTCGCATATAAGCCGAATTTAATTCAAAAAGCCACAACTTGAACTATGCTAAGTTCTTACGATAAGAGCAGACGATTTGTAGGGTTGGCTTATATGCAAATTTTCATAAATTCACCCTTTTAGGGCCGTTTTTAAAGGGTTGACTTATATGCAAAGATATACACTAGCTTTGCTTTTAATGGATTTAATAATAATGAAAAAACAACAACCAAAAGTCAATAAGGGAAAAAAAATTACAGTTAAAGAATTAAACAAATGTGAGTCATAAGATAATTTTATTTTCTATGTTTGGAATTACTGAATCCAGGAACAATTTAGAATAAACTTATTTCAAAAATTATTATTTTAGTCATCGAACTTTCACATTACAGGGAAAAATTTCTGTGCATATTTTTCTGTATTGTGTAGCATTGCGCACAGTGGACACAGACACAGAACTCCATGCCCAACACCGCACTAAAGGTGTAATAAATTGGGTAAACGATGCCAAAAGAGTTTTTTAAAAATAGTTTCCAACTTATTGTTAAATATCAGTGGCTACTTATTAGAGTGAATAGGCATTTATAACGAGAGTTGAATAGCAAAAATTTTCATATTCAAAATTTTATTTTCGAATGTGTTCAAAATTGTAGAATATTCATTTTGGCCATTTCTGTACAAATGAGTAAAAACCATGCCTATTCGAACAACTCATAATGATATGATACTTACTTGATGTGACCCAGGTACCCTGAATATTCCTTGATGGTGCATTCCATATAAATTAATAACACGAATACAACTTTCAACCACAGGTGGAATGCTACATCCAGTTTCCTTGAAAAAAATTAAAAAAAATTCAAAAAACATAAAAAAAAAATTTGATATTAATAATATAAAAAATAAGTAAAATTCGTTGACATTTGGTTGTAATCAGCATGCATATTAGTGCTTTTACTAGATTTATTTTGCAAATCATTTATTTTTTTTTAGAAAATATTAGTCCACCAATATTATTTTTGATTGGTATAAAATCTCATCATGCTATATTGAATCATAGAACTGCGTTGAGTGGGAATGAACCAAACCGAACATAATATTCTGATTATCGTTTCGCGGACAGCAGTTCAGCCATGACACATTACTGCATTTTGTTACTTTTTATCATTAAAAAGACGAAAATTCTGAAAGGTAGCCTACATTAAAAATTTAGTTTTTTTCTTCAATATAGTGTATTTATAAATGATAATCAAAAATATTATTACTGAATCGTTCTCAAAGTCGAAGTTATACGAATCCAATTTCGAATAATATCAACTTTTTCACATAATTCAGATCCCAATTAGGGAGTAAATTAGCATAGAATTGCACTCCGCATTTCCAGCACACAAAAAACATTTGAAGGCAGATTCAGAATTTTACTTTATAAAAAATTATAGGAAATCAGAGAATTGATTGATAATTTTAAATTAAAATTTTTTTTCAATTCAGTTCAAAATTTTAATTTAATTTTTCACAGGATGAAAAAAAGGTAACAACCAATCATTCACAACTTCACACAAAAACCATGTGCAAATATCTCGTATATTAAATTAGTCCGTTATCCCCTCACCCCTTGTGTGTAAAATTTTCATTATGGTAACTTCTATATTCATTACGCTAATAGATCAAAACAGACAAAAATACATGAGTGATTATCAACAATAGCCTATCAATTTTTATGGAAGATTTAATTCTACTGAATTATGCTATTTCTCTTATCGAATGCTGAAACAACATCATCGTTTTTAGCTAAATATTTCAGATGTATCATCAAAATTAGATTTACAGGACTAATTGGGAGAATTTACGGGTAAATTTGAAATTATTACATAAAATAGATAATAATTGTTCCTACAGCATTCACTTTACACAAAACTAACTCTGAAAACAAATACCACAAAATTCAATAAAGAATAAAAATGGGGAAAAATCTCGGTCCAGAGAAATCTTCTTAATTGAGTCAAATTGTTGACAAATGGAGAAATGAAACGCCCGAACTAGCTTATGAGAGTTTCACTGACGCTATAAGGCAACAGAAAACAAGCACCATAACAATCACAACAATAGAACAACTACAGACGATGACTACAAGAACAAAGAATACATACGACAGGAAGTGGTCTACAAGTACAATAAAAAATATTTTAATATTTCAAGATGAAAAATCATCTGACATGCTAAGTTAGTCGGGAGTTTATATAAATTTTGTTATCCACCATATTAAAAGCCTAATTCTAAATTTTTTGGTAAATACTTAATTCTAAAATTTCAGATATACGTTGTTTTAAAACTATAATACAGTGTGTGCATTGAGTCCTGTTGCAATTTCAATTTTATTATGAAGTTGTCAGTATATATATCTTAACCAGGTTTGTTTTATTTTTGTTTGCGTTTGTTTTTTATTTAATACACTGGTATTGAGGGGGAACAAATTATATATGGTATCAATAAATTCACTTTAAAATTTAAAATTTTTTAATACTTTAATAACACCCCATATCAAGGTGGTCCAAACTCAGGCCCGCAGGCCACATGCATTCGTGAAGGAATCAAGAAATCGCATTTCGTGTTGTATCTTTTGACATATTGTTGCATCACCAATGTCACTGAATTAACTAGTGTTATGGCTTGCTGAGGCAACTAGCAAGTTAAACGAGCGAAGTTGTTGGCACTATTGTGGCCCGCGAAAGTAATTTTGTGGCCCACGGAGCTGCCAATCTTGGACCACCCTGCCCTATATAATGAGGTTCAATATAATGGGGAAATAGATTTTACTTCTTAATCAAGTTGTCAGGATGTTGGTATTGGTAACATATTATTTGACAGACTTTTAAACATCAACTAATCAGAACTTTTTTGAATTTAGTATCTTGAATACCTTTTATGCACATAATCGAATTCTTTTGAAAACATTTTTGAGAGGGCATTTTCCTTATTACACAGTTAGGCCATATCTCTATACAAATCTATTTCACACCATTGAATATCACATAGCCTATGTGCCGCAATAGCCTAATGATAATGGAAATAAAAATAAAATAGCACACAACCATATACATTATCAGTGATGAATACTTTTATGATTGTATTGAGTCATTCTGATGCCAAGTTTCTACCCTACTATATGTGATATATTAATTATCACCATGTTAATAATTGTTATCTATTACATCACAATGGCTTGAAAATGCAAAATTGGTCTCATTGCAAGTGAATCCTATAGTTTTACAGCCATAGAAAAACTATTGGTTTAATCTATAAAGGCTTTTTTTATGAGATGCTGCACACCAACGAAGACACAGAATTTTTGTGCAACGAAAGTGGGCCATGAGGGAAAAAAGGTTGTCATGGGTATGGACTGAAGACAGAACCATTAAAGCTCAAACTCGAATTTCGTATAACAGCAAAGTTCATAGTGAAGCCACCATATTATTATTCTTAAGAAGTAACTTAAAATTTCCACTCACTCAATACGACTATATTTGGAAGCACTGGAATGTATTTTGTTTCGCAGTTATTTTCTAATATTACACCCAAGATTTCTTCAGAGCAAAAACCATTGGCCCTTGCTATGAATTTCATAACAATTTCTAAAATGTCAAGACAATTTTATTTATATTATTGTCTTGACATTTTAGAAATTCAACTTTCAGGATTCAAACAGCAAAATGAACCAATTAACCATCAGTTTAATTAATTAAGAGTGATTAGCACCATTAATTTGTTTAAATAAAAAGTGTAGAGCATATTTTGCGCAAATATGACCAATCACGCAAGTTAGTAATCCAACTATATTGTCTACAAACCATTACATTTGTGGTTATTAGACACAGGCACTGGCAGGCAAACCATTCCATAGGTGCATTGAAAATTTATCATAAAATCATACTCGAACAAGCATGGATTGTAAAATAATCCAGTGCTTGATCTAGTATGATTTCATGGTAACATTTTCATCTGGTTGCAAGACTTTATTCATACCTGTGGCTTTCTGTGCGTATGCTTTGGTCTACCGATTGCAAAAATGAAAAGCAGAGAATTAGAAACAATGAATTTATATAAAAAAAGGGCTAAGGATGGCACTAATATTTACTGCGCCACCGTTTTGCCCAGGGTACCTTTAAGTAAGTCTCCATGTCGCTCGTAAAATGGCTTTTTACTGCTTTCACAGACGCCATATTAAGTCTCGAGTTTCGCTTTCCTGTCATGCCTTTTTTGCCTTGCTTGTTGGGCTGCTTGGGTAATCTGAATCTATTCAAACGGCAAAATAAAGCAATTTTCTCTGATAAAAAAGTAAATGGTATTTAACGAAATATTTTGTAAACGGCGAGAAACATCAATAAGATATTCTGCCAACCAACACTGAAAGATGAGTAGGATAAAAATATTGGAAGTTTAAATTACATCTGCTTAAAGCTTAAAGCTATTTTTTTAAAGACAAGTGGGCTTAGAGGTTGAAAACATTGGATATAAATTAAACGCCTCACGAAGACCGAACTAGAAAGTTGCTTCCAAAGAAAGTCCTTCCAAAACAGAGTAGCTTATTACATGCATGTGATCGCTTATACGTAGCCATGTTTAGAGTGGAAGACATAACAAAACATCCTTTAATAAAAGGACACAATTAAAAAATTACACATTGCCAAATATAGATCATTAAAGAATCGCATATATTTCAGTCCACAGTGAGTTGTTTTATAAATTCAAGTACATCCATACTGAAAGCATATTTTTCTAACGTGGACAGTGTGTGATAATTGAACTGCCAAATAATAATAATAATAATATAGATGTAAATGCTCCAATTCAACAACCATAAATAATCTTGCAGAATTAGATTAGGAATGTAATTTCAAACATCGAAATTCGACTTCTATTTACATAACGTGCACAAATGTTCAGTAGGAAAACATCTGAACGTTCATGTAAATAAAATATAACTTTTATTTGAGCAGCTGCTGTCCCATAGTTTATCCATGAGTATGAACATTGCATAACCGATGAAGCTTGACCCGATTAGGGGCGGATTTATACAGATTTGTGGACGGAAGCCATCAATCGTATTATGGTTGGGTACCAAAGGTTAAAATTAGGTTAGAAAATAGTGGGACGAAGTTCATGTGAACACGAATAAAATATGTGATGCTGAACAAAAAAGTTATTTTGAATTATTAGGTATAAAACAAAGACGCATATTTATGCAATTCCAATTTCATGTACACTTTACCCTATTAATTTAAGTTTATTCCAACCAATTACTTTACACAAAATGAAACCAGTTTGTCCTTTACAAAGATTATCTCTTCAAAGATTAATTTTGTGATTTGAAAATACCTATTGTGAACTGAATAGTTGAAATTTTTTAAAGAATTCAATTTTTCTGATGATTTTTATCGTTGAAATAATTATGAAGCTGGTCAATTTTACTATACCACAAGACAAGCTACAGTCTCATTTTAACAGGGGCCATTTGTCCTGGAAAAGGTAAAACTAGATATAAGATTTTTTGAAAAAATTGGTGTTCATTTTTTAATTTTACTTGGGACGTTGGGAGGTAAATATTTATGCCCTTTGATTGTTGACCCAACCTCAAAGAAAAAAACACAGGTCGCAAAAATTGGGTCACGTTACTTTAGCTCAAAGTCAACCATCCCACTAAGCATTCAAAATGTGTTGACAATAATCCTGTCATAAATAATGTATATCGTTTTTCAGAGTGTGAAATCCAGCGTTACTAAAATAGCACGACAGTTCTGCATCGCTGCAACACTTTTTAATTTGTTTTTTTGTGGAATGCTACCGTTCAAATTGATCAAATTTGAGTTCAGGGATTTCTTCATCTGATGCATAAAAAAAGTATGCACAGGACACGATTCTGAATAATCAGATAAAAAAGCAACAACTTGACAATCTAATAATTAGATCGCAAAAACAAATCTAAGATTTAAATAAAGTTAAAATTCAATGTATATTCAATATTGCAAATTCTTGAATTAGAGAATAAAATAATTGCAATTTTAGGTGCCGAAATGTTTATAATACCGAAATACAATTATAAATGAATATAATAACACAAATAGGAAATTCAATTAATTATGATCCTTTATTATATTTCTAACAAGAATTTATATTATCGAAAGGAAGTCATTTGAAATTTTATTCATTTTGAAAAACTCTAACTGTTTCTAGTCAATCTAGGTTATCAAATATACATTAGATCCAGATAATAAAATTTAAAATATTATATCCAGTATCACATGGAAAAAAGTTTTTCTTCCAGAATGGTCTGGCATGAAAAATCAATTGTTTTAGAAAACAGTTGACGGTGTTGATTAGGTCTGAATTAAGGTAGATCAAACGTTTTATTAAATAAATTCCATCCATAGCGAGACAAGCATTTAACATCTTTAAAAAAATACTGATAACCTGCTAATATATAACCATGATAAGTAGCCTCGAAACCAAATGTCAGCTGATAATTTCCCCAATTTCCGCTTTGAAGTGCATGGCATTAAAGTAAATCTTATTTAGACATGCGATCTTATTATCAAGATGAAAAAGGTTCAGGGTTATGCACAAGGCAGACTGTGTTTTTAGATAATATTTTTGAATTATGGGATTACAATTTGAACTGAGGTTGGAATAATGTTTTGGGTATTGTTTTCTAATTGCTTGTTAGTATAACCAGCGTAGGAGCGAATTTATGGTTGTTATGTCAACTATCTACGCGGCTAGTAAGACTACAGTTTATATTAAGGTGAAAATGGTTGCATCAGAAAAAATAAATCAATTTAGAATATGTATAGGCTAGGATTATATATTTGAAATTACTATTGCGATTTATTTGATGCACTTGAAGTTTACATTGAAATTCCACAAGATTTAGATTGACAGAGCATAAACAAGGTAATTTTGAATATTTGAATTCATATGTAATACATATATCCGAGTACCAAAATCAGTTTGAAATTTCATTTATTTATTCTTTGATTATCATTATTATTTTGTACCAACCAATATGTCCACCAAAAACCAAAATGTCTCGTCGAATCTAAGAATCCATTCATATTAGGAGCGATTTGGTAATTCATTCAATCAATTATCCCCTTGGAAACACATTTTGTGGTTTTGTGTTTCACCAAAAAAATTTGGATGATCCTTCATGATTGATAGTAGAATACCCAAAATACCTATTCCACTGCATTTAAGAAACAATGCCACAGTAAATTGCTCGATTACTTACAGAAAAAAGTAAACTTTAATAACTGTAATAGCATAATATCAAAAATCAATTTTCCCAATTTTAGCATAATAAAGACTATGATAAAATCATGAAAAAGATGAAAAACCGAACGTGGGTGAAAACTAACCTGCTCAAAGTATTGCCTCCATCTATTCCAGTTCCTCCGCCTGCAAGACAGGAAATAATAAACGGTTATAAAATGAGCATGAAGACATAACATACAGACAACAATAACAATTTGAATGACATCGAATATGACTCATTGACATGTCAATGTTGGAAATTTTAATATTATTCAGTTCATACAGTAGGATGATTTAATACATAAATTGATGTAAATATAACAGAGAATATTTGAATCAAAATTTTTTTTTCCAGTAGAAAAAATGGTTATAATACAACAATACCAAGTTTATGTAATATCTTTTGATGAGTTGAATCAGTTTAAAATTTCTAATATAAATTACAGCAAGGCACTGATCCCTCAACTAAGTAGAAATGGTATTGATAAAAAAAAAGTTTATAACCAACTACAGATGTGATAAAAGCCATATCTTGTTACAGAAGTGTTAAAACAGAGCATGAAACATTCCAAGACGATGCAGTCGTTACAAACAGGGCTTCCCCTCTCCTAAGGGGTCACAGAGCAGTCTCTGGGGCCACGAGCAAAAACCTTCACTTTGTACCATTCATGATGATTCCATTAATTTAGAGTAATTTAGAGTTTATTTTTAGTGCTCTGTTGCTCTCGTTTGTTGGTTTTTTTTATTATTGAATGTGGCACATAAAATGGATAAAAATGTGTAACAAGCAAATCCAGGTCTTTTTATGAAAGGGCGGGAGGTCACAAGTGTTTAGAGTATTTGTAAGGCAGCCAAGGATCATAAAAGTTTGAGAACTATTACACCATAATCATACCAGCACCGTTCAGTTGATTTTACAATCTAAAACCAAATTTCAACAAATGAAATTTCCCAAAATTCACTAGAAAAGGTGACGTTTCGAAAATACATATTTCCAAGTTTCAAGATTGTCCATGCTAAAACAATGTTTAAAGGACTTTTCATCCAATTTCAAGATTATATTGTTAACATTTTTTAAAATATTACAAAGGCCCGAAACAATAAATAATTGAAATTATAATCCAGCAGATAAACCAGAAAAACCATTCTGCTTATCAATACAAAAATCTGTCTCACGCAGATGCGTACTACGAGAAAAAAATATAAATTTACTTGTGATTTACAGAGATTGAAACTTAAAACAAATCAAATAACATTCTCTTAAATAATGTCCCCAATATGATGATCCACTAAGTGACATGATCGGCCAGATATAAATCAAATATAAAAATTTACTTTTACAAAAGTGGGCTAAAATGTAAAGCAGAAAGAGTAATGTACTCAAGGCACTACCTTGCAATCAGATCAATATGAGATAATGAGATCATTGTAATCCTGTAAGCATAATGATCTGCATTGAATAACATCAACTAAATATTTATGAAGGGTTAGAAATATTGTTCCAGTAAACCACAACAAGACCACATTGATATCACAAAATACTCCAATTTTTTATTTTTATTTTGCAATGTACCAGGCTATTTATTTTTTGGAGAAAACTCATGGTTCGAGACGATGGAAGTCCATGTTTGGTTGTTCTTGTATTTCTCTTTATATTCTAAATATTTTAAACATCTCTACATTTTATAACAACTAAATTGGCTCTATCATTAGATCCACGGGATTATCAATATTACAATAGTAGGAATGATCACTGAAAATTATATTATATCATTTATATCATAGATACAGTAAAGGACGTATGTATTTAGAAAATAAAAAAATATGGTAATTTAGAATTTTTGCTTTTCAAAGAAATGAAATCGTTTTTGGAGGAATCTTATGTTATTCCAGTGGTTGCATGAGTTATGTTGAAATTCGCAAACTGAAATGTTTGCAAAAAAATGAAAAACATCCAACTATTTGTATATGGCCATACCGAATTATTTGCATGGCATACCTGTATAATATAATTTATTTTATTGTATTGATATGTGGGTGGAAAGTGCACTTGTATGTGGGTGTTGTTTTGGCATATTATGTCGTTTTCCAGTGAGTCAGCCATCATATAAACAAACTTTGTATAAGTATATTAGAACCAGCATGATGGAAAATTAGCCTCAATGGTATATTATGAAATACGAGCTTAGGAGAGGAAATATTTTGTGCCAAATTTTATTTTTATTTTTTCAGAAACCTCATTATGTGGTATTCACTACATCACAGATGTTTTCCTGATCGTAATGACAGTTACTGGTTTATATCCCGCTTCACCGATATAATTCCATATAGCCTCACTGGATATCTTTTCACGGTACTCACGTAGTAACAGTTAAGGTTGCATGAAACTAACTACCTCGCTCTATATATATGCCTTTGCGCAGGTGGATCCGTATCTGTATTACGCAAGGATGCTGTAGCAAGAGTGTAAATGACTATTCTATATTTGTGTTCGTGTGCAGGAGACTCTTGAATCAAATAGACTCTCGTAGTATATGTAGTTTCAGTTCCTTTATACAACTTGACGTAAAGTAGGCGAACAAAATTAGTTACTTCCATATTGGTGCATACACTTCTGGAGCGCCTTTTCACTCATGTAACTCCACTCAGAGATCAGTATCCTGATTCTGAGTGAGTGTACATGACCTTGCTTTGAGTCAATTTTCTAAAAAAAAGATATGAATTACCTTCTCCTAAAGCCTGGTTTAATAAATCCCTTTTGATTTTCAATTTCTTGAGTTGGCCGCTTTTTTCTAAGAAATCTTCAAATTTCTGAAACCGAGAAAAATAAGGTGATTCAACCTAAAATCACTAATGAAATAAGCAAATATAGCGCAGCCCTTCATCGCTATGGAAACGATTCGAATTTATTAGCATAGACGCATACAAATATAGATAAAGGAATTAATCTAAACACATAATTAATAATAAATAGATTGAATCAATTATTAATAAAACAAACCCACAAAAATAAAAATAATTAACCAAAAAAGCCATTTGAAGCATGGCTTTGACTGATAATTAGCAATTGTATTAAGTATTTTATCTAATTATAATTACCGTAAATAGATAGTAAATGACTAATAGAAAATCACAACACTTGTATTTTTATGAATATACCTGTAAATAAAAAACTTCTTGGTCTTCAAGTTTTGTTCGTACCCTCGCAGTTTCTTTATTGAGAAATGGTTCAATAGGATGGGGGTAAGTGGGTGAAGAAGGTCCCCCTCCTACCCTGGTTGAATCGGGTATAAAAGCGCTTTCAAGCTCATGTTTTAATGAATCAGCTTGCTCGGCCATAGATTGCACTGTTGCTGCAAGAGTTTTTCTCATCTATAAAATCAATAAAAAATTTATAAAATCCAGAAAAAAATTGTTTATATAGAAAGACAGTAATAGAAGATTAATTTCGAGAGCGAAAAGTATATTTCTTCCACACAGTTTTGTCTAAATAGAATAATATGCAGTGAATAAAATCACCCAGTCGTGCTGCCAGGGGGGTCAAAACAGCAACTGTATCAGAAGTCTTTGGATGGGAATTTCTGATCCCGATTTTGCAACCGCACAAATCTGGCTCCGCCTATTTTTTTTTCTCAAAGAACTCTTGAAGAACTCTTCATTTGCAATCTTGTTTACTTTATTTTTTGCCATTCATTCAATTCTGATACAGTTTCACATTCAACCATTGCGCTAAAGTTCATGACAAAATTTCCCATAAATCTCAGTAAATTAACCAGTGCATAAGTAGGGATTGAAATGTTCTTTCTGAACAAAACCCATCCAAATATTAAAGAAAATATTTAACTACCTACCTCGTCATCATCCACTAGCATTTGTTTCACAGTTCTCTCAATATCTTGATATCTTTTATCGGCTTCTCTTTGTAGTTGAGATTGAGAGAGGGTGACTTGGTTCACTTGGTCGCCATCATGTGGACAGAATAAAAACTCAGGTGGGGAAGAGAACTGATTAGAATTGAACTCGAGAAACCTGAAAACATGAAAATACACATAAAAAATGTATAATATAATCAAATTTCAGGTCATAGTTTTAGTTTCAAAATCAAGTATTAATCAATGAAAAAGCCTATTGAAGTATAGAAGAAGCCTATTACAAATTTAAGAGGGTGATACAGAGTTAATTTTGATTTCAAGTATACATGCAAAGAATAAACAAAATAAGATAAGTTATGCCAGAAATAGTCAATTTACGTGGAAGGTTACAGAAACAAATCTCTTTTATGTTTCATTAACACTCCGTTTACCAAATATACAAGAATAGAGAGACATTTCACCGACATCATTTGAATAAATAAAGAAAAAATTTGTATATAATCAATTAACAATATAATAGCCTACTAAAAGTGTTCACCCAAAGTATATTAATAAAAACAAGGTGCTAGCAATAATTTGTATTCGCAGAATCCTTAATAAAATTAATCCATGATTCATCATATAGTCTACTTACTAGTTTTAATAATGACCGACTTAAGAATTCTGTTACAGAATGTTTAAGATGATATTAACACAAAAAATATTAGAACACAGTACAGTACACAAATGACCTACTATTAAGATTTACATATAGGCTATTATTAAAAACAAATCTTTTTTTATGACAATTCAATCCAAAAGATCTTCCAAAGTAATAGATTAATCGAATGCCTTTATTTAAAAAATCCACGAAGCTATTTTTATTAACCCTTTCACAGGTTTTTCTGCAATCTGCATATTAACAATAACAAATTCATAACCCCAAATTATTATGACTTTATAATAACAAAACACACAGATGCAAGTGAAAATAAACAAGCCACAATTAAAAGAACTCCAAAAATTAATGATCACCTATAAATGGTAAACAGAAGACCAACCTTGTCTTATCAGCATTAGAGTTTAATTCATCAACCGTTTTTCGCAACGCTAATAATGATTGAGCTTTCGCTTCCGTGGCAAGAGTTTCCATTTTATCATGAGCCATCCATGCTCGTTTCAGAGATGCGTGATATCCTGTACTTTTGGCCTGTAATGAAAAAATTTGACATGACTGTGAACGAAAAAAAATGCAGGAATAGGCAAAAATACTAGTTATAGTCGAATAGATCAAATGTATTCAAGACTTTGAACCAAAATTTAGTATTAAAATCTAAGAAATTGTTTCATCGGGCCATAAAAACACTATTCTCGATATCTTTGATTTTCTAATAAACTTTTGAACAAAAAATGGATGATTTAACGTAAAAATTTTCAACCAAATATTTGCAATATGGATTATGTAGCCTATGTGACATTTTTCAAAAATGGACTATTTTGGAAAAAAGGCTTCTCAATTGAATGTTCCAAAATATGAATTTTGTTTTATACAATAATCTTAATAAAGGATAAAAAATTCAAAGTTACACCAACAAAGCTTCTAAAAATTAACCAAATTAATCTTCACGGTTCAATAACCAAGGTATGACTTCACAAGTGTGCTACCATTATAAATCAGACACTTCTAAACAAGGAATAATCTCTCACTCAATTGTATGAATGATCTATCAGTACTCGTAAGGGTTAACTACTACAGCACTTGATTGTATAGGAAGGTCACGCCTGTGTGGACAATGGTTTTAGGCAGCTAAACAAACTTCTGAGTACCATTCATAAAATCAAGTTACAAAGCATCTGTAGTAAAAAAAATACCGAACATGCCACAGTTAGACAATCATGACAAATAGATTTAAGTCATCACTGAATATTTACCATCAGGGGATTAATTATCATGTTCAAATTTAAGATATCATTAGAGAGTAGTGGCTACTGTATTGTACTAATCTCACAAATAAAAACCTAATAATACTCTATTCGAATTGAAAACAAAAAATGAATATATAAGAATCAACTTTTTTGTACATTTCCGCATGAAAATATCTCTATTGAAGAAGCCTACTATATTTGTAAGGACGAAATCTTTTAAGTTGAGCATAGCCTGCTCGACCAATTTATTACACTCCAAATGAAGTGATCGACATGGGGTTTGAATCTGAAATATTTAACCGGTAATGCGAACATGGTACTACAATACTATTACCACAAAACTATGTCGTTCATTAATTACGGTATAACGAATCTTGGTATATTTTTTTAAAAACAAAAAGGAAAATATCCACACATAAGATGAACTTAGACTCAAGTCATATATATAGTGGTAGCTAAAATATCCTATTTATCGTACAACCGCGAGGAGGTAACATTATTAAGATTAAACATTTTACTCATTGAAACTCAAAATTGACAATTTATGTATTTTATGAATACAAGAAAAATCGGTCAAAATATGACCAATATATTTGCACTTTTTTGGCAGATTTATTTCTTATGAAATAAAATATTCAGGCCTAAGGTCATGGTTTCACCAAACTGACACAAATACTATTTATAACAAAGAAAGAACATCAAAATTTATTATGAAGGAACTCACATACATACATTCATATTAAAATATGACAAAGAAATTTATATTCAGGAGCGCCAGACCATGGTACATTTTTACTAAAAGGTACAGAAAGCAAAGGTGTGGCCACTATATTAAACCGTCTATTCTTTGTCTAGAGTAGGGATAAACCTTTCGAAAATAAACTAATTCGGACACAGAAAATAAAACTTGATTGAAGTCTAAACGGTGAATCAATACAACAATCCTCTCAGATTAACATTTGCATGTAATTTAAAGTTTCACCGAGTTAGTTTTTTAGCGGAAATTTGTTCAATGTAAGGTCACACTTACTCAATCAGAAACAAGAAAAACTGATTTCATATAGGTCTAATATACTTACATCTAGAACAGCAGCAAGATCAGTATTGTAATATTTATCAATGGCCGTGTTTGTAACTTCGAGTTGCATCAAATACTCATTTCTTGCTTTTATAGATTTCAATTTATTTTCTGAAAATTTCTGCGACCTCTGTAAAATAAAAGACAAGATTTTGTTGAACTTTCATAGAGTGAAATTAAATCATTGGGCACATTTATACAAGAAAATAATATTATGACCAGGGATGTCTAGAATGAAGTAAATACTCTAATACATTAAAAATTGGTTCGGTATACGTTAAGTACTTCTTGATTAGGCTATTCGAATAATTTAAGATATTTTTATTTGAAGAATCTCATTTTGGGGATTTTACTTGTTAACAAAGTATTACTTTGTAAAAAAGAAAATATTTATCATAACAATGTTCAACTCAAATATTCTGCATTACTAAAACAATGGCTCATGTAAAAATCTTTGTGGAACCTGACCTATTTACAATATTCATGACATTACATATTTGAAAATAAATAAATAACGAAAATTGTATTCAGAACAGTAAAACATTGAGCTTTGTCCATTTAGCCATTGAAGATTCATTCACAAATTAAAATACAGCTGATAAATCATTGTTTTCTGATATTAAATTTTTTTACACAAACATATGCTTGAAAATTTCCCCTTAAACTGAATTGTTCGGGAATTTCGAAGACTGTATACAAAGACAAATTTTACCCAATAAAATGAACAACAAAACTGAAAAAAGGAGTACCTTTTCTTTTAGTTTCTCCAACTTCCTAAAAGAGGACGAACGTTTAGCTTTTGGATCAAGTTTTGGCGATTCGGTGCTTTTGTCAGCTCGTTTATCAAACTGTAAAATAACAATATATTGAATAGCTTACAAAATCGGGGAAGCAAACCATATTTTTTTCGTGGAAATTATATTTAACATGAATACCTGTTTTTCAACTTGTTTTAATTTGTTTTCAGCTTGCACACATTCTGTGAAATATTGCTGGTATGTTTGCATGGATTGATATAATTTCCTCATATCTTTCATTAGGGTTTCTTGGCAGTTAATGCTGATCTCATGAGTCTGGAAAAAATTATAAAAAATTATTATTGAGTATTTGGTTGTATTAAGGTAAAGTAATATATATACTACTTTTCTTGCTGCGTTAGTGTATTTGTTAGTGGAATTTGAAACTAAAAACAGATTATTCATTATAAAATGACCTTAATGATCTAGGATAGGTTGTAAAATGGTAATAAAATCTTGTATTTAAACATTGGAAGTTCACAATACAAAGTTAACAATGATAAATAATGGGAGGGTTCTTTTTGGCATCATAAAATGACAATGAACCCTTATGAGATCCTAATCCATTAATTTATGACTTCAGGGACATCGTAAATTAATCAGCATCTGCCAAAGGAATTTGTATAACAAAGGACAAGTATGGTGGATAGATAACTTATATCATTTACGTGTGAATCAATTATGATCCATAGTTAAAAAAAAATTAGCATAGACAATGCCTTGACAACAAGATTGATGTAAGACAAAAGGTAGGCTGTCGAGTCTTTGTTTATTACTAGTGAGTAGTGACTAATCAATCCGAAAATTGTGTCCAAAATGAAATTTACATTTTTCAACAAAGAATTTGGAACGCCTTATTTTGGTATATCAAAAAAAATTAATTTTTCAACATTCTTTGTTGTGGAAAATTTGGAATCACAAGCGACAAGCAATTGAGAGATATTGTTCAATCAATTTATTATAATTAAATTTAGGAACGCCAATAAAATTTCCCATTTCCACAATAAAATCATGGCAAATTTAATTCTTTGCTAGCATACTAATAGAAAATTTGCAAATAATTTAAAACAAAATAGTTATTCAAAAGTCATTCTTGCCGTCAGATACTATGATATGGATAACTTGAATATAGAACAAATATACATAATTTACCCTTTTATGTAATCTAACAATGTCTTCCGAAATTATTTGTAAATGTGGAACGAGATGTGTGAGGTAGATTGTAGATAAAACTGTATGATCCTTCCCACCACGCTGACAATGTTCTAACATTTGAAACCAACATTTTACAGGTGATTGAAGTTCAAGATCAGGTTGCTCTTTCCTGGAAAGTTAAAATCAATGATCGTGACTACTTACTCTTGAAAATGAGCATGATTAGGAGCGTATATGCTGCTTGTGACACTTGCCATGTCAACTTGTATATTTGATAGAAACGAGATGTCACATTTGGACACGAATGGTATTGGGGAACAATGACTTTTCAAAGACTTAAGAATTCAAATTATACTCTATTTCAGCTATAATCAGATGCAAAAATAAATTAATTTTCAGGTATAGAAGTACAACGTACAACAGAGAGAAAAACTGAGAAATTTTTTGATTTCTAAACACGGTTCAATGAAATTAGCTAGGCATTAACAGAATTGACATGAAAATGGCTCTTACAAGCTTGAAATAGTGGGCAGACCACTTATATTCTAGATAATGATAAAACAGCAGCAAGAATTTGGAATGTAGCTCAATTAGATTAATAAAAATCAATTTCAATTGGCGCAAAATTTTAGTGAAGGCAAAAAAGGGGTGTAAAATTCAAAACTTAATATTGAATGATTTTGCCCACAAAAATAAATATTATGAATCTATAAATTAACAATGTAATTAACTGGAAACCAGAAAGATACAGCAAGAAAAAGCTTTCAACAGTCTGATTTGTCTGGCATTTACAGATTTTCATTGTAAAGATTTCGCAGCGCCACACATGTAACAAATTACTAGGCCTTCAAAATATGTTTGAACAATGGGCATTTTAAAATTATACCGCTATTCTGTTATCACATTATGAGGAAATAGTGCATTTGTAACACTGTAAATTACGGTTATCAGAAATACAAATGATAATGTTGTCTTCTTAAAGAAAATCTGTTGCAAAGCATGTGTTACGATGACGTCATATAGGTTGGCCTGCTAATCAATATTATGTAGGGACAGGAAGTTTGTCAGCATCATGATACATTCTGTGATAAGTTACTGTTGCAAATCATTTAAACATCGCTGAGAAAACTTATCAGAATACCTTTTCATAGAAAATAGCATTCTTAATAATATTAAGCTATTCCTTAATTATTAGGAACCATGATTTGACTATGACACAAGTCAGTAAATCAATGTAAGCAACATGTTGATCGAAGCTAGATTATATTTGAATGTGATATGTCCACCTAATTAATGTAAAATTGATACTCATTCAGTTGTTGTAATAATAAGTTATTGCCCAGAATTTGTCATTAAAAAATATGGAATAAAAACATGCTATTCAATGAAAATTTCCTTTTTTTTCAAAGTCTAAGAGTGAGTTATGAAAGATTTGGTATGGAAAAAATAATAAAATATGACGTATTTTCTAGATATGGATGGAAATGAACAGAATAAGGACTGATTACTAATAAAAAAAATTCATTATTCTACATACTTGAGAGCATACAATCCTCTTTGCTTCGATAAATATTTTTCAGATAAAACTTCTACTTTTCTGGCATATTCATTGTCAATTTCCGCCTTTCTTTTGAGGAAATCTTGAATATCATTCAGTAAGGCTACTCTTGATTCTGTGTGTTGATCGAGGCATTTTAATTGTTCGTTCAACTGCACACGAATTTCTGTAAAAAAAAAAGAATATTTTGTAAAATGACACTTATTTCACAAATTTGGCTCCGAACAAGGCCGTGTATCGTGTATAAGCAGCCACAGATATGTTAAAAGCTCCTATTTCTGAACTGGATTCTTCTGGTTCGGCATCACCCACTAAATTTATCACCCTTCGGGTGAACTGGTGGGTATTGAACTTTATTAATAACCCGAGATGTGTATTCAGTGACGCCAATGCAGTTCAAGACTAACGCATAACTGCTGGGCCACTGTGCATCAAACCAAATGTAGCGATTCAAAATTTACCAATATATTTAAAGCCAATTGGAATTAGGCACATAACAGTACAGTTAAGCCAAAACCTCTAGCGAAGATGAAATAGCAAAAATCAAAATACAGAGCAAGCCATCTAAGCAGAGAATGTCAAATCAGATTTGAATATGATCAAATATGATAGACTGTAGGAGTGTAGGTTACTTCTTGCTGGGGAAGTTGAATGTATTTGTCAACGTCAAATAGTAATTGCAAACAATACTAAAATAAATTCAAACTAATTGCATAGTTTTATGATATATTAGACATGTGATAAACATCTCAAGTCATTGTGCACAGGTGTGAAAAACTCAAGCAATCATCATTCAATTTATATTGTGTAATAGGTGTGAAAAGATATTGATGTAATCCTCTTCAACCCAGCGTTATCACGAAGTAAACCACAACACATTGATCGTATCACACACACACACACAGTCTCCTTTACTAAACAAAGCCCAAAAATAAACTGGAATAGATGGAATGGAATTTGCGTCTAAGGAATTTAGTTTGGAGAGAAATACATTGAAAAGAGAAAATAAAGCACTTGGTAATGAAAGTCACGGATCATTTAAACTTGATCCTTCCATCAAAGAGAAAAATGTTTGAACAATAAAATCAATACTCTCAAAGTGAAATGGTGCACAGAGAAGGCAAAGAAAACAATTGTTTAATACAAAATCACCCACAAGCCACAAAGCCATTCATTGATATATTCTTTGTTCTAAATTATCACTTTGAGGCAATTCTTTTTAGATCATAATTTAAAAATCTTTATGGGAATAGGTATGGTGCATGGTTGAAATACTCTAGCACTAGCAGTAATGCTCAATAGTGGCCTATTATAATAAGCAATTGTGTTAATAAAAAAGTCGTAATTTCCAAGTCTTTTGTCAGCGATATCACAGAAGTTTTTACATACATTTTTATTATATGATGTGCAGACTGTAAAAACAAGTTTTTATCTATGAGAATCGTTCTAGAAAAGTCCAGCTATAAACACATTTAAAAATTTAAGTCCGAAATGTAAGTTTCAAATTTATGCTCAATTGAAATATTGTATTGGCTTTTTATGTACCGGTATGTATAAATGACCATTATTATCATTTTATCGAACACTATTTCTAGTCTTCTTTTTTGAATGTATTTTTAAACCTAGTTTTTATTCAAATTAAAATTCCGAGCTGAAACTCAATATTGCCACAAGAAATATTTATGTAAACAAGAGGTTGACATTCTTCTGCTTCTTTTGTCAATAATGTTTCGCTTCAATGCCTTATTGTTTTTGTTAAACAAAATCAAGAAACTAAAAGCAAAGCAGGAAACAAGGATCAATGCCAATGTTCCTTCATACAAAATCATTTCCTTTTCTATGGCCGGAGATAGATCAAGAAATTTATTTATCTTCGACTCGCACATGATCTATCAATAATTTTAGAAATACTTTCCCATTGGTCATGGTCAGTGGAGTAGATCAGATGAGTTCCCGCACAATTACACGCTAAATTAACCATCTTGAATAGGAATGTGGAACAGTGTACTGTTGTTAAGGATTAAATAACACATACAAACATGACGCTGGACAATGTTACTAATCTTATTTTCTAATATTTCATTCCAATTTGAGAAGTCTAATGACCATAATGAGTTTCAACTTTCATCTATTTTGCCAAAGTCCAGAACGCTTTTAATACATGAATGAGATTTGGATAAAATTTTCTATACAGCACACAAGCCTACGTAATTTGAAAAAAATAATAATAATCCTTTTTGCAGATGTTGCATAAAACGAAATCAGCATTCAAAATAAATTCCCAGCATATTTTCAAAAAGCGTACAATGTATAATTGAAGTTGATAGTCGAGCATGAGCAATTACTGTACCAGAAAACAAATCAATATGTGTGGTACAAATTCTAGATTGCACCGTATCTCGCGAAAAATTGCAAAGAATTTGCCCTTTGGCATTTCAGAACTCTTATCTTCTATTTATCTACACCAGTCATGGTGATCATAATTCATATTCATTGGTCAACAAAGGGCCGCAGTTAACATTCAAAAAACAATCACTTTTCATCTTATATCTACACATGAAAAAACTCAACAGGTTATACTATGTAAAATTGTAACAAGCAGACAAGTTGTCTGGTTCAGAAATTCAGGTAAAAGCTAATCCTATTTTATGTGACCCAGAGTTTTTCCGGTCTGTACCACGATGCTTCCAGGAAAAATAAACTTATGTAACACAAAGAGGTTATGTTTTATTAAGCCTCTCACACAAATCGGTAAAAAAAGTATAATTTATTTAAATTAGAAATTTGATGACAATGCAAATGCCTCAAAATCTCTCAACCATTCTGCTCACTGGCACTGAGATTTGTATTCTTATTAAAGCTAGGATAAATTTTATATCAATTAATTAATTTCGTAGATACCAAATCTTGAAATAAAAGAAAGAACATGGATTCACAATGAAAGGGATAAATTATCAAATAATTGTAATCTTTGAAAATTTAAAAAAATCTCCATTAAAATACGAGTCAAATATTGATTTTTCATCTACATCAAAAATAAACTCGAGAAATTTAATGATAAATCTTGCAAAAATATTAATATAAGTTCAAACTCTTCTCCAAAATACACTCACCTTTAATTCGATTATCGCACTCAACCAGAGGTGGTTTATCTTTTTTAGACATCATTATGATTCCAGATTATCAGTAAATCCCACAAATAACTGTCTTGACTTGCACTGTTATAATCCAGATCCAGAACCAACTACCAATCAGGGAAAGTGAACTTTAATCTAGTAACATTTATACCTAATTTATCCCTGATTTCAACTATAAGGATATCCTGCTAACTAGGCAAATTAATGAATAATTTAGCGAAATTATATAATCATCAATAGGCATTGTATCAATACTATGTCCAAATAATTAGCACATTAAACGACTACGATTTACAGTCGCATTGTGGCGCAAAATTAAACCATGAAATTCAATGAACAGGGATATATACCGGATTGCCAAAATCTGCATGGAGATCAGAGATGATCAAAACCGAATAATTTGAACTATTCAAAATACATTAATAGTAAATATATTTGCATTAAATAATGAATGTATCCTGAAATCAGCTATGTTTAAAATAGCGATAGTGGAGATATATCTGATGAGATATCAGAGTGCCAAATGCTGATTTAAATTGGCTCATTAGAATACAATTTATATTTATTATAATGTATTCTAATATTCAAATCGACTTGGACATCCCCGAGATTAGAAATATGGAAATGAATCACAACAATCTAAAAGCTTTTTATAAACAAAAACCTTAGTTGTTGAGGCAAAATATCTTATCAGAAAAGTCTATGCACGACCTAGAATGCAAAATGCAATAAATAATCATTGAACAATGGTTTATATGGAACTGAAAATTGGAACCCAATATTATTCATAAATTGTTTTGAAGAATTAGAAATTGTCCTAGTTAAAATTGGCTGCAAATTCTTCTCCTTTCTTGATAGATTTTTGAAGTTCAGGCACACATGCTTTGACAAGTTCTTTTTCGAAATCAGACAGATTTCCGAGACCCAAGTTCTTTTCGATACCTTCAGGTCCGAGCACTAAAGGAGTTGAAAAATACGAAGCCTCTGTAACATCTGATCTCACAAAGGCACATTCTACAACTCCATCTTTACCAGCAAGAACATCGAGTAAGGATGATGCAAAACGTGCCCCTGCGTACGCCATGGATAAGGTTGCAGAACCTGCACCATCTTTAGCTTTCACCACTTCTGTACCTGCTTCTTGAATACGCTCCGTTATAGCTTTGAGCGCAGCAGCATCAAAAGATACAGATGGAGAACAACTTGAAATTAAGGGAATAATGGTAATACCAGCATGACCACCTATTACAGGTACATTAACTGTTGAAACATTAAGTCCTTTTGCTTCAGCGATAAAAGCATTAGCTCGTACAACATCCAAAGTAGTAACACCAAAGATTTTATTGGGATTGTAGACTCCTTGCCGTTTGTACATTTCAGATGCAATAGGTACAGTGGAGTTTACTGGATTAGAAATAATTCCAAGAAACGCACCTGGGCAATGTTCAGCGCAAGATTTTGCTAGAGATGCTACAATACTTGCGTTTGTGTTGAACAAATCGTCCCTAGTCATCCCCGGTTTTCTCGGGACGCCAGCAGGCATGATAACAACATCAGCCCCTCTGAGACACTCAGCAATTTCAGCATCTCCAGTATGTCCTGTAACTTTTGCTTGTGAATCAATGTGACTCAAATCTGCAGAAACTCCTGGGGTATTCATGATATCATACAACGCAAGGTGGGAAACTCCAGGGTTCTGCTTCATAAGCAAAGATAAAGGTTGACCAATTCCTCCTGATGCACCCAAAATTGCAACTTTTTTGTTGTTTGTTGCTGAAAGTGACAAGCATCTTGTGATAGGCTTAGTGAAAGTACCATTGAGGCTTTGCTTGAAAATGCGATTCACGGTGTTGGCCATCATATTTTTGTAGTAATTACAAATTAACTAAGTGAACAGACAATGCAAAGTGAAATTTAAGTCAAAACTGCAAAAGGAATAGTTGGATTTTATTAAAAGACTGTAATTTATTTGACTATTTGATTATGGTAAGTTAAGAAAACTCAGAACATAAAATAAAAAAAATAAAAATCACGTCACCACAATCTGATGATACTCCACGCAATAAAACATCGCATCAAATATTTGCATTGATTGAGTAGCTACAGTAGCTAGGAATATGAAGCACTTTGAACAACACAGTCCAAACATGCAAATTTTCTGAAACTCCACGACAACAAAAATAAATAGTGCAAATACTGAGCCTATGATTTAATTTGATCCTCATTTAACAACTCAAAGAAACAGATATAAACCAATTATTCCATTACTATCTATGGGAAAATAGTGGATATTGCCTCTTTCTCATCCTATTAATTAACAGTATATCTACCACATAATGATTCAGATACAACCTATTTTCAAGATTCCAGAATCTCCAAACAAAACAGAGCTTGAATCCACAGTAAGAAATCCAAAGTGGGAAATCAGTAGATAGTCAGTAATTTATATATAAGATTGTCACATCCTTTGTCTTATCATAAACAATCTTCAGTCTAAAATCATTTCAAAGAAATTGAAAGCACAGGCATAATTAACTCAATATTTCATTAATGCGTTAACTGTCCATTACCTACTGAATTAATTACGATAAGTCATATGATAGTGCTAGTGACCAAAAGCCAATTTCAATTAGTGGGAATCATTGGAGACCACAAAAAGAACGTACAGCCAGTATGGTCTGAAGAACAAACAATGCATCAGACATTAAAACAATATGCTCTGAGATCCAGTTCAAATTAATTATTAAAGCATGCCAGTGACATCACTTAAAAAACCTCTCAAGGGACGCTAAATGCTTGTTTATGGTGAGGCACGCCTGGCTATTATCTCCAATATACACAGAACATAAAACAAGATCATATAAAACAGGTTGTCACCTCGGATCAGTCGCTTTACATTCAGAGATATAACGTTTCAAGATTTCCAAAAAAAAAAAGATATCACTTTTAAGCCAGAAGGCTTTGAATGTTCTCTTTGCCAGTGGGTATGCTCATAAATCGTTGAATATACAAGTAATTTATTTGAAAAACTGAGACTGGCTCATTATGGATAAGTTGACTTTTTATGATGCATATTCCACCCTAAATCAAGGCTCCGGAAACAAGCTACTATTTTTGGACTGAAATCCTTCCGGCTTTGTGGTCAAACAGACATTTTTAACATGCAATGTAAACATAGTTGAATCCAATGATCCAGCCACTGTGTTCAACAAAATAAAAAATAAAATTTTTGCATCATTTGAATATGACTCGTTATGCATTTAAATATTGGCAGACATGACCAAGAAATAAAATTTACACGAATGTCTAAATTGAAATAACAATACGCTCAATCTATCATTCCTATTTATATACATACATAGCCAGACTTTTCTGTTACCGGTAGTTACCAAAAATAGACTGAACTAGTTTAGAAGATGTGAACATTTGTAAATAAAGTGACTCATAGTTTTTGCAGCATAACAAATATTTATATTTGGTGACTAGAAATAAGGCCAAAAATTTTTCATTGAGTATTGAAACACCATTCAATCAGTACCTACTAGCAGTAATTCTAGATTTCATTGCGAATCAAAATATTCATTATTTCGATAAGAATCAGCATAAATATAATTTCCTCAAAATCATCTCTCCCTTCAGTCAATAAAGTTAATACCGTACGAGTGAATGTCACCAAGACGTTGATAACTGAACGAGCTCTAGTAATTTTGTTGATTACCCAATATTAACGAGGTCAGCTAATAAATAAGCACATGCACAGAAACCAGAAAGGAAGTATTCATGCTAAGACAATGGAAGTTTCAGCCTTCCTGTAATAAACAGCGATACAACTTTGATAAAGTTACATGACTAGGTTAATCATTAAGAACAAAACCAAAAGATAAACTGTGCAACTCAAAAACAATTCATGAAAATTACAAAACTGTCGTTTTTAAAAATAAATTTTTGATTTAGGAAAATAGAATTAGTAATTTTAGCAAATTAAAATACATCTCATAGTAGAATTCGGTCAATACTAAAATCAGTATTAAAAATTATATGACATAAATTTTCTTCCCTCAATAACAAATGGTATAATAATATGATTACTTTCAAGAGATAACTCGTTTGAATTGAACAGTCAGATAAGAATAATGAGTAACATTGCATTATGATTTTTTTCGTTACAAATCTTAATAAATTTGAATTCGATTTGCAATACTCCCGAATTTAATTTCAAAAACAATAATTAAAAATTTTTCAAACAAGCAATTAAATACTTCAATGCATTAATAAAAAAAACTTGGCAATATAGCTCTTACATTGTATAACCACACATAGGTAAAAAATTAATAATCAGGTGTCACAAAAAAACAACTAGGATAACAATTTAGCTGGTTTGTGGCACTTTGTGGTTGGCAGAAAAAGTGTTGTGTTTTAGATACTTCCACAAGATTATCTACAATATGTATGATTGTATGATAATTCGGAACAACTCATTTTACAGTCATAACAGATAACAGCGAATAAAATTGAATCTACTGCCATAAAAATCTTGTTAACAAATTTGTCAGATAATTAGCAATGTTATTACATAACTGGTAAATTAGAGGTTATCTTTTTTGTAATATTCTATACAAGCTATATGCTCAAACAAACAAAGACTCTCTATTCTGGGCCGCTTCACAACATATCAAGGGTCTATCAGCATAAAGATGTTAGTGAATAAGGTCAAGCAAAAAAGCTATCGACTATTGAGGTTGCATTGAGCAAATCTTAACACGCTTGTGGATTTCATGGCCCTTTTCTACGAGAAATCGGGCACACAATCACAGATCGAGGTGTGCAAACCCAGATATCCCAGCGTGCAATCAGTGACCTTGGCACGACAAACGTCTGATCCCGCGTGCGGAACATCCCAACTGGTGCTTGGACGCAGAGTCCTGTCTAGCAAACGATAACGGCGATGCACCTGCATGGGTCAAAAGTCAAAAAGAACGTAATAAACAGTTTCAAAAAGGTCCGCGTTTCAAGAGAGGCCCATTTAGTTGTTAATCGGCTTGGGTTCTGGCGTGTTTGTGAAGACAAAAGGTCAGTTCGTCATATCAGAACCAATCAGCACTGTTGCATAGTAGCTGTTTTGTTCCACCACCTTTGAAACTGTCAGATATAATGGTGAGCAATATCGAATTCTGAAAGTCTGAAGTGAGGTCAGAACATACCGTAGTGGTCTAAAATTCTAACCTAATTAATGATACACTTACTGGGTCTCATGTAGTTTCGTACCTAACGTACTTCTAGTAGGCGTAGCATAACAATTTTTTGATATGTCAATTCTAACCTCCATCTGACGATGACATCCAAAAATCACGCCACTACGACATCACAATCACGTCAGAGCTTGCCGAATATGCGTACAATCGCCCGAAATGGCATCGGCGCCGATGATGAAAGAACTGACTGACGTTATCGATCTCTCTCCTATGGCAGTACGGCACACTATCCAAAATCCAAGAATTTCCCTCCATTTGGTTCAATAAAACAAATCTCAATGTGTCTCACAAACGAGGGGTGTCTGGCACCACGTCAGATGCGTCATATCGCGCCATGCTTGTCTCAATAATAATCTAAATTAATCGCGGCCGTCACATGACCAAAATTGCCGATTTTTGCTAAAGAATCTCAAAAGCCACGGTAAAATTTTTTTCCTTTGGTAGATCGATCAGATTCTTTTTTTCCAGAGGAATTCAATGATGACGTTATTAGATTGCGCTTCCTTGTAGTATTTTGCGCAATATCATTATACTGTATTTTTACAGACATTGAGGGTCAACAATGTCCAGACATCTCCCAAAGGTGGGGGGGGTTGTCTGATCATTGGTAAAATGGGTTTCTCTGAAACGAGACAACGTCACCCGATTTGTATAGTGTGCCGTACTGTATGGGGATCATCGCGACAAGAAAACAAGAGAAATACAGAAATAGCTGTTCGATTTGGGGTGCTCGTCTGCGCGTCTTGGATGGCAGTTCGTATAATTCGAAGGGCTTTATTGCGTCACTGTGACATCATAGTGACATAATTTTTGGATGGTGTAGTAAGGCAGTAAGTTCTGAAGGTGGGGGTCAGGATTAACACACCAAAAAAGTGTCATGCTACGCCCACTACAGCACTAGAAGTATGTTAGGTACGAAACTACACTAGATCCCACTCACTTATAAGATATACAGTAATACTTCATGATATCAGTCTATATGTCTGACTGTTAATTCTGAAATCTGCATTGCATACATGGAGTCTTCTGGTCTAACAATGCCCTGTACCCTGACACTCCACAAAAACGAGAATCTACGGTCAAAATGCAGACATGAGTAACACTAACATGGAGTCCTGGAATCAGTGAGAGAGAGCAGTATTTACCGTAATCATTGGTGTACGATGCCAAGAGCAGAAAAGTACCGGTATAATTATTACCGATACTGCATTATTGTATTAACAGGTTAACACTTCACACTTTCGACCGCCAGTGAAATCCGCCTAATCCAGTACCTAATCAGGGGAATGGCTGGCTCACTAATGAGTGTTGAACGAAAAATAATCCGATAATCTCATACCCCGTGAATGGCAGTTAATTAGACGGCGACTCGTTAACCCAGCACAGCGAAACGGTTCAAATATCCGAATATCAATCTGAAATCTGAGAAATCAGCTCACAACGCATTTGCCTTTGCAGTAGTCATCGTCAGTCAATAAAACAAAAAGAACAAACAAGAAATAAAAAGAAAAAGATAAAACTTGAACACTTTTGTTCGACTCCAGTGCACTATCTTGTGGCTGACAACCAGATTTGCATTTTACAGCGTATGGTAGACCGTAGAATCGTAGATCATCGCATTTTTCATTTTCTTATTACAATTCATTTTTTATTTCGACTTCATAATTATCATAACAGACAACAAAATAACTGAAAATTAAATAAAACAAATAGCAGCAGACGATGCGATGAAATCCGTTACGTTATGGATAATTATTTTTGTTTTGAATTTGTGTTGTGATTTCTTGCACGACCAAATAAACGATTATCTATTGACAGCATACAAAACTTTAAATAAAACAGATGATTTTTAAATTTTTTGGTACATATTTAATGAACAACATGGTAGCGCGGTTCATGTTTATATTTTGTAGCAAAATTACAAGGATCAAATTCTTAATTTAAATAATACTTATCATGGTTTATTAATATTCAATGTGTATATTGCCATGATCCTCCCGAGAAATTAACGTACTACTTCAGAACCCCGCCCTGTTTTCCTGGTACCGGTATTCGGTGCATATCGGGTACGGGAATGTTCAATCAGTTATTTATCTCAAAATTCGCTGTTTTAATATACCTATCAGTGATTCCATTTCGTTCCTCTGGCGTAAATAGATCAAAATGACACAAAAAGTAAACGAACATATAATATTAGTAAAATAGGTGAAAAGCGAACTAGATTTAAAATCCGACACAACTTTTAAAAGCAGTTCAAAATGAGAATTGCTGAAATTTAAATGTAAGAAAAGAAGGAAAAAAATTGTTTACGCGAACAAACAACCTACCACCTTTTTATCTTAAATTCCTACGTCCTGAATTTTAAAAAAATCAGGCAATCTTTTTAAATGCAATTAACTCATTGAAATGGATACGTAGATACGTAAATAAAAATAAATAAATACATGAAAATAAATATATATATACATAAATTGAAAAAAATAGTTAAAAGAAATAAGGAAGAGAGAGAAAGGAGAGAAATAAAAATTAATCGCGATTGCTGTTTCGCTTCCTTTTATATTTCTCCCCACAACCTAATAACACCCCAGACCGTCCAGACGTCTAATTTTCTTCCATGATGTTTTTCTTTTACCTACAACTGCCCACTCGTCTGTTGGATGCCACCACATTTGTAGTGTAGGCCTGGTTCCTCCAAGGACTGTTGCCGGCTCTTCGTCTTACTTCCTTGACAGTTTTTTATTTTATTATTTTATCTCCCTTCGACGGGGAGCGGGAAGAATCAAATCTTACTTAATTATCAGATTCTTTATCAGCGTCACGCTTGACAGCCATTGGCAAATCTGATTACTTCGACCAATGTTGCATTATCACATGTGTTGGTTCGAAGCATAAATGGAATCCGTTCATCCGAGACTGCGTTATGTGCTGCTTATTGTCTTACTTTCAAAAAATTACCTATGATGCAACCAGTGGTGGGATTCAGCCGGTTCGCACCGGTTCTATAGAGCCGTCTCACGGAATTTTATGACATCAGCGAACCGGTTAGCATTACTAATTACTATCAATGTTCTGTTTGTAAAAAAACCGGCTGAAAAATATAACTTTTGATAAGGAACCGACTGACAAAAAAATTGAATCCCACCACTGGATGCAACGTCTCTATTTGGGCGGGTGTTGTGTTGTAAAATAGAAGAAGCATGGGCTTGGCCCAACGATTTCGCCACCGGATTCAATGTGGTAAATTCCTAATTCGTTTTGCGGAATTTTAGATGAAATAAACGCTATTCGTGCAAGGAGTTGGTGACCCAAGTTACCGAACGGAACTGATATTGTTTGCTGTCGATGCTAAACCATAAGCCTATTTATTCATCGGTGGCTTCCACTAGCTCTATCCGACAGATAACAATGTATAAGTCAGTTGCTATCATTTGGTTAATTAAGTTTCATATTTTCTAACTACGTTTGCTGAGCTCATCAAGCAGGAATTTCCAAGTACTAATACTTCAAATTTAAACTATTTATTAAACACAATCCGATGATTATACATAACGTTGAAAATCCGCATATTTAAAATTTAGAAACATTCGAAAAAAATAGCAAAAAATTTAAATTCTTGAATACGAAAAAAATGTTGCAATTCATCAAGAAAAATAGAAAAAATTCAACCATATAAAACATAACACAGACAAAATTAAAAGTCTAGATTTACAATCCATGTGCCTTCGTACTAGCAACCTCGCATAACATTCTACACCGTATAACGAGAGTATTTCGATGAAAATGAATTAGATGGATAACCGTAAACGTGCATCAAGAATGTCGTTTCATTAAATCTAGCTGAGGCAGCTTGAAGAAATAAACCAATTTTGATAGTGCGAGAAAATATAGATAAATATTTCCCCAAGGCCACATAGAATATGTTGAAATAATGCATAAAAGCAGGAACTGTGAAGGAACCGACATATCGATAAACATAATATAATTTAACGAACTGATATATTATATAATGTCATCCACACAGAAGTTTATTCATCCAAATAACACTTTATTCAGACATAAAAATAACTATGTGGTTAAAATGTTTTTTTAGTACGCACCCTCGACCCGTAAATAGCATACCTTTCGAATATTGCCAAAAATTGAAAAGATACCTAAAATAGCATCTGAAGATGGGTTAAAAAAGTTGTTCCAAACAATTCAAAACTAATAATATACATTAACATTGTAACTTATATCAAATTTTACAAATTAAAATTTGTCATATGTTGCTGTTGCAATTCAAAATCGAAATAGAAAGCAGAGACGAATTCTGAACCTTTCAGTTATACGGGTTTACGGAATACAATCATATTACACCCCGGGAGCCATAACATATATAATCAAAAACAATCACAAAAATAAAATATTAACAAAAAAAATTAAAAGAAAAAGTAAAGCGGAAAACGACATATAAATAAAGATAAATGCTAAAATTGTGCCGTCTAAAAATACTGTGAAAGAGTTTAAGTTTGATGTTGAAAATCAACAAAATATATACGTCATAGCTATGCCCAATTGCCAAGAAATTTTATATTGTAAACTGAAGAATACTCTGTCAGTCTCCGTGATTTAACTTTCAAAGGGGAATAAGATACATTTCAAAAACTTGAAACATACATATTTATTGCTCGTCGTGGTCTGTATTTTCGTCAATTTTAAGGTCCGTCGTGTCATCGTCGTTCATTGTCGAGTCAATTTCAGTCTTCGATGACGTATCGTGTCCATTTTTCAAATGTGCTGAGTCCGCTTTATTCATATCTTCATTAGGCGATTCCGGAGTCGGTGTTTTCGTAGCAGGAGACAAAGTTGAACACAGTAACGTATGATGACAACATGTGTTCAATTGTGGAATTTTCAACTTCCTTCGTATTCTCGCTATTACTTTTAATGCGTGCCCTAATTTGATGTCCATGATATTCATAAGGTGTTGTTCGGTAAGAAGTGGTAACCCTTCGCCATCGATGTCGTGCTTGCGAAATTCCTAAAAAATGGTTACGGAGTTTAAGTCACAAAAACAGTGCAATAAAGTTTGGCGCTTTAACCGCTAGGCCATAGCCCCCATTTATTATGTTGTTGTTCATTCCTAATAACGAAATTCAGACTTGATATTTGATAGCAATATTTCATTCCAGACAAAAAGTCGATGGCCTAGTGAGCGTCAGTAAAAAAAGCGACTTAGAACATTGAATAGACTCTCGGCTAACGACCCGGAGTCCATAGTCACCAGATACCCAGAGTACACAATCTTGCTCATGCGAACGATCCAACCAGACTATCGTAGCAACTCTACGCGATGTAAAAATGGTACAGGGTTAACCCAAAAATAGAATCCAGGTCATTTGGAATATACATTTTTAAAGAAAACATGACTTTTGTGAAAAGCATCTTTTGAGTGTAAGCAAGTATACACAAACAGAAGTTCAAGAGTAAAATTATATTTTCATCATTTTTGTGAAATATATGGGTTCCGTTATTGAGTCACAACTGGATAAACCAAAAAAATCTGGTCTATTACAGAAATAAATATTTCCACACGATTGAGTCCAGTATTTCGTGGCCAAGAAGTAATGCATTAAATAAAACAACAATACATATACACACCTCGACGTGTTCTGCTATATTTTCATCAATTTCTCCTATAAATTGACACACATCACTAGTTGACCATTGTCTCATTTCATCTACTGCCTTTTGTATTTCGTCATTTCGGTTTTTAAGATAATCTTCGTATTTGTTATTTACATCGATGATGCCATCGATGAAACTTGATGATGTGATGGCCCGTGACGTCATAGGCGATGTGTTGTGCCTCATTGGTGGGAGAAGAAATTGTGAACTACAATTACCTTGTGCAGATGTGGGTCTCTTAGATTGGCTGAAAACGAAAAAATATTACTTATAGATACTATTTTTATAATTTGGATTACCCTGTTGTCATTGTAAGAACCTCGTTTCCAAATTTCAATTAAACGTCAAATATTTGTAATGCATCATAATTTTAGCTCTTCGAATAGTTTTTTTCGATATAGGAAGTCATAGACATCAATATGGTATTGAATACGCAAATTAATGACACAATAATGGACTATTTCAACTCTGGAGCGTTTTTCGAAGTTTAGCATAAATATTTTATTGTAAGTACATCTCGAGGTTTCAACAGTTTTATTTCAACTCTGATAGGCAGCGATTTAAACATATTTCAAGTCAAACCTTGCTACATCGTTTGATGATAAATGAGGGGGAGGTGCGCTTGAACTTTGTCTTGCTGATGGAGATTCATCGTTTATTTCTTTCATTTCTTGATCAGAATTATTCGAGAGACGTTTCCTAGAAAACAAAAATTTGTTTAATAATAGATGCAGCATGACTCACCCGACTAGAGTAAAATTTTTTCGAAAACTCAACTTCACTCTAGTCTAGGTTATTTCAAAATTTTGAACTAGTTTCGATAGACACGAAATTGTCGCTGTTAAACGACTTGTTTGGTTGTTTCGAAGTGCCTTGGTCGAACATCTTCTTAAATATGATGATCAATGGGTTTTAATATTTATCCCAGTGAAAAGGAAATTTATTTATATCTTATGAGATTTGAACCCACAGATCAGCGATGTCAGTGGCGTATCTTTGGATGTTAGCCATGGCTAGTGCCAATGGCGTCGTTTGGACAGGGCGCTAAAAGTCTTAATCGCAAAATGTTTTAATAAAAAATTTTCATATTAGGAATATTTGAAACTCGTTTTTTTAACTCAAATATTTAACAAACAAGTATCAGCCAACGGCCACGGGGCGCAGTTTTACGTAGATACGCCACTGAGTGATGTAATGGCACAACGAAAACAAGTAACCTCTTTATTCATTGACCTGAAACTGATTTGGCATGAATACAACCTAAGTCCACAACCCAAAATTACTTAAAATGCTATCAATACATACCCTAAAGTTCTATTCGCATTTGATTTAAACAAATCATCCAATGTTGGCCGTTTTAGTGAAAGCATCGGTACCGCATGTTTCTGGAGATCTAACATAGGAGTTGTTTTGGAACCAGAATTTTCAGCTCCAGACGAACGACGCCGATAATCTTTGTGATTATTCGAATTATAAGACCTTTGTCTGTTACTGGCAGATGGTCTACGAGTATCGTTTTCTTCTGAGTAGTTTGATGGAGGACGGTGGTGTAATGTAGTAACCGGAGTCTTGCTGATTGGTATCCGATCTCTGTATAAGATTTGAAAAAAAAATTAACGAAAAATACCAAAATGTGCATACGGTATATAATATACTATATGCAATGAATCAGAATTCTAAAAATTGAAGCAGATTATTACTCAGAACTGTGGTGAACAGCAAATTATTTAAACATTCAACTCCGGTTCCTATTTTCAATTCCAAATTAACAGAATGTTGACGCCAACTCCGGAATCACATTCCGGACTCCGGAATAACAAAATTTCAAGTTTAATTTAAAAGTACCGGATTAAGAGTCAAAATTTTCCATTATAACTCGTGAAAGTTTAAAAATCCGGCTCCGATTCAATTTCCAGCAAAAACGATACATCTTCGTAACTGCGAAAAACAACAAAAATAACCGCAATACTCACAGTACAATATTGTCCGGAAAAAATCCATTGAAGGGTACGGTTTTATTCGGACTTGATTTAAAATCGAGTTTTCGTTCTGAATTATAACTATTCCGATCAGATGATCTTGGAACCCAGTCCGGCATTCTAGCGGCAGATCCCCCAGAATTTAGTTCAATCATGGTAGAATGCTTATGAGCAGGCCAAGACGATCTTCCATCATCTCTATGCTTTGATGCACGCTGGCCTGATTCAAGCGCTATGAATTTTTGCTCTCCACTCCGATGTCCAGATGGTGTTGGTGTGCGTCTATCCGGTTTTCTATACTTATCCGGACTGTTCGCATATCGTTTGGAAGGTGTGTCAATGCCCTTCTTTCCATATTTCTGACTCGGATCGTAAGAGTGTATCCCTTCGTCTTTGCGATCACGGTCAGATTTGTATCGACTGTAAAATACAATGTACATTGTGAAATTGTTGGGAAACCTAAATTGATGGATGCAACTATATTAACATATTCCACGAACCAATCGAGAGGGAAGAGGACGTTGGGTCATTTTTCTAGATCTCTTATGACGTCACAATTTATTTCATCGCCGCGTTCGCAAGTTAACGAACGACTCCTCCATATGGGTATGCTATGAATATACCTATAATATACCGAATCACAACTAAATACCTTTTTGATTTGTCCCCACGAAAGCCTTCCATTTTCAGAGAATTTGCCAAAGCCTGAAAACCCCCAAGAGCGTTAGACGACATCGATAAAGGGTCTGCCATACTTTGTGCCATGTTGAATATTTGCCTTTGCTGTTCCGATGGACTCATAGAGCGGTTCAAAAGCGCCAACATGCGGCGATATTGTTCTTCCGGTGACAGGAAAGGGTAGGACGCGGCAAACGATGACTGATCTGTTTTCAAAGAAAAATGGAATATTAAGAATTGGAGATAAATATATCAACAAACAATATTAAATGTATATATATAACCATATCAATCTCTCTACAAACTGTTTGTAAGTCATTGCATCTTTCGCGGCATCATTGTGGAATAATTCATGGTTTTCAAACTGGGCGCTCGAATCCTCTAGGGGTCCACGAATCGAGCCTCTAGCAAAAGACTTTATTCGGAACCATTGAAGATGACTACATTAATTTAAGTAATCCGACTTTAATTCTTTGACTGCTACACGTTTATTCTTTCAATTTCGTTAGTTGACTTTTTATTTTATATTTGAATAAAATAATTTATGGTAATGAGTTAACAGCACCAGTGTTGAGCCACTGGTCTAACTTTTTCGGATTAGATACAGAATTATAAATTTTTCATATCATATAAGTAACACCCGGTAGCAATTGCCTCTAACGTTACAAAAATGTTTCAAAGCATTAAATCTGGAAATGTACACGACGGATACCGATATCGCCTTATCCAGTCCATTCTGGGCAAAAGCATGAATATATATTTTTTCAATTTTGCTTCCATTTTACTGTGCCGGTTCACTCGAATGGCTAATAAAAAACAATTTGATTGATATCTGGTCGGTAGTTACTGACCTCTACTTTATCGGTTATATAGGCACAATTACGCTGAATAATACAACAAGATGCGTATACATACTGTATACCTTCAAAACGTTTTTTGTGACAAAAGGTCTCACAGTGTTCCTAGTATTCTAGACTAGTTCAAATGCCATCTTACCGTAACTTCTCTGATTGTATTCATCATGTCTTGCATATGGTCGCTTAGAAGAAGTGGGTGAAGTGGATCTACCGTTTTCAATGTCGTTGTTTTGTCTCTGTCAAAAAGAAAACAATTGGCTAAAAAACACGAATCCAGATGAAATAAATGTGTTGGTCACATTACTACAGAATACAATTTTTTGGTTCAAATCCTAGTCTGTACAATGATTCTATAATAAAACCTGGCCCGGAATGTGATAAATGGGGTTGGGGGTGTGAGGATTTTAACCCAAGTGCTTTTGCCCCTAGTGCTCATATAAAGACTCATTCGGAGAGAATCTTCCTATATAAACCCATTGTTGATTGAGAATAATATTGATTTAGAAAGAAGCTAGAATTTTGTTCGCCTACTTTTCATCAAGTTGTGTAAAAGGACTGAAACCTAACTAACACAGACAGTCCCCGATTTCGTAATATAAGTAAATTAAGAAAAATCGGAAAAAAGTTATGGCTTGATCCTAACCTGGTACACATACTACGGAGCTATGCTTGTATTCAGTTACTAAATGTAAGACACACGAAGTTCAAAGACCGTAAAATTTACGTTTTTTTGAAACGCATTAATACATATATCAAGTGTGGCATTACCCTTGATTCTGGTGACATATCATTCCTTGACCTTTTTCTTGAATTATAATTTGGGGAAATATTTCCATTTTTGTTGTTATTATTGTGAGATTTTGTGGACAGATCGAGCGTATCTTGAGCTTCGGTAGAATCGAATCCATTCGCTTTTCTCAGTTGTGATATAATTGAGTTAAGTCCACCATCGAATCTGGTATAAGTAAATGAATCATTACTTTCTGTATATAAAACGTACACAACACAAATATATGTAGAATTACATCGTTTTTTTTATATATACGATGAAATAGACTTTTTCATTAGAATTTTCACGTTCCGCGTTCAACAGGTGTAAATATTTTTGCGAAAAAATCCCATGCCCAAAGGGGGATTTTCTATGTACCGTGATGCAGCGTAACTATAACTTCAGCCAAGAAGCATCAGGTTGATTTGAGACATTTTAAATGACTAAATTGTCCAAGTGTTTTGTGTATCGTCCGACAATATACCAAATTGAAGCCGATATGTATTATATAACTTAACACATGAAAACTTAATTCCTAATGTTCTTTAGCGATTATATAATCACAACTAGAATAACGTAATATTATGGAATTTCTCATATTAACGCCAGGAGATGGGAAAGAGGGAAAAGCGGCTAGTTAATTTGGAAAGCTGTTGCCTTTCGTTATATATTATACACTTTTGAGCCTTTACATAGCTTCGTAGATTAATTAATCGAGTTTAAAAAATTTGGATTCGCACATAGCTTATGTTTTCCGATACTCCTATGCCACATATATTGTGCAATTTGCTATTTATAAAACAAAAACTTCTTTGCCTCTTATTATTGCTTATATAATGCCCGAGAAACAAGCTCACAAACGTACGTAGGGAAATTATTACAAATCTTTCTGGGACGTCGAGATCACCTCTTTCTAGAATACAATAACAATTCCAGGCGCCATAACTAATTCTCTAGTCGATAGGATAATCCCACTGGATATCAATAAACATAACATATCAAAAGTCATACCTAAGTACCACTTACCCGTGACGCGTCATGACGTCTGGAGGTGACAGGTCGCTGTCTGCTGTGGCGTCAAAAGGAGAAGAATTTCTGATCGTTACGTTATTGTTGATGTCCTTTTGTGGCGGCTTTTTACCAGGTAATAATTTTGACTACAAAATAAAAAAAAGAGTGAATTGATTAATTTAAACCCAAAATTCAACGGTAACAAATAAAATATAGAATTAAAAAAAAAAGATTGGAAGATTCGCAGTCATGTTGGTGAATCTTGAAAACACCATAAAAACATATATATTCAAGTGATTACTGTCACTAAGAAAACATATTTGATTATGCTTTGATTATTTTAAACTCGCTGTCGAGTGAAGGAAAAATGGTCGAGACTTGTTAAATAACAACATTATGTCTTAATGTATTTTCCATTGGATAATGCTTAAGTGGTTGCAAGTCAATCCAATTCAGTCTTGGTAAATTTAAACAAATGATGAACAGATCCGAGTATGAGGCGTGATAAACATACTAACAGAAAGTCATTATAAAGTGGCCTTTTCAAAATTTTCACCGTAATTGAAAAATCAAAAAGTCCAAAAACAACAAAATATGTTGTAAATGTCTAAAAGTACTGTTGATTACAAGGTACAACCCCATATTGTGTATTTATAAACCCAATTTCTGGGGCAACTGCTCACTTTACATAGTAATTAAATGCGGTTCGGCACTGGGATTGAGGTTCTAATTAAAAAACTAATATTTGTTAAGCGAAATTTTAAGTTGCTAACTGCTTGAGGACAAAAACTCAGCCTAATATTCATATTTTGCATTTAATTTTATCGATTTGGTTTTCCAGCTTTGCTATCTACTTCAGACATAATTCACTGAGACTCATTTCTGAGAAACAGGCGAGCAATAAAATGTTGAGAGCTGCTGAAGCAACATATGTAGGCTATAGTTTTTCCATAACAGCTGCAAACATGAGAAATTAAATCTTCTAATCTGTCTCGTTCTTAACCGCAAACTGCTTTGGTAATGTTTTTAAGACAGTACAATACAAGAATACGAAGGCAAGCCTACGCCTAACAAGCTAGACCTCAAACACGGAAGCAGTACCGGAAACGCGCAAGCACATATTTGAAGCCTAGAAGAAACCGAACAACGCGAATATCAAGCAAATTAGCCGTTTTTTAATCTCACACCACGCGTGTTTCGTCGATAAACCACTTATGAATGAGATATACCGATGCATTAAAGGAAGATTTCTATAATATAGATCTTTGGTGGTCATTGGATGCGTCATGTATTTCGACAAGGAAGAAAGGGGTTCGAATATCTGAGCAAGAGGAAGTAACCGGAATGGACACTGCTGAAAATTTTGCAAAGTGGATTTGACCGTAACAGTGATAACGGCTTTCTGTATAAATTCCAGCTTTTGTTAATTGGCGTCCTATACCTAATATTGTTCGATGGCTTCATTTTTTCATTAAAAAATGGTTGGTTTATTCAATTTGATAGATTGAGTTTATTCAAAAAATGGAAAAAGATTTTTTTCTTTTTGGGGCTCACAGCACTGAGTCCAGTAGTTTTGCATCCAATTCTGCGCCAGTGAATCTGCTCTGCAGTCCATTTTGATAAACGGTCTGATTGTTTCAATGAACCGAATGCATATGAAAATTCTGTACATTGTCGAACATTTCAAAAAACATTTCGTGTCCATATATTCATTAATGTATAACTCAAGACAGAGAAAAGGATTTGATGTATTCAAAAAATTGTATGACTAGAAATAAGATTTCATAGCCTGTAGCGTTATTACATCTTTTCTATTTCTCTATTTAGAGTTTCCTTCCGTATCGGAAGATCATGTAAGCGTCATGTATATGAAAAATAACGCTGCTTGAAGACGCCTGTCTGTTGTCGTATAATGTATTTCGTCTTTTCAACTAAGATTGTGAAGCGTTTAACTTTGCTATTTATATGAATCTTGTATTTAAATACTGGTAAGTATTAGGATTGAATATGAGTACGAATTGGCCACACAACGAAAGAATTTCAAAAACTATTACCGTAACGTAACAAATATTATTCAAACATAATTACACTTTGTAAGAAAAAGAAAAAAATTGTAAAAGAAATTGCCTAATAAAACAAACCTCATACCTTACATGTAGCAATTTTGAATACTAAACCAAAATGGTAATGGAAGCAGATACCACAATACGGCGCACAAATGCACAAGAATTATATTAAAACCTGAATACGATCAAGAATAATTAGAACCGAACCTGCAGAAGCCACGTTTGTGACACAACATTTCGATAAAAGCATTTTACTGCGACAAAGTTTCCCAAACTGATACCTAGACCCCTCTAAAATGCTACAGAACGGCTATCCTGGGCCACGAACAAATACTTTAACTAGATAACCATCCCTACTCCTACTTTCTAATACATAATCTTCCGATTCGTGATTGTGTTTTCGTTTTAGACTCTGATCGGTCTCCCCCAAGTATGTGCGCTTAGACCTTTGCTATTACTGCTCATTACAAAATAAATTCTAATCAGTTTACATGTGATTTTTTTTATTAATTTTCTTTAATCAACTGCCTGCCTATCAAGTAAAAATCAGATTGTTGATTCTAGACTTTTATTGCGTCTCGACGCATTCACGCAAAATTTTGAAGAAAACGTCACTTACGCTGGAAAGATAATTGTAAAAACGTCTAACATGGTTGTCTCGAATTAATCTCGATTTAAACCAGATTAATTTTTAGACAGATGCCGGAAAAAACTAAAAGGCTGGATAATCTTACAATTCTGGGCTAGCACAATACGCACACACATATATATATATATAAACAAATAATTGATTTGGCACATATTTTGGTCGCGATTTACAAATGACAAAACTTTGTGATTGCCAAATGCCATAGTTTTTCAGAGACGCCACTGACAAATGCCTCTAATAGTAAAAAATTCTAAGGTCAGCAAATGACCAATTATAATTCAATATGGTCTACTACAAAAGTCAAATCACGCAGTTTCGTCATTATATAATATACATATAAACTACTTAGCACCTTAACGCAGCCATACGCGTGAATATTCTATACTGTACCATACATTCTGTACTAAAATGCGCGGTTCCTTCCTTCCCTACACGAGGTTGACATCCTCTTCCCACTTATGTATATTCACGTGAAATTGCAACTATTTGTTTCGTTATTCTTGTGGCCACAAGCATGGAAGAAAGATGAGTCATACATATAAGTGTGATTTTTCTGTCGCCCATGTATTTTGACTTTGTTTCTTGCGAAAAGAATTACAAAATGATATAGGTAAACTACTCTACACGTCTTTTTTTATTTTAATAATTAAAAACAATAATAAACAAAAATTTGGGCATTAAATGTCATATATTACAGAATCAACATGCTTCGATCTCTCTGAACAAGTGATATAATGACATACATACCTAATAAGATTTAGAATGACCGCTGTATTACAGTTTCGACAAAACCTATTATCTTGTAATTTTTAATCCACGAAAATAAAAGCTGTAGTAAACCTTGATTGAATTAACTTGAATTCTACGTTACCGGTAATTCAATTTAAAGCCAATACAAATTCGCATCAAATATCGATAACTGAGAATAGCCCAATATAAAGGATAAACAAGGCGATACCGCGTTCGGGAAGCATTAAAAATATTATAGTATTGCTACAAGTCCTGGAGTAGACATAAAAATATAAATCTAAAATAGGAAATAACGGCAGTAACCTAATTAAACACGAGCGCGCCCGATCCGTAACTCAAGCACAATAAATAGAATTGCATACTTGCCACAAATATTTCCAAATTTAAGTTTTGATTCTACAAGGTATAATATTGGGTGTCTCAAAATAAATGAACCCACAGAATTGGTAATCGAATTAATGCGTTTCATTCATTTTGGAATTCCCTGTATATCACTCTTAACTGAAAACCTTAACGAGTCTAACTATGCAGTACAAGGATTTAGAGCGAGCCTATCTACTCTTTGGCAATTCTAGCAGCACTAAATGCATTCACTACTGTAATACAAAAACAATGCAATTGTGAAGATACTCATTGGCTCTTCAACATCAAAAAGTGGGTGTCGATTTTCTGGTCAAAATATTCCTTACCATGCATCGGCCGAACATAAAAAATCTCTTTATTGTACTATTCACCTACGATCCATGTTTAAAACTAAAATAGTACTAAATAGCAACAAAACCTGCCGGCTTATGCTAAAAGTAGGAAGCATTACTCGATATTAAAATCGAACGCGCTCGAGTTAAATCCGGAAGTTCCGTGATGCGGCATTATTGTCAGAATGTCATTTCCGGTGGCTGTGGTTCGACGTGCAATAGTGTTTTAGTTATAACATAAATTAGATGAATTAATATTTTCATAATCTCGGCCTGATCCCTGTATCCTATTTACTAATGACTTTTTTCATCAGATAGGTCTGGTGGAAATTTTAGCTAACAATAATTCCTCTTTATCTATGGCCGGCTATGAACTAATCATTGTCTATTTTTGTTTCATGCTCGAAAATGTCTATCTGAAATCCATCTCAGTTTTCTCCAATTCAAAAATTCTCACTTTGATTCTAGTAATATAGACGGGTACCACCCGTAATTGCATTCACACTAATTTTCTAAAATGTGCCAATGAACACTCTTCCCGTTAACACACTTGTAACATCAAATTCCCAGTAATTTGACAGCTTTTTTTACAGCTTTTAACTTCATTTAAATCAAAAGGTTGGAACTCAAATTTCGGTTTATACGCTATATATTTATATACACATGTATTACTATCGTAAATTTATGCTCACTATTCATTTGCTTGTGAACTTTAGTCGAAGTCACCGAATATTTCTAACAGTGTATTACATTGTAAGCATGGCTTCAAATGACTGAATCGACTTATACGTTTTCATCTCTATTGCGTGAATAAGGAATTATAAACCTATCCAGGTATCCTATGCCTCGTACCTAAGACTGATGTTTGCTCAACGAAGTTTCACGGTTTAACTATCAAGTATCCGTTATTACTGACTATTTATTCAATACTGCAATAGAATACATTCTATGGAGGCAATTTTGACCTCATAAAATAGAAAGCCACCAGTTATCATATTTAGCCTACACCGCATAAGCTATCGAATCGACGATGAGAGCATTACCGTCCTTTTAAACGGCGTCTGCTTCCGAATTGGCGCCGTCGTGGCTTGTTTTAAGGGGGCCTGACAAAACAGCGGTCTCGTCTGGGCTTCATAACCGGCGCCGAGACCTAAAATTGTGGCCAGAACGTCGCCAGTGTGATAGCGACTTGCCGCAGAAATGAATTTTGTTTTTCATTTGATTTGGAATTCTGACAAATACTTACTATTAGAAAAAACGTTAAGTTAACTATGATTTTCTGCAAATTCGAAACTGAATATGGTTGCTTTTATTTTAGAATAACAATTTATTTATAAAAATGCGTGATCAGAAACAAACCGCTGATCATGAGTTAATTTTTTTCGCCGGTGATAGAGTACAGTAGTTTGTCATGGCCATAGATGGCATGCATATAAATTACCGAGCATCTTGAATTAATAACTTCTTGATGGTGTAAAAATTTTCTGATTTTATGAATGTAAACAACATCAGAGTTGAAGTATACACGATTGTAATTACCTAATTTCATGGCAATCAAGCCTATGCCACTGATATAGCATTCGATGCCGGACAAACTTGTTATATATATATATATTTTTTTTTTATTAAAACAAGTTAATTTTATCAAAATTTTAACAGCTCGAGCGTATATTCCAATTAACCAATGATTAAATTATATTTGGTTTCCCCAAGGAATGCGCAGACTTGTTGGTGTCGATTCTATCAACTCCTACTCAAACGAGGCGTGACGGCGATTTGATGACATCATAGAGACATAGCGAGATTTGAATTAAAGTCATAGTTTCGGTTGAGCGAGTAGCACATTCGCCCGTTTGAGTCAGTCAGTGTTCTGTTCTCGGTTTTCAGATCGTGACCGATATATGTCGTATGGGTGCTTTCCAAGGAAAGATTAAATATTATTGGAACTTAGCTAAAATTGTGCCAATTTTACCCCGAACAAATCTTTAAACAAACATACAGGCTTGAGTGAACTGTAACATTCTCGGTTCGAAGACAAGTAATTAATGACACCCAAAATAATTATATTGAGAGAGATATAGATGGCCCCCACTCCCCCCCTGAGTCTGTTGAAAGATATGTACAGAATATCATATGGAGGTGTGCCCGTTATAAAAAAAAAATATGAAGTGAAATATCGGGCATTGAAAAATTGAAATCGATTTGCCCTGTGAAGCGATTTTTCCACGGCAACAGTTTAGTAACACGATATTTGTTCACATATTGCCAATAAGGCAAGAGAAACTGCGACATGCACAAAGTAATGAATGAGTCATCAACTTACAGTAATAGGTACACACACTTATAGAAAAGACAATAGTCAATAGTCAACACCATTACGGAAACAGCTAAGCTGAAAGGGAATTTGACAAGGCGGAAGCTGTCGGAATTCCATTGAAAAGCGATAGGCTTCACAGTGTACGGGCCGTGAGGCAATAATAGCTTGCGCGGAAACAGATTGAACGCCGCCAGGATCCAGTTGAAACCAGTATCGTTCTATCCAGATTTATCTGTAAACTAAACATTTACTTTTGTTCTTTTCTTCAGTTATTTTAAAACGGCACGGCACCGTCGTCTGATGCGTTGCAAAGAAACTTAGACTGAAACTTTATAATAAAAAGTTTATATCATTAAAGAAAAGAAATCCTACAAAATCTGCTAAAAACACCTTCCTTCTAACTAAGTGAAAATCAATTCTACATTTTAACACCTATTTCATAAATAAATAAACATAAGGTATCCTACAGTCGAATCTAAGCATACTTCCCATAGGCAATAAAGAAAATAATAAAACTCATATCGTTCATCTCAAGACACATTTGCGAATGATAATTCATTTTCGTGTTGTAAGATAAATGCAACCGTGTGTTATATTTCCGCCTGAAGCATTTTGTACCCTTCATAATCCGCCTACCGGAAACTTTAGAAAAACAAAACCTGGAATCAATATTTTCACAAGCCATCTGTGTAACAACATACTCATAAAAAATTGTATTACATGCCTTTTAAAGTGAAGTGATACCTCTTGCCCCTTAGGTTCGTTGGAGAACGATTCAAAGCTATAGAATTAAACAAGGGATTCTCAACCTTTATTCTCTCATTTACCCCCTTGCCATTTGTAAAAGCAAAAATATCCTATGTTTATATTTTAACTTTCACAAATACCTATAATGACTCAAGAAACAAAAAAAACTTTGAAAAAAAAAATTGTGGATGCAGATGTCTAAAGTTGATTGCATTGAGTTTACATAAACAGTTGAATCTTGTATCAATGCTAATTTTTACCTCAAAGTGGAATACCCCAAGACTTACCATTAAGGAGCAAACTTGTCCAGTTGGTAAACCTTGAACTGAAACATTTTATTTTCTTCATATTTTGACTGTATTTAAAAATTTTCAATCTTGCGATTTATTAGTAACATGATTTTACCCTGTTTGGAAATGTGTGATATTATCAGTAGTCTAAAGGCTAAGGGGTAAAATTCTTATCAAAATAAAACAACTAACTAAAATCGAAATCTTCAGATTCTAAAATCGATAGAATTTTTGCTGATTTGAATCATTAAGCCTGTTATGCGTTTATAGTACAAGGTTTTACTTCTATAAAAAAACCCAAACTTTATCCAGAATACGGTAATATACGTGATCACGGTCAATTTATGCTCGATTCAATTTTATTCTATTAATTCGACCAACCCCAAGACCATAACAATTAAAAAGTTCAGTTCTGCTGCTTATAATTAAAAATGTAAGCAAACCCACCGCTGCATGTAATCCTCTACATTGATTGCAATCACACACTGGTGGATGGACTTGAAGAATTCCTTTCGTCATTAAAGTTTTTAAACTTTTACCACAATGTCTGATACTTCTTTTCCAATCTTTTGCTGTCTCACGTCCACTGATAAATTGGAATTCGTTTGGTGTCAGCCACTCGTCACCAAAATGAATAGATTGGCCTGAATAGTGAAAATAATAACAAGTTTAAGCGTAAGATTTATTACGGCTGACATAAAAGAAAGAAAGAAAAAAGATGTATTGTAATTTTAAGTGAGTGATTATTTGTTCAACACCCAAGGGGTTGAGGTAGCGGTTTTCATGTGAGGTTCCGTAGGGTTTCGACAGAGCAGTCCAGTGGTTCAGCAAGTTCATAGTCAACTCCTTTATTATATATTACTATTATACTCCAATCCACGGGCCTAATAAAATCACATAATACAAATATTCCGTGATATATTTTATGATCACAAATACACATGTAATCAATTTCACAGGAATTCTCCGATTTATAGCTTGATAGTAAAATACGGTTCATTTCACCCAATATTTTGTATAGCTAAAATAAAAATCAGTCAAGATGCAACCATAAGTCAGGAGATCTCAAAATTATTGCCGATCCCAAGATTATCGCTCACAAAAACTATCTTAAGATCAAATACTGATTGCAAAATGATGTTTTTGGTACTTTCGAGAATATCGAAACATCACTATTTGTAAATAATCCAAAAAAAAATATCAGAATTACTATCTGTTATAGAAAGAATACCGACAAAAAGAAAACTATGATTTCGGATTTGGTATACTTACTATATATATCTATTTTACTTTTGATTGTGGTATTATTGCGTAGTCTGAAAAGTCTTAAATTGTTATTGCACGGTAAAAAAATTATACAGGGTGACTAAAAAAAGGGAACACAAGACATTTGGAACATTGTACTTTAGAGAGAACATTACTTTAGCTAAAAGCGTCCTAAATTATTGAAATTGCTGGGCACAAGCATGCACAAACAGAAGTTCCAATGTAAAGCTAATTAATGTGTTGCGTTTTTTCGGGGATCACCCTATATGTCACTAAATCTTACCTTTGCTACCCTGGCACAACTTATTGACGTACAAGAGTCCTCGGTTGCCTCCACATTCAACTTCAATTACCGGTTCTTCGTTATCATGATCCAATACCAGTTCCACTCCAAGTCGTGAAGGATCTGCTGGTGTTTCTATAGTGTATCTTGTAGTGAAATGATGCAAACTTGGCGATGAAGACAGGTTACTGCCTGAAGCAACTGGAATTCCACCGCTAAGGGAAGTGTATGGTTCAGACGCACCTAGGTTTAAACTAGGAAATATACCAGCAGGAGGTGGGCTTTCTTCACTAGCAGGTGGGAAGTGAGGCTGTCGTGTGTAACCTATAGAAAAATATACGTAGATATAAGAGCTATCCCCGGAATGCATAGGTAAGACAACCCGTATCGTAAGTAATAATTATTCTTGCGTCATTTGTTTTCCATTCTAACTCTAAATATTGGTGAATATACGATTGTTGTGATTTACCTGGATTACGGCTGTTATATTTTTGTTGCCTTGACACAACCATACTAGCAGAATCATTGTTGCGAAGTTGTTCAGCGAGAGATTTCGGTGACAGACCCGATGGAGGTCTTTGAAGAATAATATCCGACGCGCCGCCAGATAGCGCTGGAGAGTAGGATCGATGAATTGGGTCTTGATGACGCGACCTGTGCGTTAGAAACATGAGATTTTAGCGTGGCTCATCCATGAGAAATGATAAATATTAATTGTTCAGGTATTTGATATTTATATTTACAACTACTTAAACAGTACTAATATTAGAATAGATTTCAAAAACATTATTTATGATAAAAAAAAACTATCAGAAACAAACAAACTCAACAATATGGCGATTATAACATATATATATGAATACTAACCCAAGACGCTCATCAAATGACTGTGTGCTGCCGTCACTACTGCGTGAATTTGTCCTAGGTGGGACTTGTAATGTAGTAACTTTAGTTGTCGATTTGTGACTGGTGTTAGATGGCACAAAGCTTGTATGAGATGTCGATGTATTCACATCTTTCGGTTCCTCTTTCACATTCATCATAGCTTGAGAAGCGAGTAGGCTAAGACTAAATTACATAATTTTCCCTTGTTAAAATTATAGAATATTGCCAAATCTAGGTGACTAACATGTATGCATGGGTTTAATAAATATATCGATCCCAGCATCCCGTCTAGCATGGTTGGCGTTAAAGGTTAGACATTTCTAGAACAGTCGTAACTCGTAACACCCAACTTCACCCAGGATGTAATTGTAATATATAGACCAGTGTTTTTCAACCGGGGTGCCGCGGCACACCGGTGTGCCGTTAAATATTGTCAGGGATGCCGTGGGAAGTTCTCCAAGTTGTATGTCTATGCGGTGTAGCGTCCGGCAGAGTAATCGTGTGGTACTGTTCTATATCAGACCGTGGCAGCATCTGGTGGCGATTTTTTTCGTCTTTGTTTTTATTTGATTACTATTCGAGATGTACAATTCAACATCTTTCTTCAATGTTATATTGTGAATATTAGGTATTTTCGCCATATTTTCAGCTGGTAGTGTGCCGCGGGATTTTCTCACTGAAAAAAGTGTGCCTTGGCTCGAAAAAGGTTGAAAAACACTGATATAGACAACGCAAAAGGAAAGATTCACAATGCATTGTATAAGTGTCTAGAGAAACGATTCCAAAATGTTTTTAAACTCGCGACTAATATACAGAGACAGAGTGCCATGCCAACTCTATTCTCTTCTACATAAATGAAGACAATATATATAACTCTTGAATTTTATTTGTGTTACCCAAAAATTTCAGTAATCTATAACGCTTTGCACAAACAGTTGTTCTCAAACGATGGGCCGCGCGCCACAAAGAGGGTGTAGACAATTTTTGAGGGGCGTGAAGCTAATTCGAAATATAAATATTTGAAAGAGTTGATCTGGCTGGCCTTATTCTCGATATTTTCATTTCTTTATTTAGATATTTACGTTCCGTCCACCTATTCCAACGTGTTTTTTTGAATACTTTCGCTCCAATATCTTGTATTTGTAGCTTATTGCTAGCCAGTTATTTTTGAGAGTGGGGGGGGGGGGGGGGGGGGGAGTTACTTTGTCTAGTATAAATCGCGACGTTGATAATTTTGTAACAAGTTTTAAACGAGGGCAGATGAGAAGTAATTTTTAGAAAATATTTTCATATTTCGCGAAGTATTTTAAATATTCTTCTGGCGCGCAACTGGGGAACCACTCGACTGGGATCTTTGTTGGTGCCGGTGATGTAAATAATAAAGATAAGTATATTTTAATTGATAAAAGCTCGGGTTTATTCACAATAAAATTATAGTAACTTTTATGGTTAATACTCGTGCAACACCAAAACATATAGAAGTCAAACCTGTTATAAAACTGTGCTGATAGGGATTTCGCAAATTCAGATTGTAGATGTCCAGGAAATAAAGAAGCTGAAGTAGGAGGAAAAGGTGACATTGCTCCAGTAAACCCAAATTCGGATAACAATTTTTTGTCGGGAGCATTCGTCTTATTGGTAGAATCATCCAGGTTTGTCGATTTCGTCGCTCCAGGTGACAAATCCATAAGATTGTTCGATTTACCAGTCGATTTTGACTCTTCTGTTTCGTGTAAATCAGTGCTTTTGTTCTCTCTTGTTTCTGAAGTTTCCTGACATTGGGCACAAAAGCTATAAGTCTTGAATTAATATCCAGTATTTTATGCTACGCCACTCGTTAAATGTTAATAAACAGATAATAAAGATATAATTATACTATCGGCAACCTATATAAAGGATTAAATTGCATTTCTTTAGGGCACATACCAACAACCTCATCAGGATCAGGATATCATGAATAAATCATGATATCATGAATATGACAGATTTTTAACCTTCGATGATTGTAAGAAATTATGAAATTGTTCGATTAAAAAGTCTTCTCTATGAGAAACTTCCCAAATGCAAATAAAAATGAGCATTCCAATCTGAATCACGAACCGTTTGTATTGTTCTTTCGTTATTCAAATTCTTCAATTTTTCTTTGTCGCTCTCATTGTTTTCATCAACAATTTTGAGCTCATCGACTGGTTTTGAATATTTTGCAGTTTTCTTAATGTCATCTGTGTATTTGAAAAAAGGTATGTAGATGAACCGTACGCAACGTATACCGGTAGAAGATTATTGTATATATATTTTTTTATGTAGATGTATACATTGACTGGTATAAAAACTTTACACATAATATGAAAGTTCACTCATAGACTTATTACACGTCTACTTATATATCGTATTATACCTTTTTCCGTTTCCATTTTGGTATTGTTCGATTTATCCTTGACTATACCGTTATCAACATCATTTCCGTGTATCGTATTAGAGTCCGATTCATGTTCAGGCGACATAGTTTCGATACTTTGTTTTTCGTTTTGAGTTTCGGTATGTTTTGTTTCTTTTTTTAAAGATTTACCGCTCTTCTCCTTCTTAATATCTTCTAGTTTGAATTCTGACGATGATAAGTTCGATCTTGTTCTCATGTTTTCATAATATGTACTAATTTAAAGTAACTTTATATGAAAATTAACTGAGATTGAAAAAAAAATGAAATATTTTGGTATTATGACCAAAACCAATGCACGGTATTCACTAACTAATTTACAGATGTAATTTTTTATAATCGCAGTTGCCATGTCAGTGATTGGGCCTCATAACTTCACTTAAAGATCAGTCTCCCGCCTCTGAGTGAGTGAGCGCGTGACCTTGCTTTGAGGAAATTTTGTCTTAAAAAAATTAAAAGCAAGTCAGATTTCCGGGTATAAATGAGAGTTTTTTGCCAAGTGATTGGTTGAGTCTTATCACATTTTAGAAAGTGTTTCCCAAATTTGCTTTTAACAATGTTTCATAAAAATATGTAGAAAATGTTTCATTTGGCGACAGAAATATTTACGTTTTTGAATGGTCCGTAAAATTCAATACAATCGGGATTACGTAGATAGTGGACACAGGAATTGAAAATGAGATTTAACGCCGGCATAGTCAGTACCAACGTGATTTCATACTGATTAATATTAAAGAATTAACATAGGTACAGTGAAAATATTGCAACCATAAACAATTAATCAAATACGTCCGATGGAAATAGCAAGTTACAAGAGATTTCCTCTGGGTTCAACATGAAATAATTGATACAGGGTGCTTATTATACAATTAAAGAAATTTACCTCGAAGTGGTTAATTAGTATGTATAGTGGCTTTTAGGTTCGTATGACAACCCATTTTCATCCGAAATGTGTATCGAATTGCAGGCGTATGGAATAAACCTCAATCGAAAGCATGCGTATGTATGCTATATTTAAAATATACATTCGTAGCACGATCGCAGTATACTCAGTATCGGTCTTATGAGTAACCGTGTGTCAAGAACATCGATAATGAAAGAGTGAAATGGCCTTCTTCGATTAATACCATTTGGCGGGAATCACATTTTCAGCATATAAACTGTTTTGAAGCAAAAAACAATTTCGCCATTCAGTAAAAATGGCGGTCGAACTCTCAACTGAAATTATCATCTGTTGTGTGTAATTAATATTAACCAAAAAGGATGGCAACGGGAGATAGGGCGGGTACTTTTTGTTAACTTTATGCATGGGAAATTGATGAAGATAAAAACTTCATGCATTTTCATCAACAAAATCCCCAAATTAAAGAATATTTTCTCGCTGAAAAAAACGTGCAAGGCGCGGCCGTTTATCGTGTATGTGTGCAACACTCTGCGCGACTTGTGTTGTAGTTTAATTCGGCCGCCAGCCTCGCTGCTGTTCGTCACTACCATAAGCTACATCATTTCCGGAACGGTTTTTCCTGGTCGCAACGCGCCGAATATATCTCCGTTTCGCGCGTTCATCACACGTCTCGCCTTTCTGTTGAGTATACACGTCAATATACATCACGAAGCAAAAGTTGAACGGTCGGATTGTCTTGCATACCGCCGTGAGCATGATCTGTGGCGCGTATTTGATACTCGTTAACGACAAGCTGCCAAATTTTCACGGTTTTCTTCTGATCAATAGGGATCTATCTGTCCAAGTCGTTTCACAATACCACGAAAGCAGGTCCGAATTTAGAATTCGCGGCGGTGTAAATCACGATGTCACGAAAAGGCAGACCGAGTGCGCTCTCGGTAGGTGGCATCGCTTCTTCGAAAAGCGCGTCCGTTGTCACGTAAAAGCATTTGCAACAGACCGCCAGCGAAAAGGTACATAATCGATCACTCAATGCATCACGAGTTCCGCCATTTTTCTCGGCAGCATCGCCAGAGAGGTAAAGGGCAAAACATGCCGATTGCATGTCTGTAGTAGAACAAGGATGCCAACATTGTGTTTTTTTTACTATACGATATAACAATCTCATCGTTTATCATTCTTGTAAATACTCTCTACTAATATATAGAATACTTTAAATAGAATACTTCACTAAAACAGCGACCGAACTATACGGCACTTGGGTAATCCCGCTAATCATCTATAGATAGATTCTATCTCACAACTGCACCGAGCTGAGTCAATCTAATGCATCACTACGCTTCAATCTACAGGGAAGTGAGCAAGGTTATTGGAGTCGTATTGTTACGTGTCATCTTGCTCCGTATATGGAATGCCTTTTTTATTTGGTATTGCCATCTAAAAATTTTCGAAATTTCGTATTTTGAGCGGTGGCGTGGTATTTTTGTTTCCAGTGGGGGCTATGTACAAAAGTAATAAACTGGCTTCTTTTTCCTGACGAATAAGCCTTTTTATCCTGCATTACCATCCACAATGTTTCCAATCTGATAAAAATTAGCTTAATTATACTAGGGCGCGTTGTGTGCAGTGGCAAATGAGCATTGCTTAATTACAGTACGACAAATACATAACTACACGTGACAATAACGCGACAATACCATGTGAGGGATTCATTGCAATATTGCAGTCGTGTGCGTGACTAAATTAGCCTGTACTTTCGTCTGTCGCCCGCACTTTAGCTGTGACATTTAAAGAGCGGCTATGGGAAATTTGAAATATGACATGACTAAATATATAGTGGGCCATTCAGAGGTGTCAAACTTGCGGCCCGCGGGCCGCATGCGGCCCCAGAGAACTTTCATACCTCAGCACCCTACACATATCATTTATTAACACGAGCATACCACACATGCCCTGGAGATCTCAATTTAAGTTGGTCTATCATTAAATCTTGGGATATATGGAAATCAGATACAAGTGTCATACTTGCACAGCGCGGTGCAATTTAACATCTGAAAAAAATAAATATACTAAAAGCTGTGTAAACTACGAGACTAGATCACTATGATTTTCAGAGAACAACTGACGACAATATAGCACCTAATGACGGGAATTATACGAGTTCATCGCCTCGCATGTACGGAACACGACAGGATGCCGGCAGGTTACCACCCTATTGTGTACCTGGCATAGTTGTCCTGGGTGACCTCGAGGTATAACCTTCATATCACCGTTCTCATGTGTCTCGACTAGGTGAGTCAAATTACAACAGCAAGTTTATGCTTGTTTAAGATTATCAATCTATTTTATGTATCTTCATAATTAACTTTTATAAAACAAACAAAATCAAAATCTACTGACAACTGTCTAAAATCTAGTACACTTATTCACTGGAATTAACATCGTGATATTTTACCATATCTGCGTCATGCCTGAAACTTTATCTAATCTAACTTTTCATATTATAAAATATTCAACAAACAATGGTCATTCTGCCATTTCGACATTAGTGAACAGGCGATAATAGCCTCGCCAGCAGTTCCGTATTTATTATTAAAACAAACAAGACTTTCGTAAACACGGAAATCTAACCTCCTCCCATCGGGCAAAGAGTTTGACGAAACTGCCCTATACTGTTTTCAAGACCTATGGATTGTCGTAGAAGCATTTATCGATATATGCGGATATATAAAACGTCGACATCTAAATCTCACCGACAGCTTGCCACGAATCGTGACGTCTTTGCGACAACTTCGGAATCTGCATGTTAAGAACAGATCACAGCACAAGTCACGACGTAAGGAGGAAACTATGACTAATCAAACCATATCCAATGTGCTAATGAACGATATTCGTCGTAGTCATTGTATAATGAATTGTTTTACAGCCCGAGTACCACACTATGTGTACTAATATATACTAAAGATTCAATAAAATTATTTTGCCCCAATGAGCCAGCTGATTGCCATCTCCTCTATTACGGAAACGAGATTCTAGCCAAGATCATCAAAATACGGACTATTCATTACCCATGATTATAGAAATGACATGTAAAGACATACACTGAGCGCTTCGCGCATAAATTAGTGATTTTTACAGTGTGGCTTACGTCATAATGATAACAATGGACAAGGCGCGCGCAACCTCTTCACCTACCGTTCGCTTATATCGCCAGGAAGTGTCGGATAAAATCATGAAGATTATTATTCATTCAAATCTATATATGACAATGGTTGGCATGGTTCCAAAATAGAAGCACGATGACGGCGTTTTCTAATCTGTTATACTTTACTCAAACCTTGTTTTACTTCAGGCAGACAAAAGATCTATCCACCAGAAATCTGACCAAGATTTTGAACTTCAAAAATCTGCACTTTAACCAAACATTCAGTTCAGTATAGTTTAAAAAAAGTAGACAATGCTCTAATGAACGTTAAAATATTAGTATATTCAATATAAATTATCTTTCTTAATCTTTACTTCATCGAGCCAAACAGACTTCGGCAATCAGCGCGCTGTGTCTAAATTTCAAGCGATAATACCTGCTCGAAAAAGTCGGTCACCTGTGGGCTATTTCCGCATGACGTGACGTCACCGTAGGCCGTCACCAGTTCGCAATTCCTCGTACACGTCAGCTTCTATGTGCGTTCATACATTAATGTTCATTAGAAAAAAAAATTCAGTAACTTTAATCGCCAACGCTCGTAACTTCTTAACTATTTTTAAATGAAGCCACATCTTGAACCTGGTATTTGGTTTTCCAAGGTGAATTAAACCATTACTGGCAACATCAAACAACAATATTTTGTCAAATAACTTCTAGAATTAGAAGAGAAATTGTTAGAACGATGCTTTAAACTTTCGTGGAAGATGTGTGATTCATTGCCTCCCAACAAATTAATACTGCTATTACCTTTAATGAAGGCATTGGATTGGGTTAAATACAATAAGTTAATTAATAAGGTAATTCTTCGGTTCTGTTTGCTCCATGAAATTTTTTTCTAGACATTCCTATTTCTGATGAATCTAGACTAAAAAGTGAGATCCTCACAGTTATTTTACCTGTATTACAGTATTTTCAACAATGACATCGTTCATATAATATGGAGTTTGCCTTCTTAAAGTTCATACGCAAATGACCGAATGTAGTAATATTCAGGACAAAATACAATAATTACAATTAGTTTGAAATAGATAATAATCGTTCATTTGACAACATCCGCCGTAATATAACTATTACTGAATGTCTCACGAATGATAGAGAGTTTATTGAGACGCATTTGATATGCTCATTGCCATAATCTGAATTATATATATATATATCTAGAAGAAAATATAGTAGGAAAAATACAGTAGGAAGCAACTCCGTGTAAACAGATTGGCCGAGTACACCATTTGCACAGATGAAACACAGGTATTTAAAATAAAAATAAAATACTTGGAAATTAGACCAGAAAAATCAAGATCACTTTATTAAACACTACTGAGGTAAGGTAAGGCTTAAATTTTTTGCAGAATTTTGTGGAAAACTGTCATTGTCAAATAAATATGAAAATGTAAGCATATGACACAAATAACTTAATTTAATATAGTTTATATACACTGCTTATTAGTACGCAAGCATTCCACTCCGTTCGGGAGTGACACATATAGTTGGCTGTTATCTTCCGGCTACAAATTGCTAATAAGGAGTTTGATATTTTTGATTATAAGAACAAAATGTGCAGTATTACCCTACGCTCGCCGCCTGCAATTATTTCCTTGATGTGGCATCGCTGAGTCGCATCACCGTCTTTCTTTCGTGCACAAACAGAACGAATTTGTGACGGGCGGAGGAGCGGGATAGGAAGTGATAGGGCGAAACTGTCGCGAAGAGAAAAGAAAGAGAATAAATCAAGATGAGCGCTCGGCGTGGGTTGGTCGCAGGACCCGGAAACGAAGCGACAATCAAAACATTGAACGAATGTTCAGCGGGCTTACTCGGCTGCGAACGACTGCAACTGCGGAATCGCACGAAAAAAATCATCAGCACGATCGTGATGCAAATCAATACTATTATATATACATACAAAGCGATCTACAAAAATTGTATATGATTTATAAAATAATATATTTAAATCTTAGAACGCACATGAAATACTAATGAAAACCCTGCTTTTCGCGACTCTGATATGCAACGATATTTCTCAGATAATGTTTTGGTGTTTCTTTCGACTACACGCGTGCATCTTTTTGAAAGTGTTTGGTGGGATCGAAGGGTATCTCCGCACTTTTTTATGCCACAGGGCAAGAATCAAGCCTGTGAATTTATTGACTATATGACTATTTATTATAATTAAAGAAGTATTTCCGACTAAATTTGAAAACTTTGGCCTTGTTCAATGCAAGTCTAGTCCGTAGGTAATTTATCCTTACATGCTACGATTTTAAACATTAAAAGTAACATTGCATGGTTATTAATCATCTTGCTAGTTTCGACTTATTTAAAAAAAAACTGGATATAACCAGTCTGATCCAGTTAGGCGGCTAATTTGTAAATCTCACTTACAAAAAGGCATCACCTCTCATACGTCGACGTGTACGGTAATACCAGGAAGTATAGCATATGCATACGGTCGTCGAAAATCAGTGGGCGTCGGAGTGAAATGCGAAACAAAGGTTGTGGTTTAAAGCAATTGGTATGCTGACGTACGGTTTGAAGTATAAAAACTCAAAGAAACAGTATATATATTTATAACATTATGCATATTTAACACAAGAGGAAATTGTATCATGATTTCCTCCGTATCGACACCATTCACTTCAGTCCAACTCATTTTGCCATGAACCATCTCCAGTTATATCGTTTTTTGGCCCTTTTTTTCTGGAGATAAAAAAATTATGTGCATTTGAACTATTCCACAATTATGGTGAGGCGGCGAACCGAATGTTTTTCCTAAAGAAAACTCCACATTTAGTCAAATTCAAAGAAATAGATAGTCCAAGGCTTCTAAAAAAATCGGCTTCCTTCTTATTTAAGTATTTATTATGCGAAAGAGCTCTGAGCATTACATTTCTCGTTTATCGGCTTTCCAGTGTTTCTATTACTAAATGGCAAATGCGAAGTTTTCAACCCTTGTGGTACACCTGAATGCGCTTTGAATAATATAATACTATTCAAAGAATCATCTTTCTTGTGTTTCTTGCCCCTAGTCAAGTATCATTAAATACGAATATACTCGGCCTTACCTTAAAACCACACTTTTTATGTTGCCGTTGAAGTTAAGTAAAATCGATCTCTTACAATTGCGTTCATTGTTAAATATATCATGCTGCTGCCTTTAGTTTTTACTTTCCAATCCGGACGCCAAAATTTCTCCTAAACTCGAGTCTATATAAGGCGATATCTTCGCTCCTTGCGACAGCAGATAAAATCTGAACTAAGTTCGAGAGCGAGCGTTGTCGCAGTAGCAACAGACAAGGCTGCGTTCGCTAGACACGATCCGTCGCTATACGTAATTTCCGGTCTCTGCCGAATCCACGAAAGTCGGTGGCAACATAACAAAAACCATCGCGCGCCGTGATCAATACGTCGCAACATTTTGTTCTCGCGACACAATTATGATGATATATAGCGGTAGGCATTGCAATGCAATTTCGGACCACTTGTTACAAAGAAACAATTTATCAGTGATTCCTATGCGACAGCGGAAATTTTGCGTATTTTCCGATAGTAAAGAAATTGTACCAACTATGTATTGCAGTCCAAATTCACATTCTATTTATTTAACTCACATGTTCGCTAAATAAAACAAATCAGAATTTTCATAAGCACTTTTTGATGAAAGAAAGAATGAAAATGTTTGTCGTTGTCTGTTATTGAAGTAGGGACTTTCATGGAGAATTTTTACACGAAAATTGAAATAGTATTTGTGTCTCACCTCATCAACCGAGTAACCCATATCCCATACGAAAGATAGGTAGATGAAATCGATGTAAAACTGTAACGACAATTACAAGCACAACTTGAATAGGCGGCCTTTAACGTTTTACAGAGAAACATATTTGTTGTACTCTGTAATGTATATGTGATTTATTGCAGCAACTTACGGGTAAATTTTGAATTGAAACTACCAAATTTCGAATCAAATTTTTCAAATATATAAGCAAAATTGTTCACCAGAATTCATTATAGAATATAAGTAGGCGGCGATCTGGGAGCTGAAAATAGCCTCAAGAGTGGCGTGAACGTTGAGCGCTTCTCATTCATTTCAACACAAATTGCCAAATATATTTAAAATATATTCATTTTCCCATTTGCATATTTGTCAAGCCATTATCAAGCATAAAAAAATTTCCTTAATAGATGGCCATTTGGGTCTCAACGGCTTGATTTAAAAGACCCAGTGGAAAGGATTCCGAAAAGAACGTTATCTTTTTCTCTCATACCTGTTCAACAAAGAAGTAGGCCTATTTCATTCCAATGTTCTATTGAGCTCTCAGCGATGTTGCTCTTCTCTGTTCTTCAATAGTGCAGCGTCGTAGATTCGGATTTTCGTACGAGAAATGCTGAGTGGGCGACTCGTAGGGCGCATTGTACTGCACGCATTTCCCCAAACGCCTGAGCGAGCGACGCTATTCAAAAATCGTATGTCACACTATTAGCACAAATTGTGAATTTACATATATTTGAAAGTAACGTACGGTCTCGGAACTTTATGGGTAGCAAGATATAAACCACAGTTGATTGAGTCAAGAGTTTTGAGGCCACATCGTTTCGCAAATTCATTCTAGTTGTACTAGAGTTACCATTATGTAGTTTGAGATTTTTCTTTTTCGAATATATTTCTCGCGTGGTAACTCGTCACGAACAGGAAAAGGAAGCTGAAGTGCGTTTTCAAACGATTGAATCTCCGGACCGATAACGATTGAGAGGACTGTTTACAGTAATCTACATTCGCTTTAAAGTCAAACCGTTTCAAGTTTATCGCTGGCTTCAGGTAGTACTTTTTCTATCACTGCACGTCGTTTAACACTTCTCATAGTAACCCAGGAGTAGCTAGGTCACCTTCAAATCCCCCAAACTTCTTTTTACGGCCGAAGCATCTTGGCTTTGAGAAATTCAGTTGAAGCGGGAAATGCGAGGTTTATCTGTGATCTTGTGACCCTTTGAAAATCTCTAATGAATATCTATCTCCATATGACCATCCTACTTCTAACTGTGCGCATCTGTACGTAATAATGTTCAAAAATCTAAAAAAAAAGCTGAAAACAAAAATCACGCATTCGTATGAAACGATTTATTTTCTGTATCGTGGAAATTCAATAACATTTTTGTCTATATTGTGTCACCACTGGACTAATTGGTTTGATGTGTAAAGAATACTATAACATTACATTGAATGTGAATAAAAAGATGGAAAATTCTTTCACGAAACTAGTGAATAGATCAGAACAAGAAACGAGAGACCTATGCTCAAATATATGGACACATCACAAGGTGTCGCTATTTTTTATTCTGACACATAAAAAACGAATATTTTGAAGTCCACAGAAATTTTTGAAATAAATAAAAGTAATAGCCTTTTGGAAAAATAATCAATCTTTAAACACTAAAAATTTCAAAGCAATTGGTATAGTATTCGAAGAGAAAAGCGATTCCATTATGACGAAGGAGAAGAATAACGAGAACAACAACATAATATTGTAACTGCCGTGTCCATTAACGCATGCAAAAGTTTGGTGGATCACCGCTAGATGTTGATCAAGAGTTATGTCGTCATCGTCAATCACGTGTCCCTGTGGAGATTCTTGAAGTAACTTGTATCTCGATGGATATACTTTTAAGTTAACTTGTATAATTTGCATGCTTGCTTCATTTACGAATAATAAATAAATACAAAATTTGACGACGAGCATAAAGAGGAACGTTTATCAACTGAAAATATCGTAGATAGGAGTATAAAATTACCTCGAGGATTGAGTAAAAGGATATAGCATACGCAAATGAAGACTAAGAGTTATTATGATCGCAAGTATAATTCTTAAAATCCCTTCTACAACCAGGTGACTATGTTCAAGTTCTAGTTAGAAGATGGACAATTAAGAACACCTTAAGCTGTTTTCTATGTAACCTTGAGCATATTTGGAAAAAGAGAGATGGCGATAAATGCAAACCTAAAAAGATGTTTCAATATGCCGAGAAATTGGTTTCAGAAGAAATTTGATGATCTCCTGTTTGTACAAGACCTCAACGTAGCAGACGATGACCAACTTAGGTGCTCCCGAAGTATGCGAACCAAGAAGGCGGACATCGGAACGTAACATGGGTAACAGGGTTCGAAGACTAGCCAAGAGCCTCCCGTAGTATTTATAGCTAAAATTATGGCCTAACCCTAACCTAGTACACATATTACATTCCTATGTCCGCCATCTTGGTTCGCATACTTCGGGAGCCCCCCAACTTATTTAAATGACTATGTTCTTGATTGGGAAGGAGGATCTTGTCGATATCTTGAAGGATATTTGAATAGTGAAGTTGGTAACACTATAACTTGTCTCTCGCTCGATATTCGCTAATAGACTATTTAGTTCACTTGTACAATTTGCGTGCTTGTTTTATTTATGAATAATAAATAAACAGTACAAAAAAACATAAAAATGAAAAAAATGGTAACACTGTCGTTTTTTATATTATATACTATTTTGTATAAAATCAAATGTATTCGAATCGACGTGGTCATAATACTGTTCATTTGTCGTTCGCACTTTTACTCGGTTTTGTTATAAATTTACCCATAAACTTCTCCACAACTGTTGCATTTCTTCTTTCTCCACAAGTAACAGCAGATAAGGCCGATAGGAAAAAGGATAACGGCCCAGCATATACCCTTTAGGGTAAAATGGTTTTTTAGTTGCCCGATTCTAAAATGTAATAATAAATAATATCAAGAGAACAAGTCCAATGCATATCCACCAGGGTGTACGATTGCCATGATCGTTTATTGAGCACTATCTTGCCGAGTTACATTAATAGAATACAACAAGCCCAGTCTAATACAAATAATATATACAAAAGATATTAGCCGAACATGAGACACCTCCATCTTATACTCATGGAAATTTGAACGAGATTGGTCCTTAATTGAAGGGAGAAGAGATTTTGTTTCGACAGCGAACAATAAAAATTCAGCATAACGATCAATAGATCAACGCTGTGCACAGTAATAACATGTAATTTAACCTTTTAGTACAATAAACAAAACCGATATAAAAAGGTCAGTTGTTGGATTTGAGAGAAGAAACTTTTTTAATCACGTGTAGAGAATACAAAAGTTTAGAACCTGTAACAATAACGTGATCTGTCTAATTTAGATTCTGAAGACGAGAACCCCACATAATTTCAAAGACAATATCATACGTCATTTATCGTAAGTAACGTATTTTGATGAAAAAGCTTGGCTCAAACATAGTATATATAACACAGATTCATTTCATTTTTACACATCTGAAAAGGATGTGATTATACAACTGAGTTAGTTAGATGCATGAACAACGTTATCTAAATAAGATAATACACACAGCATACTTGCAAGTGGGGCATAACCCCTTACGAAGTAACTGCCTCCCACTTAATATTTGTTCTTGTTGTTGCTGTTGCTGCTGCTGTTGTTGATTTGATGACGAAGCAGATTGGTTGACCACGATTGTAGGTCCAGCAGCCGGCGGCGGTGGTGGTTGCTGCTGAACATATGGAACAGGAGCTGAACATGAGAGTGCGTCGATTAAAATATTAGTGAAATGGTAATATTCTTCCATATATATATACACATGATGAGAACGTTATGGTATTTGTGATTGAAGTTTACAGTTACATAAAGATAATCTCTTCAAGTAGACCATCGAAATCTAGAATTTCAATGCAACAAGATTACAGTTTCAAGATTTCAAAATGTATATTCAATATTTGCACCATATTTTATTATTCTCAACACAGGCTTATAACACATCGTGTATTGCGGCATACAAGTTGTGAAAAGCGGAAAACATATCAGTTTACCACCTTTATCATTTTTGCAAGAGATTCGTTCAAAAGAAATTTCAGACGCATCTTTAGAGAAAATGAGTTGTTTTGTTTTGCTGGATGCTCTACACAATAGCAACATATATTACGTAGAAAGTAACATAACATACGACCTTCACACAATAAGAAATATACAAGAGTAAATTAACACTTCTGTTTGCGGAGAAACCTCAAAAACAACTCAATTAAATAAAGATTTAACAGGTATAATCGTTCCCAATGGAATGGTCTTAGGACTAAAATTGTTTCTCGTTGGTATATTGCTTTTTGTATTCAACTGTGCCTATACCACTGACCGGTGTGTATTGCAATGTCATGTGGTCATTGAAAGGAGAGACAATCGTTGGGAAAACGTTCATTTGATTTCGACAAGTACAAAACCAAGGTATATAGAATGCAAGACAAAAATCTTCCAAATGTACGTTCTAAAAATCATGCACTTGCATTTGAATTAATTCCAATTAAGCATGAGGTTTGCAAATTCTTTATAAAGAATTTTCTGTTTCGATGGTGAAGACTTTACAATATAACTTAAGTGAACATTATTGAAATCCCAAGGATATTGCAGTATTTCTCGTAAAAAGTCATCATTGGTCTAACAGGGCATGGTATTTGGCACTCATCGTACGATTGCAGTCAATAGAATAGCAAAATAGGAAAATCCAGCTAACACTTTGGGAAAAATCATACCTGGTGCATAAGCGACTGGTGCAACTGTAGGTGGGTATGCAACTGGTGCGGCAACGACTGGTGCAGTAGCGACTGGCACTGTATGTGGTGGTACATACGCTGGCGGATCTGTCGCTTAACAAAATAAAAATGTGTTTTGTTACAACCAGGTTCCAAAAAATGGCAATTATACATATTACTGATTAGAAAATTTAACAAACACAGCATCAAAAATAAATAAAAATTATTGAAAATTAATTTATTCATTCAATAATACTTTCAAGTTGTATCATGAGCAGATCTGCGGATACAGTAGCCTACAGAACGAGTTGCATTTCTGGGCATTGCAATTTTTGTTCAAGAATATGATGAGTAAGGCATATTGGATGCATGTTGATATGCCACACAAAGCAAAGATTACTTTCAATCAGATGAAAAACAAGCATTTTTCGAGCGAACTTTTGATTTTAGACTCAAAATGAAAAAATGTCTAATTACTGAAGTGTTATAATTATGATACAATATATAACAAGCCGAATGACCGAAATTCAAATTGTAACAAGTTGAGACAAAGCCGTGTAAAGGCAAAATCTGACAAAAAATTTGACATAATTTCTAATGAAATAATTTTTTAAATTAAAAAGATAAAATGACTGCAGGGAATATTATTTCATATTGTAATGTTTTTGATTCAGGCAAATTGGTATAAAGAACAGAACGGGATATTACGGTGATTTATATTTTTGCTTCTGTTAATAGCATTCCATCCACTCCTGGTTTCAAAAATTGCAATCATACATATTACTAATTAAAAAACTTAACAAAAACAGCAAGATATATATAATAAGAATTATTGAAAATAAAAACTCCATTGATACTTCAAGTTGAATCAGGAACGTAAATTTTTCGCGAGTCTGCGGATACAGCACAAAGCAAGTTGCATTGCTTGTCATTGCGATGTTCTAAGAACATATCTAAGTTTGTAAGTCCCTTTTTGACGATTTGGAGTTTTTGATACAATAGTTAGTTATCAATTTATGTTATACTGCGCACCAGTCTGTTTCCTCAGATTTATCAGATCGGAGCAAAAACGCATAAAAAGGAGATAAAATGGGATATGTACATTGTTGCATTTGTTCTATGCTAACGATAAATGGTTTAACTTGAGACTATTGTGACGAAATACCGGTTATTTTTTGTTGTTGATTTTTTTGCAAATAGATTGCAGCTGAGAGCTTTTTATATTTTAATCTAAACCGATAATTATGACTTACACACTTTTGTTATTATCGTGACCATATGCATGTTGATGTGCCACGGAAAAAGGGTTCTTTCAATCATGTAACAAACAAGCATAATTTATGTGAATTATTTAAGCAAAACAACAAATTTAGGTTAAAACAAGTACAAAACGACAAAAATGGTGAAACAGACAAAAAAAATTGCCATAATTTCTCATGAATTAATTATTTGAATTATGAGGATAAATAAACTACAAAAATATCATTACATACTGAAATGTTTTTTTATTGCGGCAAACTGATATAAAAAATAAAACGGAATATTACAATGAAGTATGTTTTCGCTTTTAATAATAGTATTTTATCCCGTTTCCATTTATTATCAAAGTAGGCTCATTTAAATGTTACTTAAATTAATAAAATAAAGCTACTTTATTAAATACCTTCCTGTTCCATATTTACAATCCCTTGTCTTCGTTAATTAATTTCTTCGATTGGATTGTATATTATTAGAAGTAAATTAGTTAAATTGCTATTTAAAAAAAAAATCAAAATGAATATGTGTCGGTCAATATTAATTTGACAAGATATCTTAACATCATTAAGATAAAATTCCATTTGAATACAAGGGATAAATATTTAAAAACATTTTAGTTCCAGTATCCACACATATTTTTTTATAAAAAGTACTTTTCATATCTTGAGTGTTATAAATTTTGACAAGTTCATAAATAAATTTCTATTAACCTCCATAATATAATTATTTTTTAAATTGATTAATTATTTCATTCAAATCATATCATCTATCAAAGTATGGATGGTACAAAACTTGGTATTGCTTCTACTTGTTTAAAATCCGTGTGCTGGAATGTTGTCTTTCGCGAACTAAAGCAAAAATGGCCAGCTGAAAGAATAAATGTATCTATTGTCTTTTAGTTATTTGATTTATGATGAACGTTAGGTATATTGAGTAAATTAATCTCATTAAAAGAGTGAACCAAATCGAAATTGAGAAAAAATAACTGAGTGAGTTTCAGTTCCATCTTTCTACGCTGTAGTTACGTCGAAACTGGCAGGTAAACATAATTTGAAGAAGCATCTGTTGTAATATTAATAATCCGCAAATCTTTTTTAAAAAGAACACACAAGATTGCTTTCCTATATTTTTGCAACAAAATCGTACAAAAATTTTCTATGAAAAAATCTTTCTAAATGCAAAGAAAATATAGATTCAGATATTCAGCTTTTAGGAATAATCCTAAACATAAGCTGTCTTTGAAAATCAAGTTGGCCATAGCAACGCAACCCATTGATTGACTTGTTTTGTAGCGGATTCTTATAACAAAAAAGAAGAAGGTATAGTGTGATTGTAATAGAATTCCCATATCGTGTTTAAGTACAAAAGAGGCTTTCGCCATTATGTAGCATGCCTTGGCAAACAATACACACCCATCTGCACTTTACCACAATATATGAACCCGTGGAATTCGGATTTTCACAAATTGTAAAGATTGAAATGTTTTGTTTGGGTTTCTAATTACCATTTCATTTATGGCGTTTAGAAACATAATTATGTACTCCCCGCGGGTCTGTGAATTAAGACTCTGAAATTTCGAACAGCGATAAAAGCTTTTAATTGAGTATCTACTCGCTTCCTAGTTCCCTACATATAATACATTGCTAAATATAAAAGTAGTGAGTCGTCAGTTTCATATCTTTTGAATGAGATTGGAATATATTGGTGTAATTATGTGGAAGTATCTTTACAAATAAATCAACATATATTATCATCCGTCTTTTCTACAGTCTTAAATCAAAGCAGACTATTTATAATATACAAAACAAGTATGTACAAAATTTAAAACGAAACTTGAGACTAAAGTGTCTAAGTGCATTGTAGGCATTTTACTAAGTGTGTAAAGTGGGGAAATGATACATTGCCCGTTTACCATTCGAATAGGACATACTGCAGTAATAGAATCTGCTATTTTAAATATATTCGACAGCTTTAAAATTTAACAAATGAGGAAATTTCGAGAATTCTAGGTCTTGCAATCATAAATTTGTAACAACGATGATAAATTGATTTTTCTGTAACTAACGTTTTATACAAAAACTGTAGAGTTTGAGTCAGTGTTGCTGTACTGAAATTTTTTTTGTAACTTCAATCAAACACATCTCTACAATTATTACTTTTTCTCTTTCTCCACAGATAGCAACAAATCAAACCAACTAGCAAGACGATAAAAGCCCAACAAGTATGCATATTGGTATTAACCAGTGTATAACGTGAAGACTTGTTCTTTTAATATTTTGAAATGTTTCAACTCCATATAAAAAATGTGACGAGATCTCTGTAAAGTTTTCTCATAAATTTGTATTATAAATACGTGATCAATGGTGATAATGTTAAAAAAAAGTTTCTTCACGGCACAGCAAACTACAATCATAACCCAATATGATCCGATAGACGTTGAGATATGCAGCAAATTATCGAATTTAAATAGCTTTCAAATTCTTTGTGAAATCAGATATGTCTCAATGGCACACTGTGGGGTAGTTGTCATTTGAGGAAAAACCTTTTGCGCGATGAATTAATTTCAACGAGAAATGCGTTCAACGTGTTCTGTGATCTATTTAGTAGATTCTAGTCCTGTTTTCTTAATTTTAGATAGAAATAAAATATTTCAATGGTCATTTTGTCTTCCAGATAGTTTTTGTTGCAGTAATCAAAAATTAGTTCCGAAAAAGATGCGATTAGTAGGACGGCGGATTTTTAGTGCTTATTTAATGATATTTTCTGTGAGCTGTCGATTGAAAAATGTTTTGAATATTAAAACCTACCATATTGTTTAGAAAAAAATATTTAAGCAGCTTCCAATAAAAAAATATTGGAAGCTAATTTAAGTCTCAACTAAACTTAAGCTCCTTCGCTTTAACCCCAAATGCTCCCATAAAAAAAATAACCGCTGAAGTCCATTTTATTCACTTGATCCATACGTAAATTCTGGAACCATGAGTAAAGAACATTACGAAAACAAATCAGTTCGAGTGACAACGGAGTTTCCCAATGGTGTCTAAGATGTTGGTTATATTCCTACTGATATGTTTCCGTTAATATTTTGCTGTTCGGTCAGGGTTATTGAAATGCACTAGGGCGCGAAAACAACCACGCAACAGACATACTCATTGACTTTCGAATTTATTATTTTAAGATAAATTAGAACACCGATCAAAAATGACTGACTAATAAAAATGACTACTAATAGCTCGTTTCAGTCTAGTCCAGGAGTGGGGAACTTTTTTCGAAGACAAAATTCTTCCGCTTGCCAAAATTTAACAAAAATTCTAATTGTTACGTCATTGTTGACTTGTTGATGATTGGTCATTGTTACGGATATAAACAAGAAAATCAATGGTCAGGGACACATCCCTCGATCCGTGTTGCATATATAAATTATATTCATCAAAACAACGAACACATGAGGGTGCTATAGAATTTTGTAAGACTGGTAAACATTAAACAACAGTCTGATATCAAATATCAGATAACTAAAAGTCAGTGAGATTACATTTTTCACTTACAGCTTCAATATAATGCTCAATTACCTCCCCGGTTCGACATCAGTAAGTACCACGTACAAACTATAAGAACAGTAGAGAAATTCAGAAAATAGACAGAGCTTCATGCATCCATGACGGACACACAAAAACAAAAAAATAAGTGACAAGGCACCATCAGATGTTTCTCAGTATTTCAAATATCCCTTTGCAATCTAATCCCTGCGGGTATGCAATTTATCACAGAAGACACCAGTACCAGTACAGTTTTCATGATTTCGCCTGACCACCTGACGTCAACTTAAGGGAAAGCGAATCGCCTCAAAAAACGCAATTTTTATGACATCATCGCACACAAGAACGAAATAGATTTTTCGGAAATAAATAATAGTAATAGCCATCTAGCAAAATACAATCTCCAACCGCTGAAATTTTCAAAGACTTAGTTGAATAGGTCTAGTAGGTAACGCGATTTCTCTCATAACAATAAGAAATATACTAACAAGAACATAAACAACATAATACCAAAACGATCTATAGGTTCATTTCGTGTCCAATATTGTGGCGAATACTTTGCCCGATCGTACCCATTGATATATTTAACAACTTTAAAATCAAAATAATCAGAAATCTATATCTTGCAATCATAAATCTTTACAATGTTGATAAAATGATGACATACAAAAACAGAAAGATTCAAGTTAGTATTGCTGTGTAAAATATTGTTTGAACATTTTTGAATTTTATCCAATTTTATCCAAATACATCTCCACAGTTGTTACATTTCTTTTTTCTCCACAAGTAGCAACAAATCAAGCCAACTGGGAACCAGAACACAGCGCAACATATTCCACATGGAGTGAAGTGACCTTTCAGTTTTCCGATTCTAAAATAGTATAAATAAATAGTAACAAAAAAACAATGATAAAATATAGACACATTGATTGTTTTTGATACCGGTAAATGGTAAATGATAAAAGGTGAAGTAATGTAAACTAATTAATACTACAGTTACGGGTCGAATCGTTTGGTACTAGTAAGTTACGACGGTCGACAGTTCCAGCCTCGTCCACGATATATTTTTGGGGGAAATTGGGGGTGAAATATTTCGTTTTTGTCTTCGTGTTTATATATTTGAGCATCGCTCTCTTGTTTTCTATTGTTTACAATAAATATTATTAAATATTGATATACAAAATTTCAACGCTTTAAACCCGAATTGGCACCCAAAAAAGACATCCATTGAAGTCTCTGAACTCATACCTTAAATGCCCAACTGGCTCCACCGATACAAAATGATTGTAGATGAGAATAGTGGTTTATTATGATTATAACGCCGGAGGTATTGACATTTTTTTTAAGTTCAAGCCTGATCCAGACTACGTTCCTATCCGAATTCAAAGAAACAATGTAACATTGAAACTTCTTACCCACACGTGGGGCATTTTCCCCTACGAAGTAACAGCCTTCCGCCTGTCTGTTGCTGCTGCTGTTGTTGTTGCTGCTGCTGTTGATTTGATGTCGAAGAAGATTGGTTGATAACAATTGTAGGAGCAGCGGCCGGTTGCTGCTGAATTATGGGCTGTGGAGCTTAATAAATTAAAGAATATTTGAAATTGAGTTTTTGATTTTTTGGATGCTTGTGTTATAAGCAAAAAATTCAGTACGAACTATTAGATGTTCTTTTATATGATTGAAATCTGTTTTTTTTATTATTACATTGAGTTTATTTCATTTGATTTCTACAAGTACAAAACTAAAGTATATAGAATGCAACACAAAAAACATCCAAATATATGTCCTGAAAATCATGCACTTGTACTGAATCAGTTTTTTAACAAACAATGAGACTTGCAAACTGTTCAAAAAAAAAATTTCGGTCTGTAATGGGTAGCGACAATATAATGAAGCGGCAACGTGCGCTTCGTCATATTTTTCTAATAATATTTGAATACCGGTACTTATAATGTAGCTTGACCATTTTAGGACGGCGAAGACTTCACAATATAGCATAAGCGAACGATAGTGAAATCCCAAAGATATTCAAAGATTTTTATTAAAATCGTAAGAAGTTATCATTGGTCTAACGGAGCATGACATTCGGCACCCGGCGACCATTGTACGATTGCAGTCGATAGAATGGCAAAATTTCAAAATCAAACTAACACTTTATGAAAAATCATACCTGGTGCATAAGAGACTGGTGCAACTGTAGGTGGGTATGCAGCTGGTGCAGTTGCAACTGGAACTATATGTGGTGGTACATACGCTGGCGGAGCTGTCGCTTAACAAAATAAAAATGTGTTTTGTTACAACCAAGTTCCAAAAAATGGCAATCATGTATATTACGGATCAGAAAGTTTAACATACACAGCATGAAAAATAAATAAAAAATAAATTGATCATTTAAGTATTATCAGAAGCAGATACGTCCGCGAATAGCGTGCAAAACGAGTTGAATTGCTTGAAAAATATTATAACTTTTGCTCAAAAATATGATGCTTATCGGATGCATGTTGATATATATGTCACACAAAACAAAGATTGTTTTAGTCAATTAAAAAACAAGCATTATTTGAGCGAATCTTTGACTTTAGAATAAAATTCAAAAAATGTGAAATTACTGGAGGTGAAGTGTAATTATGATAAAAGAAATAACAAAATTCAAATTGTAACAAATTGATCATAAGCATTATTCGAACAAACCATTAAATCTAGTCTAAGAATGAAAAAATGTAAATTTACTGTTAGTGAAGTGTTATAATTATGCTAAAAGAAATAACATTCTAAATAACCTAAGTTTAAATTGTATCAAGGTAAAACAATAGTGCGCAAAAGTAGAAACTAACGAACATTTTTAACAAAATTTTTAATGAAATATTTATTTGAATTATAAACATAATAATATGTCTACAGAGAATATTATTACATATTTAAATGTTTTTATTGAGATGTCTTTTATTCCGGTAAATTAGTATGAAGAATAAAACGGGATATCACGATGATGTATATTTTTGATTTTTATAATAGCATTGCATCCGTTTCCCATTATTATCAAAGAAGGCTCATTTAAGTGTTAAGTGTTACTTAAATTAATAAAATAAAGGTATTTTATTAAATACCTTGCTGTTCCATAGTCACAATTCCTTGTCTTGGTTAAGTTCTCCAACTGGATTGTATATTATTGGAAGTAAATTAGTTAAATTGCTATTCAAAAAAAGATCAGAATGAAGATACATATGAGTCATTATTAATTTGATCAATGCAATAGGTGCTTTGACTACATTAAAATATAACTCCCTTTGAATAAAAAGTAGCAATATTTAAAACATTATTGTTCCAGCATCCGCAAATAATTTTTTTAAAAAGAACTGTTCATATCTTGAGTGTTATAAATTTTGGAAAAGTTCATATTAAAAATTTCTATTAACTTCTATATATATTATGAATAAAAAATTATTAATTATTTTATTCGAATGTCATTACCTATCAAAAGACTGATGGTAAAGAATCTGCTCATACTTCTAATTGTTTAAAATCCGTGTTCTGGGACTTAGTTGGAATGTTGTATTTTTTGAACTGAAGCAAAAATAAAATTTTTTAATAAAATAAAATTTATCTGTTGCTTTTAGTTATTTGGAAGTATGATAAACGTTACGTATATTGAGTAAATTAATCTTTTTAAAAGAATGAACCAAATCAAAATTGAGAAAAAATAACTGGCCGAGTTTCAGTCCCATCTTTCTACGCTGTGATGCAAGTAATTACATCGAAATTGACAGATAAAGCTGAATTGAACTGAAACAAAAAGCAGCAGTAATATTAATAATCAGGGAATCTATTAAAAAAACATTGCTTTCCTATATTTTTGCAACAGAATCGTCTAAAAATTTTCTAAGAAGAATATGCTTTCCAAATGCGCAAAGAAGTCTATCCTGAGATGTTTTTGAAAATGAAGATGGAGATATTTAAAAAATTGAGTGGGACATAGCAACGCAACCCATTGAATCCTCATTTTCAGTGAGAGAACAGTTTCATAAATATTTAGTGATGAGAGATACTATTATAAAAGCCAGACTTGTTTTGTAGCGGATTCCTATTACAAAAATAATGAAGTTTGGTATAGTGTTATTGTAATAGAATTCCCCTGTAGTGTTTAAGTACAAAAGAGGTTTCTGCCATTATGTAGCATACCTTGGCAACCAATACACACCCATCTGTACTTTACTACTTTACCACAATATATGAGCTCTTGGAATTCGCATTTTCACAAATTGTAAAGATTGAAATGTTTTGTTAGGGTTTCTAATTCCCATTTCAGTTATCCTTAGTTTTCAAAATGGGGTTTAGAAACATAATTATGTTTTCCCCGCGGGTCTGTGTAATGAGACACTGAAGTTTCGAACAGCGATAAATGTGGTAGAAGCCTTCAATTGAGTATCCACTAGTATTCTAGTTCCATAAGTATATATATACATTGCTAAATATTATAGTAGTGTTTCATCCAGTTTCATATCTTTTGAGAGATATCGGAATTTATTTTCGCAATTATGTAAAAGTATCTCCACAATTAAACCAACATATATACCAGACTATTTATAATATTAAGAACGAATTTGTAAAAAATTTGATACGAACTTGAGACTAAGGTGTGAAGGTGCATTGTGGGCATTTTACTGAATGTTTGAAATGGGGAATTAATACATTGCCCGTCCACCATTCGAATAGGACATACTGCATAATAGAACATGTGAAATTGGAAACTGGACATACTGCATAATAGAATGTGAAATTTTAAATATATTAAACACTTTTAAAATTTAAGAAATTAGGAAATTTCGAGAATTCTATGTCTTGCAATCATACATTTGTAACAACGATGATAAATTGATTTTTTTGTAAGTAACGTTTTATACAAAAACTGTAGAGTTTGAGTCAGTGATGCTGTTTTGAATTTTTTTTTGTTACTTAAACCAAACACATCTCTACAATTGTTACTTTTTCTTTTTCTCCACAAATAGCACCAAATCAAACTGATTGGGAAGCAGATAAAAGCCCAACATGTGTATGTATATTGTCAATAGGCAGAGTATAATGTGAAGACTTGTACTTTCAATGAGTAGAGTATAATGTGAAGACTTGTACTTTCAATGTTTTAAAATGTTTCAACTCTATATGAAAAGGCAAAATGCCAAACGAATATCAGTAAACATTCTGTACTAACAACTCACACCACATCTATACAATTATGGATAGTTTTAATATTTTGATCAGATAGATCGATGGAAAAATCATCGTTACCTGAACGAAAAAAATATCGAAATGCAACAATTCAAATATTTCCTCGTCTTTCTATAACAAACTTCGTCATTCTCTTTATCTTCAACAAAAGAATTGAAAGGTTATGCTCGGTTTATAGCTCCTCTCAAAACCATCAGAATATTGACAAAACCCCGCGTGGCTTCAGATTCGGAGTTTCCGGATAATACTTTTTGCATATAAAAATACAACCCTATGTTTATTATTTGCTTTACGTGTCTCTTTTAAAAAATGCTTTCAAACATTTTCAGCGAGTTCATCACAAAAGACATTTTGATATTTTCACAGCAATATCTTAGCAACCGGGATTCACGACCAGTCGTTTCTAAGGAATTCTATAGCAACGAGCGTTGTTTTTACTATTTCCAACTCTATTGTTTTATTAACGCTCCAGAAGTGTATGTATCAATATGAAGGTAACTAATTTTGTTCGTCTACTTTACATCAAGTTACGTAAAGGGACTGAAGCATATGGGCAGGGGGTATATTCACTTGGCTAACATAGACAGTCCCCGAACTCGTATTAGAACTAAAATAAGGAAAATTGAAATAAAATTATGGCCTAACCCTGACCTGGTTCATATACTACGGGAGTACTGCTTTATCTTATACGAAGGTTACTTCAATGTTATTTCAAAACCGCACTGTTAAATAAAAAGTATATTTTTGCAAAAATGAAGAAAACTTTCAAGTTCATCTTTACCTGTAAAGATATAATTACCTATCCAAAACGCCGAGGATCGAAATAAATCTTAATCTCAAACATCATAGGAAAGTAAAAGTTTCCTCACTGGTTTCTGATGCATGGGATTCTGAATAGCTTAGAAATTACACGCAATACGAATTCAATGAACTTTGCTCTCTCTGCCAAATAATTTATCTTATTTTTTTCATTTGTATTATTATCATAATATAACAAAGCTTGACCAAAATTCATGGTTGATCTAAGAACATTGTTATTGGAAAAACTATTGTTGTTCATCACAAATAATGCAGTAATACAGAAGCTTATGATTTCATGGTTCTATAAGGTTTTATACCAGAATGTACTTTATGTTAGAGCAAATTTTTGGACCTCCTGAAGTATGCGCAACAATATGGCGCACAACCTGAACTCAGGTTGTGTACCAGGTCAGGGTTCAGGTTATGCGACATCTTGGTTCGCATACTCCAGGAGTACCAAATTTTTTATGCTAAAACTACTAAACAATGAAGTACATTTAGACAAAATTAATTACAAATTTACACTCAACACACCATATTATTATACACTGACTTTTTACGCGTGAGTCCAAGATATATGCATAGGGTTTCTTTATTATGACCGAATACATTTTTTTTTTTTTTTCAGAAAATAATTAGTCTTATTAGTGTAAACTAAACGGGTGAAGATGTGCTTTTTAACAGAAAACGATAGGTATACTGTTGAGATATATATCGTACCAATGAGTATGATATTTAGGTTATGTTGCTTGAACATTATAATGGTCTTTACAAATCGTTTGCTTTCAATCTCATGTATGTTTTACGATAGCGTTTCTTTAAAGTGACTTTGTTTAAATAACCGATCAAAACATATTCAGATGCCATGACGCGGAAGTATTTTGCATACTAGGTTTACGTATAATATAATATCTATATACCCGTATGTTTACTTTGATGGAAATCTAGTTTTCGATCTAGGCATACACCTTATTGTACCAACAATCAGAACAATAGTTTTACAGGTATATATATATAAGAATATCTCGTTACTTTTGTATTGAAAGCATTCCAGCTCTTTCCAGAAAGTCTTTCCAGAAAGTGTTTTATCATAATAAACAACAAAAATCATCACATTCGTCGTCGCCGCTCGAGTGGAACGACGAAAGGCAACAGTGTTTTGAACTTCCATGACAAAGGACCAGTACTGTAAATTTAGCTAGTTGTCCGTGCTGTTCTTCAGTAAATACGCTCCACTTTTAGTATATAGATAGCGACCTTGATTTGAACTAATCTGAATAAAAATGTTGTTGAAATTAACTGCACTGAGGGGCCCATTTCAGGCATATTTAATTAGTGTTATTAATATCTTGATTTTGGTATTATTTCAAAATACGTTTTTGCGCTCGAAGTGCCCATAGGAATTGTTTTGCTTAATTGTTGTTGTTATTGTTGGGGTGGGTGACATTTGTTGTAGGGAAAGATTTTTTTTTTCGAAACTAGTAAAAAAATTGTTTGCAAATTTTTTGTACTCTGAAGATGGTTAAAAGTCTATTACTTCTATTTCTTTAAATTCCGATATTCGATTGATATTTCAAATTTTTCTATATTTACGTGTATTGCACCACCACGTGTCATACGTTTGATCCGGTCGATTGCAAATAATATTCAGATAATCAATAGCCATTCTGGCTTCCGCGGATTCGTTGCTTTTTGAGGTGATAAAAATGACAGATGATTATATATTTCAAATCATAATGATGGTTATGAACATGTAAACATGTTTGTAAGCTTCGACTCGAGAAACACTTCCAATATGGGCATCAATAATTTTCTAATGGTAAAGTATAGGAAGAATTTTCTGGAGTCAATAGTCGGGGAAAATAATTGCTATTGTCTTTAGATCACATCGACCTAGCCGGCCGCAGGGAGACCCTCCCTTTCTTAGGCCCCATGCACATTCTAAGTGTGAATTATTGAATTTACTTAATTCATTAAAAAATTAATGAATTAGTTATTATATCTACCCCTACTTAAAATAAGCGATCCCCCAATTAGTTTCACACAGGGCTCCGCGTTAGTTAGGGCCGCCAGTAGTAGCAAATTTTAGCACTTAAATGCTTGGTATAAAGCAATAATATGGTTAGAATTAAAGGAAGGTTACATCGATAGTCCATTTTTGATAGACTCTTTAAAATAGCTGGGAATATGTTATGATCCATTTAACAAATGTAAATCTCGGAAATGGATGCCGGGGTTACCATTAGCTTATAATTTTATTGACATACATATCCTATGTTTAACATCTCTTAGTCAAACATGTATTTACTCTCTGAATTCCGCAATGTGACTGAGTAATGAATTCAGAATGTTTGGTGGATATTTGTAATAAATGAATAGGGTTATCTTCTACTCTTTAATCCAGTATGCTCTGTCCAAAGTATGATCTTGCGCCAATGCTTTTCACTCAGTCCAATGCTTAATTAGTTTCGTTATATGAATTCAAATAATGCGATATACTATTTCAGTTTCAAATTTTAATTATTAGCCATGAATCATATCGTCTCACAATACAACATTAATGAAATTACCTAGACCAAATCAAACTTTTATTATGTTTATTTGTGGACGTTTATTTATCATTGCTTCCAAATATAATTTTTTATTTTTTTATTTTTTGAAAATTGACTTGAAAAAAACATCAACATATAAATAGGATATGGTAATTATTGGCTAAAATTCTTGTTTTGATGACTTGAAGTTTGAAGTTTTACGTTTCCAAGTTTTTAAATTTGACTTCACATCGGTGAAGTTATCTTTGTATCCCAGTTACAGCTAAACACCACACTCCGATCGAAGGCTCTAGCCATGTATTTTTCTTTCCCTCTTTGTCAAAAAAAAAATTTGAAAACAAAAAATAACACTGAAATAATCATGACAATTTGATTACCACTGAACTGACGTGTCTATCTGAAAACAAAGGAATTTTCCTTGTTCGCCCCTAATCATCAATAGAGGAGAATCTTCAGCCAGAAATTTACCAAAATTTGATAAAAAATAGATCAAAAAAATCAAGTACTAAATCGTCAACAAATATAAAATAGCACCAACCAATATTACAACCAAGATTTTGTGTTAACATATAGAGTAACGGGATTTTCCTTGTTTTCCATTAATCATTAATAGAGAACCTCCAGCCAGATAATTACCAAAATTTGATAAAAATAGATCAAAAAAATCAAGTAATAAAACATCAACAAATACAAAATTACAACCAAGATTTTGTGTTAACATTGAGTTAAAATGATGATTATCAAACACAAGTTCATTTCGTTTTAATGAACTGCCTTTGATTAATAAAAAATTTTATTGGCATTTTTTATATTGAAATAGATATGGTGTTAAAATGAAAAGCGACCACGACAGGCAAGACGAATCTAATGTGAATAAAAAGTAACTGGGCCACTCTAAGTAGGTTCATAAATACACCGAGATCTTTCACGGGGCTTTAAACTTTTAAGATTACTTGTATAAGGGTGTCTAGTAATGTAAAATGATTGTTGGAATTCTATGGAATACAAAAAATAAATGAGACAACTTTTTGTACTTGAGCACAGTCTAGAAATTTGGAAAAAAAGTATTTATTGTAGTCACTGTAATAATTTACAAATCAATTTTAATAACATAAAAAGGTTAAGCCCAACGAAACACGGTCGTTTTTTTAACATTCATATCCGTGTTTCCTGGTTTTCAATTGTCTATAAGTTATTTATCTATAAATGCTAAGGGTGCCGCAATAATACAAATGCAAGAAGCCGTCCAGGCAAAGGCAAAACTGTAACCCCAGTCGACGTTTTTCTCTTCGACGAAAGAAGCATAAAGTCCGGTATAACTTGCAACTCCAATCATAATAAATATACCTGGTTAAAAAAAATGTGAAAAATGTTAAGTGAATATAACCTCCTGCTTGCTTATCATAGACCGAGGCTGTGACTACTTCTAAGTCAAACAAGAGAGCAAATATATGAAAACGAAAGTCCAATAACTAACGGTAGTGCCAGTAGCGACCCATACGAAAACGTGGGAAGTTCACAAAATCAAAACGAAGAAGCAATTGGCCCAGTAGTTAAATAGGAAGTCAATTTTTCACAGCACCAAAGAAAAGAAAAACAACAACAACAACAACAACATAATAACTAAACGATCCATGGATACACTTCGAGTCCAACATTAATTGGAATCTTAGCTGTGTCTCGAAATTTCAGAATTCAGGATTTTTGCAATCTGGATTCAGAGTCGTCGGAATTTGGGGTCAATTATATGAAGGTTGACAAACGTTTAGGTTTTTGAAAGTGAATATCTCTTATTATGAGAGTCAGTTTATGTCAATCAGGAGTCTAAAATTGAAGTTTGAGATTCTCGACTCGATAAACTAATTATTGCATTAAAGTGGTTTTGAAATTTTGCTTGATAATCTTCAGTTTGCAAAATACCAATCATGTCAACAAACAAATTTAATCTACAATCAAATACATGATCCCGTCTGTTCATATTTGGTCAAAATCATCAATTGTACTGAATGATAAATGCAATTCATCAACGTTGTCATACCTGCCACGAAAGACAAAACTCCTCCTACTTTTCCTACAACTTCTTGACCCTTTTTTCCACCGCCAATACATAGGGCTATGGCTGCACATATCAGTATGACGTCACCCATTATCTGAAAGGATATGGCAACCTTTTCTGCATCACCTCGGATTGCTGGAAAAAGAAAAAATGTAAATTAATAAATGCCAAATCACGTTCAATAGTATGGGGCGACTTTTATAGTGTATCACTATAAACACGTTATTGTTGAGCAACGATGCACGCATGGAGTGCCAAATTCACTAATAAGCTCGAGTAGGCCTACTAATACACGACGAGTCTACAATTCCGAATACACTATTAGTCTTTTACTTGGAAAACCGAGCAGAATGTAACAGCAACATGTCTGCTTACCTAAAATTTGAAAAATGCTTCAAGACAAAAAGGAACATTTAGAAATATGAAAAAAAAGGGTATAAAAAAAATTATAAAGAAATAGGTGCTGATAAAAAGCTGGTCCATGATAAAGATTTTAGGCAATGTTTATCAAAGTATTCCAATAAAAATTACTTCTAAAAATCGAAAAAAATTCGTTTTCCTCATTTTTTCAAAACGACATTTTCAAATGTCGCTTTTTTGGGCTATACAGCATTCGAAGCCAGGAAACCATACATACTGGCAGTCGGGTCTAAGGCTAAGCCATAGTCGTCACGATTAGTGAGTTCATATTTTATGAACTAAACTTTCCTCACCAGCATAAGAAGCATTTAAAATTGAAACAATTTTAGTGTTTAACAATGACGTACAATTCCAAATATATATATATATATGTGCTTACTTTCCGTTGTTGTGTTTCCGGAAACATTTTGAAACAATCCTTGAGCATAATCGCAATTTGTGCATGAAGAAGGGTTCACATAAATCCATCCAGGTGTTGAAAGAGCAATAATATCAAAAATAAGTGCAAACACAAGTCCACCACCACTTCCAAGTCGAAGAATTCCCATATTTATAGAATATCAATATATAATTCGTACTGAAATATTTGAAGTGCAATTTGATGTTTAGTCAATCGAAACCCTTTTTTCAACGATAGCAGTAAAGATGCTATAAACTTTACTTTGTGCAAAGTTGGTTACGAGTTATGCAACAAGTTTCATCGCAAAATGTTCATTAATTTTTTTTTTATTTGTCTAAGACACAGGGTGGTTAGTAATGGAAAGAGTGAAGAGATCGAGACAGAGTTTTTCGTTCGAATAATCGGTTCCAGAAATCGTTTTTTTGAGTCTATTTTTATTTTAACGCTCGTTTGTGCCTCTAGCATAATTCCTGATGATAAATTTAAAAAAAAAACAAGATTCGAACAATTTGAAGTAAATTACTTGCTATATGCTAATCAGAATAAAATATTGCTTTATAACTTACTTCCTAATTAGGAAAAGCTGTACAAGACGTCCTATATATTAGATACGTGATGGTTTTCAAAACCTCAATTCAAATGCGGCAAATTCCTTCTCGTTTTTCTTCTAGATAGCATGCGTAAAGGGAAACGACACCACTATTTGTAACTTTATCTTGATATAATTCTAGGTGTGTCCCGCACGTTAGAGTCAATATACAAATCGAATGGTGACATTTGGACAGTGCTACATCCCCTATTTATTCTTAATCGAGCTGAGCTAAAAATTGTTTCCCGCCCATCACGTGTTTTCTACTGTGTATTTTAGGTCTACTATTTATCTACAATTTTTTCAACTTCGTAATATTCTCATTCCATCTCTGGAAGAGAAATTCTATGGATTTCTAGCGCAATCGCAATTTCTGGAATTTTACGAAAGATTGAAAAACTGCGTCTGTATATTTTTACTATACTTACAAGTATATACGTGTTATCCACTGCGTCTTCTAATTCTACCATTCAACTTATCTGCTATTTTATTTTTAACTTTGCAACATTCTCATTTGATCTCTGGAAGAGAAGAGCTATGGTTTAGACACGGGTCGCACTGACACGGAAACATTTTTATTGTTACATTTCCTTATTTATTATTTTATTATTGTTTCCCTGATGTCCCTATTTTTGGTTTCATATCGATGGCAGCCCTGCTTATACTTTACATTGATTTGGATATCAATAATATCAGACAGCAAATACAATGCTGAGAATTATGGAACGAATGGTGAGAATTTTTCTTTCAAAAAAGCTAAAAGTTGTGTTCGCGCTGAATACATACATACTCATTCCACTGTCTTGTTTATATTTTCAATCATTAACCATAAGAAATAATCATCATCACCGAGAAACGTAATATTTGCCATATGTCATTCGCAATTTGTAACTGCTAAAACTAATAGGTAAAATATTTATTTTCAGTGCTATTAAATTACTTCTGAGAGCTTTCAAAGGTAGTTTTTGACAATATGATTGAAAGTTATAAGAATGAAAGCATAATTACTATTTGATTATTCATCAATTTTTCTTATTTTAGTTTTTTGTAGGTTTAATGTTGAATGTGATAAAGAATATACCACTAAATGTAAATAATTTTGTGTCATTTTTAATAGATATACCTCACAGCACGTGCTTCATTCCTCACCGACATTACGGGTATTACGTTATGACACTCCTCACCAGATAAGGGATTCGGAATCTAGGACGATGACCTTTCTCATGGGAGAAATTGGGGACATATTATATCGTCCCGGGTTTTATGCCTACCGCGTGAGATAACAATATATCAGTAATGATTTTCTGGATATTTTTGAAACATAGCGACATAATAACTCAAGCAAGACGTGGGTCGTTAACCCCACTCTGAAGGAGAAATTGCGTCTTAGAGAAACCTAATATACACAACAGAAGTTTGCGCTACGGTTACCGACAAGATTGTAACTTACCAAACAAGTACTTCTATATGTATCATATCACAGAATTGAAGAATTTTGTATTTATTATACATTTTATAAGGTACAATAAATATCCAGTTACCCGAAATTTGTCGATGTTCCGAAGCTACGGCGAAGAATTATATTCAACCATTAAGCTCAACCGTTAAATTTTTATTACATTAAAAATGTTAACACATCAAAGATATTCTTTTTTCCTCAATTTAACATCATATCTATTTCGAACCTTGGTCTGGAATACGATGGAACGAACTATGACGCCGTTTTATGAATTTTGTGTTCAACTGATTCCGCAAGATGTCGCAAATTCATATTCATACTTCGTTAAAATTCAGTAGTCGTGCGACAGAAATAGTAAAACCAACTTTCTGCTCTAGCCACTAAGCCATTCGACCTATGTTTTTAAAATGTCAAAAGTGAAAGGTCCTCCAAACGAGCCTCACAAAAATCAATTGACTTTGAAAAGCTACAGGTAACCCAGTGAAAAAAAATGAAATAAATCAACGTAATAGTCATCTAAAATATATGTCCCTCTTTCACCAATTAATGATTTAAAACAATTGATCAAGTGCAAACTTGTTATTTCAGCTTAGGAGGTTTGACTATCTTTACAATATTTGAAACGTTTGATCAAGTAGAAACTTATTTTTTTCAACAAAAGCAACCACAACAATAGTATTTCCAAACCTTCCTTACCTCAACTTTGAGTAGTTCACACATATTCACATGGCTTGAAAATACATGGAACACATTCGTTAGAAAACTACTTTTTTCTAACATAAACAATTTAATCCGACTTGAACAGACAAATTTTATTTAAACTGCTATTTCACATAGAATAAGATAAACTGGGACTATTTTGAATGTGTTTTTTATATCAAAATATTACGGAATAGCAAAAATTTACGGAAAATATCACTGATGAACGGGTCATTCATTTTGTCGTTTTTTTTTCAAAAAAGTTGGCTCATTGCAAGTCCCAATTTCTATGTTCCTCGTTTAAAAGTTGAAAATGTATTGATAGAAGAATTGCAAATTGGCGCTCTAAGAGCTGAATAAAACAATTTTCTGGCAACAAAAAATTTGCGTTCTGTCGGAACACCCAGATTTACCCCATATATAGCCAGGCCTTCAGAGGTAAGGTTTATGCTGAGGTCGGACTTGAATCTATTTCATTGCGCAATATTGCGTAATTGATATGTAAAATATACTATTTTTGGGAGGACCGAAGAGGGTTTCGCACTGCCAATCTAATTTGTTACAACGAATCTCCATAAGAGTAATCAATTTTATATCTCGGAAATGCGGATTTTCAAATTACTACAGGCTAGGAACGAGTAGGCCCTACATGCATTTCCAACGCAATTCTTTCTAATCTAGCGTGGTCAAGCTTTATGAAATGAAATATGACCTTAGAATGTTTATGCTGAATGACGACACGCAAAATTGCTAAGCAAATACTCGCATTAATATACATATGTTATGATATACTCCACTTTATTGGGCCGAATTAGGCAAAATTTTGATAGGGCCATCTATTCAACATGTGAGGTTCAAATTAAATCTAGTTCGACAAAAAATACATTTCCGAGACATGTTATGGAAAGTTATAATTAGAAATTTGTGCAAAATATTAATACCAAATCTGTTCAGCTTTGAAACAGTATGAATGATTATTAATGTGAGCGTCATATTGCAGAAGCTTCAATGAATTACTATCATGTACAGAGATTAGAAGATTGTCTGTAATTACCCAGGAAATTTTGATCGGCTTTAGCCATTAGTCTCTATTAAACTCTTTTAATCATGGTACTTTTTTTGTTTAAAACTTGACAAATTAGCTATTTTTTCCGCGACTAGTAAAGGGATGAGTTATCGTACAGGCCAAATTTAAACTTCGCTATATTCGTTTCGAGCCTCTATCTCGGACACTTTTGACTTGATTGCGTTTTCTTTCCTTATGAATTCGTTTTAAATATGCGATAACCCTCATTTTTTGATAGAATGTAAATAAAAAACATGAACATTCATTACCAACCTAAAATTCACCACACCTACAAATCTTCGGATATATTCTCTTTTAGAAGCATAAAAATAAAACTAAAAGTCATATTTTGATGATAACACATTGATGGTTATTTTTTCACAAATTACAGCTTTTTCTTGCATTTAACGTATTGGTATTGAAAAGTGGAGCAGATAATATGACCAATGAACAAGTTATCTGTGGCGGTGGATTGATATTTGCATTGATATTATCGATCATTGCAATTTCTACTCCCGGATGGATCTATTACGATAGCACAATTCCATCAACAAATAAAATATCTGGATATTCTAAAGGATTATTTTATTCTATCAACTCGGATGGACAAAAACAAGAAAGTACGAAAATAACAAAATTTATGCCTAAATCGAGATCAATAGAAAAAGACATAATGCAGAATATTCGAATGCTACATCCTCAGTAAAAATGCGACATCAAAACGGAAAAAAAATCAAATACAGAGGCAATTAATAAAAATTTGCAAACTCTGGAGTAAAACAATTGGGCGGAATCCAGGGAAAATTTGAATATAAAGAAACGGAATATTGTTAATTTTTTTGCTGATAGCAATAACAAATTAGCAGTGTCCAGAAATATCTAATTTATATAAACGGTTGAGGCAAATATTAGAAACAAAATATTTATCAATTTATAAAAATTCCAAAATATTCTATATAAAACTTTAATCTCAATGATGAGTCTTTTTTCTAGTTCTGAAAGGAGATGCAGAAAAAGTGGCAATAGCGTTTCTTATCATGGCAGATATCATCATATTATGTGGAATCGTGGCTTCAGGAATGAGTGCTTTCGATAAAAACGATAAAAAACGAGGAAGAGTTGGAGCACTGCTGGCGCTATTGGCCGGTTAGTATACCTTACATTGAATAGTTTAAATGTTATTTTTCAAAAACCCTGCAATATGATAGCCCAAAGCTATTGATAGATAGATAATAAAATTACTTCATACTTGATGTTCAGAATATCTATAATTTTTTTTTGTGTCGGAGCTCCATACGAACAAGCAACTTAACCAATAAAGTCTGAAATGGAGTTTTTTTTTCTCGCTCATACACGTGTTAGGACGATATATCGTGGTTTACCTTTCTTTGTATTGGATATGAAAAATAAACCTAATTTGTAGAAATGAAATACTCATTTTTATTTTTATGCAGGTGTTTTTATAATGATTGGGATGGCCTGCTATACAGGAATACAAGCCGATTCAGTGGAATCTGCCAGAGTAGACTGGGGATATAGTTTTGCACTAGGATGGACATCTATGTGCGTCTGCATACTCTCCGGAATACTTGGACTTATGGTTTAGATGAAAGACACAGCAAGGCAAAAATTGAATTTTTATTCGCCTACTTTTTAAAAGCCTTATTTGTGATTTACAGAAGAGATCAACTTGAAACATCAGATTTATATTAAACTTGATATCCCTTAACATGTTTTTGTACATTTATATAACGTTTGTAACGTTTTATTCATTGACAAAGAGATCAATGCTCAAGTATATGCCCACGAGGATCAAAGGACTTTCAGTTTCACGTTTGTTTTATACGCCTGCAAGTCCTAGACCTGGAGTAAACGTTGAAAGAATCTAGGAATCAGAAAAGTGTGCGGTACCTCAGTGAAACATATATTTGTTGGTTATCATTTTTGTATTTGCTTTAATAATAGAAATACTTAAAATATGAGGTACGTAGCATATTAGTGCAGATATATTGACTTCAAATATGTCAGAAAGCATCCAAAGGTATTCGAGTTGACGACAGTTTAAGGCGAAATTGTTTGCATGTCACTGTCTGTCTTTTTGTTGTCCTAGTCGTGTTTTTCAATAAGTATTTTATTACATTGGTCTGCTACAATTTTGGGGCTGATGGACATGACTTTCCGCGTCCTTGTTGGTACCGGCAACTCCGACCCCCGAACTTGCTAAACAAGTTCAGCAAACACACGTCTGGTTTTGGCGCTCCAAGAAAGTCTAGCCTCGCCGAAAGTATGGCATTGGTGGAGTTAATAACGCAGCTTTTACGACGAAGTTGATGAGATTTGTAAAAGATTTAAAGTTTGTCAGTGTGGCCACACTACGTGGCAATCGTGTTGACTGGTATTATAGTTGGGACTTCACTCAACTGTGAGAAACCTTTATTACTGAGCAAATAAGCGTGTTCACGCGTTGGACAAATTCTTTTACAAACTAGTTCAGCAGCGTATGGGCGCCAATTTAGCGCACTGTGAATGCCGTTTCAATTCGCAACGTAGTCTACTTCATATACTACTATCACCTTGATAATTCTGAAGATAGTATTTGGCAGAAGTCGTTCAACATAAATTTTGTGATACAAACTCACTTGGGTAAGTATTTACTCGATATTAGTATCTCGGTCTGACTGGCAGTCCGATTAGGAAACATCAAATATTTGAGTACGAGTACTACATCGTTCTATATTGATATATACTTTATACAAGGCGCATAATCTTCGGAATTAATTTATACAAATGAAACAAAAAATCCACACGTACTGGTTAATATATAACTAACTGTAATGTGTAATTTTCTTGGTCTTTGGTGATATTAATCTCTGAAAATAGCGAGCAATAATAACTGAGTTGTGAATTGTGAAATAGTGAATTCTACTAAAGTGTAAACATCAGCCAAAGTTATACCGAGATGTTTGTTTATTAAAGTGGAATTACAATACAGTGAGATTTGGATTGGAATGGTAGCGATAATATCAGATACTAAACTTAGATATCAGTGAACGATTCAATCAGCAATATTATCCTGAATTTTAGGTGGTTTTCTAAGCTTTATATAGACCTGAAGGATCGGTTTTAACATATGCAAGGCTGTCAACTGTGCGGCTGTACGGCATGCAATATCAGCAGAGTTGTTTTTACGAAGGTTTTCTTTATTTTGAAAGGTTGTAAAATTATTGAATATCTTATTTTTCGGTGACTTTTCATTCTTTAAATTTACGTTCTTTGTCTTTGTTTTTTATTGAGGCTATTTGTTTTATTGGGAATTCCACACATTTTTATTCAAAATAAAGTCATCATATTGACTTCCCTTTTCCAGTCTGTTGTTTGATTTATTTCCGAACATAAAAACTTTCAATGGGAAACTTCCATAAAATAAGTCTCAGTGGTCTATGCATTGGTCTTGTTTTCGATATTTTAGCAGTGGTAACTCCAGGATGGATATATGTTCAAGATGCTTTTGCAAGAGGATTGTTTTATGGTGTTAATGATGGACACGCTGGGAAAGGTAAATTAAACTTCGAATGTACTACTTATAAATAACTGTATATCCCAAGTGTATTTCTTTTGAAGTCGAATTACAAGAGATAGGAACATGTATTAACAATATGAAATAAGACGCTAAAATTGAAAGCGCGAATGGCTCAATGCTGAAAGGTAGAAGTGATTCAGTGAGAAAACATTTTGTGCGAAGAGCTCATTTTGGCCATGATATTTGTAAGTAAATAGAATTTTATGATATGTTCTGGATTACATAAATATAAAACTCAAAGCAATTGTTGGATTGGGCATATAAAGTGAGACACGTGGCCAGAACAGTTTTTCGCGCAAAAAGTTTTCTCGGCATTCAACCATGCTCAACGTAACGGCCGAGTTACGTATGAAACCATTGTGAAAAAAATTCAAAAATATCTTGGATATAGCTTATAGCACATATTAACTTATAGCAGAAAGTATATTTTGTAATTTCTTAAAATAAACCTATTTTGTGATCCAGAAGGGCATTAATAGAAGGTTATATATGTATATAATATTTTCAGTTACCATGTGGACAGCAGATAAGTTAGCTCTGTCGTTTCTTTGCACTGGTGGCGCCATCCTAATTGCAGCCATCGTTTGTTCCATAAGAAATTTGAAAGAAAATAGAAAGGATTTCAAAATAATGGGAGGGTTTCTTGGAATTATTGCAGGTAAGATACAGGGCGCTTTTCCAAATAATTTTTTATACTGAATTTATGTGCAAATCAACAACAAGCAATTTTATTGCAAAAAATCAAAATGTGATGCCACGATAAGCAATGGTACAAACAAGTAAATTCTACATGGTTTGTTAAATATAAGATGTTTTTCCACTTTCATCCTTTATATTGCCTGAGCGACCCCACCATCCCCACTACCTGTTTGTGTCCCCACCTAATTATCACGCAGACCTTGTTCGAGGTCACGATCCCTGATTTGGGAGGCCAGCGTGTATAACTTCTCCTATATTAAACGCAGGCAACGTTTTGTATTGCGATCCGGCTTGAAACTGCTTTTTTTATGTCTGGTATTATATAAACCACAAATCTTCAGCAATGAAACTTCAATATAAATTGTATTTATTCCGAAATGAGAACCTTGAGCTTGGTTTACCTAAACGATGCGCATGCGCTTACGCCTTGGATTTTTTTTTTTTCATAACAACGAGTACAAGAATGCGAAAATGAATTTTAATAATAACTGAAACATAATAACAAAACGATCCATATGTACACCTCGTGTTCAATAATTCTATTTTCAAAATTTTCCAGCTTTGACATTTACCTTTTTTCTATTTTTTTTGTATATAGGTTTGTTTATGATCACTGGAATGTCAAGTTACACTGGTCTATATAGTGATTACGTGCAACCGACTCGAGTCAGTTGGGGTTACAGTTATGTCTTTGGCTGGATATCTGCCTGGATATGCCTTATTTCTGGATGTATCGGAATCTTCGGGATGGTAAAGTCATACTTGATGTCAATTTGAATAATCCAAAATAAAAAGTGAGAAGATATGAAGATACACAAGAAGATGAAACCGATCCATGACAAATTTCTCAAATTCTGAAAAATAAACCACGATTTGTATGATTTGGTTGTTAGACAATTTTTTTTTTCAGTAAATCCACACTGACAGATAATACTACTATACAGGGGCGATTGAATTTGACAAAATACACAAATAACTGTTTTTGCATCAATTCCGTGTCTTCAACGTGTATTCCGATTCGAGTAAGATTAGTACTTTAATTTTACAAAAACTCGCCACAGGTGACTAAAACGGACTTTACAGGTTCCAAAATCAAAACAAGAACTTGACCTACAGACAAATATATTCAAATACGTCTTTACGCTGTAACATTTGAAAATTTTGCATACTGGAATGAAATATAAATTGTTCAGTAAAAAATAAATATTAAAGTGTATAGGTTGCTCTGACAGATGATAAAAAATGATATTAATATCTGAAATGTATATATAAACCTTGTGAGATAAAATCTAGAAACATTTTGAGCTGACTTAATGTTTTATGCTGTGTATATGCCATTTATTAACGTCCACTTGTGATATCCAATTACTTTTTGCCATTTACTAGTAGGCCTACGCACTATGTGTACAGCTAGCCAACAAAATAAATACAGCTAGCGAAGTTGTACTTGGGTAGTCTAAACTGTTATCTGGCTTTCCAATTTTTTGGCCGGGAATACATGCTAACAAAATAGGCTTCATAGAAAACTAAAAATCGAATAAAGAATCTATTAGCCTAGGTTTGCTATGCATGTTAAGTGAATATAATTTCTGCCGGATCTTTTTTGCAACCAGCCTAAAGCCCTAAACAGTATTACAAAAATTTAGTAATTATCCTCCTGTATCCCAAATTTGGTAAAATTCGGTAATCAATCAATCTGCAGTTATTAGTAAGTTATTTTGTAAACATGAGTTTAAAAAGAAAGCTGACCAATTCAAACAGATTTTTTGACTGGATATGGGATACCATACCATAATGCTTGCTTAATATGTCTGCAAGTTGTGTCGGTGACAATTTTTTCGTTATGAAAAGTTTGAACTCCTACACTAAGTGTAGATATAGTAAGATTTTTGCAAGTTTTAGTGAGTTTTTTTGGTGGTTTTTGCACGTTTTAGCTTGATGAATGACAAATAATGATCAATGTGTTTGGACATTTGAAGTGCATGTTTTGTATTGCACCGTTTACTCATTCTAGGCACTATTGCGGCCCGCAAGGTCGACAACCTTGGACCACCCTGCGTGACTAGTCTCAGTAGAAAGGTCAGTAAGGGAGAGTTACAAGTTCAATGGGTAGGAAGTCAAGACAGATAACATAATAATAAGTTTTAAACAAAAACAGAAGCAGACTTCAAAAAAGGTATACCTCCAAGCTATTAATGGTTACTCTTGTCGAATATTATACAATTTCTGTTTATGATTATATGTAAATCAAGCGCATTAATTATGGTGTTATCGATCGGGATGGTTGTACTAAGTTGATATGTGAGGCAAACGATCTCTCGCTGACCGCATATAAATTAAAAATGGATAATTTTAAAAGCAACTCACGCTCACAATTTAGAGAATGATTTTATGAGGTGTGTTTTGGCTATCCGTTATGTATCTGAATGTAAGTGCACATTTGATAACACGGCACAGTTGCGAGCCCTCAAAACTCATGAAAAATATCTCTATCTCCCTCATTTCTCTCTCTCCTGCCTACCGAATTTTGTAGGGCGGTAATTTACCTGCTAATAACAAACATCAGAGGCACGCGAGCGCCATTGTGCGGCGGTTCTGGGTTCAATCGAACACTTATAAATAGGCCCAAGTTGCTCTGCTTGCAGATATTCGTATTGATTATGATTAATTCGTTTTTATAAAAGTTTTATTAAAAAATAAGCTCTACCAAGAAAGCTTACAATAACTATTTTTTCAAAATATTGTTACGGGACGACTTCTGAAATACCCGTAATGGACATAATAGAAACTGTTATGGAATTTGTTTTTTTATTCTACGGGCAGAATTATCTAGTATAGATAATTTACTGGACTCGAAGTTGACCTATAGATCATTTTGTAATTATATTGTTGTTGTTTATATTCTTCTATTTCTTGTTGTTTGTGTGAAATCGCCTTTCTATTTAAATCAGCGTTTTTCAAACTGTGTGCCATGACACATCTCGCAAAGCTTTCTGAATTTTTATAAAACAAACTACGGTATTTGTATTACACATATTTATGCATGCAGCGGGCAAGCTTGTGAGACTCACTATCATTATTAGACTATAATTTTGTATTGTAATTGTATTGTTATGTTATAATGCATAAGTACACAAGACGTCCACCTTCCCCCATTTTGCCTTGCGCTCAAACAGGTGAGCAAGTTTGGACGAGTTTTGGCTGTATGTTTACAAATTATATTTAATCATCGATACATAAGAGCCATTTGAATCTTTATGGCTCTGTAAACATGGATTTTCTGCTCTGACTGAAATTGAAAGCAGAAAAATGGAGCGACGGAACCACGTTTCCATTGTTAGTCCAAACAGGCACACACATCTCATTAACATTTTCAGAATTAATTTTTTTTTTTTGCTCAGTGCGTCGCCAGCAAAAAAAGTTTGAAAACCACTGCTTTCCAATTGCTTTAAAATTTTCTATGATAGAAGATCTTTGTTGACGCTAAAAGGCTATTAATTTTATTTAGTTTGAAATTTTTTGGGGGCTCTATGGGATTCGTTTTTTCATAAGTTTGCGTTGTTTTTGTAATGGCCTTGACTCCAAATCTCCACCATTAGGCATAATGTATATGTTAGTGATTTCCATGGAATCATCAAACTGGAAGATGTGGAACCATGCCCTGCACCCAAACGAACATCTTTTAAACTTGTTAGGCTACTTAGCAAGATAGGCTATCATGTTTGCAGCAGTTTAGTTTTATTTATATATTTGCAATGTGCAAAACAGCGCGCTTTCATCCCGCAAGTTTCATCTAAATTACATTGCGTAAGTCGTGTTATCAAATTCTTTGACTGAATGTAATCAAAAACTAACACGAAATATCTATCATGTTATATTAGGCAAAATGGAACAGGACATAGTTTAAATGTTGTTCAACTACCATGTCTATCGAATGAATATCAACTTTCTCAAGGACGCTTTATCACGAACCAATGTCGAAAACATTTTGACACATGTTCCAGTCAAGTCAACAACTCTGAAATCCATCAACAAAATGAGGTATTTAGTATTTACGACTTTATAAATGCAGTCTGTATTAATCCTAATTTTCTTTCAGTTTTAAATTTAAAAGTACCTATAAAACACCTTGCTCTAGAATTGGACCTTTATTTTGCTGTCAACAACCTATTAATTACGACAAGCTAGGTTCAGAATAAGAGCTGTGCAGTTAACAAAGATGACATATCCTGGACTAATAAAATATTTCATACAAATATGCTACAGAAATCTGGAGAAATTTTGCCTTTAGCCGAAGCTGGTATCTGTTTAAAGTTAAGCTTACTTAGAAATATTACACTGTGAATATCATTCTTGTTATAGTAGATGACAAAAAGTAAGAGTATGTGTTAAACGGAGTCATGGCTAATTTTCAGTACTAGAACCCGATAGACCTAAATATGATTTAGGAATTTTGCAGTCAGCAGTAGTTTAGTAAGTGGGCATAATCCTCAAAATTATTGTACTTATTGAATAGTAATCTCAAACTACGAATCCTTGGAAAAAATAAGTAAATATGATCCAGGGAAGGCAAAAACATGTTGAGTCACATTTATAAACCCTCGATAATATGAAAAATAATGTAATGTAATATTGTTCCAAATTATTTGCATAGAGAATCAACAGTTAGTTCACGTATTGCCTAACCAATAAAGTAAAGAGTACATTTCTGATTAAAGAATGTTACGATCTTCGGATATTTTCAACGTTTTTGCAATTGTTTCCATTGCTATTGGGAACCAAGGATATGCACAAATATCCAAAAGTTTTCGAATTCCCTCTACAAAAGGTGAAACGTGTAACGTGGTAAATTTGAATTTCGCCGGTGATGCAGATAGCTCTGTCGATCCAGTTCGTGGACCACCCGGAAGTCCTGGAAAACGAGGGCAAATAGGACTAGCTGGACCGGTTGGACCACGAGGAGAAAAAGTAAGCTATTCTAGTTATAACCAGTGCAAACAAAATTGGTAGCAATACGGAAACTGTGCGTTACTTAATTCATGATATATAATTGGTTATACGCGACGAACTGAAAATATATTTTCTCTTTAAATTAGTAAATACTCGATCAAGTCTATTCAGCAATGTATACGTAGTATGTAGTATATACCCAAATAAAAAAAAATTAAAATTAAGCTGAACAATAAGCCTGTCAAATGTTTTTCTAGGGCGATCAAGGGTTGAAAGGTGTCAAAGGAACGAGTGTGAATGTAACAGAAATAACCACAAAAATTCTGGGAATTCTGGGTAAGCAATTGACGCTGCTGAGATCTATGGATTTGTCTTTGATCCCAGATACATATTAGTCGGTCAGTAGTTTATTTTCTCACATGCCGAAAGTACACATTGTAAAAACATGATTGAGAAAGATTTAAAAATGAAAATGCATTCCAGTGTGAAGGAAGACGCGATAAACCAGTGAGCAGCAGATAAACTAGCAAGCAGCGTCACCTATTAAATTTTTCGTAATGTTTCCCTACGCCTAAGATATAGATAACATATCACGGTGTTCAAGTCTCCTTATTAATTACTTGGTTTCGCATTTTCATACTGAAATGTAATACATTTTTTTTAACGATCCATATATATTGTGTAAATTCAAAAGGATAAAAAAATTATCTCTGCTGATAACCTATTGTGTTGTCGATTAGGTGCAACAAGCTGCAAAGACTTGATGGATCTTCATGAGATTTCATCTTCCGGATATTACTTGCTTAGAATAAACGACTCTGCAACACCTGAATATACATACTGCGATTTTGAATTACGAGGTTTGATTAAACATATACTTTTAACGTTGGTTTTTAGTTTCTTCCTGAAAAATCTCAAAAATCTTCAAATTTTTGGTTCACATTACGGGATCATATAGGTACATGGCAAAACCATTTCAGAGGCACCGCCGCATATTCACACAAATACAATACTGGGAACCATCACAACACTTTCCCAAGCATGATTCCAAAGTTCCATCACGATACAATGGCTTCCAGTAATAATAAACATTTTCAATTAATTGACCACTTTATTAATAACTAAAATAAGCAATCTTTTTACTCTAATGTTTCGTTTATATAAACTTGTTTACTGTATAGGAACGCTTTTTGTTTTGAGTTCTGTGTTTACCCTCTTATGCTTTAACTTAGACTCTTTCATGCAGTAATTCTACAACGCTTCATTACAGCTGTATCCAATTGCTTGGAAATTGACGAACAAATAGAGTCACCTATACCAGGTTATTATCTAATCAAGCCAGACTCAACTGCTGAGAGTACTTACATTCATTGCAATCATTTTTGTAAGTGCTTCAAATTTCGTATTCGAATGTCAACGTTCGATACATGGAATTATATCATTTGATGTGTTTGCTTTTTAATAAATAATATTGCAAAATATTGTTGAAGTTGACTACACAGTTGTGATATAAATTCACAGGTCCTAAGAGCTGCCAAGATGTTGACAGAAAAAATTCCAAGATTTGGAAAGTAACTGGAGGCGTATTTGATATATCTCCAAATAAAAATAAGCAAATAGAAGTCTACTGCGATCTCACAGCGGATGGCGGAGGATGGACTGTGAGTTCTATCATAAGAATTGTAAATTTAACGTTTGCTACAAAAATAATCATAACTGATATGTGGTGTGATCAATTCAGTAATTTCAATTACTTTGGGCACATACATATAATTAATTTATAAAAAAAAATGCTCTCCTATCGCTTGTGGTTTGCAATGTGCATGATTTATTCGTTCTTAGAAATTAGCTGCAATTGAAAAAGTACTCACTGATCATTTGGAAAATTGTTGATTTGATACAAAATTTGCCTTACGCTTTACGCGCAATTAAATTGTCAGCAGTTGAAGCTAGAAATGTTTTCCAGTATTTTTTGCCGTTCCTAAAATTCTCTTCGGTAACCCCGTATGGATCTATTGATTTTCAAAACTGCGCCAACTTGTGGGGAATTGACTCAATTTTTTATATATCTTAATGTTGGATCTTATTGAATAGCTGGATCTCTTTGAATTGTAGGTTTTTCAGCGACGTCAGGATGGATCAATAGACTTTTTCAGAGATTGGAATGAATATGTAAACGGTTTTGGAGATAAAGACAAAGAAATGTGGCTAGGTAACCGATACAAGTTCAAGTGTATTTTTTCACCGATACCGTGACTCTAATTTAGTTTATTATTCAATTAATTTTAATTCCTTAATTAAGACAAAAAAAGGTAGTATTTTTTAACCCCCTAAAGCAGTGGTCGGCAACCTTTTTCAAGTGACGGACTGGTAAAGCTTGACTAAACTTTTGGCGGACCACCTTTATACAAACGAACTAAGCCTATGCAATAAATTATACGCATTAGGAAATTTATGTTGACAATATACTAAAAACGACGGTGATGCTATTTAATGTGATGTCTGTATTTGTTTGATGGCCATTAACTGTTCCCATATTCGAGATATGGTCGACATTGACACACGTAACGTATTTCTTACTTCCAGCCTATTTTGATATTTCGTTTTTGTAGTTATCAATATTGAAAACCAGGCCTCACATTAAGATTTCGGGAAAGTTAACAATGCCTGTATCGTTTTGTTGGGGAGATCTTAGTCGGACTGATGAGAGACATTCTTATACGGGCGTAGAGAAAACAATTGACCCAGCATTTTTGCGACCTACTGACATGACAATTGTTTATGAAATTAGACATGTTGCTCAATCGTGTTATGCAGTGGTCGGCAAACTTCATGTATTTGCGGGCCAAATATAAACATTTCTGGTAGCGCGCGGGCCGCAATATTTCCGCCTTCCAACTACCATAATTAAACCTCAAATTATGGCGCATTTGCATTGCTACCTTTCTATTGCTGTGTTGAAAGCCTGTCCCAATGAGATGTATATGTGGCTTTTTTTGTATAATCCAACAATACATTGTTTTTATGTACTTATTATCAATGTGAAAGATGTTTTTATGGCAACTCGTCGTCCAAATGATGATCTGACAAGCGAGTACAAAATTTAATCTAAGTGTAATGCATATTAGATAAAGATGCTCAAGGCCATAATATGTTCTTCCAAACGTGCACATTACACGTTTTGCACTGTCGCACAGATTAACTGTGGCGCAGTCCCGGGTCTCGGGGTCGAATTTTCGATGACTCGTTTCGTAACGAGTTTAACATTCAAACCCTTAACAACTGCGATGCTGACTGGGCTATCGAGCAAACCGGTTTTGGAATGCGCAAGAACGAAAAATATTTTCCGTTCAAGCACTTTGGAATGCTCGACCCGCGTCGCTCCGTTTTCCAGACATTTTCAAATTTTAAAATGCAAAATTAACTCGAACGACCTATACCTGACGCTACCTGCGCCGTACAGCAGCACTTGTCACCACATAAATCCGTGTGGAGACAATAATAAATTTAGGATTAATTTTTGTTTTATTTCTTAAATGTCGGGTCGTTCAAGGGCCGCAACAAATTAGCTCGCGGGCCGCATTTTTTCCGACCCCTGGTGTTGTGTTTGTCTGGTTTACTGTAAGATGCTGTTTTTTAGTCGTAGGGTTTGTGGTTAGATTGTAGAGGTTTTATTATGGCCTTGTCCGTTTTTGTGTCACCTCTCTACGGACCGGCAATAACCTTTCCGCGGACCGGCGATGGGCCGCGGCCCGGAGGTTGCCGACCACTGGCCTAAAGTACCCCGATAAATATTTGTGCTGTTGTTTGTAGGCTTGGAAACGATATATCAGCTGACTAAAAACGGAAACTATGAACTCCGAGTTGATTTGACAGATTGGAGTGGAAACACTGTATATGCTAAATATGAGTGAGTGACTGAAAGCAAAACAATACCCAAATATATTAACAAAAAGATAGTATCGGAACATTCCATCACCCAGTTCACTGATAGTAACCATTTAGTAGGAGAAGTTCTCTCCTCTGAATGCTCCTGAAAAACTGTAATCAAAAACGGATGCAATACAATGTTTTAACAATATCAATACACGGAGCTCCCGAAGTATCCCGAACCTGAACATAGCATGTGTACCAGGTATAAGGTTTCAGGTTGTGCGCCATCTTGATGCACATACTTCGGAAGCGCCCAATACACTAGTCATGTCAAAATTATTTCGGAATTTGTTGTTTATTTTTGACCCAACCATAGAATAAAATTATTTGAAGATTCTCATCGTCTTTGTGAGAGAGAAAGAAATATAAATTTTAAGGTTAAAATCGCCAGTAGATAAATAATCTTTCTTGTAATCAAGGCTATTCGCTATCCATCACGTTACACAAAACCTAGTTTAATTATAATTTTTTTTAGCACGTTTGGTATAGCACCTGCTTCTGACAACCACAGACTTAATGTCAGTGGTTATTCAGGAAATGCTGGAGATTCTTTAGCTTGGCACAACAATCAGCAGTTCACAACAAAGGATGCTGATCATGACTCGTGGAATAAAAATTGCGCATCTCAATTCAATCAAGGAGCTTGGTGGTACAACTCATGTTCTTAATCGAATCTGAATGGGATTTACTATAAGCAGGAGTCTTATTCAGGAAATTATCATGGAACATTTTGGTATTATTGGAAAAATAGCAGACTTAACTCGCTTAAATTTACGGAGATGAAATTTAGAATGAAAAATTAAGTTTTCATAAAATAACTTAATTTTTATGTCAATGTAATTTTTTCTCATCCGTTTGTGAACTGCATTATTTGAAAGAGATTGCACAAATCTGGAAAAAAACTAGTAGAAAGATATTCCAAGCTTTTCCTGTAGCCACAATTGGCGTTCCTATTTTTTAATTACATTCAGCAACAATCTTCGTATATTATAACAATGATACCAAAAGAGAAAAGCATTTTTTTTGTCAGCCAATATAAGAAGATTTCGGAACAATGGAAAAAATATCAGGCTATTGCGAAACAAATTGGAATAACATCCTTTGTAGTATTTGTCGTTGGGTATGGCCTAAATGCAGTTTATGATATATGAATTGCCAATATGGCGAAAGCAAACTAATATTACAACAATACCCTAAGTGAAATAAAACTTGTACCGGCGAATCAGTAGCTGAATATTGAAGGAAGAATAGAGCAAATATGAGCCCATAAATTAGCCATAAGGAGCAAAAACACCGTAATCATTACTAATCTGTATTGTATCTGTCAGTACAGCTGTAGCTGCCAGGTATATAGTTGTGGAATTTCGGCACCCTCAATACTATTCAGTGGTATGCTGAAATAGCATTTTATATACTGATATTTGTATAAAAAAAAAACATAAAAGCCCCAGTAGGAGTAGTAACACTCCGATCTGATGCTCAATGAGAGAACGTTATCGAGAAATCACTCCACTTTCACCAATGTTGCGATTTTTGGCTTTTTTTCTTCCAATAAACTTCATTCATGATCAAGCAATATTTGTTAATTTAAACGAGTTATGTATTATATATTATACGCACACCAGAGTGAAATTTAGATCTTGAAACAAAATACGAAGTTAGGCCCAACATTCAACAATGGTTTCAGTTTTAGTTGCCTAGTACAATTACGTCATCGCGATTAAGCTGTGAGACTTCAAGGCTAAACCTATTGTATTTCATATTCAGTAGCAGTATCACGGTTCTATATAAACCAGGGGCAAATATTTTAGCAAATATTTAGCAAGGTAAGAAATCATGTTTGCAGCGGTTGATGTATTAAGTTTTTCTGTCTCACTTCATCCTGCATTTTTTATTGAAATTATATTGCGTAAGTCGTGCTATCAAATTCCTTGACTGAATGTGATCGAAAACGAATATTGAAAATTTATCAAGCGCCGTTATATTAGGCAAAATGGAACAGGGCACCATGTAAATATTGTTACTACTATATCAATCAAATGAACAGCAACTTTCTCAAAAGCGCTTTATCACAAACTAATGTCGAAAACTTTTTGACACATGTTTCAATCAAGTCAACATCTCTGGAACCCGTCAACAAAATGAGGTATATAGTATTTACGACTTTATGAATGCAGTCTGTATTAATTCTGATTTTCTTGCAGTTTCAAATTTAAAAATATCTATGAAAAACCTTGCTCTAGAATTGTTCCTTTATTTTGCTGCCAACAACCCATCAATTACGACAAGGTAGGTTGAGAATAAGAGCTGTTCAGTTAGAGCAAAGATGACATATCCTGGACCAATAAAATATTTTAACAAATGAGCTATAGAAATCTGGACAAATTTTGCCTTTAACCGAAGTATAGCTTACGTAATCGATTATAAACAAGTAATTTCTTTTTTGTAGTTGGAGAAATACTTGGAATTTAAATATTTTCTTAAATTATTTGGGTTTAAAATCTGTTCAGATTCGTTTTATACTCCATTCGAACTTCATATCCTCAATGTTGATTACATTTAACTTGAATAGAAAATAATATTCGGACAAGTTCGTTGACGCCACACATTACATTTTCCAAAAATGAAATCATTACAATATCATTGTTATTGTTAGGTATAAGATGGTAATAATAAATTTATTACCCATATTTTGCATACACCTTGGTTCCGCTTCAATCTTCCAAATCAATTCTTAGCTGATAATCGCCATCTTTTGTCAGTTGATATAAAGTTTCAAGTCCTAAAATTAGAAATATGAATTCATCATTTAAGTTTTGTGTTGGGAGATGGGTGTCTGAGTAAGTAAAAATGAAATGAGCCTCGATAAAGTATGAAAAGATTTCACAACAAGCGATAAATTACAAAGGTAATTTTGTTTTGAACTGCTGTCTTATTAAATATGTTTTCAATGTCAAAAATCTCTCACAAGTTAACTTACTGATACTTCTAAAAACAAACTAACCCATAGCAAAAACGAGAGAGCAATCTCTCACTGACGCATTTAAATCAAGAATGCATAATTTGAAAGGCAACAGCACGCTTGACCATTAGTGATCCTGTTAAATGGTAAAGATACTTACTGTTGAGAAGGAACGCATATCCAAAAAGCAAAATCAGATATTTACATAATGATTTTATGAGGTGTGTTTTAGCTATCCGTTATGTATTTGAACGTAAGTGCACACTTGACAACAAGGCAGAGTTACGAGCCCTTAAATCTCATTAAAAAGATCCCTATTTCCCTCATTTCTCTCCCCACTGCCCACCGAAATTTGTAGGGCGGTAATTTACCTGCTAATAACAAACATCAAAGGCACGCGAGCGCTTTTGTGCGGTTTTGGGTTCGATCGAATACCTATAAATAGGCCTAAGTTGCTCTGCTTGCATGAATTCGTATTATTATGTTTGCTTATTTTTTGTAGCAATTTTAATAAAAAGTAAGCTTTACCGAGAAATATAACCATAAATATTTGTTCACAATATTACTCCGGACAACCTGGGACATCCGAAATACCTGTAATGGAAACTGTTATGGAATTTTTTTTTTTTCATTCTACGAGCAGAATTATCTAGTATTGATAATTACTGGACACAAAGTGGTATTATATTGTTGTTGATGTTTGTATTCTTCTCTTTCTTGTTGTTGTTGTGGAAAAAATCGCTTTTATCTTTAAATCAGCGTTTCTCAAACTGTTTGTTGCGGCACATCTAGCGAAGCTTTCTGGATTTGTATTTCTATCTGCTTACAAATTCTATTTAATAATCGATGCAAAAGTCACCAAAATAATCTAGCCATTTGCACTTTCATGGCTCTGTGAACACGGATTTTCTGCTCTGACTGAAATTAAAAGCAAAAAATGCAGCGACGGAACCTGATTTCAATTTTTTCTCCCAACAGGCACACACATCGCATTAACATTTTCAGAATTAATTTGTTTTTATTTGCTCAGTGCGCCGCGAGCAAAAAAGTTTGAAAACCACTGCTTTAAATGCTAAACCAATTGCTTTAAAATTTTCTATGATAGAAGATTGTTGTTGACGCTAGAAGGCTATTAATTTTATTCATTTTGAAATTTTTTTTGGGCTCTATGGGATTCGTTTTTTCGTGTGTGGTGACGTCATCGAAATTAAAAATTGCGCAAGTTTCGCGTTGTTTTTGTAATGGCCTTGACTCCAAATCTCTACCATGAGGCATATTGTATATGTTAGGGATTTCCATGGAATCATCAAACTGGAAGATGTGGAACCATGCCCTGTACCCAAACGAACATCTTTTAAACTTGTTACTTAGCAAGATAGGCTATCATGTTTGCAGCAGTTTGTGTTGTATTTATATATTTGCAATGTGCATAACAGCGCGCTTTCATCCCGCAAGTTCCATCTAAATTACATTGCGTAAGTCGTGTTATCAAATTCTTTGACTGAATGTAATCAAAAACTAACACGAAATATCTATCATGTCATATTAGGCAAAATGGAACAGGACATAGTTTAAATGTTGTTCAACTACCATGTTTATCGAATGAATATAAACTTTCTCAAAAGCGCTTTATCACGAACCAATGTCGAAAACATTTTGACACATGTTCCAATCAAGTCAACAACTCTGAAATCCGTCAACAAAATGAGGTATTTAGTATCTACGACTTTATAAATGCAGTCTGTATCAATCCTAATCCAGTTTTAAATTCAAAGCACGTATAAAAAACCTTGCTCTAGAATTGGTCCTTCATTTTGCTGTCAACAACCTATTAATTACGACAAGCTAGGTTCAGAATAAGAGCTGTCCAGTTAACAAAGATGACATATCCTGGACTAATAAAATATTTCATACAAATATGCTATAGAAATCTGGAGAAATTTTGCCTTCAGCCAAAGCTGGTATCTGTTCAAAGTTAAGCTTACTTAGAAATATTACACTGTGAATATCATTCT